TTAGCTGCGCGATATTTTGGACGATGATCATATACCGTACCTAAATAGGATTGTAACATTGTACCGTCTAATAATAAATCAATTATTCTTATATTAGTCAGTTGTTTTATTTATCCGACGTACAAGGTATGTACACAACACAAATATTTTTTTTTATGGATAACGGAATTGTTGGAGATGTGGTGCTGGAGGAAAATGCTTCCAGGGACTGCTTTAGGCATCAACGATCTTTATTCAATGGGCACTTTCAAACCCGAAGGACTTATGAAGGTCAACTCCTGTCTAACGGATACGACTAGCCTGAAGGTACCGCTAAGAGTTCGTTCGTGTTCAGGCAGTCGTAATTATGAACTCAAAATTGGATTAAAAATATATATAATACGAAATTTATCGCGTAAAGTATTTTTTTTTCTTAATTTATTATAGTAAATAAAAAAATTGCGACACTGAAGTAGCAATGGGCAGGGCACATAGCTCGTGGGACATATGGCCGTTGGGGCAATAAAGTCCATGAGTGGCGACCACGGACCGGAAGACGCAGCGTGGGAAGGCCTCCAGCAAGGTGGACCGACGATCTGGTCAAGATCGCTGGAAGGCATTGGATGCGAGCAGCGCAGGACCGATCGTCGTGGAGATCTTTGGGGGAGGCCTATGTCCAGCAGTGGACGTCTTCCGAGCCATGATGATGATGATGATTATGATTATAATATCTGCCGCTTCCTTTATGGCGACATCCTTTTGGTCTATTTTTCTTTTTAACTATACTGTACATATGTTCCATTGTATTTTTTGTCGCCACGCCAAAACTACAGAACCGATTTATATGAAATTTGGAATAGCACAGATAGTCTGGACCCTGAGAAAGGGCGTACTTTTTATTGCGAAAATAGGGTTGTAAGACGTTGAAAAGTGCGATGAAAATTTGTATGGAAGTATCGTCATTTTTGAGGTTAGAAACCTTGAAACTAATATTTTAGGCTGTTCATTAAATATAAATAAAGAAGGGTTGATAATAGTAAGTTAAATATAAATAAGAAAGGGTGATTATTATACTTATTTTTAAAGCTAGAAAATTGCAACTAATCTTTTTAGGCTGTTGATTGATTGTAGGATACCTAAAAGAATATGACATGCAAGTTTGCAAAACGGGTAAAATAAAATGATTTTCATTTTGAAAATCATCATTTTTGAAGTTTGAACATAGAACCGTCTCGTTTTGGGTTAGATTATTGAATATTTTTCTTTATTTAGTCAATGTCACTGTAACACGCGGACGAAGTCGCGGTCACAGCTAGTTTATTATAAGCACATATAACATAATCTATACATATACAATAAAACATATAAAATTGGAGTGTCTGTTTGTAATTTTGAAATAACCGTTTTTACTACATGCATATGAATATAAATAGGGTACACCAAAATAACATTTTTACAATTTTTGTCTGTGTGTCTGTTTGTTATGGCTTGAAATGGCTGGACCTATTTTGACGGGACTTTTATTGGCAGGTAGCTGATGTAATAAGGAGTATCCTAGGCTACTTTAAATTTAGAAAAATAAAGTTAAATTCCACGCGGACACTATAGTTTATTATACGTGATACTTATTTACCTCATACGGATAAAGTGGCTCTCGCAGGAAAACATAACGACCAGTCAACGATGAAACAATATTTATTTCGGGACATCAGGATAACATAAAGTAACAATTTATTTGTGTGTGTACCGAGCGAGGGATTGCCGTGACCCAAACACTGTTGTACCTATTGTAAGTACATTTATTATTAATTTATTTACACTCTACTACTAAAAATTGAGATTGAATTAATTAACTACTTGAATCACTCTATCTATTAAAAAAACTGCTTCAAATTCCGTTGCGTACTTTTAAAGATTTAAGCATACATATAGGGACGGACAGGCAGCGACAATGACTTTGTTTTATACTATGTAATGATTGCACCAATTACAGAACAAAAAATAATTAAAATCTATACATATAAATAACATTGCAGTGTCTGTTTGTAATATTGAAATAACCGTTTTTTACTACATGCACATGAATATAAATACGGTACGTACTCCAAAATAACATTTTTGTCTGTTTGTCTGTTTGTTATGGCTAATCTCTGAAATGGATGGGCCGATTTTGACGGGACTTTTATCGGCAGGTAGCCGACTTAATGAGGAGTAACTTAGGCTACTTTTATTTTAGAAAAATAAAGTTGAGAAAGAAGTCGCGGGTGCAGCTAGTAGTAAATATATAACTGCATCAGTTATATACTAAATGGCGGTCTTATCGCTAAGCAGCCTATTCCAGACTACCTTTGGGTGGATAGAGAAAGTAAAAATAAGAAAATATATTTAGTGCCCTCGGTAACATTTGTGTGAAATTTATATCCTACATGTTATTCTGATGTATAAGCTATATTACTGTAAAGTTACATCACAATCCTTTCAGTAGTTTTGAAAGAAGAGAAGAAGAGTATGAAAGAGTAATAAACATCCATACACACAAACTTTTTTTAACAAATTTATAATTATGATTTGCTTCATAAAAGCACCGGCTAGTCTTTCAAATCAAATCAAAACATACCGGCTAGTCTTTTATTTTTATTTGTATATACTATTTGATTGTTTATAGGTATATACAAACTTACTACTTTACTACTTACTAAACTTACGCAATAAAAATAAGCTAATTTTACCTAAATGTCGTCTACACAAAGTTAGTAATTCATTTTATGGTAATTGCGTAAGATTCTATAATAAACTGCCAGAGTTTACGCTAAATCTTACAGAGAGGCAATTCAAATCTTATATTAAACAAATGTTATGTAAAAAAGCCTATTATAAAATAGATGAATTTATAGATGATAGCAATATATAGCAAGAATAAGTTTATTTGCGGACAACGTTATAATTTTAATTTTCATACTGCTTTCTTGATGATGATAGCGTAGCGGCTTTTGTATTGATTGCCGCATGCATCCTTATGTAAAGTGCGAATACTGTAACTACCATATAGTAATTTTTGTAGCTGTGACGTGGTCGTATGGAATGAGTAGTCATGCTCACTAAAATGTCCAGACATGTGGCGGCGTGGTGGGCCGGGTCATTGGGCTCCCTAAAATATGGTCGAGCGCAGTGATGGCTGGCTCATCCGTCATACTCGTGAAACGAGTGCTGCTTGTAGGGACTGGTCTGCTCTTATCACTACGACTGATTTAATCTTATTGCATATTTATATTTGACCCAAAAATTAGTGCTGGTTGGTAGTTTGTATTCACACGTTTCGACTTGTAAATGTAAACTTACAAGGATTATTTAAAAGAGCAACACACAAGTTTCTTGCTCGTTCTTCTTGTGATGAGACAGCTTTCCGAACGAGTGGTAGATAAAAAACAAATTGTTATGACTATTCAAAAGTGCTTAAATTAAGTTTATTTGAATAAATGATTTTCTATTCTATTCTATTAACTACTTCTATTCTAGTACTACACTTGAATTGAGGGATTGTCCTTGTACCCAGTTGTATCATAAAACATAATAGGTCGAATACATATATTTATGTTTTAATTAAGCATTGTTTTAGCTTCACTGTAGGTACCTACGTACTCGCTGCTGTACAGGATAAACTGTCGATAAAGCCACGCTGTCATACAAAACCTATATGTACCTACTTGTGACTAATTTACCGATATAATTTGCTTGCAATAATTTATTATTATTATTGTAACTGATATGGGAAACGTTTTCCCATATAAATAGCCAGATTAAAGCAAAAAAATTGTCTATTAATAATTTTTCTTATTAATATTATAAACGCGTAAGTTTGTGAGTATGTATGGATGGATTTCTCTTTCACGCTAAAACTATTTAACGAATTTTGATGAAACTTTACAATAATATAGTTCAAACGTCAAATATAACACATTGGCTATAAATTTTTTTTGCGTATAATGCAATTTATTTTTTATTTTATTTATTAAATTTTAATTCGGATTACATCCATATTGTGGTGCGACTAGTAAAATATTTTTTTTTTGCGTATAATGCAACGTTGTTATCCTCTGGAGCGGACAATGTCGCAACAGTTTTTAACGTTTGTTTACGTTGCCTGTGCTAACGGTTTACGTTGGCGGACCACCAGTGGCAGATGATGAAATGAGCATGAGGTCAGATCAGTTAGCCCATCTTAGCAAATTGGAATTTACCACTATGGTTTCCAGGGGAAACCGCGTAGAAGTCAACGTGACATGGTACATTGTTAGCAATGGTGTTATTAGTCCACATTACTAACCATCCCTTACCCCGATTTTTATTATATTACTAACTGTCCCGGCAAACTGTTTTGCCCTATAAATTAATAACGCTATAAAAAATAGGGGTTGATGATAGAAGGGTGAAAATTTTGGATTGTATGTATTTTTGTATGTTGTATCATAAATAAAATAAAAATTTTTCTAAAAAAAAAAAAAAAGGGGGGATTACCCCTATCATTTAGGGGGATGAAAAATAGATGTTGGCCGATTCTCAGACCTACTCAATACGCTCACAAAATTTAATGAGAATCGGTCAAGCCGTTTCGGAGGAGTATGGGAACGAAAACTGTGACACGAGAATTTTATATATAAGATGAGGGACAGTGAGACTCTCCCAACTCCTCCGCGAGAAATTAATCCCCGAATCGCTGGCAGAAGTGCTTTTCTGGGCGATTCCTCGTGTTACTTCTACAGTACATAGACAGACACAGATAACATAAATATTATTCACAACTGTACATATTGTATACTAAGATTTATATCCTTTCAACAAGTTTTGTAATAATTACTTATATGTTTTGTTTAAGTTTCGGCACGTTTGGTCTTTTCTATCAACATATTGTTATATTATATTACTTGTGTATGTATTGACTGTTATGTGCCAAAATAAAAATAATATATATACTTAATCATAATAATCATAAGTAGTTTTTTTTAGAACAGTAAGGAGTGGAGATGGCGCCACTGTCGCTGAAAGTGATCCAGGACGAGGGCGCCGTGACTCGGACGGTGAAGTTCGAGTCCAAGTCGAAGGTGAGCACAGCGCTCGCCACCGTCAAGGAGAGGATACACACGGCAGACGATGGCAAAGGTATCACATGGTTAACAAATTTTTTTTCAGTACAATTTACACAGCTACATCTAAACCCAAGTTAAGCTAGCTAAAGCTTGTGTTATAGGTGCTAGACAACTGATACAAATACATAGATATTTTTATACATACATATTATAAATACAGGACACCCAGACCGACACAAACAGTCACACTCATGAATATAAAATGTTTGTGCCGTGAGAGGAATCGAACCCGCGACCATCGGAAGTAAAGCAGCGTGCTTAACCGTTAGACCACCGAGGTCGTTGGACTAGCCAAATTCTGGCTATAACAATCTTAATTAAAGATGGGTATAGCCAGAATTTGGCTATTTTTTACGAAATAGTCCGTTTACCTCTCTCTGTTTAAGTTGAAGATATTGAGGGTGCATTAACGAGATTTTATAGGGTAGTTTTATTAGAAAAACACACGTTTTTCATATTGGCTGAATTTGATATACAAAACTACAATTATATATACATCTCGCACCCCTCCTATCGATTCCCTTTCCAATACAAACGGGGATCGAAATTACGACGACCTGATCCGACATTAGACTTCCTAGCGATGCCCGCAACTAAAAGCGTATCCGTCAGGCGAGAGTTTTTTTTTTTATAACAGAAACGAGCATGCAGCTCACCTGATGGTAAGTGATTACCGCCGCCCATGAGCACCCGCAACACCAGGGGAATTGCAAGTACGTTATCGGCCTTTTAAAAAGGAATAAGCTCTTTTCTTGAAGGTTTCAATATCGTATCGGTTCGGAAATACCATTGCTGGAAGGTGATTCCACAATGTGGTTGTGCGTGGCAAAAGTTGGCCTTCAGCCTCTCCATAAGTCCTTCATTTGGTTTGGAGTGCCATCTGCACTCGCCCCCTATCGTCCGGTGAAGCTGTAAAGGCCAGCTGCGGCCAACAGCATTAGAGTAATCCGAAAAAAAAATTTACTATGTAATATTATCTTTGCTGTGGTTTTAATTTCTCACATATTTCATATACTTTTTTAATTATTTATATTAATTACATATATGTTTATGTAGAAATAATCTTTATTCAAATAAACTCATTACTTGAATACATATTTTTTTTTTGAACGCAGATTCATCACAAGAAGAATGAGCAGGAAGCTTGTGTGTTGCTCTTTTGAATAGATGTTTTTTTATATAATAATTACAGTATAACAAGAGGCATGCGATAATTAATAAAAATAAAAACACTCATTATTAGTGTAATCAGATAATATTGTCAGTGCTATGGATTTTAAGTTTTTCTATAAAAACATTATTGTCTATGTAATTGGAATATTTTGCTTTGCTTTTTCGTGGCCGAAAAATCGTAAGAATTTCACTTCAATAATAATTTGTTTGTAGAATACGCGCTGTTCCTCACATCGGCCGATGATGAGATGTCTGGTATCTGGCTGGAGGACCAACGGAACCTGGAGTACTACATGCTGAGAGATGGCGACACGCTGTATTACCTCTGCAAGACCAGGAACCTGAAAGTTAGGATGCTGGACGGTAAGTTTAACTGTAATAAAAAACACACCCCTACCACCCTACAGCAAGGTATATTACACTATCAGAGTCACTTGCTGTCGACATATATCCTACAGTTATAATCATAAATATTAATCATTATATAGTATAAAATAAAGTCACTGTCGCTGTCTGTCCCTATGTGTGCTTAAATCTTTAAAACTACGCAACGGATTTTGAAGCGGTTCTTTTTAATAAATAGAGTGATTCAAGAGGAAGGTTTATATAATACACTATCTGTCTCGGCAAACGTTGTTTTGCCTTAAAATAAAAAAAAAAATTGGGGTGCACTACCCCTAACATTTGGGGGGATGAAAAATAGATGTTGGCCGATTCTCAGACCTACTCAATACAATTACAAAATTTCATGAGAATCGGTCAAGCCGTTTCGGAGGAGTATGGAAACGAAAACTGTGACACGAGAATTTTATATATAAGATTTACACCCGTGCGAAGCCGGGGCGAATAGTTAGAAATATTATAAACGCGAAAGTATGTTCGTAACTCTGTCACGCAGAAACTACTGAACGTATTTTATTGAAACCGTGAAACCGCGGGCATGGCTAGTATTATACATATATATAGTAATGAATATAGTAACTTAGGCTACTAGATTTTTGAAATTGAAATTTTACTTATATAAATGTTAAATTCCGACCAGACAAAGCCGCTGGTAACAGTTAGTAGATAATATAATTTATATAAATTTATTACTATAAATATATATAATTTCATATTAAATTGTGACAATAAATTTTCGTTCACCACAATACGGAAGTTGTGGCGTACAAACATACTAACATTTAGCTAAAAATATTTGAAAGAAGTTTACACTTGTGTCTCTTATTAATTTCTTCTATTGTTATCACTATTCATCATCATTGAACAGCCTCGGTGGTCTAGTGGTATAACATAACGCTTTACTATCACATGGTCGCGGGTTCGATTCCTCGCACGGCACAAACATTTGTATTCATGAGTATGATTGTTTGTATCGGTCTGGGTGTCTTCTATGTATAATATGTATAATTGAGAAATTAAATCACTAATATTATAAAGTTGAAAAGTTTGTTTGTTTGTTTGAACGCTCTAATCTCAGGAACTACTGGTTCGAATAGAAAAAATATTTTTGTGTTAGATAGACCATTTGTCGAGGAAGGCTTTAAGCTATATAACATTACGCTACGACCAATAGGAGCGGAGCTGCAATGAAAAATATTGTAAAAGGTAGAGAAAGAAACGCAGACGAAGTTGCGCGGGTCACCTAGTGAATATATCACAGTTAACGCTGAACAGTTTTGACATCTCCGTCCGAGATAAAAATCTATCGACTTTTTCTTTATGATTAGCGGAAAGGACGTAATATTGCATTTTTCTAATGTACATTTGGTTCTTTCAAACATAAATTATTCACTCACCACTTTAAAGAACAAAAATCATTGTAGCAGGGAACACATATAATATAATAAGCATCTAAAACATGTACCAACTACACCATTTATGTACGTTATATATTTAAATATCATTAATAAATTTTATTATAATAAATTATCTCATTACATAACATTATACCTACTTAAATAATATACAAAATTTACTAAATACATTAATTAAAATTGCATTTATCTTTACATACATTTTTATACCTATTTATGAAATGGTCTTAATTTTAACGTTTTATTTTCTTTAGTAATATTTACGTACGCTCTCTCGTGTGTCGTGGCCCCACTGAAAATCAGCGCTGTGGTATATGTATACTGCAGTATAAATGCTGAGTGGGAGTCACATTCAGCGTTACTAGTTTTAGCTTCTAGCTTTTAAGTTGTATAGTATATAAGATAAATTCTTTCGCTGTGTACGCCGTGCGACTGTGGAACTCACTACCATCCTCCATACGTAGCGCTCAATCATTAGCTATTTTTAAAAATGCTGTAAAATCACACTATCTCTCTCATTAAATTGTCTTTCTACTATCCTTTCCTTTCTTCTAAATTGTCTCTTTCTTATTTGCACATTGCTTAGTTACTGTGTATTATTACTAATTTACTTTTTAAATTTTATATTTATATTATGTATAATGTATGTATATTTATTTATGTTATGTGTATATATATATATATATATATGGATATATATGACATATTACTATTATTATTCATGTCCATTCATTCTATCTTGCGCCATCTACCACCTTCTGTCTTTTCTCCTCTACCCAAAGGTTGTCTGGAAGAAATCGCTTTAGCGATAAGACCGCCTTTTGTGCCTAGCCTACCTTCCTGTACATTATGAATATTGTTTTTTCTTTGGATTGTTTTTAAGGTGCAATAAAGAGTTATAAATAAATAAATAAATAAATAAATAAATAGCATCTAAGAATACTGTAATGCTGAATAAATGTCTTTATTATTCTTATTATTATTATTTGCCCCCGTTAAGGTTCTATGAAGACGCTGCTGGTGGACGAGTCAAAACCCGTGGAGGAGTTGATGGTGAACATCTGTGCCAGAATTGGCATCACCAACCACGACGAATACGGACTGGTATGAATAACTACTGGATGATGTTTTGGGGACAGTAATATGTTGTCGGTGAGACAGGAACAGGGCAGGAAATAGAATAGAATAGAATAGAATAGAAATAATTTATTCAAGTAAACTTACATCGAAGCACTTTTGAATAGTCATTACATTTTTTTAATCTACCGCTCATTCGGAAAGCTATCTCATCACAAGAAGAACGAGCAAGAAACTTGCGTGTTGCTCTTTTAAATAATTTTATTATTACTTTACATTTTTAAGTTTAAGTGTGTGAATACAAACCACCAATTAGCACTAATTCTATTAAATACTCAATAGAAAAAATATTGAATATATAACCAACTGGTTAAACAATTAATAAGAGGAAATCAGTCATAGTGATTAGAGCAGACCAGTCCCTACAAGCATGGGATGTTGCGGATGGAATCCACGGATGTAAATGCGAATGCGGATCTTTTGGGTTCACATCTGCAGATGCGGATGCGGATTTTGATTTTATTTACAAAAAATGATATATATAGGTGCAGAAATAAAGTAACAATAATAAACTAATTTTTCCTACAAGATATGTAATGTTTAATTTACGGTAAACAAATTACACTATAACAAACGCGTCGAAATTTGTTATCGAACGAAACTTAGCTCCTATTGAAATAGAAATAGAAATAATCTTTATTCAAATAAACTCATTACAAGCACTTTTGAATAGTCATATGTTTATTCTACCACTCATTCGGAAAGCTAATTCATCACAAGATGAATGAGCAACATACTTGTGTGTTGTTCTTTTGAATAGATGTTTTTTTTTATATAATAATTACAGTATAACAAGTAAGAGGCATGCGATAATCAACATAGAAATCGCTATGCACTCATTATTAGTATAATCAGATAATATTGTGAGTGCTATGGATTTTAAGTTTTTCTATAAAAACATTATTGTCATTAAAAATTCTTCAATGTTATAGTAAGTTTTTTTCCAAATATTGGTCAATGAGCACGCGATGATCGCCGACTCCACGAAATTTCTTTCTTGTATTTCTACAACTTTCTACTTGTGCGACATCCGCATCCGTATCCGATTATTGCGGATGCATAAGTGGTTGCGGATGTGTAAATTGACGCGGAAGTCCCGCATTTGCGGATGTAGATATGAATATTCGCGAAATCCATGGTTGAGACGATGTATATTAACAGATGAGAGGTCAAACTTGTCTGCTCTGAGAACAATGACTTAATTTGATACTCAAGCATACTATTATTTAATTATGTTATATTTGCTATTTTAGCAGTTTATATCCACACAAAATTATTAAAAAATTAATTCTGAACACCATTTATTTAAAAGAGCAACACTCATGTTTTTAACTCATTCTTGTGATGAGTCTGCGTTCCGAATGAGTGGTAGATATTATTGATATTGTATTGGGAAGATTCGAAATTGTTAAAGCGGTTCCCTAGGGATATGTATCCCGAGAGATATATTCCTTCGATAAGACTGTCGTCACAGATCACGGGCAAAGTAAGGAGTTACGAGCGTACCTGGCTTTCTGCTATGGCGTCTTGGTGCAGGAATCGATGATCGACGACGATGATGATCGATGAACTGATCACACACACAACACGCGCGGCGGAAATTAGTGTATATACACCTTGAATATTGCACACTATCTATATACACCTTGACAATTCAATAGTTTATTAAATCGTAGTGATTCAATTATTATAAAACGTAATTATGTGCGAGCGGCGTTTCTCAGACACGAGCGGGAAACGAAGAAGTAGCGCCATCTTTCTTTCCATCGATGGCGCGGGCGTACTCGGCTCCTTTCGGCCCTAGATCGTGAGTATGTCTGTCCTTGTCTATTACACGAGATGTGCATTTAAACTAGTTGTGGCGCAAATATTCCCCCGGCCTTAAAGGGTTGCCTTTAAAAAAAATATACATATATATACCACTGGGAAATGAATAGCAGTATGCGGAAGATATATATAAATAAAATGAGCGGTATATTAATGCGTATAAGATTAATCATAAGCGGGAAGTTATCTGAGGTTATGTGAATACGATATATGAATGAAAGTTATATATAACTAAGCTAAATCTAAATTTTACTTATATTAAATATATAACTATTGATGCGGCAATGGGCACAAACGAACTACCGGGCGAAGGTAGCTACCCTTTGAAGTCCTAACAGTGACCACTCGCGTAGTTCCGTCTTTGGAAGGATGTACCTTTTCAACGACAGCTAATGGCCATGAAAAGGGCGGTGCGTTATCTATTACTAAAATTACAACAGTACCCTCCTTAATGGGAACTGATGGAAGATTCCATTTAGCGCGTGTCTGCAATTGATGCAGATACTCCATTCGCCACCGGCGCCAGAAAGACTGTACAATGCTATCCAGAAGGGAATGGCGTTGATTTAAATCGTGCGTGTTAGCTTCTGGCGCAGGAATGGATGAAAGAGGGACAGTATTTAAAAAATGAGCCGGCGTAAGAGCAGACGGCTCAGCGGGGTCACTACTTCTAGCTGTGAGTGGACGCGAATTAATAAGTGCCTCAACCTGAGAAAGCACTGTTATAAGTTCCTCATAAGAGAGAATTTGTGATCCTATCACCTTAAATAAATTATTTTTAACTATTTTTACGATGCTTTCCCAACTTCCACCGAAGTGGGGAGCAGCGGGAGGAATAAATTTCATACTAATGCGATTTTCTGAAAGTTCTAATTCTAAATGCGGGCGATATTCATCAAGAAACTTATATAAATCGCGAAGATACTTGCGAGCACCCACGAAACATGTTCCATTGTCCGTATATAAACAGTTTATCGGGACTCGGCGAGATAAGAATCGTTTAAGTGCGGATAAGAAACTAACCGTGCTTAAATCAGTAGCAACTTCAATATGAGTAGCACGGGTTGTCAGACAAGTGAAAATACATAGCCATGCTTTGCGGCCTTTAACCCCCGACCACGAATAGGTGTGTACTGTAAGGGACCGGCATAGTCACAGCCTACATGCGTAAATGCCTTATCAACTTGAGTGACGCGGTGGCTCGGTAGATCGGCCATGAGTGGAAACGTAGGGCGCGGTTTTATTTTAAAACAAGCGTTACATTTATGAATGCGATAACGTATTAAGCGGCGAGCGGACAGGATCCAGTACTTCTGCCTGAGTAAGGACATAAGTAACTCTGGTCCTGCATGAAGATGCTTCTTATGATAAAAATCGATAAGAATATCGATAACATGATCGCGGCGCGGTAAAAGTAGAGGATACTTAGTGCAGTAATCCTCAGCGGAACTTGACAAGCGACCACCGACGCGGATGACATCGTCCTTGTCTATAAATGGTCGGAGCTTGTTTAAAGCGGAAGAACAATATTTATTATTTTTTAAATTATTAAACTCATGTGCAAAATATACTTCTTGCACGGCGCGGATTAACTTTATTTCAGCAAAATCTAAGTCTTCACTCGTAATAACAGTATTACGAGGAAGGCGTTTAATAAATTTATATATATATACAATAGTCCGTAATAATTTAGAATATACAGAAAAGCGTTGAGATAGCGCGTAAAGTAGTGATTCAGAGGTATTTGAAATTAATGTGTGTATAACAGTCCGTTGTTCGGGAATGTCTTCATTCGATAAGTCGTGATTGACAACAAGTGGCCACTCGGCCGGGTTACTTAATACCCATGAAGGTCCGGTGTACCATAGCGGATGGTTTACTAGCTTGTCTGGTGTGAGTCCACGAGACAGGCAGTCTGCAGGATTATCGGAACCAGCAACGTGATAGAAACAGTCTGCCGGGACGTTATCGATAGTTTGTACTACCCGATTGGCAACGAAAGTTTGCCAGCGGTGCGGAGAAGAGTGGATCCAACAAAGAGCCACTTTTGAATCACTAAAGGCGTATATATTATTCACAGGATACCGTGGTGCGATAGTATCAACAACCTTACGAAGTAGTTTTGCGAGTAATACGGCTGCGCACAATTCTAATCTCGCGATGGATACAATTTTTACAGGCGAGACCTTTGACTTGGCGCATAATAATTGAACAAAATATTTATTATCAACCTGAATGTGTAGGTAGACTACACCGCCATAAGCACGTTCACTAGCGTCAGCAAATCCTAAAATATTCAATTGACAATCCTCAACCACACCTAAGTGTCGCGGTATGCGAAGCCTATTAAGCGAGGGCAGTTCTAAACAGAACTGTCTCCAGGCTGCGATGATATGATGCGGGGGTTGAGCATCCCAATCACATTTCAACAACCAGAGTTCCTTAATAAGGAGCTTGGCGTACAAAATAGCGGGAGCCACGAAACCTAAAATGTCCCATAAACGGGCAACAGCGGAGAGAATAGCGCGCTTAGTACATATAGCGTCTGGCGTGATTACCTTGAACTTAAAAGAATCATTAGAGTTATCCCAAAATAGACCTAAGATCTTGTGCGGGGTGGAATTATCGAATGATTTGTCACTGAGGGTTTTGTGTGTATCCGGGATGTGAGCAAGCACGTCGCGGGAGCTGCTCGTCCACTTTACGAGATCAAACTGTGCCATTTTAAAAAGTGCAATAAGTTCGTTGCTAATGGTAATAGCCTGTTCATCTGTCATAACAGAAGATACGATATCATCCATATATAGTGCAGACGAAGCAACAGCGGCAGCAGCAGGGAATTTATCCCCTTCATCTTCAACTAGTTGTTGAACAACGCGGAGCGCGAGAAATGGACTCGACCTCAGTCCGAAGCATACACGATTAAATTCATATTCAGTCACAGGATCATCGGTGCTGAAGCGGTACAAAATTCGCTGAAACCTACGATCGGGTTCGCGTACAACTATTTGATGAAACATTTGAAAACAGTCGGCGGAAATACAAACTTTAAAAAGACGAAAGTTAATTAAAATACTAAATAAATCACCCTGTAGGTTGGTACCACTATGCAATATATCATTTAACGAACGACCAGATGTCGTTTTACAACTGGCATCTAAAACCACGCGCAATTTAGTGGTGACCTTATCCTCTCGTAGCACTCCGTGATGTGGAATGTAGTACGAGGGTATAAGTGAATTGTCTTGATGCGATTTAACTGGACTTAAATAGCCCTTATCAATATATGCGCGAATTACTTCGTTATAAGAAAAACGAAAATGAGGTGACGCTTCCAACTTACGTTCTAGACATAAGTAACGTCTATGTGCGGCAGCGAAAGAGTCACCTAAGGAGAACACGTCCTCTCGAAACGGCAGGGATACGATATATCTACCACTATCATCACGAGTAGTGGTGGCGCGAAAATAATGTTCACACTCGAGATCATCTGCACTCTGAGCGGGCGGCGCGGATATCTCCTCCAATTCCCAAAAACTTTGGAAGAGAGTGTCCATACGATCATGAATCACGGAACAACATGACGTTGTATATGCGGTATTTAATAATGCGGAATTAGGCGATGCGGAATTAAAAGTGGGTACGGAACCCATGATTACAAACCCTAATACGGTTTGTATCGCAGGCGGAATATTACGATGCTTGCTATGCACAATACCCGGCAATAGCAAGTACGGGAATATAGAACTACCTATAAGTACGTCTATATTACTAGGAATGGCAAACTCGCCGTCTGCCAGCGGTGGGTTTTTAATGTGTGAAAATGCGGCGGTATTGACAGGAACGGAAGGCAAACTGTCCGTAATACGGTCAACAACAAGCGCGGAAATATTAAAGCGAACATTAAAATTAAAACGAGAAAATATATTAAATTCTACTGAACCCTTAACGTTTTTTTGTGAGCCACCAATACCCTTTACCATCGTAGATGAATATTTTAATTCATTTAATAAACCTAAGCGGTCACAACATTCATCAGTAATAAAATTACTTTGGGACGCACTGTCCAATAAACATCGAACTAAGTGTTGTTTACCTAATGCGTCATACACAATAACGCGTGCAGTTGCTAGTAGCACAGTTTTGTTACTGAGCGCGCAAAGTGACAGACCACTCTGCTTGGCCACGGCCTCGCCACTGTGTGACGGGAGCGGGGGTGAGGCCATGCTACTACGGGGCGCGGGCGCATCGCGCGCGGGCAGCGAGCCCCGATCCGTAACAAAATGTAGCAAAGAATGATGGCGCTTTTGACATGCACGACACGAAGATTTGCAGAGAACGTACCCTAAAATATATTCCTATCACAGAGATGAAATACTAAACCCATCGATTTTTTTTTTAAATATTTTTAACTTATCCACTTTGGTGGCAGAAACATTTAATGATCTACAAACACCTGACTTATGCTTGGTACTTAAACAATTTACGCATGAATTGTTAGCTTTAATATGTTTATAACGATCGAGAGGTGACAATTTTTCGAATGCACTACATTTATAAAAATGATCATGCATATTACTATTACAAAGTGAACATTTTATAGGTGTTACACTTGAAACATAAGACTGCGGGTCCGGGTACTTAGCAGGCGGGCGGTATTTATTAGTAGGCGGGCGGTATTTATTTGACTCTGTACTGGTGGCGGGCGCGGGTTGTGTATTTTCATATATGCGGCATTGTGTTTTTATAAAATTAATAAATCCGTCAAAATCACGTGATTTTGTTATAGAAGAGTGTAATTCGAACGCGCGTAATGTTTCTGAATCGAATTTACGTTTTGCAATATATAATAAAATGAAATCAGATAATTGTTTCCCAAATTACCCTAAATTCGGGAATTCTTATACCTAAGCCCTTTAATGACATAGCGGCGGTGACATACTTATCTATAAATAATTGAAAACTTGCGGCGGAAGGCATTTTGCCTAATTTAAGATTTAAAATCTGGTCTAAGTAATTAGAACCGAGAACGTGAATATCTTGATACTTATCAAGCAGAGACTTAAATATAATTTCATAGTTTTCGGCGCAGGGTGTAATACCTGCAAATACCGATTGTACTTTGGGTGATAACTTACCCAGTAAATAATACAGTTTTTCTGAGTTTGTAAGTGAGGAGTTGTCATGGACAGTAGATTTGTAACTAGCGTAAAATAAATTCCAATCTTGATAATTGCCGCTGAAGGAGACTAATTCCAGGGGGGGGGAGCCTGGGCCTAGATACAGGTGCATCTATCCCACACGAATTCCCACCCGTGGGCGCAGAAGAAAGATTAGAAAATGTCTGTTTAATTGAACAAAACAAATCTTCAAATGAGTCATATACATGAAAATTAGGTACGGCAGAAGGATTCTCATCAAGCATCCTACTATTATATTCATCAAGTACATCTTGAAACTTATTACGAACGTCATCGATGGTTATACATGAACTAAGAAACATACGTCTTTTTTCTTCCGATTCCGTAGCCGACTTCGACTTATCGTAAATACTTTGTATTCGTTGAAATAAAGCATTACGTTTAGCTTCTAACATAATAAGTTGACGACTAGGTGAAAAGGTAGGCGCATCTTTATCTTTACGTGACATATCTAATGATTTAACGCAATATAACTATAGGTAATTATACAGTGACCTGTCAATAGACAGCGTAAGCGGACAGTAACGAAAATAAAAATTATATGTAGGTATGTAGCGAGAACACGGTTAAGTGTTGCGTAGATTACTATATAAAATATAATGGAATGCGGGATATAGACATTTATATTTGTATATTATAGGTGTGCGGGATGTACAAGTATATTATGTATAATATAGTTATAGGATACAATTTTAAGACTATACTATAAATGCGGTGATATAAATATTTATTATCTAAAGAGATAATACAGAGGAATGCGGGATATCATATGGTATTCTATAGCGGTATATAATAAATATGTTTATAAATAATAAACTATTACACATATAGGTGCTTGGTTGCGGTATAATATAAAGAAATAACAAGGCAATCCTATATGGCTACGCGGGTATGTCTGAGAAACAAATAAGTAATATAAGACTAAATAAGCGGATTTTATATTATCAATTTTGAAAGCGGTTTCTTAATAATAATATTAAACGAAGGACCTTGCGAATAAATAGCAAAAGGGGTACGTTATTAAATGTAACTCAATTTAAAAATAGCAAAATATCCGGCTCGAAGGACCAAAAAATGTTAAAGCGGTTCCCTAGGGATATGTATCCCGAGAGATATATTCCTTCGATAAGACTGTCGTCACAGATCACGGGCAAAGTAAGGAGTTACGAGCGTACCTGGCTTTCTGCTATGGCGTCTTGGTGCAGGAATCGATGATCGACGACGATGATGATCGATGAACTGATCACACACACAACACGCGCGGCGGAAATTAGTGTATATACACCTTGAATATTGCACACTATCTATATACACCTTGACAATTCAATAGTTTATTAAATCGTAGTGATTCAATTATTATAAAACGTAATTATGTGCGAGCGGCGTTTCTCAGACACGAGCGGGAAACGAAGAAGTAGCGCCATCTTTCTTTCCATCGATGGCGCGGGCGTACTCGGCTCCTTTCGGCCCTAGATCGTGAGTATGTCTGTCCTTGTCTATTACACGAGATGTGCATTTAAACTAGTTGTGGCGCAAACAGAAATGATATCTCGATGCAGATGTACTTGTTTTATTTCGTTCTCCAATTACATTAATTGCACATCTCACTTATATTAATTTTTAGATAGAAAGATAGATAATTGATTTATTGCCAATATAACACAAAGAATACAGTTTACAATAAGACACAAAATGAGAAATAAATAATAAAATAGAAAGTTGGCAATAGGAGATGCCACAGCTGTTGCTGATATAAGCACAACCTCAGTGAGGTGCACCTATACACCGCTGGTTTTCAGGCAGCCACCGTTACTCATAAAAAAACGAAGATTTTTACTATATACAGATACATATACATTTATTATATTAAAAATAACAAATATATATATATATATATTAAATAAGATCTAGGATACACTAATATCTAAATATATATAACTCAAAGGTGACTGACGTAGTGATCTATCAACGCACATCCCAAACCACTGGACGGATCAGGTTGAAATTTGGCATGCAGGTACATCTACCTGACTTTATGATGTAGGCATCCGCTAAGAAAGGATTTTGATTAATTCTATTCCCAAAGGGATAAAATAGGGGATGAAAGTTTGTATGAAACTTTGTCAATTTTAAACCGATCGGGATGAGACTTTGCATGCATAAAGCTACTATAACGTAGGCATCCCCTAAGACAGGATTTTGATAAATTCCACCCCTAAGGGGACAACGCGAGCGAAGCCGCACGCAAAAGATAGTACATATATATACAATGAATTATATTTTATAATAAGAATATAACTTATATCATAGATCGGCTGCCTTCAAACGAGAATGGCCTATCCGTCCTTCTTTTTTCCTGCATGTTGGTGGTGGCATTACAGTGTCGCCACCAACATCACAATAACATCCTTACTCTATGGTTCTATATTTGAAATTCAAGTAATAAATTACTTTCTCTATACATTGAAGCTAACAATAGTTAGACGATTTCTAACACGACTAATTTTAAGGTAAATAGAGGTATTTACATCTCTTGATGTTTCGATTAGGTTGCACTAGCCGTGGTCACCAGGTGACTGGAGTCACTGAGTGGTAGTATAAAAAAAAGTTTGTTTGAATAAAAATTATTTCAATTATTAAAAACACATTGTATTTTGTGACAATAGGTAGGTACATATAATATAACGTTAAATAAGATTTACCATAGGTAGACTATCATCATCATTATCATCGCAGCCCGGAAGACGTCCACTGCTGGACTGGATTAGACTGTAAATAACAGTCTAATCTAAACTACAGTTTTGAGTTTATCATCTATCCTTATTTAGTGCCGTGATGAGGGTGATGAAGAGGAGAAACCGGCACTAGGCACGAGCACAGGAACCCTCACGCTGAGGAAGGTGAAACAGCCGAAGGAGAAGGATGCCAAGCTGGAGCACCTCAGCAAGAAGCTCAAAACTGATGACAATGGTGAGAGCTCTTAAAATTTATCTATACACATAAATAAAATTGGAGTGTTTGTTTGTAATATTGAAATAGTCGTTTTTTACTACATGCATATGAATATAAATGCGGTACCAAAATAACATTTTTTACAATTTTTGTCTATCTGTTTGTTCCGGGTAATCTCTGAAATGGCTGGACCGATTTTGACGGGAGTTTTATTGACAGGTAACTGATGTAATAAGCAGTAACTTAGGCTACTTTTATTTTGGAAAAAATCTTTAATTTCGAAAAATAAAGTTAAATTCCATGAGGATGAAATCGCGCGAACAGCTAGTCAGAATACGGTGAAAATTTAAGACTGTATGTATTTTTAATGCAACAAAATAAAAAAATAAAAATAAAAACACTTTCGAAAAAATTAAAAAAAATATTTGGGTGAGCCGCCCTTAACTCTCTGGGGTATAAAAAATTGTTATAAACCTATTCTCAAACCTACAGAATATACGTAATAAAATTTCATCTAAATCGGTCAAGCAGTTTCGAAAAAGCATATATAAACACGAAACATGTGACACGAGAATTTTATGTATTAAATAGATACTATTGAACCCGCGACCATCGAAAGCGAGCCGATGTGCTGAACCGCTAGACCGCCGAGCGTGTCAAAAATCATAAAACTTTGGTACCCATCAGTGCAATGGTTGGCGAAACACAAGACGCTCCGCGAGATGGGCATCGGTCCGAAGCAGGCGCTGTTGCTGAAGCGGCGGCTGTTCTACTCGGACCGGAATGTGGACGCGCGGGATCCGGTGCAGCTGAACCTGCTGTACCTTCAGGCCAAGGATGCCATCCTCAACGGGAAGCACCCCGTCACCGAGGACAAAGGTCAGTCCCTGCATGATCATCTCTTATTTCTATGAATATGTGTACGATACGCGCGAATCCTCGTCTGATGGTATATATTGTAAATATTATACCATAAAATTTTATTTAATTTTGTAAGTCATCCTGAATAATTTATTTATTTATTTTAATTCGGATTACATCCATATTGTGTTAGTAAAGAACTTACAAAACTATGTTAGTAACTTATATTATACAGATACACTTAATTCTTATATCAGTGTTCACGTCCAGAAGCACTGGGTCCACAATGCAACGATATCCAGTGCCTCTGGAGCGGGCAATAATATTTAGATATGTTTATTTATTATGTTTTAATTCATAACTATAATTATTATTTCGAATTTCAAAGTACAAATCTAAATCTAAAATAACAATGCCAAATTATAATACCAATACCAATAAAACCAATATTAATTTCCGAATTGAACTACAGTAACGGTCATTCATCAAAAAATTCGTCAACGGAGTGAAAGCATTTTTTTAATAAATATTTTTTAAGTTTAATTTCGAAATTGGTTTTATAAATAGTATATTTTAAATCATTATACTATCACTATATATTATATATATATATTTGAGTTTCTTTTTGTCAATTTTTATAGAATAGAATAGAAAATGATGTCTTCAAATAAACTTACATCGAAGCACTTTTGAATAGTCATCACATATTTTTTAATCCATCGCTCATTCACAGAAAGCTGTCTCATCACAATATTACTTAGCTGATGTAATGTAGGGTAGTATAGTATATTATTTAGCTGTTGAAATAGAAATAGAAATAATCTTTATTCAAATAAACTTAATATAAGCACTTTTGAATAGTCAAGTTTCTTTATTCTACCGCTTATTCGGAATGCAGATTCATCACAAGAAGAATAAGCAAGAAACTTGCGTGTTGCTCTTTTAAATAATTTTATTCTTACTTTACAATTTAAATTTAAGTGTGTGAATACAAGTTACCGATTAGCGTTAATTCAATTAAATAATCAAATAGAAAAAATATTGAATACACAACAACTGGTTAAACAATTAATAAGAGGAAATCAGTCATAGTGATTAGAGCAGACCAGTCCCTACAAGCATGTTTTCTTTGTTAATAGTAATTTAGAACTCAACTTGCTATCGTCGTAGTCGATCCCTTATTGTATTAAGTAATCTATACTTATAATAAATCTGTGGAGAGGTCAATTCTGTACATGAAATATATTTCCAAAATAACAACCCCCTAACAGGGGGTGATCACTAATCACCCCCTGTTAGGGGGTGATTAGTGATCGATACTGATGCCAAAATTACAATCAGTAAAAAAATTGTCTGTTTGTCTGTGTGTATGTTCGTTATAGAAACAAAAACTACTCAACGGATTTTAACAAAACTTGGTACAATTATTCTTCATACTCCCGGGCAGGTTATAGTATACTTTTCATCACGCTACGATCAATAGGAGCAGAGCAGTGAAGGGAAATGTTAGGGAAACACATCAAAAGTTACACACATGTTTATTTTATGTTTATTTTTTAATTATGGTAAATTAAGTTTAATTATATGTACATTTTATTTGCTCTTTTTTTTCGTTTGTTGTTTATATTGTATTTTTTACATTGCACTGAATAAAATATTTTTCTTCTTTCTTCTTCTTCTTCTTAAAAAACCACTGAACCGTGAGGAAGGACATAGGCTATTTATTTTACGAAAAACGACGGAAATACAGACGAAGTCGCAGGCAACAGCTAGTCTGCTAATAAAGGTTATAATAGAATAGCAGAGAGGGTGGACTCACTGCCCTCACTGAGTTATAGACCGTTTTGTTTCCTTCATTATTTTTAAATTTTATTATTGTATGGGGAGCAATTGTATTAGTTTTTGTTTGCGACAAATAAAGTTGATTTTTTTATATAAATATATATATAATAGCTGTGCCCGCGACTTGGTCTGTAATAGCAGTGGCACGTCGTGGGAAAGTAGCCATTATTATTGCTAAAAATTGCATATAGATGGCGTGATTGGTATCGATGGAATTCTTCATAGTTTTGCAAACGTTTTAAAAAACAAAACTGTGGTAATAGTATCCTAGACCAAATGAAAAAAAAATGTTTTGTAATCTAACCCATAAAAGATAAATAAATATTTCATCGTTCCAGCTTCAATTTATATCATTACTAGCTACTGGCCCCGGCTTCGCCCGGGTGTACATGTATTATACATATAAACCTTCCTCTTGAATCACTCTATCTATTAAAAAAACCGCTTCAAAATCCGTTGCGTAGTTTTAAAGACTGAAGCATACATACGGACGGACAGACAGCGACAGCGACTTTGTTTTATAGTTATAAGTATTACGGTTCTAGCTATATAAATTACGATTCTAAATATATATAACTCAAAAGTGACTGACATAGTGATCTATTAACGCACAGCCCAAACCACTGGACGGATCGGGCTGAAATTTGGCATGCAGGTAGATGTTATGACGTAGGCATCCGCTAAGAAAGGATTTTGATTAATTATACCCTCAAGTTGAGCAAATACGGGATGAAAGTTTGTATGAAACTTTGTCAATTTTAAACCGATCGGGCTGTGACTTTGCATGCATAAAGCTACTATGACGTAGGCATCCCCAAAGAAAGGATTTTAATAAATTCCATCCCTAAGGGGATAAATTAACGCTAGCGAAGCCGCGGGCAAAAGCTAGTTTCCATATAAACTTTCATCTCTTCTATTTTATTTTACCCCCTTAGGGGTAATATTTTTACAAACTTTGAATGTAATATTAATTTTTTATTTATATTTAAACAACAACCTAAAAGATAAGCTTCTTTGCTTCTTGAAAAGTAAAATGACATAAACATCTTATTAAATACAATCTGTGACTCAAAGATTTGCTCTTTACTCGAACTAGAACTAAATAGCTGCGAACTAAACTCGTTCCCCCTTAGGGGTAATATTTTTACAAACTTTGAATGTAATATTAATTTTTTATTGATATTTAAACAACAACCTAAAAGATAAGCTTCTTTGCTTCTAAGATTTGAAAAGTAAAATGACATAAACATCTTATTAAATACAATCTGTGACTCAAAGATTTGATCTTTACTCGAACTAGAACTAAATAGCTGCGAACTAAACTCGTTCCGTGTCTCGAACTATGCGGTGTGGAATGTTTTCCATTGATATACCTATAGTGAGTATATATTGGGCCCGACCCGAGCTTTGCCGAATCGATCGCCACCCGACGGGACCGACCGCGCCGACACGAACACGACGCTCAGTCAGAAACTCGCTACAGCGACGACCGAAGCTCCAACATGTTCAACGAGAGATTGGACATTAAATTGATACAACTCGTCAAAGATAACCCGGTTTTGTACGATTTCAACAATGCAAAATACATGGACTTTAACTCGAGAGAGGTGGCGTGGCAGAGGATAGGGGACGAGCTGAAACGACCCGGTGAGTTTTGTTATTTTACTGTGCTCCTTTACAATTTACGACGTAGATCCTACCACGGTTTGTAAACTCACGGATCGTCTTACGACTTGCTAAACTAAAATTCATGTCGAATATTGTAAGACATTTTGTTGTGACTATTATATTTGATTTTGTGGTCATATAAAATATATATCTTATATATAAAATTCCCGTGTCACAATGTTTGTTACCATACGCCTTGATCGATTTTTATGAAATTTTATATGCGTATTCAGTAGGTCTGAAAATCGGATACTATCTATTTTTCATACCCCTAAGTGGTAAGGGATATCCACCCCTAAATATATTTGTTTTATTTTTCGACATAATATTTTGTTTTCATTTTATTATTATTTAGGAATGATAAATACATACAATCCTAAATTTTCACGCTTCTAGCATCAACCCCTATTTTTAATAGCGATTTTAATGTATATGGCAACACAACGTTTTCGGGGCCAGCTAGTGTAACTATAGCGGTAAATTATTATTATTCTTGCAAAATTTTTTATTGTCGTAATTTTATAACTATTTCTCAATTTATATGAGTAATCATTTTGAGTGTCTTTTGCAAAACTTAATAATAACTTTTGTTCAAATGTTTAATTCTTACTAAACACTTTAAATTTCTCACAGTTTCTTTACCACAGTAGGTACTAACTGATACGCGGACGGACGTATAGACTTTAAAAGTTGTACCATAGGGCTGTTTGTCTGTTTGTATTTATACCATTGAAATATATTTTTTTAACAAATATGTTTATTTATTTGTTGGGTTGTTTTCAGCTGCCGATTGCAAGGTCAGATGGATAAACATAAGAGATGTGAACAGGCGTATAATAAGGAAAAGTTTACAAAATCCCAGTTCTCACTCCAGGCTTTACAAGTACGAGAGTGAGCTGTCGTTTATGAGGCCATTCTACAGAGACATATTGATTCAAAATTCAGAGTTCGAATCTGACGATAAGAGCGATAAGGATTGGAATATGGAGGAATGTGATGTACAAATAAATTGTTCAAACGAGAGCGACGATTCTGACAATGATGTTAAAAAAAAGAGAAACTCAAGGAAAAGAAAGAAAAAGGCGTACGACGAAGAAGACAAGCCAACCACTTCTACTTTTAGCGAGGCTGTAACGCCAGCTGATTTCGATCCCGCGGACCCGGTAGACGCCTTTCTGCTCAGTATCGGAGCAACATTGAAGACGTTTTCGCCGTACCACCTGAACTTGGCTAAAACTAAAATATTTTCCGTTGTACAAGAGCACGATTTGCAGCAAATTGTTCAGAAATCAAATGAGGTTAAAGTGTGTACAACAGAAACACTGTATCTTTCGCAATTAGGATAATAATAATCTCAAGATAATTCACACAGCGCCATCTAGACCCAAGTTAAGCTAGCTTAAGCTTGTGTTATGGGTACTAGACAACTGATATAAATATAAATTCGTAAATACCTACATATTATACATAGAAAACACCCAGACCGACACAAACAATCATACTCATGAATACACACGTTTGTTCCGTGCGAGGATCGAACCCGCGACCATCGGACGTAATGCGGTGTGCTAAACCACTAGACCACCGAGGTCGTCATACTAATAATATACATACGTCGTCATATAATATAGATACAAATTGGAATTTTTACTCCTATGAGACTATAAAAGAGCGTTTAAGATATTTTAATGATGTGTTAAAATAGTTCTACAAGCTATATTAAGATCAACGAAAAGATTTTACCTTAAGTAAGCCTAAGCTATCTTTACATCGCTTTCACTGTCAATTCGCATAGACTTTTTAAACTACGTTACAGATTTAATTGCAGTTTTTAATAATAGACATTGTTTCAAAAGGAATAGAATAGAATAGAAAATTATTTATTCAAATAAACTTAATTTAAGCATTTTTGAATTGTCAACAATTTTTCTTTTAAATCTACCGCTTATTCGGAAAGCTCATCACAAGAAGAATAAGCAAGAAACTTGTGTGTTGCTCTTTTAAATAATCCTTGTAAGTTCACGTTTAGAGATTCATAAGGAAGATTTATAATATTATTTATATTATTAACCGGGTCTTAACACGAATATTTTATGGCAAATAAAGGTATTTATTTACCTCTCTCGACGTTTCGACTAGGTTGCACTAGCCGTGGTCACGAGCTGACTGGAACGTCGAGAGAGGTAAATACCTTTATTTGCCATAAACCTCTCTCGACGTTTCGACTAGGTTGCACTAGCCGTGGTCACGAGCTGACTGGAACGTCGAGAGAGGTAAATACCTTTATTTGCCATAAACCTCTCTCGACGTTTCGACTAGGTTGCACTAGCCGTGGTCACGAGCTGACTGGAACGTCGAGAGAGGTAAATACCTTTATTTGCCATAAACCTCTCTCGACGTTTCGACTAGGTTGCACTAGCCGTGGTCACGAGCTGACTGGAACGTCGAGAGAGGTTTATTTACCTTTATTTGCAATAAAATATTCGTGTTAAGACCCGGTTAATAATTTAAATAATGTATATTAAACACGAAAGTTTAAAAGATTTATAATGTTTATATGTATAGTACATCCAAGCCGGGCGGGTAGGTAATTAAAATGAACATATTTAGCTAGTCTGAATATAGCTTCCTCAGACGGATCGGCTGAGATATAATACAATGAGTGATGATACTGTCCTAGCCCTTCCGGCTTCGGGACTTAAGGACCGGCCGCTTCAAGGACTCCTACGTCTTTCAAGTGCTCTCATGTGACTAGCATATCCCAACTTATTTTTAAAAGTTCGCGCACATTTTTGTCATGTTAAGATATTATTTATGTAAATGTAATTTATAGCCATTGGTATGTTTTTTTTATCTGAGAATCACTGAAGTGTTTTTTTTATATGAGTAAGTACATTTATAGAATTTACTTTTAAATAAAATAGATTTAACTGAACTAATAAATTGATTTGTGATATGTATTCAAGTACTGAAGTCAATATTAATAAATTATAATAAATAATACATATGTATTTACTTATGTTGACTAGAATGTGATGATGATGCAAAAAATAAATTATTATTAAAAATAATTTTGTGTATTTCTTGTTATATTTAAAATAATTGAATTTATTTCTACGGATTATATTTTACTAATAAAAACAAGTCACAATTATGGGTTTATCTAAGAAGAACTGGCTAAAATGTGACAACGTATCTACAAGGCAGCGTAATTATACCTTTTTTTCGAAGCATAGAGGGATCTAAAAATCTTTTTAGTAAAAAAAAACTGATTTTTTTTTAAAGCCGGCTACAGAGATCTAAAAAAACTAACATGAAGGTAACAAAAATGTCCAAATAAAATAAAAAACCAAGGGCAGCAGTAGTTAGGTCGCGGACTAAGTAAAGTCGTCAGAAAATAGTACCTATCTACAAATTCAAATAGAATAGAATAGAATTGAATTTATAGATAGGTTCTGTTTAATTCGTTTATTTCTGCGAGCTATTTGTGGATATTGTACTTATATTACTGCGATAAATCTGTGAGTTTCTGTAGTAGTTTCCATGTATTCGCAATCGATGTCACTGTAGTCATTGTATGAACGTAGTCTGGTCGCCTCGCGTGTCGACGGCCGGTACGGATGATCGATAAATATCGTCCAAATATATCGATAAAAAAACGTGAACTGGAATTTGACTTCATACCTGAAAACGATAATTTAAAACTCAACATGTTACTAAATCGGAGAGGATTTGATACTCGATGAGTTTAAAAAAAATATTCAGTGAGCTGTTGCGAAATTACTATGAAATTAGCCAAATGGGAATAAACAATTTGTTGTATTTAAAGTTATTGTTTACACAAAAAATGCCATATCATCATCACCTACTTCTTCCTTATCCCATTTATTTGTCGTCGTAATATGTTTTTCTCTTCCATTCTTCTCTGTTTGCAGTCATCTCGTTATTTACTCTCTTTCTTATCATATCATCTTTCACACAGTTCATCTATCTCTTTTTCGGCCTTACTGTTATTATTTTTAATGAGTGGAGTGATGATCTTATTGCTAGCAATGTACCGTGTCAGGTTGACAACGCGGTTCCCCCTGGAAACCATCGTTATAAATGCTTAGTGAGTTTGTCATGATGCGCTAACTGATCTGACTTCATGCTCATCTTATCATCTTCCACTGCCACGCCAGCGTAAACCATTAGCGCAGGCGGGTGCACCATTCCATTCCATGAATATTTTTGTTATATAGTTAAGTTTAATAGTTTTAAAAGACAAACGTGTTGGCAATTAGCTGTAAGTTTATATTTGTTAATTGAATAAATAAAAAATTATGTATATTTATGTAAATGAATGTCATTGACATTCATTATTTGAATTTGGCGCGCATTTGTAGGTGAATTAAATTTAAACGTCAGAATGACGTACGTCATTGTCACAGTTTTTTTTGCTGAATAATACGTGTATAATTGTTTATAATTTGAGTTGATAATTTTGTGAAGTAATAGCGTTAAATGTTGTTTCTCTTTTCAGGTGAGTTATTTAAAATTGATACTATTAGTAATGCGCTGTTATACTTGTTAAGACAATTGTTTGTAATAAATATAATCTCTTTTCAGAGCAACACAATTAAGTATATTATTTCACATAAAAAAGGTGTTTGAAAAATACATAACACATTATATTTATAGTAAAACAAAATAAAAAGATAAATATATATACATATATAAACTTCTGTAAACATTTACGCATGCCGTGGCAGCCAGTAATTAAGTCAACACTATATACCAGAACTATTTGCAAGTGATATTAATTGTAACCTCATAGTGTATGTCTTGTTGGTCGCTTAAATAAATAAATAAATAAAATAAATTCCGAGTCCGTCAAACATCGATGTCGATATTTTTTCTAAACATCCTTAGTGGACGTCGCGTCGTTCCCGCGCCTTCTCGGCCGCGGCTCGCCCCACCACACGTACACTCGTACTATTACGTCACTATGTTACTCGAGTCCACACGGCCATGCATCGTTTTAGAGTTTTGTTATATTCATATTTACATAGGTTAGTATGTCTACAATCATCTATACATATAAATAAAATTAGAGTGTCTGTTTGTAATATTGAAATAACCGTTTTTTACTATATGCATATGAATATAAATACGGTACATATACCGAAATAATATTTTTTACAATTTTTGTCCGTCTGTCTGTTTGTTGCAGCTAATCTCTGAAATGACTGAACCGATTTTGACGGGACTTTTATTGGCTGATGTAATAAGGAGTAACTTAGGCTACTTTTAATCTAGAAAAATAAAGTTAAATTCCACGCGGACGAAGTCGCGAGTACAGTTAGTCTATATATATAAATAAAATTGGAGTCTCTGTTTGTAATATTGAAATAACCGTTTTTTACTACATGCATATGAATATAAATACATCAAAAAACACTTTTTACAATTTTTGTCTATCTGTTTGTTTCGGCTAATCTCTGAAATGAAAATCCGATTTTAACGGGACCTTTTCTGGCAGGTAACTTATTACATACAAGGAATAACTTAGGCTACTTTTATTTTAGAAAAATAAAGTTAAATTCCACGCGGCCGAAGTAGTTAATATAAAAAGATATAGGTAGTCGGTCCAACTTGACGCGTTCGTGTAATCAGCGACGTTGCCGATCCGAGCACGAGGCGTCGCGTGCAGTCGACGCGGGACGAGGCCGCGCTGTGGACGGGACGAGGCCGCGCTGTGCACGAGACAATGCCTTTACCTTTTAACAAAGCACTGGACCTGAAGCTACTACACTTGGTAAAGGAGAATCCTATACTGTACAACTCGAGACATATCAAGTACGTGGATTTTGACGCTAGAGAGGTCGTCTGGCATAAGATTGGGGACGCTCTGAATAGACCTGGTGAGTTTGGTAACGATTACTATTCCGCCGCTTATCTTATCATTTATACGATTATTTATACCTCAGTCTTCGGACGGTCGCGGGTTCGATTCCTAGCATTTGATTGTACTATGTAAATAGTTTTATTTACTCAGTTTGACAGATCATTCTCGATGTATAGGTATTTTTTATAGGGACCTTTTACCTGTAGCGAGGAATCGAACCCGTTCGAAGACTGCCTGACCAAGACTGAGGTATAAATAATCTGTCAAAATGAGTAACAGTTTGACATATGATTCTCGATGTATAGGTATTTTTATAGGGTAATCTATACCTTATAAAAATACCGGTAGCGAGGAATCGAATCCGCGACCGTTCGAAGACTGACCGTCCGAGACTGAGGTATAAATAATCTGTCAAAATGAGTAACAGTTTCACAGATGATTCTCGATATATAGGTAATTTTTATAGGGTAATCTATATTCTATAAAAATACCTATAACGAGGAATCGAACCCGCGACCGTTCGAAGACTGACTGACCGAGACTGAGGTATAAATAATCTTTCAAACTGGGTAACAGTTTGACATATGATTCTCGATATATAGGTATTTTTTATAGGGTAATCTTTAAAAAAATTGCAGTATGTCTGTAATATCAAATTACCTATCAGGTTTTCACAAAATGCGTTCGAAAGTATATACAGTACTTAGTTTAAAAACATATTTTTGTGTATGTCCGTCTGATCTTGCTAGTCTCGAAACGGCTGGACCGATTTTGACAGGACTTTCACTAGCACATAGCTAATGTTATAAGGATTAACTTAGGCAACTTTTTTTTATATATATTTTAATACAAAAAGGGGCTTCCGAGGGTATATAATAGCTAGTCCAGAATAAAAGAAACGGGGCAACATACACAAATATCAACACGCTATAAAGTTATTATTACCACAGTAGAAATAGAAATAAAAATAAACTTCATTCAAATAAACTTAATATAAACACTTTTGAATAGTCAATTTTTTTTATTCTACCACTCATTCGGAATGCAGATTCATCACAAGAAGAATGAGCAAGAAACTTGCGTGTTGCTCTTTTAAATTAATATAGTTTTAATTATATTTACATTAACAAAGATTAGACATAGGTAAGTCTTATAATAATAATATTTACAATTTCAGGACAGGTCTGCAAATCAAGATGGATCAATATTAGAGACATGATGCGCAGAAAGGTGAAAGAGAGGCTCAGGAACCCCAACCACCGAATATACAATTACAAATACGAGGAAGAACTTGCGTTCATGCTCCCCTTCTTCAAGGAGCCAAACACCAGCTCCAACGACCATGAGGAATACCCCGACTTCCTTGATGAAGAAACTGGACAGTTGACAGAAGTGGAGATGCCGTCAGTCTTTGTAAATGAAAACGAAGTCTATGATGCAGCAGATACGAAAGAAATAAAACTTACAGTACGCAGAAGAAATCAAGAGGAACCTGGTAAAGAGTTTAATGAAACGGTATACACAGAACTGAACCCTGCAGACCCTATAGATGTGTTCCTAATTACAATAGGCACAACACTTAGGAAGTTCTCGCCGTATTATCTGAACCAAGCGAAGACTAAGATCTTCCAAGTGGTGCAGGATTATGAGTTGCAGCAAATTGTTAGTAAGGAGGACCAGCCAGCAGGCAGCAGTAACACTAACAGATGAAAATATAGAAGTTTGTATAGGCTACTATAATTGAGGTTTATTAAATATTTTTGTACGCACAATTTGTTTTATTTATCAAATTTTCATAGTGTTTGTTTTTAGTAGTAGTAGTTTTTACAGGTCATAGTTTTTAAAGAATTAAAAAAAGGTTTTACAAACTAACATAGCTGTTCCCGCGACTTCGTCCGCGTGGAATTTCACTTTATTTTTCTAAAATGCAAATGCCCTAAGTTACTCCTTATTACATCAGCTACCTGCCAAAAAAAGTCTCGTCAAAATCGGTCCGGCCATTTCAGAGATTAGCCGGAACAAACAGACAAATTGTAAAAAAAAATATTTTGGTGAATATAAACTCCTATATGATACTCCAATTCCTTCCTCCAGACCTTCTTTCATCAATTACATACATTTGACGACCTCGGTGGTCTAGCGGTCTAGCACACCGCTTTACGTCCGATGGTCGCGGGTTCGATTCCTCGCACGGCACAAACATTTGTATTCATAAGTATGATTGTTTGTATCTGTCTAGGTGTTTCTACATATAATATGTATGTATTTACAAATAAAAGATATCTATGTATTTGTATCAGTTATCTAGTACCCATAACACAAGCTTTAGTTAGCTTAACTTGGGTCTAGATGGCGCTGTGTGAATTGTCCTGAGATTATTATTATTATTTTGTTGCAGCGGTGGAATTCGCTGGTATCCAGTGCCAGATATGCTTCGGTGACTATCAGGAAGACAAACACAAAACGGGGTTAATAGAGAAGTAAGTTTTCAGTGTGAAGAGTAATTAATTTACTAATCCGACCCGAAATATATGAAGTATCGAGAGTTATTTTATATTGTCCTTAGGATATGCACCAAAGATCAAATGTAACGAAGGGGGTAGGGGTTGTTAGTTGTTGTGGGGGTGTGCCAACGATTTTTGTGCCTCTTGAATCTCCGAACCCGTGAGACCCGATCTGGGAAGCCGGTGGAAATGTGCAATCGTTGGTGGTGCGCAGAATGCCGTCAGACAGAGATCTCTTGATCTCGTCGTTTTCCCATCGTCTTGATCATGTCGGCCAGATCGCGTCGGGGTCACCACTGTTGCGGGTGAATGATATCATGTTGTTGGTAGTGACGATGTATATTAGAGGTAATAATAGACTGGCTAGAGATGTGCTAACTCGTAATCGAGACTCGAGTTAACTCGAGTTAAAATTATAACTCGAGTTGACTCGAGTTACCTGGAATAAAAAGTTTTATTTTTTCGAACAATTCTAATGTTTTTGGGCGCAGCTAGCCTTGAAAGCTTCACTGAACTTTAGGGGGCGAGTAGAAATGGCACTTTAAAGCCGCGGCAGGACTTATGGAATGCATAATCCCTACCCCCTTTGGTACATTTGATCTTTGGTCATACTCGTGAACGAGTGCTGCTTGTAGGGACTGGTCTGCTCTTATCACTACGACTGATTTAATCTTATCGCATGATTATATTTGACCCAAAAAATTAGTGCTTGTTGGTAGTTTGTATTCACACGTTTCGACTTGTAAATGTAAACTTACAAGGATTATTTAAAAGAGCAACACACAAGTTTCTTGCTCGTTCTTCTTGTGATGAGACAGCTTTCCGAACGAGTGGTAGATAAAAAACAAATTGTTATGACTATTCAAAAGTGCTTAAATTAAGTTTATTTGAATAAATGATTTTCTATTCTATTCTATTCTATAATCATTTTATTGATAACATAATCAGACGAATATGCCAAAAAAAATGATAACAACCTCAAATCAATATTGAAATATTGATGATGTGAAATGATCAGAAAATTTCATGTCATTGTCAGTTCGATGACAGAATCATGCTCTCGCTCTTTCACTTGATACATTCATTTCCCAGTTGAATTCTTCCAACTCGAGTTGGCAGAATTCAACTCGAGTTATGCGCAACTCGAGTTAACTCGAGGTAGTAACTCCAGTTGACACATCTCTAAGACTGGCAATATGTACATAGAAATAATGATCTTATATACTAAATAACAATAGGAAAATGTAAGGTGGGGTGACACAGTTTAGACACAGCAGTGCTTAGTACACAATATTGGATTTGTCTTACTAGACATTATTAAATGTAATTATTATTTCTAGGTAACTGTGTCCCATATTAGTAATGGGAACTAGTTATTTTCATTACTAGTAGTAGTATATATACATACTATCGCTTCGCCCGGGTGTACATGTGTTATACATATAAACCTTCCTCTTGAATGACTCTATCTATTAAAAAAAACGCTTCGAAATCCGTTGCGTAAGTTTAAAGATTTAAGCATACATAGGGACAGACAAACAGCGACAGCGACTTTATTTTATATATAGTAGGTACTAGCTAGTCGCCCCGGCTTCGCCCGGGTGTACACGTATTATACACACCTTCATCTTGAATGACTCTATTTATTAAAAAAAACGCCTCAAAATCCGTTGCGTAGGATTAAATATTTAAGCATATATAGTTACGGACAGCGACAGCGACTTTGTTTTATACATAGTACTAGGCACTCGCCCCGGCTTCGCCCGGGTGTACATGTATTACACATATAAACCTTCCTCTTGAATCACTCTATCTATTAAAAAACGCCTCAAAATCCGTTGCGTAGTCTTAAAGATTTAAGGATATATAAGGACGGACAGACAGCGACAGCGACTTTGTTTTATACTATGTAATGATGATAATGATATGTATTCCATAATTTGTTGCCAGTCTTAAGGAGTTTCTCCCGGAGCAGTACGCGAGCTCGTGGGGAATCGAGAAGAAGATATTTAAGGAGCACAGGAAACACCAGGAAGTCAGTTCCATCGATGCCAAATATTTATACACCAAGACTGCACGAGATCTCCCTACTTATGGGGTCACATTTTTCTTAGTCAAAGTTAGTATCTGCATAAATCTGCTAAAAAAAATTTCATTGTAAAAAGAAAATGATATACCATTTTTTTTATATATATTTTTTCAAAATATTTTTCTTTTAAATGAAAAAAAATTTTTTAAAATAATTATTTGTTTATATATTAGGCATCTTAATATTACTAGATTTATTACTGGTGAGCTGTTTACCCACCAGGTCACATGTTGAGCGGAGCTCTCGACTTAACTTTATTTAAAAACTCGACCTTGCAAAGTGTTATACTCGTTTCCATATATGATGTAACACAGTTATAAATGCTTACCTTATCTTATCTAAAAGAAAACATGTGTAATTTTTTTTTTCTAATTTATAAATGGTATCTTTTTTTTTTATTTATAAACTAGAAAAAGAAAACATGTGTAATTATGTTTTTTTTTTCTAATTTATAAATGGTATATCTTTTTTCTTTATTTATAAACTAGAAAAAAAAAATGATGTAACATGTTTTTTTTTTCTAATTTATAAATGGTAGGTATATCTTTTTTTTTATTTATAAACTAGAAAAAGAAAACATCTGTAATCATGTTTTTTTTTAGTTTATAACACTCTCTCTGCCACTGCAAGCATCACTTTTTACACGCATTTAGCAACACACTTGTATTCATGAGTATGATTGTTTGTATTGGTCTGCGTATTTTCTAGGTATAAAAATGAAAGAAGTAAGAAAGAAGAAAGAAAAAAATAATTATTCAGTGCTTTTCAACAATGTTACAATATAAAAAACAAGCAAACGACAAAAAAAAGATTAAATAAAATGTATATATAATTAAACTTAATTTACCATGTAGATAATTAAAAATAAACATAATATAATCACTTTTTACATCCATATAGGCACTGAAATGGCTCCACTCAGTTTTAATGTGCGTTCTATATGAACTTATAATAATGTATTTAAATAAAAAAAAATGTTTTATGTATATCAGTTGTCTAGTACCCATATCAAGTTCAGCTTAGCTTGAGAGATGGCATTGCGTCAATTGTCCTGGTTTATTAAAAGAATGTACATATGCGACAGTTATATACAATCTCTTACAGGAGAAGCACAAAGGTAAAAAGAAACTGATACCTCGTCTCCTGGGCATCAATGCGGAAGCGATACTCCGGCTGGACGAGGTCACCAAGGAGATCCTGCAGGTGTGGCCCCTCACACACGTCAAGTCGTACCAGGTCGGAAAATCGGAGACCTTCTCACTGAACTTTGGGGAATACAGGTTTGTTTATCTTGTTAATTGACGACCTCGGTGGTCTAGCGGTGTAGCACACCGGTTTACGACTGATGGTCGCGGGTTCGATTCCTCGCATGGCACATAATATAATATATGTATAATACGAAATAAAAATCTATGTACTTATATCAATTATCTAGTACTCATAACCAGGGATGTTAGGGATATAATCTCTGCCATATCTCACCTTAAAACCGAAACATAGTTTACAAAGCAAGCTGCTTGGCTGCTCAAACAGGTAACACCTTTAACAATCCTTGACATTTCACACAGCGCCATCTAGTTACCAAGTTAAGCAGAGCTTGTTTTATGGCTACTAAAAACTGATACAAATACATACTGTTATACACATTTTTATATAAATACATTTATACATATAAATAAAATTGGAGTGTCTGTTTGTTATATTGAAATAACCGTTTTTTACTCTGTACAAATGAATATAAATACGGTACATATACCAAAATAACATTTTTTACAATTTTTGGCTGTCTGTCTGTCTGTTTGTTCCGGCCAATCTCTGAAATAGCTGGACCGATTTTGATAGGACATTTATTGGCAAGTAGCTGATGTAATAAGGAGTAACTTAGGCTACTTTTATTTTAGAAATATAAAGTTATATTCCACGCGGACGAAGTCGCGAGTACAGCTAGTACATAATATAAATAGACAGTACCAAAATAAATACAACGAGTACGTGCGAGGACTCAAACCCGTGTCTATCGGAAGTAAGGCGATGTGCAAGCCGCTAGACCATCAAACCCGTCACTTTACCAACGCAGACGACTTTGCGTCCTCCACTCTAATGCTTCCTACCATTTCTATTATTTTAGTGAAAAAGAATATTGCGTGAAGACTAACGATGCTATTCGGATTCGGGACATCTTGCAAGGCTACATTGATATCATTGGAAAACGACTGGCCGCAGTCTACAACAGCAGCCAGCCGGAACGAGAGGTCATTGGCGAGGACAACATCAAAGTGTCCAGGTAAATATACATCAATTTTGTCACATGTAGAGAAAGTGTGAAGGAAGTTGATAAACTGTGACATCATGTGGCAACGGATAGTCATAAATAGAATTAAATTGTGTCACATGTGGAAAGGGTGGGAAGGAGGTTGATGAAGTGTGACATTATGTGACAACGTGTAATCTTAAATACACGTCAATTGTGTCACATGTAAAGAGGATGGGAAGGAGTTTGATAAACTGTAACATTATGTAAGAACGTGTGGTGATAAATACATATCAATTGTGTCACATGTAGAGAGAGAGGGAAGGAGTTTGATAAAGTGTGACATTATGTGACAACGGGTAGTCATAAATATACGTCAATTTTGTCACATGTAAAGAGGGTGGGAAGGAGGTTGATAAAGTGTGACATTATGTGACAACGGGTAGTCATAAGTACACGTCAATTTTGTCACATGTAAAGAGGGTGGGAAGCAGTTTGATAAACTGTGACATTATGTAAGAACGTGTGGTGATAAATACACATCAATTGTGTCACATGTAGAGAGAGTGGGAAGGAGTTTGATAAAGTGTGACATTATGTGACAACGGGTAGTCATAAATACACGTCATTTTTGTCACATGTAGAGAGGGTTTTGAACCTAAATAAATTAGTGTTGGTTGGTAGTTTGTATTCACACGTTTCGGCTTGTAAAATGTGAACTTACAAGGATTGTTTAAAAGAGCAACACACAGGTTTCTTGCTTGTTCTTCTTGTGATGACAGCTTTCCGAATAAGCGGTAGATTAAAAATTGTGTTTAAATTAAGTTTATTTGAATAATGATTTTCTATTCTATTCTATTCTTGCGCGTCATATTTTTTGAGAGGAACTTCTTAGTTCTTCTTCTTCTCATTCCATATATTCCCCGCGCGGATGCCGGGTCCATCGTGTAACAGAGAGGGAATCTATCAGCAGCTCCCGGGACTTTTGACCAGGGTGTAGGTATAAGGCGTCCTATTGCCGATATACGTCAACACTCACCTTCACCGCTCGGGGTTCTCTTCCTGCTCATCTCGATTTCTTCTAGTGCAGCTTCAGATACACTTACTGGTTGACCATCCATAAATTATATTTCAACTGTACGTCTGTATATTTATATTTTTTATTTATGTACTATAACGTATTTTGACAGCCTCGGTGGTCTAGTGGTTTAGCACACCGCTTTACTATCCGATGGTCGTGGGTTCAATTCCTCGCACGGTACAAACATTTGTATTCATGAGTATGATTGTTTGTATCGGTCTGGGTGTTTTCTATGTATAATATGTATTTATTTACAAAAAAAAATATATCCATGTATTTATATCAGTTGTCTAGTACCCATAACACAAGCTCTGCTTAGCTTGGGACTAGATGTCAATTGTCCTAAGACATTATTAATATTATTACATTATTATTTATTTATTTATATTTAATACAAAATGGAATTTTCCAGAGGCAACATCATACAGCACGTCGGCTACAATGCTACAAAAGTTGTTGAAGAATCATTTGTTGGGTCTTCGATCCTTCTCCCTTACGAATCAGGTACCTAGTTTTGTATATATATATATTATAGCACACTAGACTTCGTCTGTTCATCACTTATTTCACCCTCTTGAAGCTTATTTTTTGAGATAAAATGTAACCTGGTCTTGTGATTACATTTTTTTTTTATTAGAAATTCACCTGATTTTAGGTTATGATGAACCTATCATCAAGTCAAAGTTTTATTAAAATCAGTTTAGTCAAAAAACAGATAAACACCTTCCTATTTATAAGAATACAGAACATGATATGAGAGAGTCATATCCTTGTGATTTGTTACTATAAATTAAGCCTCTAAGGTAGTGAGTTCAAAACCTATATATATACTATATACTAACCTATATATATATATATATACACCCACATCAAAATACTTTAGCACTTTATATTTCTTCAATAAAGCGAAACATTAGTACTATATCAAATTAATCCGAGAGACTTATCTTCTGTAAGTTAAGATTTACTTTTCTAAATCCTCTCCTGTCGCATGCCTAATCCTTGTTAATGTAAATCTACTTGAAACAACATTTATTTAAAAGAGCAACACACAAGTTTCCTGCTCATTCTTCCTTTGATGAGTCTGCGTTCCGAATGAGTGGTAGAATAAAAAAATATGACTATTCAAAAGTGCTTGTATTAAGTTCATTTGAATAAAGATTATTTCTATTTATTAACTACTTTATTGAGTGAAACACGATGCGGGCGATCTTAGCGATTAAATTTGCACTCGTTCTAATAATCGATTTGTAGTATCGATCCACTTAGTGTGAGGCGAGATTTCGCTTCGCTTTGTGTGTTCTACCGATTATACAACGAACTGTGTTCTGATGAATTGTTCGACATGATGCCTACGGCCACCTTTTACCACCACCGCTCGCCATCGACAGGGAATTCATTCCCACACGCTGGAACCTAAGTGGTCTCGAACAGCTCGGTTTCAGAGGAGCTTCCTCCCGCGTACACTTAGGTTGTGGAATGAACTTCCTTCCGAGGTTTTCTCACGGCTACAGCATGGGGTTCTTCAAGAAAGGTATATTAAGGTTTCTTAAGGGTCGGCAACGCACGTGACACCCCTGGTGTTTCAGGCGTCCATAGGCTACGGTAACCGTTTACCATCAGATAGGCCGTATGCCTGTATGCCACCATAGTAGTATAAAAAAAAACAATAATACACCTCTGAAACGAGTTGACGAGACCAAAATTTCTCCATCGTTTGCCACTCAATTCCGATCGGTCAAGATGTAGTTTGTAAGAATAAACGCGCTCCGCAACATGGTCTGGTGTGTACCATGTCAGGTTGACCCATTCGCGGTTGCCCCTGGATACCATCGTGATAAATTCCTGGTGAATTTATCACAATGGGCTAACTGAGCTGACGTCATGCTTTTTGCACATTTTTTACAATTTTTGGCCGTCTATATGTGTATATTATACAAACAGACAGACGTTACAAATATATATATAACGAGGGTAGTTCCTCTATTTGGGATACCTCGTCATCAGAACCCATGTTGGGCATGGTGTAGGCAAGAAATAATAGTCTTATTACAAAATATAATCGTCTATTGACTCACTCCCAATAACAAAATAATAAAATGACTAACAGTCAGCCAGATGACAACGGATTATTCAGGGAAACGCGGCAAGTTCGGTACAGAGTGCAGCACAACCTATCACGCTCGCGCCCAATTCAAAAGTGCCGTTTCGTAATTGCTGTCAAAACTGCTTTACCCTGTACCGACCTCACCCAAGCAAACCGCTTGACGTTTCCAACAACGATTCATAGATGGCGCTATTCTAGTAGAAATCAATTGAGCCTCTTTGTTGATTCTGCGACATATATATACATTTATTTATTAAAACTTTAATGCATAAATACATTAATAAAGGTACACATTGCGGACTTAACACCTTGAGGCATTTTCTCCCAGTCAACAATTGGGCAAACAGAGATTCATGTAGACGGTGCATTAAGAAATTGAAATTGAAATTTAAAAATATATATATATATATACATATATATATATATATTATTAATCATGTATCCAGATATATATCAGAATTTACAAATTGTTTTGTCTGGAAATCATATAGAACAAGTGACATATGCACGCAATTTAGGTCTTGTTATGGACGAGAGATTACAATTCGAAAAATATATATTGGATATATTGGATGCGTAATTGTTTTTACAGACTAAAAGTACTGTACAGGCTGCGTGAATTCTTATCTGTTGATATTTGAATCAAACTGTGCGAAGCGTTAGTGTTGTCTAAGTTTAATTACGCTGATAATGTGTTTGGGGAGTGCCTTTTAGCTCGAACTAAGAAAATGATACAACGTATCCAAAACGCATGTGCTCGATTTTGCTTTCCTATTGCTCGTCGTGCTCATATTACTCCCTTTTTGGAACAGAATAACTTATTAAATATGACAGCACGTCGCAATTTACATTTTATTCATTGCTTTTTGGCGTAATACACAGTAAAAAGGCCTCATATCTGTATGATAAAAAAAATTTTTCAAAGCGTAACATAAGAATAAATTCTTTTTTACTTTGTCCACGATACAGAACAGCTGCTTTTCGTGGTAGCTTCCAGTACGCTGCTACGAAATGCTGGAACAATCTTCCACCGCCAGTTAGGAACGCCAAATCATTATTCACATTTAAAAAACTATACAAGAATTATCTATGTACTATTTAACCTATAAATCTTACGGCAAAGTAGTTGTATATATATGTTTAATAATAATGTCTCAGGACAATTGACACAGCGCCATCTAGTCCCAAGCTAAACAGAGCGTGTGTTATGGGTACTAGTCAACTGATATAAATACATGGATACATTTTTTTTTGTAAATAAATACATATTATACATAGAAAACACCCAGACCGATACAAACAATCATACTCATGAATACAACTGTTTGTACCGTGCGAGGAATCGAACCCACGACCATCGGATAGTAAAGCGGTGTGCTAAACCACTAGACCACCGAGGCTGTCCTAATGTTTATATTTATTTCATGTTATGTTATTCTATTTTATTCTTTCTACTATATGTAATTGGTTTGTATTTATTAGTTGTAATTTTGTTTTAATTATTATCATTAATATTTCAAATAGTGCCCTCTCTCTCCCCCTTTTATATATATATTCCTCGTTTTGGTGCCACTGAAAACCTAGGACATACATTAAAGCTGAGTGGAACCATTTCAGTGCATTTTTGGATGTAAAAAATTATTAATTATTTTATGTTTATTTTTAATTATGGTAAATTAAGTTTAATTATATATACATTTTATTTGCTCTTTTTTTTTTCGTTTGTTGTTTATAATGTATTTTTCTTTCTTTCTTTCTTTTTTTCTTTCTTCCTTTCTTTCTTTCTTTCTTTCTTAAATGTATAAATAAATAAAATATCTGCTTATAATTTCACAGGTACTATGATCTCGAAGGGTACTCATTTAGTCAACATCAAACAAGCAATGGTTACCGGTATTGGCTCCACCAAACAACAATCCATTGTAAGTTATTTCCATGTATATTTTATACTAGCTACTCGCCCCGGCTTCCCACGGGTGTACATGTATTATATATATAAACCTTCCTCTGATGCATCGTCGGGGCGCTTTGGACTGGAAAGGCCGGAACATGCTCGCTAAAAGTATAAAAACAAAAAGAAAAAAAAGGGAAAAAAGGAAGAAAGGAAAAAAGGGGAAAGGGAAGTGAAAAAGGGGAAAAAAAAAATTGCCGAATTACGACAAAAAGTGAACTGTGAAATTAAACAATCAATAATTAAACAAAACCTGGACTATAACAAATAGTGAACTTTGAAAATAGTGTTAAAATAAGAATTCATATAATTGTATATGCAGTGTAAGAATTCATAATGTGTATTGTTATATTATGAATTCTTACATTGCACAATGTAATGAAAACTGTGAAATTAGTAGTAGTGTAAGATTTATATAATTGTATATGCATATTGATAAATCTAATCTTCCAAATAAAGATGGGTGACACTGCATGTTGTCAACTCACCCGGCCGGCCAGCGGTGGTTCTGGGCCAGACGGATAAGGTCTGCCTCGGTGTCACTGTTAGGCAAATTGTAACATCTCGGCTGGAGTTGTACAAAAATGGAAATTAAATAAATATTATAATATTAAAGTAAATTAAAAAAGGCACGGACGAATATGTCTGTGGAAAAATGTATTTAAATATAAAAAAAAAAAAACCTTCCTCTTGAATCACTCCATCTATTAAAGAAACCGCTTCACATGTACACCCGTGCAAAGCCGGGGCGAGTAGCTAGGTTATAATATTAGTAAGGATGAAAAAGTCAGCAGTGGCACGTCAGTAATGACTAAATGTGAAGAAATTGAAAGCTAACCTACACAAAATAAAAAAATTAATATGTATTAAAAAATCGAATTAGAGTGGAGAAGTGCCAATGAGGAATAACGCATCGATGGACTTCGTGAAGAAGCTGAACCGCCTCAACTCTGGCTCCGTGAAGATCGTCAGCTACCTAGCTGGTGAGTATGAACTTATAAATGATAATGTTTTTGTAGAAAATATCTAACTTAAAATTCATAGCACTGACAATGTTATCTGATTGAACTGAGATTATGTGCGTAGCGGTTTCTACGTTGATTGTCGCATGCCTAATCCTTGTTATTTGCTTTCTAGATCCAAATGATGCTCACATTTTGGAGTCTCAGAAAGTAGTGGAAACCATTAATGCTGAATGGCCGGACATTCAAGAAGGTACTTTTCTTTAATTTTATAGTTTTATCTGCCGCTTCTTTTGTGGCGACATCCTTTTGGGCTATTTTTTTATACTCTATATGTATTCCATTTTTTTTAAGAAGGTATTATAATATAAAGTTATATGATGAAAGTAATGATTTACCTCGAGTCTTCGAGTGGCGACCGCGGGCCGGGAGACGCAGCGTGGGAAGGCCTCTAACAAAGTGGACTGACGATCTGGTCAAGATCGCTGGAAGGCATTGGATACGAGCAGCGCAGGGCCGATCGTCGTGGAGATCTTTGGGGGAGGTCTATGTTCAGCAGTGGACGTCTTCCGGGCTGAAATGATGATGATGATGATGATGACTGATTACATCACTGCTTTCATTCAATTAAATAAATCAATATCAATTTATTCTCACAAAAACAATAATTGAAATCCAACGCGGCACATCGAACTAGTGTACCCAAGATACGAGATATCACAGATTACATAATCTTAAAATTGGAGTGTCTGTTTGTAATATTGAAATAACCGTTTTTTACTACATGCATATGAAGATAATTACGGTACATACACCAAAATAATATTTTTTACATTTTTTGTCTGTCTGTCTGTTTGTGCTGGCTAATCTCTGAAATGGTTGAATCCGATTTTGACGGGACTTTTATTGGCAGGTAGCTGATGTAATAAGAAGTAATTTAGGCTACTTTTATTTTAGAAAATTCTTTCGTTTTAAAGCTAGGTGTCGAACCTGGACTCAGGCTGTCGTAATCTCGATTCCTGTCTGAATTCGACTTGGAGGTTTAGTTTTTTTTTTTATGGATGATAATGGAATGGTGCACCCGCCTGCGCTAACGGTTTACGCTGGCGGGGCACCAGTGGATAAGATGCTGATAAGATGAGAATGAGGTCAGGTCAGTTAGACCATCGTGACATATTCACCAAAAATTTATAACGATGGTTTCCAGGGAGAACCGCGTGGAGGTCAACCTGACATGGTACATTGCTAGCAATGGGGTTATGAGTCCACATTACTAACAATCCCCAGTTGGTTGCCATTTGCCATTACTGGTGTTAGCTTGTTTGACATGACTGTAACAAAAATATTAATATACATAGGTGTAAAAGAGATGGCTGATAAACAATCAAACGAAGATGAGAGGAAGAAGCTTCTAGATCAACTGCAGGAACTGTGCAATCAAGTGGATATGTTGTCAGCATCAATGGAAACCAGTAAAATTGTGAGATTTCTGAATTATATTAATTCGCCCCGACTTCGTACGGATGTACATGTATTATACATATAAACCTTCCTCTTGAATCACTCTATCTATTAAAATAAACTGCTTCACTGCTGCCGTTGCGTAGTTTTAAAGATTTAAACATACATAGGGACGGACAGACAGCGACTGCGACTTTGTTTAATACTATGTAATGATGATAATAATGTAACATGAAAGAAAAAAACTAAACAGATAACAAAAGTAATACCAAAATTAGTGTAGCAGATTTGTTTATTTTAACCACCGTTTTCTATAAATCAGGTTAAAACCGCTTCAAAATCCGTTGCGTAGTTTTAAAGATTGAAGCATACATAGGGACAGCGACAGCGCCTTTGTTTTATACTATGTAATGAGGATGATGTGTATAACTATCGTATTTGTGATTGCAAACACCCAGAACGATACAATAGTTCAGTAGTTTTGGATTTCATGATGGACATACAGATGAAGTAGAATATTGATGGATATATATTTCTGTCCAGGATGCAGCTAAAGGTCTAGATGCGGCTAAGAATATTGCAAATATATCGGCAGAGATGTACTCCAGTATGGATCCTAAAACTAAGAAGCGTAGCAAACTCCTCGAGGTAACAATTTGTCTTATATGTATTAATGGTCATGAAGTTTTCTATAAGATAATCTATTATATAGTGATTTCAAGTTGCTATGACGTGGTCGAGTGGAATGAGTAGTCATGCTCACTGAAATGTCCAGACATGTGGCGGCGTGGTGGGCCGGGTCATTGGGCTCCCTAAAATATGGTCACGCAAGTTTCTTGCTCGTTCTTCTTGTGATGAGACACGTTTCGACTTGTAAAATGTCCAAGGAATGAGTTTCTTGCTCGTACTTCTTGTGATGAGACAGCATTCCGAATGAGCGGTAGACTAAAAAAATGTGATGACTATTCGAAAGTGCTTCAATGTAAGTTTATTTTCATAATGATTTTCTATTCTATTCTATTCTATTGCCTTGTCCTTAACCCGTTATTTATGGTCAGTAAGAAATCTTCCCACGAACGTTATTCTTTCGAACCCTGTCCGATCATGACGATCTTAGCTTACTCTCTTTTTATACATATCATCTTTCACACAAACCATCCTATTTTTTGGACCGTCTTCTCCCTTTCCATCCACGTTCATGTTAAATACTTATCTGTCAATATGTGTACAGAAATCGCGCTCAAGTTTCATAGCGGACGAGAGGACTGCCGCGTACCTGCGGCGCACGTCGTTCCTGGCCATCGCTTCCAGAGCCGGACAAGCGGTGGACAAAGCCCAAGAAATACTTAACGAGGTAATACTTTTTGTCTGTGTTTATTTTCACTCGCGACTTCATCTACTATTTTCCGATAAATCTACATATTTTAATAAGATTCTGTACCTATGTAATCCCAGAGGACGTAGGTGTTACACCATCCACACGAATATTCACATATTCGAAAACGACTAAACTTGTTGTTAGAGCTTACTGTACTGTGGGAAACAAATGTACCTAAAGACCATAAAATAAAAACAAATAAATATTACGAAACAAAAATGTCTAATAATTTAGACGCGGTCGAAATGGGAGTGATAGGTGTACCAGCGAATTCTTTATACATTTTATAATCTGCTAGCCTATCTAGAACTGCAGTAAGTTCTATACTAAAACTGGTATCTAAAGCAGTACTAGCAGGCTTCTACCAGATCTGTCTGGGCAGGGAGAGAAACACGAGCGGTGAAGGTGAGTGTTGACGTATGTCGGCTAAGGGGCCACTTAAACCTACACTCGGGTCACAAGTCCCGGGAAATGTTCGGAATTTCCCTCTCTACCACACGATGGACCCGCTACCCGCACGATTAATTTAAGGAATGCTGAAAATTTCCTCTCGTTATTATTCGTGTATCGGTTACAAACAGATAAAGACACTTTCTAATTAATAATTTAGATAATGAGAGTATGCTACTGAGAGATTTCCTTTGATTATACACGCAAAAAGCACTTTTTTCGACTTGGAGAAAATCCCTCATGGAGACCCGTCCGCCCCGGGGAAGGCAATCGGTTACTGTGAGACTCCTCCTCTCTAAAAACTTCAAGATGTCCCTGATGTGCTGGAGCCGTGGGAGTTCACCGCAACTCCGACGGCGGTGGCCCAGTCTAGCAGCGGGCCCCATTTCTGCGGGTAACCTATGCGAAACCCACTACTTCCCCAAATCTTCCTTGGGCAAGGCGCGCGGGGACATGCGCGCGACTTCTTCGGGCCTAGTTCGGTGTGGTGGGACCTCTCCAGCGGTCGTCACCCCAGCCCGGTACCGATCGAGGGGCAACTACTTGCCGTCCCTACCTCCCTGATCGCCAGGAGAGAAATTGGGCTCACAACCTGTGTCCATTCCCTCCTCCTCTCCGCACCTTCGGACTTAACCTAACCTTAACCGTTAGCTATTTAATGATTTTGCCTTTATTCTGAAGTGAATATGATATATGGAAGATAAAAAAAAACTATATGTTTGTTTAGAAATACGAAGGACCAAAAATCGACGAGCAGGAGTTGGAGAAAGATTCTGCCGATAAAATGGGGAAACTGAATTCGGCCATCGCATTCGTCTTAATGGCACAAGCAGGTAACTACTTACATGTCTTTTATGTCTGTAAACAATACAATACCTTGACAATAGTTAATTTTAAACTTTCGTGTTTAATATACATTATATACTGAACCTTGACACTTGATGATAGACGTAAGCTGAGGGATATCTGTTTCTTGTACGATATAGTAAATGGACGTCTTAATTGTCGAGATTTAGTATCGAGTATATCATACAATGTATCAATTAACCGTTTTCGAGGCAACACTCCACCATTGCTACACATGCCAAGAGCGTACACCAACTACGCAAGCAACGCACCACGAAGCTATATAACTAAATTTTTAGTGAATTGGACCTATTCAGCTTAAGAAAGGTAACTCACAGGCCCGTGGTCTTTCTAGTTCTCTTTGTCTACATTTACATGCATATTATTTCCAGCGTGAAAGCCTATTCGCAAGTGAAAGAGCGCTAAAGGCAGCAAGAGATGATGGATGTATTCTGGTTTTGTTTCAGATCCCAAGAATGTGGATTACTCGGCTGCAGTTATGTCCATGAACACCATACACGAACTGATCCCGGAATTAGCTAGAGGTAAGGGAAACTGTTTTTCTGGATTTCGAAACAGCATTTCCTGTAACAATGATTGAAAAAATATTATGACAGATGGCTTCTTCAGAGTAGCTGTTTAGCCTACCTCTTTGTGATGGGATGGTCGCGGGTTCGATTCCTAGAACGGCATAAATTGCAACTTTTGTATTCATGAGGATTTACTATGTATTTACAAAAATAATATCTTTAAATATTTCTATCGCTTGTCTAGTTTCCATAATACAAGCTTCTCTTAGCATGGAACTAGAGGGCGCTGTTTGAATTGTCCTCAGATATTTTTTCACGCTACTTTGTCTGGGCTAACTTTCATTCCTTACGTCACCCACTTTTGAATTATTTGGTAAGATAAAAGATAACCCATGTTTATCTCCGTGATATAGTCTATCTTCATATCAAATTTTATTAAGATCCCTTCAGCCGTTTAGCTGGAAGAAGGTAACAGACAGACACTTTCCCAATCTTAATATTATGTAAGTATGGATGAAGAAATAATATTGTTTTTAAATATTAGTATAATATCATATGCAGATGTGCAAGCGTTAGCAGTCTACAAAGAAGGCGACGAGAAACAAAAGATGTTGGATGACATGAAGATGCTGTGCGAAGCGGCGCATCAAGTGTGTTCTTTGACAGGCGCTGCTGACTATGAGGTTAGTGAGTTGATTTGTGTGGATGTACATTTTGTATGTATTTATTTACTTTCATGGATGGTCAACATACGCAACAGCAAGTTTCAATAGGAGCAACAAACGAAGACGTGTGAAGATAGACGAATATGTCTGCTCATAAAAGATTTTATTTACCATCTACTGCTCTTCACCCGTGATCATGGTAATTGAAATACTGCCGAAATATCGGGATATTAATAAAAATAAATAAAACATGGCAAGATCCCGTGACTTTTCCTAATTGCACGTCTCGTTCACCCTCGTCGGCAGGACTTTCTTTCACCTATTAGAGCCCCTGAGCACATAAGGATAATGGTCCCTATGACCATAATAATAAAGCACTACTTTGTTAGAATAGACAAAGTAGTGCTTTTTTGAAAATGACTCTTTGGAGATGTGTATGGGGATGACCTTCGAAACAAATCAGGCAAAAATATTTTTAAGTTGTTATGTGATGTGGGGTTCAAATTCTTGCTAGACATTTATAAAAATATTGAAAAAACGAACAAATTGACCATAGTCGGTAGGGGGAGCGGGGGCAATGTTAATATGACAAAAGCTATGAAACAAATTATACATTGGATTACTTGCAAAGTTAGTATGTCTATTTAGCTATTAAAATATGACTGAAAATTTATTAAAATGTATGTAATTTTTTCACGATGGGAAATTTAACTAAACAAGTCGATTGTAACATCTTACCCCCCAATTGGGGCTAGTTGTTACATCATCGGGGCACGATGTTACGGTAGATAAATAAACACAATCATTCATTATACATATTTTTTTATTATTATTATAAACAATAGACATCATTTTAAACAGTCTTGTAACAGGAAACCAGTCCTGCCCAGCCATATTATTTTTATACCAACTGGGGGGAATACTTTTTAAATCGATTTTATAGAAATAGAAATAGAAATAATCTTTATTCAAATAAACTCATTACAAGCACTTTTGAATAGTCATATTTTGATTCTACCACTCATTCGGAATGCATTTGTTAAGACTGATTTTCAGGTGAGAGTAGAGTAGCTATCGGTTATCGTTTGGTAATGGAGTAGGGAGTATACTGGACTAGGGGCGCCAATCCATCGCGCGGCCTTAGGCACGTGCCCAGTATACCCAGTGGGAAAGAAGGACATGCTCGTCGGCACAGACCCTCTGATCTGAACCTGATAATGTGAGCCCAGACTAATTTTGTATTCTATTTCTAGAAACTTCAAGACATTTCCAACATTTACTCGGACGTTTCCAGAAAGTTAATGTTCAAATTTACACGCGGCGTGATCGGAGCCCAAGACAATAAGGTAAGCTGATGATACGTAATCTATACATATAAATAAAATTGGAGTGCCTGTTTGTAAATTGAAATAACCGTTTTTCACTACATGCTTACGAATATAAATACGGCACATACACCAAAATATATTTTTTTTACAATTTTTGTCTGTCTGTCTGTCTGTACTCTGTTTGTTCCGGCTAATTTCTGAAGTAGTTGGACAGATTTTGACGGGATTTTTTTTTGGCAGATAGCTGATGTAATAAGGCTGCTTCAGCTACTTTTATTTTAGAATAGAATAGAATAGAAATAATCTTTATTCAAATAAACTTAATATAAGTTTTGAATAGTCAAGTTTTTTTATTCTTCCGCTTATTCGGAATGCAGATTCATCACAAGAATAATAAGCAAGAAACTTGTGTGTTGCTCTATTAAATAAATATTGATTTACTTATATTGAATTAACAACAAGGATTAGGCATGCGACAATCAACATAAAAACCGCTACGCACTTAATCTCTGTTCAATGAGATAACATTGTCAGCGCTATGAATTTTAAGTTAGATATTTTCTACAAAAACATTAATATCATTTATAAATTCTTAAATTTTAGAAAAATAAAGTCAAATTCCACGCGGATGAAGTCGCGGGAACAGCTAGCTACAAATACGCTATATAATTGTGCAGAATTGAAGGAGTTTGCGTCCTTTCTTGTTCTTTTGTCTGGACTTACGTGTACAGTTACGTTTGCGTGAAAGTAGATTCGTTCTAAAGACCATAAGTGTAAAGGCAGCTATTCATTTAATAATCAAGTTGCACTATAATTGACAACTTACAAATTGACACCCTGTCCTACAAAAAAGATCTTCTATAACTTCTGCTATCATCATCTGCTTCTTTCTTATCCCCTTTATTTGGGGTCAACGTAATAAGTTTTTTGTTTCGTTTCGTTTAATAACTACTTCTATAAAGTAAATCTACCATATGTAGTGATATATGTATGTAAGCGGCTAAAATGTCCTACATGAATAAATGATTTTTGAATTTGAATTTGATATGAGAAACAAAAACATTATATCTCTTGTTACGAAAGAAGTACGAAAGGCAAACAGCAGAAGAAGTGGAGAATATTATATTATCGATAGATATATGGAATACACTTTATTTGTAATACAGTTACAGTAAAGAAGAATGTTTGACGAATGAAGAATTTATAATAATGTTTAAAAGTACATCACACACTACCATGCGAGTAGAGACAAAATATATGTGTGTGTGTGCGTGTGTGCGTGTGTAACACACATATATATTTTGTCTTTGATAATAGACCTTCTATAGACTTTAAATTGTTTTCATTTGAACCACTGAGCGACTACTTGTATGAAGTACCTAATACAAGAGCAATCCTTTAAGTCAACAAAATGGTAGTCACAATCAATAATTTTTAGTATTCACATAAAAAGACTAATTAATGACCTACTCCTTTTTAAAACAGACCTTTATTTCTATTGGATGTTAACAGATCATCGAACTAACAAAAGATGTCGGCGACAAAACCTCAGCACTATTGGTACAGGCGAATAAATTGTCTGAACCAAAATCGGAAGGAGGCGCCGCTGTGGATGAAGCTGGAGTACGTTGCGCTAATGCTGCGAGGGATCTACTTCTCTGTTCTATGGTAGGATTGTTATTCAAATAAATTAATAGGAAGAGCTACAAAAGAATATGGAATCTAAGGAGCGGTCCATGAATCACGTGATCTTTTTGTAGCATTTCTACTGTTTGAAGAGTCTTACTCTGGTCGCCGAACTGTGAATATTTGTAGTTTCACACATGCTAATGGTAGCAGAATTAAATAAAATAATATAAATGTATTAAGTATTTGGTAAGGTAATAGGTATTATAAAGAAAATTACATTGATGCAGTTGACGTCACCGACTATCCACGAACCCCACTGCCAGAGCGCATTAACAGCTGCATCGGAGACGCTTTCATCATCAGCTCAACATTTAATGTCTACTGCCAAGCCTCTACTAGAGCAGCCAGCTCACCAACATCTTGCGGACGATTTTCATAGAAGAAACACGGATTTGACTAAAGCGTTGGATAAACTACAGCAAGCTTATGGTAAGCCAATTAATATATATTACGCGATCTTAAATTTTATCTTCGAAATGTAAGAAGCACTAATTAAGATGGTGACTGAGGCTTTGAAGCCGGCTACCGCAAGGGAAACCCCAAGTAGCGCCCGTGACTTGTGACACGGGTGTAGGTTTAAAAGGCCCTTTTAGAATGCATTAACACTCACCTTCACTACTTGCACGTTTCCCCCAGGACTAACTAAGACCGGGATAAACCCATTTCTAATACAATTCACTTTAATATCCAAAACACAACCAGCACGCCCTGCGCTCGTCGACTGAATGCCGCGGCTCACGCAACGAAAGAGGATTATTCAACTACCGACCTCTGTATTTATAGACCAAAGTCAGTGTAGTAGGTTGGTCTATAAATACTAGATGGCGCTATTTACAATATTCGTAATAATCCTTACATTGGGTTCTTCATTAGTACTAAAAACAAACTACCTTCTTTTAATATATTTTTAAAATATCTGATTTTTTCTACAATAATGATGTGAATTCTAACAGAAGGATGACTTAAAAATTGTCTGCGTAACAAATCTCAATTTCAGTATTTCAACCGCCGAGCAGTTTGCATTGTAAGTAAGCTATGATTCGTTTATAAGCTGAGCTAAGGCAGTAAAATTACAGGATCTAAGGCATGATGATCTTAGTGGTATCAATGCTGTTAATGATAACGTGATGCGACCGTTGCTACTCACCACAGGCAGTCTATATGTTTGCTATTCCAGTAAAAAAAATGAGAACAATTATAAATAATGCTGATAAGAAATACACTATTTTGCCTAATACACCTGTGTTTATAGCTTATGAAGATGATGCCGAAGAGAATAAGGTTCGCAGAGAGCAGCAAAGATTGAAATTCATTACTACGTTACGCAACGCGAATAAATATTTAGAGAACGCCGACAAAGAGTTAAACAAAGTAAGTTAAATATAATATGTTAATTACCTTACACATAAACAACATGTCATAAATAATTGTCTTCCTGGTGCTTCATTGCCTAATATTTTAAATAAGGTGGTTAATGGTAGGTATGATAAGTTAACCACATTAGTCATTGCTTTAGGCAACTGTTTATATGTAAAAAAAGTCATGTAATTAAACTTGTAAACTCTTTGCTTAATATTGCTGAGCTGGGCATAGGTAAAATAATATTATGTGCATTTCCTTACTGTCGTTCTCTGACCATTGAACAAAATAAGTTCATATATTATATTAATAATTTAATTTATAATATGACATGTCGTCATAATGACTTTTTATTTTTTGATAGTAACAAATTTGTTACAAACTTTTGTATGACTGGAGATAGATTTTATCTGCCTAAAAAACAAATAAGAAATATAGCTAGTTTACTAGCTTATAATATAAATGACCCCATTATAAGTAATATAATGGGTTGCATTAATCCAATTAGTAGTACTTGTACTAATGTTAATACTAAACATACTGAAAATATTGACATAAATATTGATTCTAGTAAGAATCCTTTTATTTACAAAAATTTAAATATGACTGCAGATTTAAACTGCTGAAAAAGACAAAGGGAAAGCTATCAGAATTGAAAATTGTTCACCAGAACATACAAAGTTTTCTCGGCTGTGAATTAATTATTCAATTGTTTTTAGAAAAAAATAATATAGATGTTCTATGTTTAACTGAACATTGGCTCAAAGTGAGCAATATGATGTTCAGCTTAAACAATTATAATATTGTCAGCTGCTTTAATAGAAAAATAGTAAATAGAGGAGGTTCTATGATATTGGTGAAAAATAATATAAAAGTAAAAGAACGTAGTGATATTGGCAATCTTTCTGTTGAATGTTGTATTGAAATTTCCTGTGTGGAACTAGACAATTATATAGTTATATGTGTTTATAGACCTCCAAATAGTGATTATAATTTATTTGAAGAGGTAATGGAGGATATTTTAAAAAGAGTATTTAATATTAACAAAAAAATTATAGTGTGTGGTGATTTCAATGTTGACATTTTATCACATAATACCACAAAAACTAAATTAATGAGTTTATTTCAATCCTTTGACTTGAGTAATGTCTTCCACGAACCCACTCGTATCACTGCCACGTCTGCTACTTGCTTGGATAACATATTTAGCAACAGTGAGTATTTAGATAAAATAATAATAAACAACCTTCCTTCTGATCACTGTGGTCAAATAGTTATTTTTCCAAATCACTTAAACAAAATTGGGAAAATTAATTTATTAAAAAGAGACTTGACTAGTTATAAGATAAATAAATTTAAAATATCAGTTCGTAGTAAATTAGATTTTTATCTTCCATCTAATGAACCTAACAAACTTTATACAGATTTCTTCAATATTGTTTCTAACGAATATAATAAGGCTTTTAACAAAAAAACTATCAGTATTATTAACAAAACAAAATTTTCAGAATGGGCTACAAAGGGAATTCTTAAAAGTAGAAATATATTATTTGATTTATATGCTCAAAAAAAATACCGTTTCGATAGTACATTCGTAAATTATGTAAAAAGATACTCAAAAACTTTTAAAAAGGTATGTAATGTAGCAAAGTCTAATTATCTAAATAAAAAAATTAAAGAGTCCAAGGATAAGATAAGGACAGTGTGGAATATTATTAACAAAGAAACTGGCAAAGTTAAAAGTCCATATAACGATTTTACGCTAAATTATAATGATAAACTAGTAACGTCCACAAAAGAAATTGTCAATATTTTTGAAAATTTTTTCGCTAATATTCCAACTGATATTACTTCCTCTTTGGACTCTTCTCCTGGTACAGCTAAATCATTCCTTATTGATAATGTTGTTTCTTGTCCGGTTACATTTAAATTTACATTTATTGACATTGCTACAATTACTAAAACATTTAAACAATTAAATTTAAAAAATACTGAAGACCATTGGGGCATGTCTGTTAAAGTTATTAACACCGCTATAGATGTTATTGCTCCATATTTAGTAATTATTTTCAATAAATGTATTTCTGACGGTGTTTTTCCCAATTTAATGAAACATAGCAAAATAACTCCACTCTTTAAGTCAGGAGAAAAAACTGTGGTAGGTAATTATAGGCCTATATCTATCTTACCAGTATTGAGTAAAGTGTTTGAAAAAATTATGCTCAATCAAATGCTACAACACTTTAAAGTAAATAAACTGCTTCACAGTCGACAATTTGGTTTCACGGCCGGTAAATCAACTACTGATGCCGGTGTAGCTCTCATTAAATATATATTTGATTCTTGGGAGAGGTCTCAGGATGCAGTCGGTGTATTTTGCGATCTTTCAAAAGCATTTGATTGCGTTGAACATGAAACACTTTTGCTCAAACTTGAACATTACGGTATTAGATATGAAGCACAAAGCATGATGAAATCCTATCTAAATAATAGAATGCAAGTTGTCGAAATAAATGGTGTAAAGTCTGAAGGAACTAGTATTAAAATGGGTGTTCCTCAGGGCTCTATTTTAGGTCCTTTCTTATTTTTAGTTTACATAAATGATCTTCCTTATATGGTAGAAAAGATAGCTGACATAGTTCTGTTTGCTGATGATACTTCATTAGTATTCAAAGTCAATCGACATATTGATGATTTGGACGAAGTAAACGGTGCTCTTTCTTATGTTTTAAAATGGTTTACGGCTAATAATATGTTACTAAATGCAAATAAAACTAAATGTATCAAATTTACTCTCCCCAATGTAAGACCGGTAGATTCAAAAATCATGTTGGACAATAAACCTATTAATTTTGTGGATGATACTGTATTTCTAGGTATCACATTAGATTCCAAGTTGCAATGGGGTGCCCATATTACTAAATTAGCGAGTCGACTTAGTTCTGCCGCTTATGCGGTAAGAAGAATTAGACAATTAACAGACGTGGCAACAGCTAAACTTGTGTACTTTAGTTATTTCCATAGCATTATGTCGTATGGTATTTTGTTATGGGGCAAAGCAGCTGATATAAATACAATATTTATTTTACAAAAGAGGGCCATTCGCTCCATTTATAGCATGGGTTCCAGGGAGTCTTTGCGAGAGTGCTTTAAGGAATCAAATATCCTCACCGTTGCTTCTCAATATATTTATGAAAACATCATGTATGCCAGGAAGAATATAGACAGTTTCAAAAGAGTTAGTGATTGCACTAATAAAAGCTTACGTAACAATAACAAACTGATTTTACCTAAATGTCGTTTGGCTAAAGTTAGTAATTCGTTTTATGGCAATTGCGTAAGGTTTTACAATAAAATACCAGAGTCTGTTATAAATCTGCCAGAAAAAAGATTTAAATGTCAAATAAAACACTTCCTTTGCAAAAAAGCTTACTATAAAATTGAAGAATTCGTTAACGATAATAATGTTTTTGTAGAAAAATTTTAAATACATAGCACTGACAATATTATCTGATTACACTAATAATGAGTGCGTAGCGATTTCTATGTTGATTGTCGCATGCCTCTTACTTGTTACACTGTAATTATTTATATAAAAAAAACATCTATCAAAAAGAGCAACACACAAGTTTCTTGCTCATTCTTCTTGTGATGAATCTGCATTCCGAATGAGTGGTAGAATCAAAATATGACTATTCAAAAGTGCTTGTAATGAGTTTATTTGAATAAAGATTATTTCTATTTCTATTTCTATTTCTATTTCTATAAATGGCTTCAAAAATATCACACTCTTGGAAAAAAACGACCTTTTTAAGTCTTAATTTTTTCTATTTTGGACTTCATAGATCAATGTTTTTGCAGTAATATTGATCTAATCATACTAAATAATATTAAATAAATTGTCCCAAAACGTTGCTCTTTCTTTGAAATATTTAGATGCGAAAAAGATTAAATGAGAACGGAAAAATACGTTAATATTTTTTTCAGCCTAGTAATTCTGAAACGAAAACCTTCAAATATTTAAAATACAAAGACACTATGTGCATACAACGTCTTACTCTCATACGCAAAAATTATTGCTTTCTTCGAATATTTTATATAATAAAAAAATAAATTATATCTTCAACAGCCTTTAATAGCAAGTTCTAAGGATGCCAGCTCAGGAACTGAAGAAAATGTTGCAGAACGCATTGCTGAATTGAAATCTATTGTAGCTTCTGTTATTGCTACGACTGCAGGTAATTATTATATTTGTACATCATCTAAGTCAGAGGTTCCCAAACTTTTGTGTGTCGTAGACTCCTTGCCATATTTTTCGGTTTTGGGTAGCCTCCCATTCTTACCTGGTATTGATTTTTTGTAAATTTCTAACTATAGTAAAGTTTAGTGTTAAAAACATAAAGTAAAAACAACAGGATGTTCGCTGTCGTTCCCTTGCACTTTGTCATAGATCCCTGGGGGTCGATATAGACCGTTTTGGGAATCACTGATCTAAGTAATCAGCGTCATTCCTAAACTCAATAGCATGATTTGGTATCCAAATGATAGTAATAAATTTAATATGGTAACTTTGGGAGCGCAGGGAGAAAGGGAAATAAATTTATTAATGGAGACTCCAGAGAGAGTGACTCCATTGCTTAGAATTAACCATGTCAGATCGATCTCCATGGAGACCTAACTGGAAACTAGCGTAGTTAATTCCTGGTAAATTTGTTACGATGTCTTGACCCCATGTAGATCTTGGTTTCCAGTGCTGTCTCGCGTGGTTAGATAGATAGATAAATTCTTTATTCACAATTACAGACATAACATACATGAGATACAGAAAAAACACGAATTATTAAAAGAAATGTAGGTGACTTTATGTGCCGCAAAAGTGAAAAGACAGCCAACTCAGCATAATGCTACAGATAACTCTGCAGCGATATTCTGTTGGCTCCATACTTATACTATACTTAATATTAAAAAAAAATTATAAGGAGTTTGTTCCCATGTCTTGACCCCATGTAGATCTTATCATCTTCGTGTGGTGCCCCACCAGCGTAAACTAACGGTATACTCTGTGGAGGATACCGTCTCTGTGGAGATCATACCATTATCCTCCATAAAAGCATGGTTAGACAGCATTTAAATCATTCAATATTTTGGATTGCAGATCGTGATAGCCCAGATTACGCATCGGCCGATGTTGCAATTGGCACTATGTACACCCTTCTGCCTGGAGTTATTAAGGGTATGTTATTATATTTATTTCTATAACATCTAAATATATATAGCTGAAAGGTGACTGACTGACTGACATAGTGATTTATCAACGCACAGCCCAAACCACTGGACGGATCAGGCTGAAGTTTGATATGCAGGTAGATGTTATGACGTAGGCATCCGCTAAGAAAGGATTTTGATAAATTCCACTCCCAAGGGGATAAAATAGGGGATGAAAGTTTGTAGAAACTTTGCCAATTTTAAACCGATCGGGCTGAGACTTTGCATGCATAAATCTACTATGACGTAAGCATCCCCTAAGAAAGGATTTTGATAAATTCCACCTCTAAGGGGATTAAACAGGGGATAAAAGTTTGTATAAATCTTCTTAGATTTTCGATTGATTGAACTGAAATTAAAGATTGGAGCTACTATGATGAAAACGTTCGCTTAAATAGGATTTTGATAAATACAACCCCCATGAGGATAGAATAAGGGATGATGCAGGATGTAAATGTATTAGTTTGAACCTATCAGTACCTAATAGAACGAATAAATTAAGACGAACAAAATAATTTTTAGTTCTTTAGGCTACTTTTATTTTAGAAAAATAAAGTTAAATTCCAAATGGACGAAGTCGCGGGAACAGCTTGTTTATTGATGACTTATAGGATGACGTATATAAGGACGGCAGGGAAAAATATTAATCCAAAAAATTAAACTTGCATACGTGTTAAAACGTCCTTCATTAATAAAGGATGAATATAAGACAAAATAGATGTTACAGTAATTCCTATATCTTATATATAAAATACTCGTGTCAGATGATGATGAATGTTAGTTACCATACTCCTCCGAAACGACTTGATCGATTTTTATGAAATTTTATATGCATATTCAGTAGGTCTAAAAATCGGCTACTATCTATTTTTCATACCCCTAGTGATAAGGGTTGTCCACCAGCAACATTTTTTTTATTTTTTGGGCAAAGTTTTTATTTTTTTATTATGTGCCATTAAAAAATACATACAACCCTAAATTTTCACCCTTCTATCACCAACCCCTATTTTTTTATAGCGTTATTAATTTACATGGCAAAACGTTTGTCGAGATACCTAGTAATGTATAATAAGCAGATATATTAATATTGTAGTGTTCAATAATATAAATTCATTATATTCAGATGCCAAAGCTCTAAGTGCAAATAAAGAAGTTGAAGCCCGTGGAAAGATTATGGATGACCTTAAGAAACTTTTGGCTGCTACTCAAGAAATATGTGCAAGCACGGCCTCAAACAACATTGAAGTCAGTCAGCTTTATTTATCCTATTCCGTAAATCTATTATCTTTATTTATCTATTGCTTGTTTGCCATCGTAGTAGTATATGGTGGAAAACAAGCATACGGCCCATCTGATGGTAAATGGTTACCGTAGCCTATGGACGCCTGAAACACCAGGATCACGTGCGCGTTGCCGACCCTAAAATATGAATTAAATTAAAGTGTCTGTTTGTAATATTGAAATAACCGTTTTTTACTACATGCATATTAATACAAATAGTGTACATAAACCAAAATAACATTTTTTACAATTTTTGTCTGCAGTCTGTTTGATCCGACTAATCTCTGAAATGACGGGACCATTTTTGGTGGGTAGCTAATGTAATGAGTAACTTAGGCTACTTTTATTTTAGAAAAATAAAGTTAAATTCCACGCGGACGAAGTCGCGGGTACGGCTAGTTAAGAATAATAAGAAAATGTAACTTCAGGTGCACCTGTTGAATTACAAGAAATTGTTTTACTTTATCACTACATACTATAAAAGAAAGTGGCTGTCTGATTAAAGCATAAACAGGAACGGATAGACAACAGATAGGAAGTAAATAACGCGATGACTGCGAACAGGGATGAATGGAAGCGAAAAAAATATTACGCCGCACAAATAAATGGGATAAGGAAGAAGCAGATGATGATGATGATGATGATGAGGAACGGATAGACAGCGGTCTATCCGTTTCTGTTTATGCTTAAATCTTTGAAACTAGGCAACGAAATTTGAAGCGGTTTTTAATAGATAGTGATTCTAAAGGAAGGTTTATATATATAATACATGTACACCCGTGCGACAGCGGCAGCGACTTTATTTTATATTTGTAATGATGATGATTCCCAAACCAAGCATGCTTAACGACTCATAAATGAGTTTTTAGTAATAATTTACTGATAAGTACAAATCTGTTGCAGGAACTTAATGAAGTTAGTGCGAAATTTGCTGAAGCATCCAGTGATCTGTATTATGCTTTCAGTCCACGAGTTTCTCCAGTTACAGAAGATGAGGTGATTGGGATTTCTGTGATTTCTATCGTGTTACTGTTTAGTTGTATCTATTTGTGTGTAGCTTACTGAAATAACTTTGGATTGAAATTTTGTACAATTTTATCGCCAGATCTAATATTAGTTTTACCACAGATAAGGCTCTATTACAAAAAAATAACTGTATATTAAATAGTCCATAATACATAAGTAACAAGCTTATGTATATGAACGTAAATATGAACTCTGTAAAGCAGGAAATACAATCCTACAGTAAAAGCTACCAGTCTAGACGAAATGTACATAGAAATGAACTGGCCACACAACTGCAACAGGGATCGGCGAGTATAAGATTCTCTCGACTTAAAAGACGTGATATCCAGACACTTGCGGACCCCTCCGATCGATCCCCCGTCCAATTCAAACAGTGATCGATATTACGACGGCCTGAGCCGAGGTTCGAACTCCTAGTGGTGCCCTCAGACTAAAATCGTATCCGTCAGGCAGGAGTTGGCCTTCAGCCGCTCCATAAGTCCTTCCGCGGGTTTGGAGTGCCATCTGCACTCGTCCCCTAACGTCCGGTGAAGCTGTAAAGGCCAGCTGCGGCCAACAGCAATTGGAGTAGTCCGAAATTTAAAAAAAACACGTGCTGAAAGACTCGCAGACAGTGGCCGAGGGTGACTCATTGGAGCAGCAGCGTGAATTTTAAGTGGAATACAAAAAATTAAATAAAAAGAGCAAAGTAGTATTTTGAAAATATAAAAAAAAATAATGTTCAAGTCCTTTATATGTTGGTGCAATAAAGTGTTATAAAATAAAAGAGCCATCAGATTGCCAATTAGCAGTATTCAAAGGGAAAAAATAAAAAACAAGTTTTACTATATCTATAGATTCAGTTTTATAAATTTTAACGTAAATACTTTTGTCTCAAACATTCACGATCTAAATCTTTGTATCATACGTTACGTCCTACACCTGGACAATTTAGTTCAAGTAACAATATGTACATTTACCTTAAATACAACAAAAAGTATAAAAGAGAGTTTTCTAAATGTTTAATTACTTTGTAGCTTAATTTAGTCTTACGTAATTAATAACCTATAGATTACAGTATTTATTAACTAAAAATTAAGGGACAGGAACAGATTTTTCCATATTAATACATAAAATGTGAAATATTAATTTCAGATCATAGATAATTCTACAGTTGCGTGTACTCAAGCATCAGAATTGTTGGCAAACGTTTACCAGCTCGTTGAAGAAATAGGTGGCGAGGAAGGGGCTGTACTAGATAAAAAGGGGACAGTCACAGCTGATGCTGCAAAAGCTTTACTCGCTATTGCTCAAGTAAAGAGAATATTCTATTAAATAAATAATAATTGTCAAATGTTTTATGTTTTTGAAATTGCTATTCGATTAGAATTGAAATTGCTTTCCGACTGCCCACGTTAGCGGCATGCACTTACGAGGGAGCAATGGAATCCTCCATTGGATGAGGATGAAATTAGAGAGTTAGCCCATCATATGGTTTGCAGGTCGACCAGACCACTACTCCTATTATTGTCAATTCTCATCCCAGCACACAGACCAAACTTATACAAGATGTTAGAAGTAAAGATTATGTGTATTTAATTTAAGTAGCGCAGAAAGCACGGCTGATAGCAAAGGAGAAAGTTTTAAGTCATCCATATATAAAAATTCATCAAGATATTTCTAACAATTTCTAATTTTGACAGTTAACAGCAGCAAGCGTCAACGAATCGTGTTGCCGCGAGGCTTTGGTGTCCGCTGTAGACAAGTTATCAGCGACAGCTTACGACCTGGAAGCAACATTCAAGCCAATGACGCGGGATCGTAGATATGCCGACCTTGGAGTGAAGTTACAAAATCAACATCAACAGCTGCAAGACGAATTGGACAAACTGAAGAAATCCTGCCCACCAGCAGTGGATCAATGTCGAAGAATGCAGTATGTGAGAACTGCGCAAGAGATGAAGCAAGCTGTAGAAGCTGCCCAGCAGGAATTAGAAAAGGTTCGTACTATATTACGTTATTTGAATAGACTGTTATGTAAATAGACTATTTACGTGCCAGCAGACAAACCCCGACAGGAGTTTTGCTGGATAATGAATGTGGGAAATTAGGAAAAAGAAAGCTATCTATCTATAAGGTCTGCACAATTGCCTGGCTTTAAATCCATTGTTTGAGCTAGGTGCTGTATATCATCGTCTTCCAGATTTCAGATTCCTATTAGTCATCATATTTGAGTTTACTTTTCTTTAATTCATATCATATTATATCTCCATCCATCCACATATTTTTTGGATCGTCTTCGCCCATTTCAACCACGTTCATCTTAATAATATTACAAACGCAAAAGTTTGTGAGTATGAATGGATGTTTGTTACTCTTTCACGCAAAAAATACTGAACCGGTTTTGATGAAAAGTAATATAGCTTATACATCAGTATAACACATAGGCTATAATTTAAGATGTCCAGTAAGTGTAATGCAGACGAAGTTGCGCGATTCAGGTAGTAATAAATACTTTCTTTAAGTCATGGTTTTCGCTTCTCCGTATAACATGTCCATACCAAGATAATCTGTTGAAAGACGACTGCATGCAACTGAAATGAGAATGTTGAGATGGATGTGTGGTGTGACAAGAATGGATAAGATAAAGAATTAATACATTAGAGGAAGTATGAAAGTGGCACCGGTGTCAAAGAGGTTGAAGAGTAATCTATCATGGTATGGACACGTAATGCGTAGGAATGAGGATAATATTTTAAGAAAGGTGTTCCATATGAATGTGGATGGTTATAAGGGCAGAGGAAGGCCGAAAATGAGATGGATGGACTATGTGAAAGATGATATGGTAAGAAAGGAAGTAAATAACGCGATGACTGCGAACAGGGATGAATGGAAGCGAAAAACATGTTACGCCGACCCCAAATAAATGGGATAAGGAAGAAGCAGATGATGATGACCAAGATAATCTGTTGTAATAAAATGACTGTCAGTTGTTTAAAGAAATGTTGCTAAAATAATGCGTCACGTATTCGTAAAACATTATAGGTGACTACGTTAGCAGCAGCCTTGTGTTTTGCTCGTCCCTGTCCGCATATACTCGTATGTACATTAGCCATGATGTGTTGCAGCTTTGTGTAATAACCTTGTAGATATTTTATGTTAAAAAGAGAAATCGTACAAATTTAATTTATTTCAGAAACAGCCGGACACAAAATGTCTTGATCACTAACCAATAAAAACTAAAGATAATATAATTATAATTGCATTTGCTAAGAGCTGAGTGTGCAGTGATACATCTGATCTTGCAGCCGGCGGGCGCGCCAGTGCGGGGCGAGGCGAGCGTGGTGCGCCAGCTACAGCTGCAGCAGCGGATGGCGAGACTCAACGCTGCCATTGCCGCACTCGTCGCAGCCACCGCAGGTAATTTTTTTGTCCTGTGTACTCCAAACTCGTGGAACTCGTGGAAGAATTATTGAGCTGAAGGCCAACTACTGCAACACTTTAGTCTGAAGGCACCGTTATGGGTTCAAACTTTGTCGTAATTTCGATCCTCGTTTGAATTGAACGAGGGTTGGATCGGAGAAGAGAACCACCGATAATGCATGTTCTTATATGTATACGAGTATATACTAATAGGTCTAGGTTTCGCGCCGCTCGTTTGTGCAATCTTCTTTTTCTTCTTCTTCAATCATGCGTGCTTTCTCCCGTTTCTGTAATATATTATAACTAGCTTTTGCCCGCGGCTTCGCTCGCCTTATTTTATCCCCTTAGGGGTGGAATTTATCATAGTAGCTTCATGCATGCAAAGTCTCAGCCCGATCGGTTTAAAATTGACAAAGTTTCATACAAAGTTTCATCCCCTATTTTATTCCTTGGGGGTAGAATTAATCAAAATCCGTTCTTAGCGGATGCCTACGTCATAACATCTACCTGCATGCCAAATTTCAGCCCGATCCGTCCAGTGGTTTGTTCTCTGCGTTGATAGATCACTACGTCAGTCACCTTTGAGTTATATATATTTAGAAGATTATGAATACTATATTAATACTTGAATTATATTTCATGCTAGAAGGGAAGAGCGTGGACTACGTCAAGGCGGAAGAAGCCGTCTGTACCGTCAACGAGCTAATACCTCAAGTGGTCAAGGGTTAGTACCAGCTTCAGTATCTATTGATTAACTGTCTCTTTTACGTATATATGTTATATATGTTTTTTTATTGAGGGGTGGGAGAGGAATACTGTGCTTTAGAGGTGTTTGGGACAGGATGGAAAGCAACTTTCGTTATCATTGTGGTAAATGTTTGCAGAGACTAAGGCTCTGAGTGCAAGCGGCGACGAGAAGTCTCGCCGAGCTGCTCAGGCGGAGCTGCTGGCACTGTGTGATGCTGTGCGAGGAATCAGTGATGCTGCACAGCAACACGACGCGAAGGTGGGTTGTTGACAGCTAATTAAATTGAGCATTACAGTCATACTCAGGTATATAAATGTTTGGATTGTCTCAGGAATCGAACTTGAGACCATCAAGTATAGCGGAGTGCTAAACCGTTAAATCACCGAGACCGTTCAAAAAATGTGTATTGTTTGTTTCAGGGCGTTAATGAGTACGCATCGAAATTCTCAAATGCTTCAGGAAAACTGACATTTGTTGTGAACCCGCGAACAAGTGCAGAGAAGACAAAACAGGTAATTTGGAAGAGATAATTTAGAATTGTTTATGGTCATTATTAATTAGAAGCAAATTCAAATTCAAATTCCAAATATCTATGTATATTCATGTAAGTCTATTACAGACTCTTATGATATGTCAAATCTACCGTCAGTTCGGTATGATGGAATGAGTTGTCGATGGCGAGCGGTGCGATGGTGAAAGATGCCCGTAGGCATCATGTCAAACAATTCCTCAGAACACAGTCCGTTGTATAATCGGTAGAAATATTGTAGCGAAGTCTCGCCTCAAACTAAGTGGCTCGATACCGTCAGAGAGATTGGGATCATCGAAATTTCAGAATAGAGTGACCATATAAGAAAGGATAATGACTTTAAACAATTCTCACAGCGCCATTTTGTCCCAAACTAAGCAGATAGTGGGTTACGGATACTAGACAACTGATAGAACTACTTAAATACATTTTTTGTAAATTGTGTACATAACATATATATATATATATATATATGCGACTCATCAAACCCGTGTCCGTTGGAGATAAGGCATTGTGTTAAACCTCTAGACCACAGAGGCTTCAAGGCAATGATATTATTTGAGAGATTTATATAACCACGATGTGACGATAACGAACGATCGCGATATGATCAGAAAACCATCTATTACATCACCAGATCATGGATATATCATCATCGGTGAGCAAGCAAACGTCACAGTTGGTGGCGGAAGCACAGAAGTTGTCCAAGTCAGTCGGCGGCCAAGTCCAATTGGACGAGAGCAGTCAGAAGACGGCGAACGCGGCCAAGGTTTTACTTACATGTGCAAAGGTAAGTGGTAAATGCAATATACACCTTAAGAAAAGTGTGTCTATACAATTTTAAGGGGGTATGAGGACACGTCCCTTTAGGGTTTAGGTCTAAGACCTACTTCATCGAGAACCTAGGAGTTTGTAATGATATAACCGAGACATAATATAAGTGTTTTTAATGCATGTTTCGGCCTTATATACAAAGTTGCACGTGTCGCGTACACGTGCCGCTGCACGTAGCAACGGCATGAAGGTCACGCAGCTGTGTTGCTAATGTTACACGTGCCGTGTGACAAGGATTCTAGGAAGTTTCAAGGACTAAAGGTGGCACGTGTAGAAAGTATGCTGCTATACAATAAAATTATTGCTATCGCGCTTGGGAGAGGCGAGACGCAAGATCTCTCTATAGAGATAGAACAGAAAGAGAAGAAAGAGAAAATATTTCATAATAGTTTTGTATGGAAGAGGTCGGCATCTTAACATTGTTAGTCTTTAACTTTTATTTTTCGGATTTTTGTACAAAAAATATCATTGTAATCCCATTGACAATCCCATCGTAACTACATATACTAAATAACAAAAATAAAATTAAAAGAAATAATATGATACCATCCAGAAACAACAACTTAACATTGTTAGTTAATAAGTTATTTCTAGAGGTTTCACGTACTTATTATCGTTTAAGTTACTACTGATATTGCTCTGTGTTTGTGTGCGCTGATAAAAGCAATTTAATAAATTGATCCCTCGCAGTTGGTAATTATTTAATTGTGTTTATAATTTTTAAGAATTGTTCCGATTAGTTTGTAATAATGAGGTTGACATGTCTGAAAACAAAAACAAAGTCCTCTGCATTTCATTGTTTTTCTATTTTCCTTACTTTAATCACCTGAGTTTTTATAATTTATCTAGGTAGAATTTGTCAGTCAAACAAGTTTTAAATGAACGGAATCTGAACGACTGATAGTTGTAAAGAGAATTGTAATGAAGTAATGACAATTCACAATTGGAATTAATAATCGAAAATAATGAAAGCTAATATGTAACTAAAAAAAGCTGCCTTTACACGATTGTCCTTTCACGCGCGTTCAGAAGGGCGCGTGTTTTTGCGTGGCAATACTAGCGCGCGCAATCGTGAGTGATGACAGTTAACTATTTTGGTGTTCACTCTTGATTACGTGCGTTTGTCTTAAGTCATTTTATTTTTAATCTTGTTTTTTATTCCATAAATTCCATTTTATAAAGACACGTTTAAGGTTAATTAATTAATCAACAACCTTATAATTATGACGTTGCGCCATAGACAGATATATGCAATTTTTCAAAGATAATTAATTATTATTACAAAAATGCGTTAAAACATATACGACAGAAGGACGTAAGGAAAAATGCGAGCTGGCGGCGCGTTGGGTCTTTCTCGTTCTCTTTGTGGATGAGAAGAAGGTGCATTCACCTACCTTCTTTATTGAATGTCCGTGTAAAGGAGGCTAATGTTTTTTTTTTGTATACTACCATGGTGGCAAACAAGCATACGGCCCATCTGATCTAAATCGTTACCGTAGCCTATGGCGGAGGTTGCTGATATCTATCAGGCAACAGCATAAGATAGTAATGATTGCTGACTGTGACTTGTGCAGCTGACTGCTCCCCACGCGGGCGAGGCTCGCTGTCGGGAGATGCTAGCGTCAGCCGCGGAGAGCCTGCGGAGGGAGGCGGGGCAGCTGGCGGCCGAGTGCGCTCTGGAGAGAGACTCGCAGCCGGCGCTGGCGGCCGACGTGGACCGCAGCCACCGACAGCTGCGGGGCTTGCTGGATCAGCTCGCGGCGGCCTGCGGAAATGGCGGCGGTGAGAGGATCTTTTGTATAAGTGTGTTCCTACCAAGTAGACGGCGCTATGGTTTCGTTCAAAGATATTTACAATGTTTATAACATTTTCTTTCAGGGAAAGGAGCTTTGAGGGCTCCATTGAAAACCGTTAGCGCTATAGGAGAGAAACAGCGATTAACAAAAGCTGCGTCAGCTACTCAAGACGCAGTCAAAGCAGCACACGAGGAGTTGGACAAGGTTGGTGTCATCACACGACTGTCAATTTGTACTAGCTATGATATCCAAGGCTCGCATGTTTACACGTATTTCTGATACCGTCTCCTTTAGCTGTCCCCACGTGAGGTAGTCGAAGAATTGGCAACTGTCAGCGTTGTGGTGAACGCAATACTTCATATGCCCACATTTTGAGAGGTTAAGGAGAGCTTTCCGTTGTTTGAGAGTGAGTCTGCGGAAGAGTTGTATCGGATTGTGTAATGATATTTATTTAGGGAACAGCCAGACACGATACCTTGATCACTAACCAATAAGAACTAAAGATAATATAATTATAATTGCATTTGCTAAGAGCTGAGTGTGCAGTGATACATCTGATCTTGCAGCCGGCGGGCGCGCCAGTGCGGGGCGAGGCGAGCGTGGTGCGCCAGCTGCAGCTGCAGCAGCGGATGGCGAGACTCAACGCCGCCATCGCCGCACTCGTTGCAGCCACCGCAGGTGATATATGCAATTATTTATGTATAAACTAATAAGGTGCCTTTACCCATACGCTGTTTTATCCGCATATTGGCTTGCATACAAGGAAGAGTGTGCATATAAAAGTAGACAAAAGCTGCCTTTACACGACACGTTCTTTCACGCACGATTGATGTGCGTGGAACAGTGAGCGCGCGCAATCGTGATTGCACTGAAGTATTTTTTGTGTTCAATCTTTCGCACCCTATTGTTTGTTTGTATTGTTTTATAATTTTAGTTGTTTAATTCATAGATTTTATTTTGCCAAGCAACATTTAAGTGTTCTTAAATTATTAATTATAATTATGGCTTTGATCTATGGTCAAATAACGTTTCAACCTTCTTTATGCAGGATACTGGGTACAAGCATAAATGGACTAAGACTTTTGCTGCTTTTGCTTGTCAATATACATAGATACTAACTAATGTGTAACGATCTTAAATTATATTTCATGTCAGATGGAAAGAGCGTGGACTACGTCAAGGCGGAGGAAGCCATCTGTACCATCAACGAATTACTACCACAAGTGGTCAAGGGTTAGTACCAGCCTCAGTATTTATTGCCTCACTTTCTCTTCTGTATATATAGATATTTGTATTGAGTTTGGCCTATTACTCAGTTTGGATATTGTTTTAGGCCTGTAGCACTGCGACCTGCAGAGATCTATTGTCTTCGCCATTTTTTCAGAGTTCGTTGCCTTGAATTGAAGTAGTATCTACATATTCTAATGGCAATTAAATCCTAGTTTCTTCGACGTAACCTTGTCCTACAGATGGGCAATTTCAATTTCGTGGTATCATTGAATACCACGTTATTATTTTCAGAAACTGTGTTGAGAATCATTTTGAATATTTTATTACAACTACACACATATCATTATACTTGTATATAAATTATTATTGTGCTAAACGTTTTGCAGAAACTAAGGCTTTGAGTGCAAGCGGCGACGAGAGGTCTCGCGGAGTTGCTCAGGCGGAGCTGCTGGCACTGTGTGATGCTGCGAGAGGAATATGTAATGCTGCTCAGCAACACAACGCGAAGGTGAGGTGTTGACAACTCATTAAACTGAGTACTCGATAATTAGATGGACTGTTTATGAAAAATTCGACTAAATTGAACTGAGTGCCGTCATTTGTAATATCCATTTCGGATAATTACAGGATCCTATATATTTTTTAAATTTATTGGATGAATCTAGCTGGGTAATTAAAAATAATAACCCGGGACAATTCACAGAGAGTCATAAAATCTCAAGTTAAGCTTGTGTTATGGTTACTAAATATATATTGTTTGTTTCAGGGCGTTAATGAGTATGCATCGAAATTCTCAAATGCTTCAGGAAAACTAACATTTGTTGTAAACCCGCGAACAAGTGCAGAGAAGACAAAACAGGTAACTAGTGGTGGCGATGATGAGAGATGACGTCATCTCAAGATTAGCAGAGCTTGTGTTACGGATACCATACAACTTATAGAAACACTTAAATATACGTAAATACACACGTAACATGCATAGAAAACATCTAAACCAATACAAAAAATCATTCTCATAAATACAAATATTCATAGTGTGCAAGGTATCGAAATCGCGATCATCGAAATTAAAACAGAGACCGATGATGATGAAGGTAGAAATTTTATTTTATAATATTTTATTACATCACCAGATCATAGATATATCATCATCGGTGAGCAAGCAGACGTCACAGTTGGTGGCGGAAGCGCAGAAGTTGTCCAAGTCAGTCGGCGGCCAAGTCCAATTGGACGAGAGCAGTCAGAAGACGGCGAACGCGGCCAAGGTTTTACTTACATGTGCAAAGGTAAGTGGTAAATGCAATATACACCTTAAGAGGAGTGTATCCTTGCAAGAAAATTACAATGTATTGTAGTTACACTTCAGTATTCGTTCTATCTCTATTCAGAGACCCTGAGACTACCTTCACCCTAGCGCGAAAGTAATACTTCTAATCGAAATTTTGCCGTAAATATTTATATTCCACTTTATTCGGCTATCTCTATTATTTTATATTTAATCGAATTAGATGTTATTATGCGGAAATCCATTTCACTACTTAATGTATTTATATTATTTTGTTTAATTCCGCTACAATTAGCATCTGTGAGGTCACAAATATTCGGTGTGGAAACTTGACTACCTTTACGACCTTCTCTAATATTACAGTTAATGTAAAGGTATTTCTTCCATTATTTTGAAAGTCCATTATAATTTCATTATACATAGCTTCGCGTATTTATAATTTATACTTTATTTTACTACAAAATCGTCTGCGTGGATACTCCTGTTTACTTATTTTAGTCTATTTTGTTTTTAAGATTTATTTACTTCTGTCTGTACTTATTTCAGACTGTGGAACAGGTTTTAAGTTATCTGTATTTGAAGGGCTTATAGCAATGTAATTGCAATGTGTCATGACTAATAATCCTCAATAGTGGCCATTAATAGCTGCTTTAATGCAATTGAAGGACGCGAAATTGCGCGAGCTGGGAGCGAGCGCTGTTCTCTCTTGTTCTTTTCGTCTACATTTACACGCATTTTCTTTCTTGGGCATACGTGCAAGGGCAACTAATGTCTATCAGCAATGGTTGCTATTTTCCCTCAGGCAACAGCATAAGATAGTAATGATCGCTGTCTGTAACTTGTGCAGCTGACGGCTCCCCACGCGAGCGAGGCTCGCTGCCGGGAGGTGCTGGCGTCGTCCGCGGAGAGCCTGCGGAGGGAGGCGGGGCAGCTGGCGGCCGAGTGCGCTCCGGAGAGAGACTCGCAGCCGGCGCTGGCGGCCGACGTGGACCGCAGCCACCGACAGCTGCGGGGCTTGCTGGATCAGCTCGCGGCGGCCTGCGGAGACGCCGGCGGTGAGAGGATCTTTTGTATAAGTGTTTTGCTTCAAAGTAAATGGCGCTATAGTTTCGTTCAACAATATTTACAATTTATATCAATTTTTTTTCAGGGAAAGGAACTTTGGGAGCTCCACAAAAAACCGTTAGCGCTGTGGGAGAGAAGCAGCGGTTGACAAGAGCTGCGTCTGCTACTCAGGACGCAGTGAAGGCTGCACACCAGGAGTTGGACAAGGTTAGTGTCATTACACGATTGTCAATTTATACTGGCTTTGACATCAATAAGCATCCTGACCCATCTTCTTTGCTGTTTTCTAGTTCTCTTATCGAACACCAGATTTATGTTTCGATTTTGCCCGACAACGATTCTTGACTAAACGTTTACAAATGGATATTTGGTACTAATAGAGGTGAAGGAATATTGTTTTTATTTTCATAAGAAAATGATAATTCGCTTGCAAGTGTGCAACTTGCCGTGTTCATTGGTGACGCCAGAATATGCAATTGTGTATATAAAATAAAAACAAATTAAACAATATCTCTAATTTATGACGAATAGTTTGACGTTCCATTTTTAAATGGAGTAAATTTTTTTAAAGAAAAGCGAATATAATAATAGTTGGCTTTCACGCAGTAAAGAATGTGCATGTAAATGCAACAACAAACAAACAAACAGAATGAACAAAACCGCGCACGCCGTCAGCTCGAATTCTCGTGTTCTTCGATCGAGTATGCATTAGATCCTTTTTGAAATCATTAATTTCAAATGGCGGACATCTGGACATCATATAGAGCAAAGAAATAGAAATGGAATTAAAAATAGAAATAGAAATAATCTTTATTTAAATCAACTCAAACGAACAGGAAGAGAAAAACATATTACAAATAAATGGGATAAGGAAGAAGCAGATGATGATGATGATGAAATAAACTCAATACAAGCAAGTGCTTGTATTGAGAAATATGATTACACAAAAGTATATGTTTGTAATCATATTTTTGCTTCTACCACTCATTTGAATGCAAAGAAAGACATAATTAATAGGAATAAAGAAAATCATATCTGTGGAATCTCTACATATAACTAAAATTGGAGTGTCTGTTATTAATATTGAAATAACTGCATTTTACTACATGCATATGAATATAAATAATCTACATACCCCAAAATAACATTTTTTACAATTTTCGTCTGTCTGTCTGTCTGTACGTTTGTTCCGGCTAATCTCTGAAATGGCTGGACCAATTTTAACGGAACTTTTATTAGCAGGTAGCTGATGAAATAATAAGTAATTTAGGCTACTTTTATATATAGAATAGAATAGAATAGAATAGAAAATCATTTATTCAAATAAACTTAATTTAAGCACTTTTGAATAGTCATAACAATTTGTTTTTTATCTACCACTCGTTCGGAAAGCTGTCTCATCACAAGAAGATATATAAAGTTAAATCGCGGACGAAGTCACGAGTAAAGCTAGTAAAAAATAAAACTTCAAAAAGAATGAACTGACGTCATACCTACGCGCGTGACAGTGAACACAAAAAATAATAAAATACAATCACTCACGATTGCGCGTGCTTCTGAAATCGGGAGCGTGCCTCGCACATCGCGCACGCTCCCGATTTCGTGAATGAACGTGTTGTGTAAAGGCAGGTAATGGATATCTTTACACAGTCTTATTGGCGATTAACGCTATAACTATTGGTACTTTATCGATGATGTACTCATAACATAATTATTTATATATTTATTATTGTAGGTGACTTAAAGTTCTTAAGTTTTTTACTACATGCATATGAATATACATACACCAAAATATTTTTTTTACAATTTTTGTCTGTCTGTTTGTTCCGGCTAATCTCTGAAATGGTTGGACCGATGTTGACGGGACTTTTATTGGCAGGTAGCAGATGTAATGAGGAGTAACTTACGCTACTTTTATTTTAGAGAAATAAAGTTAAATTCCACGCGGACGAAGTCGCGGGAACAGCTAGTGTTTAATATAAGTTCTATATAATTATACTAACAAACTTATATAGTCAACTAGCCTTATGGCGAACGTAACACTTGTCCTGTCCATGTTTTGACAGGACGAGACGTCTCTTCAAATTATATATATATTATAAAAAAATCTGTCTGTACATCAAAAATTCTGTGTGATCATCTATTACAATCATTACATAGTATAAAACAAATGTATGTTTAAATATTTAAAACTACGCAACGGATTTTGTTTTAATAGATCGTGATTAAAGATGAAGGTTTATGTAAATAATACAAGTATACACGTGCGAAGCCGGGGCGATTAACTAGTATATTATGAAAAGATCTGTCTGTACAGCCGTCCTGTCCACATTTTGATTTACTGCGACATCTGTTACAATCTATACATATCAATAAAATTGGAGTGTCTGTTTGTAATATTGAAATAACTGTTTTTTAATACTTGCATATGAATATAAATACTGTATTTATATTCATACCAAATAATACCAAAATAATATATTTTACAATTTTTGTCTGTCTGTTTGTTCCGGCTAATCTCTGAAATAGTTGGACCGATTTTGTCGGGACTTTTTTTGACAAGTAGCTGATGTAATAAGGAGTAACTTAGGCTACTGTTATTTTTGAAAAATAAAATAAAATTTCACGCGGACAGCTGGTTACATATAAATATAATGTGTTGGTACAGCCTCTGCGAGCTCCACTGACAAATGAGGAGGCTGCGTCGCGGCGGGAGCAACTCTCGCGGTACATGGCAGACCTGAACGCTGCATCTGCTGCACTCCTCGCTGCAATATTGGGTAAATAATATAATAATAATAATAATAATCTCAGGACAATTCACACAGCTAGCTATAACTTGTGTTATGGGTACTAGATAACTGATACAAATACATAGATAATTTTTTTTCGTAAATAAATACATATTATACATAGAAAACACCCAGACCGATACAAACAATCATGAATACAAATGTTTGTGCCGTGCGAGGAACCGAACCCGCGACAATCGGTCGTAAAGCGGTATGTTAAACCACTGGACCACCGAGGCTGTCGAATTGTTCTGAAATCATAATTGCCTTGCCTTTATCCCATTATTTGTGGTCGGCGCAGTATGTCAATCTCTTCCACAGATCTCTATCGGCCGTCATCTGAGCATACTCTTCTCATATCAGTGCTGTTTCAGAGGAGTTTCCTCCCTACACTTAGATTGTGGAATGAACTACATACCGAGGTTTTCTCGAGAGACTACAGCATGGGGTTTTTCAAGAAGGGTATATTAAGGTTTCTTAAGGGTACGCAACGCACGTGACACACCTGGTGTTTCAGACGTCCATAGGCTACGGTAACCGTTTACCATCAGATGGGCCGTATGCTTGTTTGTCACCTACGTGGTATAAAAAAAACTTCTTTCACACAAACCATCCATCCTTTTTTAGGGCGTCCTCTCTTTTTCCATCCAAGAGGTAATGTCTGAAATATTATTATTGTATATTAACTGATGGTTATATTTTCAGATGGTGATGAACCGGACTATATCACAGCAGAGAAAGCAGTTCGTACAGTCAATGAAATATTACCGCACGTTGCCAAAGGTTGGTACAGTCAGTATCCTTTTTCCATCAGATGGGCCGTATGCTTGTTTGACACCTAAGTGGTATAAAAAAAATCCTAATAAAAATATGGACGCTTATAGTCCCCGAGCCAGAGTTTTTTTTTATACTACTATAATGGCAAACAAGCATACGACCCACCTGATGGTAAATAGTTACCGTAGTCTATAATTTCCGCTCGGTCGAAACTTCTAAAATGTTTCAGGTAGGTAGTAATTTTTTAAAAAGTTTGCACTCTTTCCTGAAATTTTTTAAAAACCATCGCTCCTAAGAATATCCTTCAATTCTTGTCCCTGACGGGTCTAGGTAGTGAACTTTGAAAAGGGCGAGCACAATAGATCTATGTAGGTCGCAGTGCTACAGGTCCATGCATCTGAGAATAGCCTAAACAACTCAATAAAAAAAAGGTAGTAATAGAGATATAGAAATAGAAATAATCTTTATTCAAATAAACTTAATATAAACACTTGAATATTCACATTTTTTATGCTACCGCTCAATCGGAACAAAGTCTCATCACAAGAAGAATAAGCAAGAAACTTGTGTGTTGCTCTTTAAATAAATATTGTTTTAAGTAGATTTACATTAACAAGGGTTAGGCATGCGATAAAGAACATAGAAACCGCTACGCACTTAATCTCTGTTCAATCAAATAACATTGTCAGCGCTATGAATTTTAAGTCAGATACTAGCTGTTCTTGCGACTTCGTTTGCGTGGAATTTAACTTTATTTTTCTAAAATAAAAATAACCTAAGTTACTCCTTATTATATCAGCTACCTGACAATAAAAGTCCCGTCAAAATCGGTCCAGCCATTTCAGAGATTATACGGTGCAAACAGACAGATAAAAATTGTAAAAAATTGTTATTTTGGTGAATGTACCGTATTTATGTTCATATGCATGTAGTAAAAAACTGTTATTTCAATATTACAAACAGACACTCCAATTTTATTTATATGTGTGGATAAATAACACGGACCATAATAAGATGAGGTAATGTGTGACAGATGCTCGAGTGGCGTGTCCTCTAATCGACGCGAAGCCGCAGAAGGACATGGAGGAAGAGATGCGCGCGTTGTGTGATGCTGCGCTCTCACTCAGCCACGCGGCCGTCCAACGGGACCCCCAGGTACCTATACCCTCCGGGGATTTTAGCCTCAATGAGGATGTGGAGATGAGGAGGGGTGAAAATATTGTAGTGATGTCTGAAACAAGATATTGTAGCATACATCCCTAGAACTCGCCAAATATCTTATATTTAAATCTTGAAGCCGAATTGAGTGTTTTTGTGGCATATTTATTTATAGCATAGGGAACTTGGTGTTCCCAAGTATCGTCCATAAAAGTTATTCCCATATTCCCATAAAAGATCTATCTTTTATGGGAATAAAATATAGATCTTTTATGGGATTTTAATAGGTATAATAAGATACCAAAGTGTGTGGGACTGTGTATAGGGCGCTGGGGTCGGTGCAGCCAACGATGGTGGTAATTAAAGATGCAATATGTAAAAGGATAGTGTATTATAAAAATATATGCCGTAACAAACTATATGAAAGCAAGAGCAATACAAGGAATGGTAAAAAGGGAATATATAAATAACAAAACCATAGCAACCGATATAAAATATAAATATTTAAAAATAAGGAATAGTCGTACCAGCCAGCGGCCCAAATGTAAGAAGTCCTGTACACCAAAGGATATACTGAAATTACCCTTAAATAAATTCAAAATATATGTTAAATCATATTTACTGAGCAAAGCCTATTACTCACTAAACGATTACTTGAATGACGAGCGTGCATGGCAATAGTTGTTCATGTTCGGGATTTTCATTTAATGTTAGACATAGACACCTATATAAATATACATTGTAAATAACATGGTTTTAAAAAAAAGTAATTCAATTGAGTTTCTTGCCAGTTCTTCTCAACACGATCTATATATTTAATTGGACGGTAGCGAAAAAAGTGTAATATAAAAAAAAAATACATTCATAAGTGGCTAAAATGTCGTACATGAATAAATGATTTTTAAATTAGAATTTGTAGCAGCCCTTGGATCAGGGAACTCACCAAATTCCTCGTACTTACATAGTAACGGAGTGTTTATATGGTAGGTTTTGGGGATTTTTTTATAGCGTAATAACGTGGTACAAGCGTGAGGTTGGCTCAACTGATGGTAAGTGCCGTTGCCGTCGTAGTCGAATTCAAACCAGCATCAAACATCCCCGTCCAATTTAGACGCCTGAGCGAAGGTTCAAACCCCTAGCGGTGCCCTCAGACTAAAGTCGTATCCGTCAGACGTAAATTGGTCTTCAGCCGCTCTATAAGTCCTTCCGCAGGTTTAGAGTGCCATCTGCACTCGCCTCTTATTCGGTGAGCTGCCACCTGCAGCCAACAGCATTAGAATAGTTTGATATCTTTTATTTCTTGTAATGGATACATTAAAATTTTACAATGATTTTTAAATAAAATGCAGTGTAGCATGTTGCAGCTGATTATGTACTTTTTATAGAAGGACATATTCAAAATATACTTAAACGATTACAAATATTTTTTCTGTTTCATGTTGTAGACACTCAATGAGCACGCATCAAAATTGGCAAAGGCCTCCAATGGACTTATGTACATCGTCAATCCACAGACACAACCGGATATATCGAAGAAGGTAAATTATTATCATCACCATTTCAGCCCGGAAGACGTACACTGCTGAACGAAGGTCTCCCCCAAAATTTCCACGACGATCCTACGCTGCTTGCAACCAACGTTTTTTTATGCCTAATTTATACTCAGCCCTAGTGGGCAGGGAAGTGAGCAGCGCGAGTGAAGTGAGAAACACGAGTGGAAACACTTCTCATGCCATTGGCGCTGCCCCTCGCGCTGCCCGGCGCTCCCTCGATTGTAGGTTTTTCGTGCGCGAGTCAAAGGACTGGCAGCGCGAGTGGCAGCGTGTTTTTACATTCAGTCCTCTCGCTCAGTTGTCGCCCGGCAATATTTCCGGCAGCGCGAGTGGCAGGGGAAGCGGCTGAATGTAATCGTAGCATTAGAGATATACTAGCTGACTCAAACGTTATTTTGACATATACATTAATATCGCTCTTAAAAAATAGGGGTTGGTGATAAAATTGTGAGAATTTAGGGTTGTATGTAATTCTTAATGCCACATAATAAAAAATAAAAAAATTGCAGTGACCTTAATACTTAAGGGTATAAAAATTAGTTATAAACCTATTCTCAGAGCGCAATATACATATAAAATTTCATCAAAATCGGTCAAGCCGTTTCGGAGAAACACGAAATTTATGACACGAGAATTTTATATATAAGATTATATATAAAGTAAAATAATATAAAAATAATTAACAAATCATTAACATTATTTAATACTAGCTACTCGCCCTGGCTTTGTCCTGGTGTACATGTATTATACATATAAACCTTTATCTTAAATCACTCTGCTAGAACTGTATTCAAATCTGTTGCGTACTTTAAAATACCTATACGAACAGACAGAGCAAGCAACTTCATTATTTACTATGTAAAGATGATTTTACCATGATTTTTCCATGATAAAAATTTGAATATAAATATTGTTTGCCAAACTTGCTCTATAAGTCCTTCCGCGGGAATGGAGTGCCATCTGCACTCACTTCCTATCGTTCGGTGGTAAAGACCAGCTGAGTCCAACAGTATTAGAATATAAAAAAGAATAAATATGGTCTCTTCTTGATCACGGCAGTGACAAATATGATGATAGAAGATCTGTGTGAATTGTAACAAAAAGAAAAGAAAAAGAAAGAAATATAGGCATTGTAATTGTAGTGCTCTCTATAGTAAATAATGAAAAATAAAGAAAAGAAAAGAAAAGGAAATAAATATATGTCTTGTAATTAATTATAGTGCTCTTTATAGTAAATTGTCGTAAACAAATGTAATATGTAGTAATGAATTCACAGATAATTGTACTATCTCAGTCCGCGCACGATAAGGTTGCAAAGATCGTAACAGATGCACAGCAACTAGCAAAGACAGTCGGTGGGGAGAAGGGTACTAAGCTGAGCAACAGCGCTGGCAAGACAGCTGACGCAGCAAGAGTTCTTCTTACTTCACAACAGGTATCTCATAATTTGCAAAGTAAAGATTCAGTAAGCTATTGTAATTTAAATATGATGTAAAGTCAACAAACTAACCACTAATGGAAAATTACACTCATCACGTATTACAAAAATCAGACTCCAGACTCTCACAAGGAATGGCCTGTAAGATTAAATACATACTTTTGTTACTTTGTTTAATATTGTAAATTTCCTTGTGAGCAGTAAATAAAGATTATTATTATTAATTAGTATCCGGCTCGAAGGACCAATATATGAATTTGGATAGCTCAATTAAACTTCAATTAGAAATTCCTATAAAATAAAATTTACAACTTTAGAATAGTCAACTATAGTAACTAAATCATTAGCTATTGCTGCCGTAATTATCCGTATGTAACAAAATACCTGTTATGTGATGCTATTTTTGAGGACTAAGTTATGTATAACTTATACTTAGGAAGAGGGGTAACCCCTCGTAATTATAATAAACTGGAATTTCTTAGGGGATGCCTACGTCATAGAAGTTTTATGCATGCAGTCGCAGCCCTATCGGTTTAAAATTGACAAAGTTTCATACAAACTTTCATCCCCTATTTAATCCCCGTGGGGGTATTATTAATCAAAATCCTTCCTTAGCGGATGCCTATGTCATAACATCTACCTGTATGCCAAATTTCAGCCTGATCCGTCTAGTGGTTTGGGCTGTACATTGATAGATCACTATCTCAGTCAGTCAGTCACCTTTGCGTTATATACATTTAGATTTTGAGTAATATTTTTCTTTTTTGTATCATGGTTTTAGCTGGTAATACCATACATTTCCGAGGCGCGAAGTCAAGCAACATTAATCTCAGCAGCTGATAGTTTATCAGCCGCTGCTCGAGATCTCACTAACCAGTGTGGGATATTAAAGCAAAATCCACAGCATGCAGCCTTTGTTTCTAAATTAGACAGCCAAAACCAGAATCTTCAGACAGACTTGGATGAGTTGAGAGACATTTGTCAGAATATATCTAAAGGTTTGTGTTTACATTTGTTGTTTTAAATCATTTAAATGTATTAGCTTTGTACACGGTTCCATCTAGTTCAATAATGTTATGTTATTTATATATATAAACCTTCCTCTTGAATCACTCTATGTATTAAAAAAATGCTTCAAAATCCGTTGCGTAGTTTTAAAGATTTAAGCATACATAGGTACGGACAGACAGCGTCAGCGACTTTGTTTTAAACTATGTAATGATTAGTAAAAATCACGGGATCTTACCATGTTTTATTTTTAGTGAGTTCCTATAGTTTGGGAGTGTATCAACCGCCAAGCTCACGAAAACTGAAGAGCAGTAAGTATATGGGAAATAAAATTGTTTATGAGCAGACATATTCGTCTAACTTCACACGTCTTAGTTTGTTGCTACTATTGATTTCTCTGTTAGTGTTACAACTCCAATAATGATTAATAATGCAGGTAAAGCAACTGCTGTAACTGAAGATGCCAATACGGAGGCGCAGCGCCTGCAATTCGTCAGAACTGTATCTGCTAGTAAAAATGCCGTGGACGCTGCTCACCAGGAATTGGGCACGGTAAATGTTGGGAATATATTATTTAAATAAAGGAATAATATTATTTTGTTCACTAACTTCATTTATTTATTAGAAAACCTTAAAGTAACCTGTAACTTCACAGCCAAATCTGATACATCAAACCCGAACACCATTTATAAAGTAAACTTTACGATAGATAGACAGACAGGTGAGAGCGAATACCAGGCAGATAACTCTTACAAAATCTACCTTGTTTTTTTCATAAACTAAAAACAAAGACCAGACTTCAATTATAAATTCATCAAAATCCTAAATATGTAATGTTGAACAACATTTATTTAAACGAGCAACACACAAGTCTCAAAAGAGTTAGTGACTAAACTAATAAAAGCTTACGCAACAATAACACATTCATTTTACCTAAATGTCGTTTAACTAAAGTTAGTAGTTCGTTTTATTGCAATTTCGTAAGGTTTTGCAACAAAATACCAGAGTCTGTTATAAATCTGCCTGAAAAAAGATTTATATGTCATATAAAATACTTCCTTTGCAAAAATGCTTACTATAAAATTGAAGAATTCGTTAACGACAATAATATTTTTAAAGAAAAACTTAATATCCATAGCACCGACAATATTATCTGATTACACTAATAATGAGTGCGTAGCGATTTCTATGTTGATTTTCGCATGCAAGAGGCATGCGAAAATCAACACTTGTTATACTATAATTATTGTATAAAAAATTCAAAAGAGCAACATACAAGTTTCTTGCTCATTCTTCTTGTGATGAATCTGCATTCCGAATGAGTGGTAGAATCAAAATATGAATATTCAAAAGTGCTTGTAATGAGTTTATTTGAATAAAGATTATTTCTATTTCTCTTTCTCGTTCCTCTTGTTGTGAGTTTGCTTTCCAAAAGAGCACTAGAATAAAAAATAAATATAACTATTACGAAATATAACGATTACGAACACTGATTAGATTTTCTACTTTTGCAATAGCATATGCTGGTGGTCACTGTATTCTCCCAAATTTGAATTTAAATGAATCTGTATTGTTGTAAACATGTGCAACATTTATTTGAAAATAATACTAGCCGAGTTTGTTGTCAGTTCGCCTAATCTCGAAATCAATCCGAACTGATGGTAGATTTGACTTATCATAAGTCTTTAATAGACCTACACGAATAAAGATATTTTGAATTTGAATAGAAAATTAAAAAAGGGAAGTTTCTATAATTATAATTTCATTGCAGCCAATAGTTGGTCTTCCGCTGAAGGCTGAAGCAGCTGTTGCACAACAATTGAAGCTCTCCCAGTGGATGGCGCAGCTAAACGCAGCCATCGCCGCTCTTGCCACCGCTGTATCTGGTAAGCTCTGATCCGTAATGTTATCTTTCTTGATTGTAATCAATTCAAGCTTTACTTTTTCATTATTTATATTATTAACCGAATCTTAACACGAATTATTTTATGGCAAATAAAGGTATTTACCTCTCGACGTTTCGACTAGGTTGCGCTCATGACCACGGCTAGTGATCGGATCGGATATATATAAATCACGAAATTTTAAAAATAACTGTTACATTTTTGATTTGTCATGCTTAAACTATATTTAAATGTCTACTTCCTTCAAAGCAAAGGTATTGTACTGTATAACTAGTAGTAGATAGTAAATTCAACTATTTTCTCGCGAAGATGTACACGTCTTGAATTCACGGGGAATATCCCTCTTACGCCTTGTAAGAGGGATATTCCCCGTGTAGACGCAGAATTAAGAAATGCAGTTATGGCTAACGAGCAGACCTTATAAAAAAGATGCTGTTTTGTTTTTGTTTAAAAGCCAACATCATCGATGTGGTCCTTATTAACAATTTTTTGATTATTTTTAATTCGGGATTTGTTTTGTAATTTTATAGCAATTTATTGTATAGCAAGTATTGTATGTACATTTAGGTCGAGATCCGATTGACTACGTAACTGCTGAGAAAGCTGTCACAATTGTTAACGAACTGTTGCCACGCGTTGCCAAAGGTAAGCAGGTTCATAACCAACTTCATGAAAACTATGAAGTATTGGTTATTTTTATTTGTTTTTCTTTTGTTCGTTTTTTTGTTTAATAATAATAATCGCCTATGCGTCTGTTATAGACGAATTATGGCGTAATGGTCATTGAACAGCTCTATTCTTGGCTGTATAAAGCGATTGTTTTCTTTATACTATAATGATTTCATCTCTAATTTAATGCGTTGTTTTTTTACTTACGTTTATTTTATATAATAATTTGTATGCTGCTGTCTGCATCGTTATTGTTGTGTTGTGATGTGTGATGTCATAAATATTATTCTATTCTATTCTATTAAGTTCTCAATAGATTTCTACTTTTTTTTAATTTTCGTTACCTCTAAAGACTGAACTCACAGTTTTATTTCTAAGGATGTACTTTATAAGGATTCTAAGGATGCTGTTTAGTTCCATAGAAAATTCATCGATATTTGTTCAGTGTTCTTTGTGTCTCCGGTTTATCTTTTTTTCTATCTTCCTTCTTTTCTTTTGCTATTTGGACCCGGTCTTCCTTTCTTTGTATCTTGCCAAGCGCCGTGTAATATTATTTTTTGTTGTAAAACAACTAGTCATATCAAACTAACTCTTTAACTTAAATTTTAAAGAATTATAGTTATTAAAATAAAGAATAGATAATTAATTTCTTTTCTAAATTGTTTCAATCACTGAAAACCTCTGTATGATTATTTTTTATAATTATATTGTAAAATTGCATTGGTTTTTATTAATACTTATTTATACCACAGAAACAAAAGTGTTGGGTACGAGATTGGATGACGGTTCTCAAGCAGTGCTTGTGGGCGATCTACGAAGCCTATGCGAGTCTGTACAGGAATTGTGTTCTGCCAGCGGTGAACAAAATATAACGGTGAGAATTATAACAATATATATAATAATACTAATAATAAATAACCCTTAACGACAAACACAACGCCATCTAGTCCCATGGCAGAAATAGAAATAGAAATAATCGTAATTAAAATAAACTTAATATAAGCACTTTTGAATAGTCACATTTTTTTATTCTACCGCTCATTCGGAATGCAGACTCGTCACAAGAAGAATGAGCAAGAAACTTGTGTCGCTCTAAGCTCTAAGCAGAGCTTATGTTATGGGTACTAAACAACTTTGCTTGCAGCTTGCGAGGAAACGAACCTGCAACCATCGGATAGTAAATTTATTATTATTTACACTGATTAGGCAGTGTAATTACAGGCATCTTAGACCTCCACATGCAAGGCATCGGTGTATAACCAGCATGACCATGGTGACAACATGACCAGCACTACGTACATCACTTTATACACATAAAGTGATGTACGTAGTGCTGGTCATGTATATATATAGATGGTTACCTCTTAGCTAACGTTAAGCTGACTCATCTGATCAGCTTATCGTCAGCTTGGTGACATTGCTAAGTATATAAAACAAGTGTGGAAGATATAATGTATGTAACATAAAAAATGTATCAGTTGAGTTTCTTGCTAGTTTTTCTCAACTGCATTAGTTAGCTGAACTGGACGGTAGGGATAATGTTAAAAACATATGACGTGCACAACAGGCCGAAAGTTCCTATGTCATTGATTTTGAGTGTAAATTTGAACTCTTGTTGAAATCTGAACTTGTTTTGTTTCTAGGCCGTTAATAACTCAGCAGCGAAATGCGCCAACATGGCAGCCAAACTGTGTTCAGCTGTGAATCCTCACATCAACCCGGAAAAGGAACAACAGGTACGTAGTGTAGACCTACTGACATAGAGGCAAGAGTTTGTTGCCATGGACTTTGTAATTTTACTGATATCTTTGTTATTACGTCTTGCAAAAATTATTGTATGAATTCTAATAAAAATTAGTAGTCACTTGGGTCCGTTAGTCCCACCGAATTCAACTGCCCAGTGGCTTGTTTTTAAGCTGAATTTCGATTGAAGGGTGCGCCGTCCCCCTGAAGAGCTACGCGAAAGTGGTGTCACGAGAAAGAGATGAACTCTTAGCATTCCATAAATTCACCGTACGGTTGATGGGTCCATCATGTGGCAGAGAGAAACTCCAAGCAGTTCCCGGAACTTGTGACCTAGGTGTATGTTTAAGGTGCTTTTCTGATGTATGTGATGATGGATGAGATGACAGAGATTTGGCTGGGCGGGTTTTGTTAATTAGTTCGCAATATTTATTTGTTTTTATTGTATGGTCTTTAGGTATAGTTGTTTCCTATATAATTATAACGTTATTTCTGTACAGTTGTTTATATATATTGCCGATAACTACCGTTTACCAACAAGCGGTCCGTACGTAAGAACACTTTCAATAAGTTGATATAATATTTGCAAAATCACTTTCAGATAATAAATTTGTCAACAAAAGCGTGCAGTGGAGCCTCTCAGATATTGGCAACGGTGTACAAGCTGTCAGAGGCCGAGGGAGGTGAGGTTGGGGCGCAACTAGACCAGACGGGCTCACGTACCGTTAATGCTGCGAAGACACTCCTTACTGCAGCGCAGGTAAATATTCTAACGAAGACAGTATCTGCAAAATATGTGGGCGATAAAGGAAATCAGGGAATTGATATAAGCCTAATATATATTATCAAAGAAACACTACAAACTAGGGTCATGAAGGAAAAGAAACGAAATAGGATGAAGACACAATTTAGAATTCAGTATTTGAAATATAAATATAAGAAAGCTAACCTCCCGCCCCGGGTTTGCACAGCTATTTTTTTTTTAATGATAATGTAATGGTGCACTCGTCCGAGCTAATGGTACTGCACTCGTCCGAGCAGTACACGTAACAGTACACTGGCCGGGCAATAGTGGAGGATGATAAAATGTGGATGAAGTCAGGCAGTTAGGAATAATAAATTAAACACTATAAGGTTTTTATTTAGATAAGGATTAAAGGATTTTTTTAGAACTTTTTAAGGTGAACAATTCCGTCATACATATTTTTTGCGTAATATTTACCGTTTATGAAGCATACGCGGCGCAAGCACTCAAGTGAACATTTTTTACACATTTTTATTGCTGTACCGCTCCTATTAGTCGTAGCGTGATGTTATATAGCTTATAGCACTTGGGGATAATATACATTTCTAAAGGTTAAAGAATTTTTAAAATCGGTTCAGTAGAACCGGATACTACGCTGAATAAACAAGCTTTCATCATCATCATCAGCCCACAGCAGTCCACTGCTGGACATAGGCCTTTCCCAAGGCACGATCTTCAGCTCTTCTCATTCAGTTATTACCCGCAACACTACGTATGTTGTCACTTTACCTAACTGTGCGGCGTCTTACGCTACGTTTGCCAATCCGTGGTCTCCACTCTAAAACACATCTATTCCAGCGAGCATCGGTTCTGCGATAGATATGACCAGTCCACTGCCACTTCAACTTGCAATAACGAAGAGCTTTATCTCTAACAAACAAATAAACTTTACCTCTATATGTATATATGCTAGCAGACCCGGCCACGCGTTGCTGTTGGTAAGGTTCTTGAATAAAATAATATTGAGACTATAAATTGAGATGTAACCAATCTATCTTTCAGGTTGGATCAAATTGCACACAATGTGCTAATCAAATTTGCAATCAGTTCAGTAGTTTAGGAGTCCATCTCGGATAAACAACGTGACACGTAATTTTTATATATAAAGATATTGGGTCCCGTTACTTACACAGTTCTACCTTGCACCCTCTATACAGTTGACAGCACCGTATATCCACGAGCAACCCTGTCAAATGGCGCTGATCTCTGCAATCGACGAATTATCAACATCGTCCAAACAATTGTCCAGCATGTGGCAACTGGTGGTCAAGAACCCACGTCATGAAGCTGTGAAAAGTAGTCTGGAGCAGCAGTATCCTCAATTGGAGAGTGATCTGGCGTTACTGAAGAAGATGTGCAAGGATGTCAATAGAAGTATGTATTCAATTACGCATAGTCACAGTTACTTGCTGCTTCCATTATTTTGTGTTGTATATTTATTTATTGCATATTGTTATATATGTACATACATATATATATAGGTGTATACAGTTAAATATATGTTATGTTGTTTATTATATTAATTTGTAATATTATTATCCTTATCATTTTTATGTTTTTTTCTATTCTAGTGCCACGTACCACCTTTTGTCTTTTCTCCTTCATCCAAAGGTTGTATGGAAGAGGCGATATGGCCGCCTTTTGTACCCTATTAATTTTAATTTTTCTCTTAATTTTACTTCATGTAATTTATCTGCAATAAAGAGTATATAAATAAATAAATAGTATATTTTTTATTTATACTTCATATGCATGGAATTTAACTTTTTATATTAAATTAAAGGTTCTAATTTAAAAGTACCTGAAGTCACACACCTCTATCTAGTCCCAAGCTAAGCAGAGCTTGTGTTACGGGTACTAGATAACTCATATGATTATATAGATACATTTATTTTTCTTTTCGTAATATACTATGATGTACATAATATACAATTATTATTTTGCAAACATATACATAATATGCTTTGACATTTATTTTTAGTTTTTTATATTTTATATATTTTTTAATGTAATAATAATATAATAGTGTACGCACACTATTATCTACGCAGATACTAACCACGTTACAGTACGCAGAAACCACCCAGATCGACCCAAACAATCATACTTAGGAATACAAATGTTGGAGTCGTACGTAGGGTTGCCAACTTTTTTTGGCAAAAAAATAGTATAAACTGGTTTCGATAGGAAAAAAAAAAAGTATTAGGAAGAAAAAGTATTTTTAAAATTCTAGGGTTTTTATTGCTTTAAAGACGCAATTTTAACACTAGAGTTGTAACAAACGCTACAACTTACGATTGACATCTAACATTTCGTTCAGTAATTATAAATCGTTAAGTACCCATAATGAGTATTTTGTTTTACGCATCACAGTTAAGGTTGAAAATAAAAGTATTTTTAATTTATTTGTACGTAAAAGTATAAAATACAAATACCAAAAATAAGATGATATGGCGAGAAAGGGAGTAAAAAACGAGATGACTGCGAACAGAGATGAATGGAAGAGAAAAACATATTACGCCGACTACAAATAAATGGGATAAGGAAGAAGCAGATGATGAAAATAGGATACGTTATTACAAAGTTTGGTTGGCAACCCTAGTCGTACGAGGAATCGCACCCGCGACCATCGGAATTAAAGCGGTACGCAAAATCGCTAGGGTAACGAGGCTATCACGTTATATATCTTACTAATATTATAAACACAGAAGTTTGTGGGTGTGAATAGATGTTTGCTAATCATTTACGCAAAAACTTCTGAGTGTATTTTAATGAAAGTAATACAGCATCAGAATAATACATTGGCTTTAAATTTCATGCAGCTGAAACTATGGACAGCGAGTTGTAGATAGTTGCGACTTCCAATGAGTATGTGTGACAGTCCTTTAACAGGTTTTTTTCCATTATAGTCTCTAATCCAATCAAATCTACAACAATGAATCAGCCACCATTACCTCCCAAACGTTCCAAATCCAAAACCGAAGTATTACCAAGTCCAACTGCACCGGACGATAAGCGAAGATCTAGCAGAGATGTCAACGAGGAGTCACTGGATAAAATTCGACGCGAACAGAGTGAGTTTTTTTATAATACGAGGAGTCATCTTATGGTGAACAATTACCGTAGCTTATGGACGCCTGAAACGCTAGGGGTGTGAAGTTCGCATTGCCAACCCTTAAAAAAAGTACCCTTCTTGAAAAACCCCATTCTGCAGTCTCTCGAAGTAGTTCTCATAGCATTACGGCTATTTGTGTCTTTATCGAATATTTTATTATTATGCCTGATATGCCAAATCAGTCAAAATAGATTCGACAAGTTTTCTATTGTACTTTTAACTACTGTTTACTTTTAATTGAAACTTTTTCTTTTTTTTTATTTATTTTTAGTTTCCTGCAGTTCAACTTTTACTTTTGCTAAATTTTCTTAGAATTTTCCTAAAATAATAATTTAAACACTTAAAATTTTACAAATTGATAGTTTAGATCTTTAGTTCTTTCTAACAAACAAACAGCGTTCTAATGTAAATATTACGACAAGATTTCTTGCCCTATTTATTTTTGTATTTACAACAAGTAAAATAGTAAAAATAAAGGCTGACTAAAAATTAATACATCTATTAGTTATTCTTAGGTTTTAGATATAAATGACTAAAATTATCTTAAATTACATATAGGCAAAAATGAAGCACCATTCGTTACTGAAGCTGAGAAGGCAGTACAAAAACAGTTTGTGTCGTGTACTGAAGATGCAGTGCGCAATTTACGCGTCGCTGAGGAGGAGGTAAAATTGAATTTGTTTTCAAATATTTACAATTCTTAATTATTTTTAATTATAATCTTTGTACAATCATCTGCATATGTACATTTCTCGCAACCATGTTAACCTTCAATCAGCATTATTTGCAAGATTTTTTGGTTGAACCGTGAGATAAGTTAATGCAATTACGGAAAATGGAGGCATGACAGTTTAGTCCTACGCAATGGTAATGCATTTGTGGTACCATGGGCGTCACAGTATAGCGTGATGTGTAAGGAGGGATACGGGATAACCATCAGGCGGGTTGTTCAAGATCAAGTTCAACATGCCTCATTGTTATTACCTAGTTATAAATATCGTATTATTAATTGTTCATAAAACTATACACGAAACCTCCTAAGAGTAAAGTGTGGTTAGACGTATATTAAAGTATAGAGGTTATCTTTATTAAACTGTGGTTATCTCTACCAATTATTTATAATTACTTTATCAGTGGCTAGCGCTAAAACTTCATATCTGTTTACCAAATTTCATTTCATTGTTACAAATTTCCTCTATCATTAAACTTAGAAATAATAAGGGTATGGTCAAACTCACAATTATCATCTATTTATGTCAAGTCAAATTTCATATACATGCCTGTAGTATAGGTAGAGAGTACACATGTTCTGTGGAGAAAATGATATTATTATTTAAATTATTTGTTAAATATGAGATCATATTTAAAAATAAAGTGTTTAAAAACTTATGTTCTGTCAATAGAAATGCCCCTTGTTCATGCTTATAAAAATATATGTCACTTGTTTTTCTACGTAGATGAAGAATTTGAAGAGCGATGGTCCAGTATTGAGTGAAGATCAAAAAATAGCTGTTCAAAATGCGATAGAGCAAAAGTTAGGTCTTTCAGCTGCTGCGGTCGCTACACTGCTTGCTAGTAACCGTAAGTTTGATGTCTACTAATGGTTACGATATTAGGATATACAGATAGTAGTGTACTAAGGTAGATGAAAGATTTTGTAATTTATCTTAAAACTTCCATTTTATTAATGCATTAAGTATAATTTGTAAGGTCTTCTGCTTTCGTATCAATGGTAAATCTAATTACGTTTTGACCAGAACTTGGTAACTATAATGTCACTTTGTTCAGGTCTTTCTTTAACGATTTGGGTTACCATTATGGTGAGAGTATTGGCCAGCCTAGACACTGCGTTATCATGTCTAGGTGTTACCAGCGCGCCGCGGGGAGGCTCCTATCATGTACCTATTTTAGGCAACAAATTAAATTTTTAAACTTAATGAATACTGCAAGTTTTATTTTTTTCTAATATTAATTAGAAACCAAACTCATTGTAGTAAATAAGTTGTTATTATTTACAGAAACAGATACTGTTGACTACAACACTGCATCGAAGTCAATGAAGACTTTATCCGATTTAATGCCGGCAGTTGTGAAAGGTATGGAAGATGATTTCAACATTAAAATACATATATTTATATGTAAATAAATGTATTTTGGTGTTTAATCTATATATAATAGCAGTTTTTTCAATATTTGTGTTAATTTAATAACCTGTTTAGATATGTATTTTATCTTGACGATATGACATTTGCACAATTCATGCAATATGTAAAAGTAAGTGATTGCCGTAGGTCATAATAGACTAGAGTAGTGTAATTATTACATCTAATTATAAATTAAGTAGCGACACCTCATATCGTTATACATAATAATAATAGTAATCGTCTTTATTTGTCTCAAATAATAAACTATTCCTTCTGTAATAAAATTAAGAGGTATTCATCTATACATATAAATAAAATTGGAGTACCTATTTGTAATATCGAAATAACCGTTTTTTACTACATGCATATGAATACAAATACGGTATATACACCAAAATAACATTTTTTACTATTTTTGTCTATCTGTCTGTTTGTTCCGGGTAATCTCTGAAATGGCTGGACCGGTTATGACGGTTTTTTTTGGCAGGTAGCTGATGTAACAAGGAGTAACTTAGGCTGCTTTTATTTTAGAAAAATAAAGTTAAATTCTACGCGGACGAATTCGCTGGTACATCTAGTCTATAATAAAATCAATCGAGACAAAATAGTCTATTCACTCATACAGTGATAAGGTGATACACATCATGCTACATAACCTTTGTTTTTTGTCTTTATAGCTGTTTAAAGTCCACAGTCAATGATAAGGAATGCTTTATATATTTCGAAATTTTCAGATGCAAAAACTCTGCATAGCACGGTAGCTGAGAAGGACAGACAAAGTTTCATTGATAACATTCTGGAATTACTCCACAGTGGTAATAAACTGTGTAATACTGCAACTGGAGATAGACAGGTAACTAGAGGAAAGTAATTCTAAAGTTAGTTTTTTTAGTTAATTTTGATAATTATCGAAAATATTAAAGAATGTAGACTTAGGTAGTCTGGATATATTTTGCGAAAATCCAAAACTATGTAGTGAAGATGTGCCTTTCCCTGGATACAATGAAGAGGGGACGTAGTAGACCACCTGGCTGACTAATGTCCATAGGGATATGAAGGAGTTGGGCCTATTAAATGACGATGCTTACCAATGAAGTACATGGCGCCTCGAGATTAGGAAAGCTGATTCCTCGTAACGTCAAAAGGCGACGATGAAGAAGAAGAAGAAGTGGGTATTTCTTGAGTCGGTCGCCGCTCTCAAAGCCCGCGGTAAAAGCCCACGATAAAAGCAATGCAATAGCTTAAAAACATTGTCAAAAATTATTTCATCTTAAATTTATTGTGTTTTCATAGAAACTGAGCCAGGTCGCCGTGGACTACGGTAATAAGTCTGCAACGTTGTTATACTCTGTGGGTGGAGAAGCGGACCCTGAACAGGAGAAGGAGGTACTGTACTCGATTGTTGTGCCTGTAGTTTATTGTTTGTTTAGAAAATTTACATATATACATTGTTTGGTGATCAGTTCACGGCATTGTATAATTTTAGATTTCAATTATTTTTGCTTTTAATTTAAATGGTGTAATAAATTATTTTGGTTTTAACAATATTACCTTCTATATAATGTTCAATTGGACACTAAATCAACTACGTTACTTATTAACATAACATTCACACAACATCTTAAACAAGTACTTAAAATTTTATATTCAGATTCTTAGACCTCCTGAGTATGTAGGTCTGAGAATCAGCTACTATCTATTTTTCATACCCTAAGTGATACGGGTTGTCCACCCCTAATAATTTTTTTTTTATTTTTCAATATTTTTTTTTCTTTTTTATAATTAAAAATGCCATTAAAAATACGCTAAATTTTCAGCCTCCTATCACCAAACCCTATTTTTTAATAGCGATTTTAATTTATACGTCAAAACGTTTGCGGGGTCAGCTGGTGTTAGTATATATGTAATGATAGACCGACCCAGAAAGAAATCGCAACCGTTGCGATTTCTTATAATCTGGGTCGTTGTAATATCGATGGTGACACGTCCGGACACGTTCAGGTGGGCGGGCGGACGCAAGCTGTGGGCGACAGCATGTCGCGGCTGGTGCGGGTGGGCGCGGGCGCGGCGACGGTGCCGAGCGTGTGTTCCGCCGCCGCCAGCTGCGCGCGCGCCGCCGCCGGACTCGCCTACACCGCCAAGGTCGGCCTCCTATCTGACCTTATGATCCTTATTAATTTTTAGCAGATAAAATCTATCTCCAGTCATACAAAAGTTTGCAATAAATTTGTTTCTATCAAAAAATAAAAAGGCATTATGACGACATATTATAAATTAAATTATTAATATAATATTTGAACTTATTTTGTTCAATAGTCAGAGAACGACAGTAAGGAAATGTACATAATATTATTTTACCTATATCTATACCTAAGGCTTCATAACCATCTTAGAATCTGTTACTTGCTCACTGGCCACTATCGAAGTATGACTCTTCGAAATTTATGGTTCTTTAATACTATTTGAGAAACCTTGAAGGTTTCAAGGGATACTAATAGAAATCAGTAGTTCAAAATACGATATTTAATGACCTGGTTATTAGTCCTAGGTTAGAATAGGTATCGATATAACCGTATAAAATTCTACTATTAAATAAATTATTTTTTTTGGACTGCTCTAATGCTGTACAGCATCACTGTTAAATTAAAAAGAATCCTTAGGTACTGGGGCCGAAGACAATCGATAGCGCGTTTTACTTTCTTAGTAACGCCATCTATTATCAAATTTACGAGTTAAAATTTTCTTGTTTCTAACACTATTCTTTCCGGTCTTATCATACTTCTAGCTCGTAGCACCGACGATTCAAATACCCGAATGCCTGCGTTGTCTCATAAGTGCCTCGGACGAGCTCGCTTCCGACCTGAAGACCTTCGCGGATACCTGGAAGCCTCTAGCTGCGGATCCTGAATACAAAGAAGCTGTTCAAGAGATGAGCTCGGAACTGAAAGACTTAGAGGGGCTTCTACTAAACCTAAAACAGGATCTGGTGTCAGGAAAGATGGTGAGGAGAAAGAAAAGGATTGTGGTGGAAAATACTCCGTTGAGGCAACTGGCTATCTCGCTACTAGAAAATGCTAAAGTAAGTGAATTAGATTATTACATTTCGTTTCGTCAATCAAAACGATTGACTAGTAGTTTTAAGATTAAAGATTTTTTGAATCCGATAAACTTCTTTTGTTTACCCACCAAGAAAAGTGTGAGTAATCTTTTATTCATTTTTAACAAATCCTATTCCATGCTTATCGTTAAGTTGAAATCCTATATTTATAATTATAATAATATTAGAGTTCATATTATTATTGTAGAAAAAATCCGATATTTTAAAAAAGATATTAAAAGAAGGTAGTTTGTGTTTAGTACTAATGAAGTACCCAATGTAAAGATTATTACGAATATTATAAATAGCGCCATCTAGTATTTATAGATCGACTACACTGACTTTGGTCTATAAATACGGAGGTCAGTAGTTGAATAATCCTGTTTCGTTGGGTGAGCCGCGGCATTCAGTCGACGAGCGCAGAGCGTGCCGGTTGTGTTTTGGGTACTAAAGTGAATTGTATTAGGAATGGGTTTATCCCGGTCTTAGTTGGGCCTGGGGGGAAGCTGCAAGTAGTGAAGGTAAGTGTTAATGCATTCTAAAAGGGCCTTTTAAACCTACACCCGTGTCACAAGTCACGGGTGCTACTTGGGGTTTCCCTTGCGGTAGCCGGCTTCAAAGCCTCAGTCGTCCATCATAATTAGTGCTTGTTACAATACTAAACATTACATAATGATCATAAAGAGTAATTTAAGATCGCAATATAAATATGACAGCTGTACTGTGAGATCTTCTAGTTAAATATGTATTGTAAAAGTACCTACATAAGTGGAATATTTAATCATTTGCCTGATTGCATCAAATCACTGGATGCTGGACAATTTAAAAGAACCTTAACAATGGTTATTGTGTAAGTGCTTTTACAACTTAGATGAATATTACCTTGGTGGAGGGGAGTGACAAATTGTTTGATCTAAGTTGTGTTGTAAATAGTTATTTTTTTTGTTTTTGTAATTTGGTTATTTGATGTAATTGTATATTCTAATTTCATATTGTACGTCCGAAATGGATAAACTGGTCGTTTCCATATATGATGTAAAACAGTTATAGACAATAAATGCCTATCTTATCTTATCTTATGATATTTGTTATTAGAAAAGAAGTCAGTCCGTTACTCTGGACGCTAAACAGAAGCAGGAGTACGAGAAGTACGCTATAGCCTTGAAAAATGCAGTCCAACAGCTGGATATAGCCAATTGGGCTTGCAAGCGGTCTCTACACGTAAGTTTGTACATTACATCTCATCACTATAGTTAGAAATTTCTAGAAAGTTAGAGAGCTCTAGTATTCTTTTGAGTTTTAATTTTGTTAGTATTCTTTTGTCGTGTCTATATAACGGCAACTAAGTAACTTACCTGGTATCTTTTTTATACCAACTATTTGAATAGCAAATTCTAAAGTATTTGATTAAAGTTTGATGTTATGATTGGTTTGGCAACATATGGAAGACTTTAGTTAAAAAATCACTAAGAATATGACGTTTATAGTAACGTGGATGAATGAAAAGGGAGAAGACGGCCGTAAAAAAGATGGATAGGGTGAGTGAGAGATGATATGAATAAAAGGAGAGTATTCTCAGATATGATGGCCGATAGAGATCAGTTGAAGAGAATGACATACTGCGCCGACCACAAATAATGGGATAAAAGCAAGACAATGATGATAAGAAACAGTTTAAAATGGCTCATATTCTGATGCAATTGATGGAATGAGGATAGTAATAGGGTATAATATACCATATATTGTCATTACTGAAGATATCGTTACAGCTCCGTACTCTGTCGTGTTTGATTGTTCGTACCATAACACAGTTGCAAAAGAAAGCTATGTAGTGGCTGAAATAGGTGTGATAGACCTATGAATTTTTGAATACAAATAAAGCAAATCAATTACGATTAAAATAGTTTAACTAGGCAAGAGCTGGACTAGGCTTCTCTGTGATATAACTCCTTGCATTCTTTGAAATCACTACAAGTATACAGTTGGAAGAAGTAAGTGAAAATAAATTTGATAATCGTCAAATTTTTATATCTATTTGAAGAATTGCGACTCTGAAGTGGTAATGCGCAGGACACATAGCTCGTAGGACAGATGGCCGTTGGGGCAGTAAAGTCCTCGAGTAGCGACCATAAACCGGAAGACGCAGCGTGGGAAGGCCTCCAGCAAGGTGGACCGACGATCTGGTCAAGATCGCTGGAGGGCATTGGACGCGAGCAGCGCAGGACCGATCGTCGTGGAGATCTTTGGGGGAGGCCTATGTTCTGCAGTGGACGTCTTCCGGGCTGCGATGATGATGATGATAAAGAGTTTGTTTGTTTGAACGAACTAATCTCGGGAACTACTGGTTCGAATTGATTTTTTTTTGTTTTGGCTAGTCTATTTGTCGAGGAAGGTTTTAAGCTATATAACATTACGCTACGACCAATAGGAGGGGAGCTGCAATGAAAAATATTGCAAATTGGTGAAATGAAACGCAGACGAAGTTTTGCTGGTCAGTTAATCTATAAATATGTTCAATTTCCAGGATACAGATAAACGCTTGCAACTAGAGAACGCAGTCCAAAATCTGCAAATGATTGTGTTACAAGAGAGACCGTCCCTAGCTGGGAACTCGCAGAACAACATTGTTGATTTGTCGGTAAATAATATTTAATATTGTAAATAATTTTAAATATTAAAAGGGTTTTAACGAATTCGATTAAAGATTTATCTAATTGAAGTTCACGGCTTATTGGATGCAACCGTCATTTATATAAATGATATCTTGCTTAGGCCACTACTAAACTATCAAATAAATTATTAAAGGTTAATAAATTTCATGAGGGCCATGAAAAGCACCAGCTTTCAAATAATAAAAAAGAATTATCCAAACTGGTTCATCTAGAAATTGCTTTTGATGAATTAACACAAAGAACAGTCACTTGAATTGAGGACGAGGAAATCCTTTTTTCATTCGATGAATATCACCACAGATAACGTAACGTTCGTAGATAAAAAAAAAACATTGAGCATTGAAAAAAATAATGTAATTTTTTCAGCGCTTACACTAATTGTATTATCTATGAAACTTTACAGAACTATGTAAAGGATCTGTCTTCTGATGCTGAAGAACTGATAAGCGCATCAAACAAATGTTCAAGCGATGTACAGGTGGGTAACAAAATACTGTTTTTCTATATCATTATTATTATCGGATGCCTCTTACTTTAATGAATGAATGAATAAATTAATGAAAAACTCTTAATTAGAAAGGAAATTAACAATTGCACACATTTGGTGTACATATTAATAAAAAAAAACAATTACAATAAAGAGGTAACAATGGGCGGCCTTATCGCTAAATAGCGACTTCATCCATTATTGATACTGTGTAATTATCTATATAAAATAACATTTATTCAATAGAATAGAATAGAAAATCATTTATTCAAATAAACTTACATTGAAGCACTTTTGAATAGTCATCACATTTTTCTAATCTACCGCTCATTCGGAAAGCTGTCTCATCACAAGAAGAACGAGCAAGAAATTTAGGCTACTTTTATTTTAGAAAAATAAAGTCAAATTCCACGCGTGTATAATACATGTACACCCGTGTGAAGCCGGGGCGAATAGCTAGTAATGGATATAGAAAACAGCCAGACCACTACAAACGTTTCTTAATTTTGGTATATACCCAGAACAAGTAAACAATAATTTTGTCAGATTAAATAATTTTATATTCAAATATGTGTTCAATAATTTAATTATGAATTAATAATAATAATAATAATAATAATAATCTCAGGACAATTCACACAGCGCCATCTAGACCCGAGTTAAGCTAGCTAAAGCTTGTGTTACGGGTACTAGATAACTGATACAAATACATAGATATTTTTTTTTCGTAAATACATACATAATATACATAGAAAACACCCAGACCGATACAAACAATCATACTCATGAATACAAATGTTTGTGCCGTGCGAGGAATCGAACCCGCGACCATCGGACGTAAAGCGGTGTGCTAGACCGCTAGACCACCGAGGTCGTCAATTATAATATATTAAACATTTATTATTTACATTAATATAATCATTTAAAGAGCTTATTGTAAGACTATCTGTAACTAAACACACTGTGATACACCTGCACGTAATATTATCAAGATGATTGGAGAAAATGTAAGTATAGTAATAATGTATAATTGCAGGTAATACAAGAAATCTGCAATCAAATAAAAAATGAAGCGAACAATGTACTGTATCCTTCCAATGTACACAATAGAGGCATGGGCAGTACCGTTGATGATATACACGAAATTGATAAGTTTGGCCGGGTAAGATAGACTACTTCTAAATATAATAACATTATCTTATTCTATATCTCCTTAGATATTTATACCTATATTTAATAATAATAATAATAGTAAGTGTGGAAAAAACGAGCAAAAGCTGAGAGAGTGAGACCATGATAATAGTAATAATAATTTGAAAGAAGTAGTAAAAATAGTCTTAAATGCCACAGAATAAACCATCAAGCAAAATAAAGTAACGAGAGACTTGGCATGTCCCTTCCTCGGTACTAAACACCAGCTTATGCTGTGAAAAACAGATAATAATTATCTCAGGACAATTCACACAGCGCCATCTATACCCAAGTTAAGCTAGCTAAAGCTTGTGTTATGGGTCCTAGACAACTGATACATATACATAGTTTTTTTTTTGTAAATACAAACATATTATACATAGAAAACACCCAGACAAATACAAATGTTTGTGCCGTGCGAGGAATCGAACCCGCGACCATCGGTCGTAAAGCGGTGTGCTAGACCGGTGTGTTACCTTTACAATAACATTAACAATATAATATTCTTGGATAATTCACATAGCGCCATTTAGTCTCAAATTAAGCAGAGCTTGTGATATGGGTACTAGACAACTGATATAAATACTATACACAGATCCAATTTCATAAACATTAACAGTAGTCATTAGTATGAACTAATGACTACAAATGTTAGTACCGTACGAGGAATCAAACCCGCGGCCGTCGGAAGTAAAGCTGTGTGCTAAATCACTGGACCATCGAAGCCTTTGAAATTTATGTTCAAGAAAATTTGCAAAATTTGCCAAACTGACGAGGATACGCCACTACACATCTTATGAGACTGTACCCCTCTTATGCATAAACGAAATATCTCCTTTGGAAAGTATACACTCTATCCTGAGGAGATAAAAACCATCGCTCCTAAGAATATCCTTCAATTCTTGTCCCTGACGGGTCTAAGTAGCAAACTTTGAAAAAAGGGCGAGCACAATAGATCTGTAGACCACAGTGCTATAGGTCTAAAGCACCTGATAATAGCAAATTCCTCAATAAAAAAAATTGTAATTATTACTACACTATATTAGAGTTTCTTGGAATTAGAATCCCCTTAGGGGTGGAATTTATCAAAATCCTTTCTTAGGGGATGCCTACGTCATAGTAGCTTTATGCATGCAAAGTCTCAGCCCGATCGGTTTAAAATTGACAAAGTTTCGTACAAACTTTCATCCCCTATTTTATCCCCATAGGGGTATAATTAATCAAAATCCTTTCTTAGCGGATGCCTACGTCATAACATCTACCTGCATGCTAAATATCAGCCCGATCTGCCCAGTTGTTTGGGCTGTACGTTGATAGATCACTATGTCAGTCACCTTTGAGTTATATATATTTAGATATGCTGTTTTTTTGTATTTAGAATTCTACTCATTAACTTAGTAGTTCCACAGATAATATAATTGGTAGTTCTAAGTTTTCTTTGGATTTATCGTTAAAATTTAGTGTAAATCAAGTTTTAGTGTTTGGTCTTTAAATTGTTGTTGACATTAATATATTTTTTTTAATATATTTGATATCCAGGATTGCAGTAACCGCATTAAAGAACTCCAGTCCCAAATTAGTAAAGTGGCAGATGTAAATGAACGAGCAAAACTCGAAAACAAACTGCTGAGCTTGGAGGACACGTTAAATTTGCTGAGGTATGTATTTTTAGTATTATTATTATATTATTTTAGGCCTATGTTGGGCGCCCATACGAAATTACTATAGTATCTGTAAATAATAAGTTTGAATGCTTGAATATGTCTACAGATGGCAGAATGTTGTATATTTAAAAATAGGCTTGTTATGAGGTAAGACAATCTTTGGCTTAAATTTTAGTCCCATGTTGGTCGCCAGTTTACTATAATATATACAATCTAGCTGTCCCGGCAAACGTTGCTTTGCCATATAATTTATAATCGATATTAAAAATAGGGGTTGATGCTAGAAGGGTAAAAATTTAGGGTTGTATATATTTTTCTATCCTAAATAATAATAAAATGAAAAGAAAATATTATATTGAATAAATAAAACATATATATTTAGGGGTGGATATACAATACCACTTAGGGGTATGAAAAATTGATAGCAGTCTATTCTCAGACCTACGGAATATGCATATAAAATTTCATAAAAATCGATCAAGCCGTTTGGGAGGAGTATTTACTATACTCCTCCCAAACAGCTTGCACATACTGGTTTAATGCTTAAATAACTGATGGCAGAGTTTTGTATATCTAAAAACAAGTTGTAAATTTGCTGATTTGATGATTGAATATTTTAGTCCCACGTTGGGCGCCAAATTCAAATTATCGAAATAATTGAACTATGACTATTTATTTATTTATTTTAAAACGTACAACTATTACAAAGTTGATTATACATTAGACCCCGCACTCGGCGAACCTGTATCGCGGGAGTCCACAAAAGAATTGCCAAATAATTAATTAACTATTACAGATCAGCGAGTAGAGTAGATTTGACATATCAGACGAATTAAGATATTTTAGTTTGATTTCATAAAAAGCATACCAGATCAATTGTTGATTACATAAATATTAAATAAAATAAACAGAGAAAACAAAATAAAATAAAAAGAGAATAAAATACAAAGAGAAAATTTCAAGTTTTTTTTTATTTTCTTATTGCGATATGTGCGTAGTTCATTAAATTACTCAAATTATACACTGTTAACATTCTTATTAAATTATTCATTGATTGTTTGGGATAATAGGTTATTTATTTATTTATTTATTAAAGGAAAACCAAGGCTATTCAAGTACACCTTAAATAAAGTCGATATATATGTCATAATAAGCCACTGACAGGCTTTCACTAATAACAATAGACTAATTCTTAAAAAATTTACATCACTATGTATAAAGGCATTACAAAATTAACAGAGAATATGAAATTAATTAACAAGAGTACAGTAACAAATAGTAAATTTATAGAAATATATACATATACATGATTTTCAATAATAATTAATTGTTATTTAAAGAAGGACTCGCTCAGTTGGTGTATCGTTGATTTAATATTATTACAAAATAGATCTATATTAACTGTTTTAGATAGTTTATTAAAATTGTTGCTAGCTCGCCAGAGAAATGAATTCTGCTTATAGTTCGATGACACTAGGGGAACAGATAGAAGAGGATTCTGCCTTGTTGATACTCGTGGTACATTAATGATGAATTAATGTTATATGTAATTACTATTTAAAATTTGTTCAGTAGCATCATAGTTTATTTTTTGTAGGTAATGTTTTATCTTGTGATTAGCTTCAATCCTGTTAATATTATCTAACTTGCAAAGCGCATTAATCTTTTTATATAAGAATGACTGTGTTTTGTTAGTACTAGTTAGTAGTAGTACTAGTTTATATATTTGACACTAATTATTGCTGGTTGGTAGTTTGTATTCACACGTTTCTACTTGTAAAATGTGAACTTACAAGGATTATTTATAAGAGCAACACACAAGTTTCTTGCTCGTTCTTCTTGTGATGAGACAGCTTTCCGAACGAGCGGTAGATTAAAAAAAATGTGATGACTATTCAAACGTGCTTCAATGTAAGTTTATTTGAATAAATGATCTTCTATTCTATTCTATACTGACATATTTTGTCACTCAAGTAGCTATTGTATAAATTTCGGTATTTGGCAATTTGTATACACATAATCCTAAATACATAATGCTGAATAACATTTATTAAAAAGATCAATACGTAAGATTCACGCTCGTATTTCTTGTGATGAGTCGGCCTATTTCCATGTATAGATATACATACTAGCTGTCCTGGAAAACGTTTGTTCAACTGCTTTGTCACATAAACTGCGGGTAAAAAAATAGCCTATGACCTATTCTCAGATCTATCAAATATATAGAAATCTGTAATCATTTTAAAAGAGTTTCAGAACAAACACTGTGACGCGAGATTTCTGGATTTAAAAATATATCTTTATATCCTAGGTTTGTAACACAAAGTGCTGTAGCAACGACAACTAGCGCAACGCTCGATGAAACGCTCAACGATTTGACTGATCTGGAGAATAGGATACAGCAGATGCTATTGCCTGTCGAAAAACTACCAGGTCTTAATGTTGAGGTAAGAAATAATAATCCTGGACAATCTCCAGATTAGGAGAATAGGATACAGCAGATGCTATTGCCTGTCGAAAAACTACCAGGTCTTAATGTTGAGGTAAGAAATAATAATCCTGGACAATCTCCAGATTAGGAGAATAGGATACAGCGGATGCTATTGCCTGTCGAAAAACTACCAGGTCTTAATGTTGAGGTAAGAAATAATAATCCTGGACAACTCACACAGCGCCATCTAGACCTAAGCTGAGCTGAGCTTGTGTTATGGGTACTAAACGACTGATATCAATACTTAAAAACGTCTTTATGAATAATACATAGAAAATACCCAGATGTTACAATCATACTTATGAATATAAATTTTTGCACCGTGTGCGGAATCAAACGTGCGACTATCAGAGGTAACGCGGTGCTCTAAACCGCTGTACAGTCTAGGTCTTTAAATGAAATATTATTTTCGAATAACATTTTTTATGATTGTATATTAACGCTTTTAAGAAAGGCTCTTGGACTAATTAGATCGAGAGATAGGATTTCAAATTTTGCTGATACTAAAAATATCAATTATTGCTGACCGGAGGCAACAAACCAAATTAACGCGACGTTAGGTTCACATCTTGTCAATTTAGATTTAAATACAGTTCTAGAAATATAGCCTATTACTAACTAAACGATTACTTGAATGACGATCAGTAGTTGTGCATGGCAATGCAGTTGTTCATGCATGGGATTTTCATTTAATGTTAGACATAGACACCTATATAAATATACATTGTAAATAAACTGGCTTTAAAAAAAGTAATTCAATTAAGTTTCTTGCCAGTTCTTCTCAATTGGATCTATATACTGAACTTTTAAGACAAGTAGCTGCTCTACGTCTATAGTTAACATTGTTTCAAAAAACACATGTAGTACGTTAATAGTTATTAAAGTATATTGAATTTCCAGCGTACTGGACCAGGAGCTGCGTCTGAGTGGGGTAAGAGCCAGGTAGTGGCGGCAGCAAGTGGTGGAAACCTTCAGAAGCTTGCGTCAGCCTTCCTAGCATACGCTGATGACATGCGAACTCACGCCCAACTATCAGACCCCTCCGAAAATAAACGGTGAGGCATTTTACGCTTTTTTTTTGCAATACCAAATAATGTACAAGTAAACTAAATTGTTGATATTAAAAAATACTTAGTAGTTACGGGTAATACCTAATATTTGTATTTACGTTGTTATTGACTCGAAAGAAGGACACTTAATTAGAGATAGTGATTCAAAATATGATATGAGAAATACATGTATGTGTATGTATGTGTAAGAGAAACCGAAAGATCTTATTTTTTATTATAAGCTTTAATACATTTATTAAGAAGAAAGAAGAAGAAAAGACGGGATTGTTATGGATGGATGTATGTTTCAGCGTAAAAGAACATTTGCAAAAGATGATGTACCTTCTGAAGATATTGACGGTGACCACAAGCCGCCGTGTGGTGACGTGGCAGGAGGTCAGCGGACCAGAGATCGCTACCGTCACAGAACAACTCCTCAAGGTATCCTGAGTTATTCTGCTTTAAACTGTTCTGAGTTATTGCAGTAAATATTTGTAATACCTATTCTTTTGCGGAAGTCCAATTTATTATTTCATGGTAAATCCATATATTATTATATATATATATTATTTGTTTTATTCCGCTGCCATTAGCATGTGTGAGACCACAAATATTCGGTGTGGAAACTTGACTACCGTTACAACCTTCTCTAATGGTGATCAAATTCCGACCGTTATTGAGTCTACACCCATATTGCGACACGTGTTTCGCCTCTGAACGAGGCATCATCAGGCGTTGAATAGAGTTCGGATATAGCTTGGAAGCCTAGTGTTTACTCTTCGGTGACTAAATCGCGACTCGCGGTTTAGTCTAGACTCGTGGTAGAATTAAACAATATAATGTAAATCAATCAAGTAGTGAAATGGACTTCCGCAGAATAACCCCTAATTCGATTAAATATAACTATAATATAGTAACTAGCTAAAGCTATTGACTACGTTACCTAATACTCGCCCTATGTGCCGACAAGCAGTTTGACTTTAGAACCTTAGTTCTAGAGATTAGAAGGGCAAATAACTTATATCGAGATTTTCGTTTAGCAAATATTGAAGAAATCAATTTGCTTGTCGGCACATAGGACGAGATATGTTCATGATTGTCTTACCTTTATCCCATTATTTGTGGTCGGCGAAGTATGTCATCTCTTCCACTGCTCTCTATCGGTCGTCATATCTAAGCATACTCTTCTTTTATCCATATCATCTTTCACACAATCCATCCAACTTTTCTTAGGGCGTCCCCTCCCTTTACTTCCATCCACATTCATATTATACACTTTCCATAAGACTTGATCCTCGTTCCTACGCATAACATGCCCATACCAGCTCAATCTGTTACCGCGAGGTAACTTTTCTATAATCGGCGCAACTTTCAAACTTCCTCGTATATACACATTCCTTATTTTATCATTCCTGGTGACCCCACACATCAATCTCAACATTCGCATTTCTGCCACATGCACACGTCTTTCGTCCGTCCCTTTACGGCCCAACATTCAGATCCATACAAAAAGACGGGTCTTATGATAGATTTATAAACTTTACCCTTTAGTTTCAAGACATTCGGGGGTCGCATATCGTTCCTGGGGTGAGATATGTTGATGACAAAAACGAGTTTATATTCTAACGTCTCTCATTAAAAATACTTAGATTTGCTTTGTAATATTATAGGAATAAATTACTGCAGTGATGGTTTTTAGTCAAGTTATTGCAAAATGTTTTTTTTTTATAGGAAATCGACAAGGTATCCCAAAATTCACCGGGAAAGAGCCAGAAATCAGTGTTGTCTAACATTGACGCAAATAAATTGTTACTGTTTACGGAATCTAAAATAAAAGGAGAAAAAACGTATGTATACATGATTATATAATCAAAATTAACTACTTAATTATTATGTTAAATAATATAATATTTTTAAGAATATTAGCTTCTGTTCAGTCAATTTCAATAAAGGTTTGCAATTAAACTGAAGTTTTTTGTATCCTTTGAACTGTTTTTACTGGGTGTCCTAGTTTTGATGAATCTTTTTTATCTTTGATAGGTCTTAGGTTGATAACATACTAAAAAACATGTTCAGTATGTTATCCAAAATAATTAGTGACAGCAATATCTTTCATGCCACATTTCGTTGGATATATTTGAATCCAACATGTCAGGCGGTGATATACTATCTCTTAATTAATTTTGTGCTTGTTATCAGCGATTCACTTCACCAATTTTGTGTTGTCAACCAGATTCGAATGGAGAACCATCAAAGGTTATATAACCACCATACACCATCAAGCTCTCGTATGTTACAATTGTTTATATGCATTAATATTACAGGCACATCGAAGGTAAATTACAGCTGACCTCTACAAAACTCAGCTCAATGTTGGGTACGGTGGTGCTGAGTACATCCAATCCACAGAGTCTCACCAGGAGTCTGAAGGCTACCGTGGAAACCGCCACAGAGCTGGCCGTTCTTGCGCGAGCACTCAAAACAAACGTTAGTAATATATAACTGAACAATTAAACATTAAGGGTCGGCAACGCGCATGTGACACCCCTGGTGTTTCAGGCGTCCATAGGCTACGGTAACCGTTTACCATCAGATGGGCCGTATGCTTGTTTGCCACCTACGTGGTATAAGGAAAAAAAATAATGTATAAGAGTAAACACTCTTAAGCCCCGAACGCATATATTCATATAGGACATTTTAGCCGCTTATGAACGTAATTTTTTTTGTATAAATATTTTTTCCCTACCGTCCAGTTCAAATGCAAGTGAGAAGAATTGGCAAGAAACTAAACTGAATTTCTTTTTTTAAAGCCAATTTCTTTAAGATTTCCTTTCCTTCCTGTTCCGTTTGGAGTATCATCTACACTCGCCCTCATATCTTTGGGTGGAGCAACAAGCTAGTTTCATCAGTTAGTCATTTCTGATGAGCGGTAGAATCAAAATAAATTACTCTACTACTAAGTACTATTTCACAAGTACTTGTATTAACCTTATTTACTTATACGATATTGGAACCTTTATCGTTCTTTGATCTTGATCATATTCCTTCTTAAATGGCCAGCAACACACTTGTAATTCCTTTGTTGTTGCGGGTGCTTATGGGCGGTGGTAATCGCTTACAATCGGAATTCCTTTGTTGTTACGAGTGCTTATGGGCGGTGGTAATCGCTTACAATCAGAATTCCTTTGTTGTTACGGGTGCTTATGGGCGGTGGTAATTACTTTCTATAAGAATTTCTTTGTTTAATTTATTTCTTTGGCGGTGGTAATAAATTACTATAAGAATTCCTTTGTTGTTACGGGTGCTTATGGGCGGTGGTAATCACTTACTATAAGAATTCCTTTGTTGTTGTGGGTGCTTATGGGCATTGGTAACCACTTACAATTAGTATACCTTTGTTGTTGCGGGTGCTCCTGAGTGGTGGTAATCACTTAGGTACTGTCAAGTGAGCAGAAATCACGATCGTCCCCTATGCTTTAAAAAAATTATTTATTACATTCTCATTTCTTTCAGGATCCTCTTCAAAATGCAAAAATAGAGGAGGTAGTGAGAGAAATGAATTTCTACACCTACAATATCGTCAAGATATCGGACCTTGTTAGTCAGGTGAGTTATTAATTAATTATTACTAATAATAATAATACCTAATCTATACATATATATAAAATTGGAGTGTCGGTTTGTAATATTGAAATAATCGTTTTTTACTACATGTACGGTACATAAACCAAAATAACAGAAATTAAGTGCGTAGCGGTTTCTATGTTCATTGTCGCATGCCTAATCCTTGTTAATTTGAATATAATTAAATCAATATTTATTTAAAAGAGCAACACACAAGTTTCTTGTTATGAGTCTGTATTCCGAATGAGCGGTAGAATAAAAAAACTTAACTATTCAAAAGTGCTTATATTAATAAGTTTAATTGAATAAATATTATTTCTATTTCTATTTCTATAAATCTTAAACGTGTGTTGGGAAAATAAAATCAGTGGAATAAAAATTGAATTTTAAAAGAAAGTGTAATGAAATGAGAAAATAATTAACTCTAATAATGACACGTTCTTTTATACAGGAAGCTAACAACCGTGTGTACAGGAAGAGATTACTTGACTCCTGCCGTATGCTGAATGATGCTATCAACAAAATTGTAAGTGCTTACTTTTATTAATTTTTATGTTTATAAAAGGGAAATGAAACGAGATGACTGGTAACAGAGATGAGTGGAAGAGAGAAACGTATTACGCCGACCACAAATAAATGGGATAAGGAAGAAGCAGATGATGAAAAGGAAAATAAAATTAAAGAAATCTTAGTTTAATAAAGTATATTATATCATATTGTCTAGGTTGACATCTGGAGCTTCTTACTTCACAAAACATTTACGAAAATATCATGTATACACGGAAGAATTTAGAGAGTTTTAAAAAACTCAAAGACTGTACAAGTAGAAACTTACGCAATATAAATAAGCAAATTTTACCTAAATGCCGACTGCACAAAATCAGTAATTCATTCTATGGTAATTGCGTAAGATTTTATAATAAACTGCCAGAATCTGCATTAAATCTGACAGAGAGGTAATTCAAATCTTATATTAAACAATTTTTATGTAAGAAAGCCTATTACAGGATAGACGAATTCATAGATGACAACATATCAAGTAAATAATTAGTTTATTAGCATACAACGTTATAATTTTATTTTCTCATTGCTTTCTTGATTTAATTGATTGATTTTAGAAATATGAAAGCGTAGCGGTTTTTGTATTGATTGCCGCATGCATTCTTATGTAAAATGTGAATACTATAACCATTAGATGGCAATTGTAAGTAGCTTTGACGTGGTCTAGTGTTTTGAGTAGTCATGCTCACTAAAATGTCCAGACTTGTGGCGGCGTGGTGGGCCGGGTCATTGGGCTCCCTAAAATATGGTCGAGCGCAGTGATGGCTGGCTCATTCGTCATACTCGTGAACGGATGCTGCTTGTAGGGACTGGTCTGCTCTAATCACTACGACTGATTTAATCTTATTGTGTACTTATATTTGACCCTAATAAATTTGTGCTAGTTGGTAGTTTGTATTCACACGTTTCGAATTGTATAGTGTGAACTTACAAGGATTATTTAAAAGAGCAACACGCAAGTTTCTTTCTCGTTCTTCTTGTGATGAGACAGCTTTCCGAGTGTAGATTAAAAAAAGTTAAGTTTATTTGAATAAATGATTTTCTATTCTATATAACTCAAAGGTGACTGACATAGTGATCTATCAACGCACAGCCCAAACTACTAATGATCTATCAACTAGACGGATCGGGCTGAAATTTGGCATGCAGGTAGATATTATGACGTAGACATCCGCTAAGAAAGGATTCTGATTAATTCTACCCCCAAGGGGATAAATTAATTACTAAGTTTGTTGAATAATCATTACATTTTTTTAATCTACCGCTCAGTCGGAAAGCTGTCTCATCACAAGAAGATCGAGCAAGAAACTTGCGTGTTGCTCTTTTAAATAATTTTATTATTACATTACATTTTTAAGTTTAAGTGTGTGAATACAAACCACCAATTAGCACTAATTCAATTAAATACTCAAATAGAAAAAATGATGAATATATAACCAATTGAATATGTCTAGACACGCGGTAGCGTGTCAAAGCCGAGTTTCAAGTAAACTGGCAAGCAGCACCGTGTGTATATTTACACGAACCATTTGGAGCCACTTTTGACCCCCTCATAACTCAAAAACTCTTTCACACAAACCTGTCAAATTTGGTTCATATATTGAGACTTGCGAGATAAATATGTGTTCCAAATTTCATAAACATATCTCAAACGGTTATTTAGATATTAATGTCCAAAAATCGTCATTTTTATCACTGATCAACTATAGATCAAAATTATAACCCACTTCCAGATGACCTAGGAAGTTCAAATTTGGCATGCAGATAGGTAATTAGGTGAATATAAAGGAAATAGAAATAGAAATAATCTTTATTCAAATAAACTCATTACAAGCACTTTTGAATAGTCATATTTTGATTCTACCACTCATTCGGAATGCAGATTCATCACAAGAAGAATGAGCAAGAAACTTGTGTGTTGCTCTTTTTAATAGATGTTTTTTTTTATAGAAATAATTACAGTATAACAAATAAGAGGCATGCGATAATCAACATAGAAGTTGCTACGCACTCATTATTAATGTAATCAGATAATATTGTCAGTGCTATGGATTTAAAGTTTTTCTATAAAAACATTATTATCGTTAACGAATTCTTCAATTTTATAGTAAGCTTTTTTGCAAAGGAACTGTTTTATTTGACATTTAAATCTTTTTTCTGAAAAAAAAAAAATCTGAAACTGGTAAATTGTTATCATTTTACTACAATTTTTCACTTTAATTGATTCTATTTCAACTTATACTGGACGAATACTAAAATTCTATGAAAACGTCGATAGCCACCAATTGACATTGATCCCTGGCGAAATATCTCATCTTGTACTGGACGGCAACTAATATTGTATGAAAACGTCGATCATTACCAATTTACGTTGACCCCTTCACATCAGTGTCGATAACTAGCAAACTTCAAATATTGCATTGAGCGGTTGGTTGTTTTCATATACGAAATATACTGTAGCCTTCGCAAGTTCTTAACATTTACAATAGTTACTTGTCAGTTCCTATTTTATTATTAGTAGTAACTAGCAATCGAAAGTAATAATTGGTATATGAGAACTGGCCAAGTTAGACCTTAGGCTACAGTATATTATCCTAAGTTATAAGAAGAAATGATATTTTATATTGTTATAAATACATTTCAGGACAGACCATTGAACTTGGCACCCATTTAGATCTCATCTCTTTTGTCGTAGAAGTCAACAATCAAGGCATATATCATAATATTAAACTCGGCTATCATTTCACATTTATGTTTTTGATGGGATATATATATTTAGATTAGATTATCAACATTCACTGTTACCCCACCAGCGTAACCCGTTAAAGCAGGTGGGTGCACCATTTTTTAAAATTTATTATTCTTTATTGCACCATAATAATAAATATATATATATATACATAAAAGAAAATAATATTTTATGGGTACAAAAGGCGGTCTTTTCGCATATGCGATCTCTTTCAGACAACCTTTGGGTAGAGGAGAAAAGGCAGAAGGTGGTGGATGGTGCAAGATGCACTAGAAGAAACATTCCAGTAATAAAAAAAAAACTTGTCCAGGTTCGAGTGACGATGGTCAGCAGCAGCGCTAGCCCGCGGCGGAGGGAGATCGACGAGATGACTCGCAGCCTGCAGCTCCAGCAGACGTTGCTGCAGGCTCCGCCGCAGCCTACCTGCAGCATGTCCTACACTGACTGCATCGACGCATTGAATAGTCAGAATGAAGTTATAGGTGAGTTTTGTTTAATGCATCCAAATCAAATCAATACAAAAATCATTTATTTATTTAACAAAATTTAGATGTTTATGAACGTAATCATTTTTGGATATATATTTTGCCCTACCGTCCAGTTCAATATACAGATTCAATTTATAAGAACTGACAAGAAACTCATCTGAATTTCTATTATTATATATATTTCGACGACCTTGGTGGTATAGCGGTCCAGTCCAGTCCACACCGCTTTATGTCCAATGGTCGCGGGTTCGATTCCTCGCACGGCACAAACATTTGTATTCACGAGTATGATTGTTTGTATCGGTTTGGGTATTTTCTATGTATAATATGTATGTATTTACGAAAAAAAAAAATATCTATGTATTTGTATCAGTTATCTAGTACCTACCCATAACACAAGCTTCAGCTAGCTTAACTTGGGACTAGATGGCGCTGTGTGAATTGTCCTGAGATTATTATTATTTCTCTATTTTGTTTTATTTCTATTTTATTCATTATTAGGGCTCCGCTCTTTAAAGGTGATAATGCTACTTCATGCATATCTCTATCTATATATCCCTTTATAGTTATTATATTAAATTAAGTTACATTATTAAATTAATTTGTATTAGCATGTGTGAGACCACAAATATTCAGTGCGGAAATCTGACTACCACCACTGGAAACTTTACGACCTTCTCAAATGGTGATCAAATTCCGACCGTTATTGAGTCTACAACCTATACTAACAACTAAACTGTACTCAACTAGGGGGAAGGGTATTGTTAGTCATGTGGACTAATAATCCCAATGCTAGCAATGTACCATGTCAGGTTGACCTCGCGCTTCCCCCTGGAAACCATCGTGATAAATTCTTGGTGAATTTGTCACGATGGGCTAACTGACCTGACCTCATGCTCATCTTATCATCCTCCACTGGTGTCCCGCTAGCTTAAAACGGTAGCGCAGGAGGGCCAACATTCCATTATCATACTTAAAAAAAAAAACTGATCTCTAGGTATACAACCTAAACCTATTGCGACTCCTGATTCGCCTCTGAAAGAGGCTTCATTCATCATCATCATCATCGCAGTCCAGAAGACGTCCACTACTGGACAAAGGCCTCCCCCAAAGATCTCCACGATGATCAGTCCTGCGCTGCTTGCATTCAATGCCTTCCAGCGATCTTGACCAGATCCTCGGTCCACCTATAATAATAAAATTGTAAAATCGTGTGTATTAGGGTTTGACGGAAGTACTAGGATAGAATTTTCAAAGATTAAGTTATGAAATCTTTGTATATACAAATGACGTGTCACGTTGTTTGTCCGCGATGGACTCCTAAACTACTGAACCGATTGCAAATTTGATTAGCACATTGTGTGCAATTTGATCCAACTTGAAATATAGGATAGCTTACATCTCAATTTATAGTCGCAATGTTATTTTATACAAGAACTTTAGCCACAGCAACGCGTGGCCGGGTCTGATAGTTATTAATATGTATAAGTTATAGAGAGCTGAAAAAAAACATTCCCAAGGAGAAATAATTTAAGGATTGTGAGTCATAAAAACTATTATAGCAAATTAAAATTCTTATTACATTTTATGTAGTATTAAAAAAATAATAATTACCCAGGATAATTCACACAGCGCCATCTAGTCCCATAGTCTCAAGTTAAGGTAGCTTAACTTACAACTTGTGTTATGGGTACAGCACAATTGATACAAATACATACCTTTTTTTAAACACATACCTAATATACAAAACACCCAGTTGCTCTGGGAACTGTCAAACAATCATACTCATGAATACAAAAGATTGCATCGTACTAGGTTTTTTTTCGGACTACTCTATATAGATAGATAGATAGATAAAAATCTTTATTCGGATCCCGATAACAAAGATAGTACAAACAAAATTCAAATAACACATAAGAATAGTAAATAATTATAAAAAAAAACAACACATAATACTTTAACTTCCACATAAAATAAACATTAAATTACATATTAGGTGCCACAGGGATACGAAAGGGTTGAGCTACTCAGTGAACAATTTGCTCAGCGAGCACAACACTGATTTTCAGTAGCAGCCCAGTGGTGGTGCGATCGCGTGCAGCGACATATTCACTCAACAATCTTAATGTTACCAAAACTTAATTAAACTCATTCTTAATAAAAATAATAGAAGAAAAAAATAATAAAATAAATAAATCAAAATACAAATAACTGTTGACCATTACCTCTAATGCTGTTGGCCGCAGCTGGCTTTTACAGCTTCACCGGACGTTATGGGGCGAGTGCAGATGGCACTCCAATCCCGCGGAAGGACTTATGGAGGGACTTGGATGGAAGGCCAACTCCCGCCTGACAGATACGACTTTAGTCTGAGGGCACCGGTAGAAGTTCGAACCTCGGCTCAGGCCGTCGTAACATCGGTCCCCGTTTGAATTGGATGGAGGATCGATCGGAGGAGGAATCGAACCCGCGACCATAGCAACTAAAGAGTATAATATAAATACCACTTGCTTACTTTTATATTTGTAAAGTACGTGTTAGATATGAGACAATAAAGACAACTTAGACTTATTAATATAATACTACTAAATACTTTTCGTTGTCTATCAACTATCTATATATATATATATATATATATATTTGTAATTATAATTGTAATGACTGTTTGTACCAAAATAAATTAAAAAAAAAAAAAAAAAATTTTTGATGCTGTACTTTTCCATAGACAAATTGAAGAGTGAAGAGCAAATGTCCCAGGAACAGTTGAGTAAAGCGATGGTGTATGTGAGTGCGGCTGTGCAGAATAGCACAGAGTACGCTATGCAGTGTGCATATTTTGTGAGTATTCACAGATTTAATTTCATATTAAAAGAATTATCTATACATATAAATAAAACTGGAGTGTCTGTCTGTATTATTGAAATAACCGTTTTTTACTACATGCATATGAATATATGAATTTTTGTCTGTCGATCTGTTTGTTCCGGATAATCTCTGAAATGGCTGGACCGATTTTGACGGGACTTTTTTTGGCAGGTAGCTGATGTAATAAGGAGCAACTTAGGCTACTCTTATTTTAGAAAAATTCTTTTTATTTTAGTAAAATAAAGTTAAAATGTCCACGCGTACGAATTCACGGGTGCAGCTAGTGTTAAATAAACTAAACAACCAATATATAATATCTGAAACCTTAAATTCAAATTCAAATTCAAAATATCTTCGCCCGCGTGTACATGTATTATACATATAAACCTTCCTCTTGAATCACTATCTATTAAAAAAAACCGCTTCAAAATCTTTTGCGTGGTTATAAAGATTTAATCATACATAGGGACGGACAGACAGCGACAGCCTTTGTTTAATACTATAATGATCAGTACCCTTGTAATTAAAATACCAGGTATCACTGCCTGATGGAGACATGGAGGTAGCCAAGACGGGCCTGGTGGACGTGCATCAGTTGGTGATCAACGTGGAAATACTACACGAGATCTGCTACAGGATTCTGCAATTTGAGCCGGACCAGGTATTTGGAAACATAGATATATAAAATAATATTTTAGCACTGCGACCTACAGAGATCTGTTGCTTTCGCCTTAAAATAGTAACAAACAATATTTTTTTGACGGTTTACGCTGGCTGGGCTCCAGTGGAGGATGATATGATGAACACGAGGTCGAGTCAGTTAGCCCATCGTGACAAAATCCTCAGGGTTTTATAATGATGGTTTTTAGGAACCACGTGGAGGTCAACCTGATATGGTACATTGTTAGCAATCTGGTCAGCTATCCACATTACTAACAATTTCCTGTCTCCCTATACAGACGTATTAACTTTTCAGTGTTTTTATATTTATAAACCTTCCTCTTGAATCACTCTATCTATTAAAATAAACTGCTTCAAAATCCGTTGCGTACTTTTAAAGATTTAAACATACATAGGGACGGACAGACAGCGACTGCGACTTTGTTTAATAAATTCAAATTCTAAAATCATTTATTCATGTAGGACATTTTAGCCGCTTATGAACATCATGTTTTTACATTATAATTTTATTTTTTCCCTACCGTCCAGTTCGGTATATAGATCCAATTGAGAAGAACTGGCAAGAAACTCAATTGAATTACTTTTTTTTTTAAAAGCCAGTTTATTTATAATGTATTTTTATATAGGTGTCTATGTCTAACATTAAATGAAAATTCAGTGCATGAACAACTATTGCCATGCACACTCGTCATTCAAGTAATCGTTTAGTGAGTAATAGGCTTTGCTCAGTAAATATGATTTAACAGATGTTTTGAATTTATTTAAGGGTAATTCCAACATATCCTTTGGTATCTTATTGTAAATTTTTATACCTATTCCCATAAAAGACCTATTAACTTTTTCTAAACGATACTTGGGGACAGCAAGTTTATCTTTAAATCTAGTATTAATATTATGAATATTGCTGTTTTTTGGAAATATGTCAAGATTTTTATGAACATATAGGATATTTGAATATATAAATTGAGAAGCAACGGTGAGAATATTTGCCTCTTTGAATTTCTCTCTTAATGAGTCACGACTCTTCATACAGTAGATCGCTCGAACGGCACGTTTTTGTAACATGAATATATTTTTAATATCTAATATCTATCTAATACAATGTAATGATAATAATAATGTCCAACATAAGGTAACATAAAAGAAAAAAACTAAACTGATTACAAAAGTAATACCAAAATAAGTGTAGTTGTTGAGCAGATTTTTTTATTTTAACCACCGTTTTCTATAAATCAGGTTAAATCGGAAGAACCAGATTTGACCAAACAAGTGGAGAACTTGAAACAAGCTCTAACCGAGGGTTCTAAGAAGTCGGTGCATCTGAAAGAAGAATTACTGCAAGCTGTAAACAAAGTAGATAAAGCCGCAGAAGATTTGCGTAAAGTTATAAATGAACCAAATACTAATAGGGTGAGTTCTGATATTCTATATAAGTCTCTATCTCTATTTTTTTTTAATGTAACTAGTTTAGTGAAGAAACTGATTGTTTACAAATTCAAATTAAAAAATAATTTATTCATACATAGGACATTTTAGCCGCTTATGAACGTCAAATTTTTTAAATTATAATTTCTATTTTTTCCCCTACCGTCCAGTTCAGTATATAGATCCAATTGAGAAGAATTGGGAAGAAACTCAATTGAATTACTTTTTTTTTAAAGTCAATTTATTTACAATGCATATGTTAGTATAGGTGTCTGTTATTACATATATATATATATATATATATATATATATGGTAAGTGACCACCAAGTAATATATTATATTATTTGGTGGTAAGTGGTGTTAGACCTACAACGAGAATCACTGGTAGTTTTTATATTTGTTCATCCATATTTAATATATACGAGTTCTATCTTTATCTTATTTGACGACCTCGGTAGTCTAGCACACCGCTATACTTCCGATGGTTGCGGGTTCGATTCCTTGCACGCTGCAAACTGGGCGTTTACTATGTATTTACGAAAAAAAAAATATCTGTGTATTTGTTTCAGTTATGAATTTGTTCTATTACCCATAACACAACCTTTAGCTAGCTTAACTTGGGTCTAGATGGCGCTGTGTACATTGTCCTGAGATTATTATTATTATATTTTTTATTAAAACCTGATATTATGTTATTATTACTTATCATTGTAAACATCATACATCATATCATCACATATCATGGTACGTGTATCATGGTTTGAAATGTTTGCAGAATAAAATCACATCGGCGACCATTAAACTCTTGGATACATTGAAATTGGTGAACTCCATATCTGAACACCCGTCGTTGCTGCCCAAAGTGAGTGAGGTGACGACAGAAGCTCAACAGAGACGGGATGATATCTTAAAAAGCTCCAGGTAATTCATTCATCATTTATTATAATAACAATTTTACATTTTTTTTAATTTAATAAATAGGTATATTAATCATCATCATCATCACCATCATCACTATCACCATCACCATCACCATCATCACCACCACCATCATCATCATCTCAGCTCGGAAGACGTCCACTACTGAACAAAAGCCTCCCCCAAAGATCTCCACGATGATCGGTCCTGTATATTAATGAAATTATATTCTTGAAAGAGAATCACTAATTTCTTCTACTGATCAAAATCATATTAGTCGCCGAACCGATGCTCTCGATGAGTGGAGTCCGCGAATTAGCAAACGTAGTGTAGGACGCCGCGCAGCTGGATGGAGCAACCACAAGCGAGTTGTGGGTAACTGGAAGAGAAGCGCTGAAGATCGTGCCCAGTGGCGTACCTTGGGAGAGGCATATCACGGGGAGTGTTCTGAGGAATTGTTCGGATTAATACCAGCTGCTGAGTTTCACCACCGTACCACCCGCCAGAAACTGAAAAACCATCCTGATCATCTGGATAAATGGCGGTCTTCCACAGTACGGTTTTCTAGAAACTTTTTGCCTCGCACAACCATATTGTGGAATCACCTTCCAGCAATGGTATTTCCGATACGATATTGAAACCTTCAAGAAAAGAGCTTATTCCTTTTTAACTGCCGACAACGTACTTGCAATTCCCCTGGTATTGCGGGTGCTCATGGGCTGCGGTAATCACTTACCATCAGGTGAGCCGCATGCTCGTTTGTCCCCTGTGTTATAAAAAAAAGACCTATGTCCCATTAGGCACATTGATTTTAGAAGATAAAATCTAATCCATCACATTTAAAATAAGTAATCAAGTTGGTAACTAACAATTTATATGTAACGTGCAACTGATCGAAACGAGAATAAATTATATTTACTGCTGTATATCTGTAATCCACTGAATCATGTCCAGCAGTGGACTGCTGTGGGCTGATGATAATGATGATGATGATGATCAAAATTTAAAGAAGCAATTAATATTCGTCCCACGTGTAGTTATACAAACATTTATTCTTAAGAGTATGTTTGTTTGAATGGGTCTGGGTGCATTCTATATATATAGTAGCTGTCCCGGCAAACGTTGTTTTGCCTTAAATTAAAAAAAAAATAGGGGTGGACTACCCCTAACATTTAAGGGGATGAAAAATAGATGTTGGCCGATTCTCAGACCTACTCAATACGCTCACAAAATTTCATGAGAATCGGTCAAGCCGTTTCGGAGGAGTATGGGAACGAAAACTGTGACACGAGAATTTTATATATAAATGTAGATATTTACAAAAAATAACAATAGAATAGAATAGAATAGAATAGAAAATCATTTATTCAAATAAACTTAATTTAAGCACTTTTGTTTTTTATCTACCACTCGTTCGGAAAGCTGTCTCATCACAAGAAGAACGAGCAAGAAACTTGTGTGTTGCTCTTTTAAATAATCCTTGTAAGTTTACATTTACAAGTCGAAACGTGTGAATACAAACTACCAACAAGCACTAATTTTTTGGTTCAGATATAAATATGCAATAAGATTAAATTAGTCGTAGTGATAAGAGCAAACCAGTCCCTACAAGCAGCACTCCTTCACGAGTATGACGTATGAGCCAGCCATCACTGCGCTCGACCATATTTTAGGGAGCCGAATGACCCGGCCCACCACGCCGCCACATGTCTGGACATTTTAGTGAGCATGACTACTCATTCCACTCGACCACGTCACAGCTACAATGTACTTCTATCAGTCATATAGTACCCATAACACAAGCTCTGCTTAGCTTGGGACTGGATGACACTGTGTGAATTGTCCTGAGATATTATTAGTACTGTACCATATCATAACCTGCTGTTGACGACATATCCACCTGATTGCACAGTTCCTGCAGTTGATCTAGAAGCTTCTTCCTCTCTTCTTCGTTTGATTGTTCATCAGCCATCTCTTTTACTCTTATGTATATTAATATTTTTGTTTCAGTCATGGCAAACAAGCTAACACCAGTAATGGCAAATGGCAACCAACTGAGGATTGTTAGTAATGTGGACTCATGACCCTATTGCTAGCAATGTACCATGTCAGGTTGACCTCCACGCGGTTTCCCCTGGAAACCATCGTGATAGATTCCTGGTGAATTTGCCACGATGGGGTTATGGTTCACTGACGTGACCTCATATTCATCTCAGCATCCTCCACTGGTGCCCCGCCAGCTACCGTTAGCGCAGACGGGTGCACCATTCCATTATCATCCATAAAAAAAACTATATTTCAGGAGTCTAACGACAAAAACGTTGGCGCTAATGAAAGAGGTGAGGTCTGCTGAGGATCAGGAGATAATGACTTGGGTCATGTTCAGAACCAGGAAAGATCTGCTTGATACGTTTGAAGCTCTAGTCGATGTCGTTAAGTAAGTGCCAATTTTTATCTATACATATAAATAAAATTGGAGTGTCTGTTTGTAATATTGAAATAACCGTTTTTTACTACATGCATATGAATATAAATACGGTACGTACATCAAAATAATAATTTTTACAATTTTTGTCTGTCTGTCTGTTTGTTTCAGCTAATCTCTGAAATGGCTGGACCGATTTTGATGGGACTTTTATTGGCAGGTAGCTGATGTAATAAGGAGTAACTTAGGCCATAGTTATTTTAGAAAATAAAAAGTTAAATTCCACGCGGACGAAGTCGCGGGAACAGCTACATTAGTTTATAAAACCTTTTTTTTTACCATTTTTGTCTGCCTGTCTGTTTGTTCCGGCTAAGCTCTGAAATGGCTGGACCGATTTTGACGGGGCTTTTTTTGGCAGGTAGTTGATGTAATGAGGAGTAACTTAGGCTACTTTATATTAGAAAAATAAATTTGCGAAAGAAGGCGCGGGTGCAGCTAGTAGTAAATATATATTAACTGATACAAAAGGCGGTCTCCTCTCTAGTGGCGGCTAATCTCTGAAAAGGCTGGACCGATTTTGGCGGTACTATTTTTGGGAGGTAGCTGATGCTTATGTAATAAGGAGTAACTTAGGCTACTTTTATATTAGAATAATAAAGTTAAATTCCACGCGGACGAAGTCGCGAGAATAGCTATTATAAATATATTAATAAACACTGACTACATACCTTGTATTTTTTTATATATAGTTTTATCACCATCTGCTTGTTCCTTATCCCATTCATTTGGGGGTAATATGTTTTAGTGTTAATATAGGTCTATGTTATCTTAATCTAAATATATATAACTCAAAGGTGACTGACGTAGTTTTCTATCAACGCACAGCCCAAACCACTGGACGGTTCGGGCTGAAATTTGGCATGCAGGTAGATGTTATGACGTAGGCATCCGCTAAGAAAGGATTTTGATTAATTCTACCCCCAAGGGGATAAAATAGGGGATGAAAGTTTGTCAATTTTAAACCATTGACGTAGGCATCCCCTAAGAAAGGATTTTGATAAATTCCACCCCTAAGGGGATAAATTAACGCGAGCGAAGCCGCGGGCAAAAGCTAGTAATATTATAAACGCGAAAGTTTCTGAGTATGGATGGATGCTTGATACTCTGCTACTCTTTCGCGCAAAAACTACTGAACGGATTTTGATGAAACTTTACAGTAATATAGCTTATACATCAGAATAACATATAGGCTATAAATTTCACGCGGGTCAAAGCGTGGGCACAGATAGTTTGGAATATTTGTATAATCATACCTACGCCCCAACACCTGTGCATCACAAATATGACTGAATACGAGATAATCACAATTTTTTAAATAATATCTATTAATTTCAGAGAGAATGGTAAACGTTCTGGCATCTTGGAGATGGCCGTGGAAACTGAAGAGGTATGTACTAATGGTGTAGTATAGAATAGAATAGAATAGAATAGAAAATCATTTATTCAAATAAACTTACATTGAAGCACTTTTGAATAGTCATTACATTTTTTAATCGAAAAGAACGAGCAAGAAACTTGCGTGTTGCTCTTTTAAATAATTTTATTATTACTTTACATTTTTAAGTTTAAGTGTGTGAATACAAACCACCAATTAGCACTAATTCAATTAAATACTCAAATAGAAAAAATATTGAATATATAACCAACTGGTTAAACAATTAATAAGAGGAAATCAGTCATAGTGATTAGAGCAATTAGTAATTACAGATTAAAGAATATTACATTTATTTCGCTGAGCAGGGAAACACGAGCGGTGTAGGTGACTGCTAGCGTTGCCCTTTAAACATTCACCCGGGTCACAAGTCCCGGGGACCGCAGGGAGTTTCACCCCCACGGTGATTCCATGCAATGCTATGAAGTTTTAATGTTAATAAAATAAAAAAATATGTAATTTTAAATAAATTCACATCTAATATTTGTGTCATTTGGAATTTTCTTTTTACAGATATGCATTTATTAATATTCTTATAAAAAAATATTGTTCAACTTCTACGGAATTAACTTAAAATGTTTTGTTAATGGTTTTTTAACTAAAAAAATCTATATTACATGAACGAGGAATTGATTGAAAATATTCAATTAATGTTTTTATAACTAAAAAATCTATATTACATGAACGACAAAGTGTGATATGTATTGTAGTCGAAAATATATGTCAATTTAGGTTACATTATGTGGTAATTTACATTAACCCACAAACTAAAATAAAAATTATTTTTTTAAGGAACCTAAAAAGAAGAGTTTTGTTCAGATTCAGTAAGTAGTTTTAAAGATTGTACCTATATTTTGAGCGTAAAATATTGTAGTTTCCCTTATTTATGTTTAAAATATGATTATAGATTGGAATTAGCAAGCAAATGGCTTATAACTTCAAGGAGTACGTCTGACACCAAGGAAGCTGGGGAGAAAGCTGCACAAAAAATCTTAGAAATTGCAGAACAGGTACTGTTGTTAAACTACCTTATATTAAGCTGCTTTATTTTAATGGTTATATTTATGAATGGGATGTTTTTACAACTTGTAGATGGCAGAGGAATTAAAAGGTCCTGAAAATGAAGAGATACGTCACCTCATTGTGGAGTCTAAACAATTGCTGAGTAGCTGCTCTATTAAATACAGTAAAGAAAATTCTAGGTGAGAATTTACATATTTACTATGTGGGTAAAATGGCAGAACAAACTAAAGATTACTTGTTAGAAAATGGAACCGTTGTATACATATAATACGTAGAGTCATCATATGACGCATAATACACGACATCGTTCTCGCCGGCGAAGTGAACGACCCCAAATACACCGTACCGCGCAATCAACCCGGCGCCTTCGCGCGCTCCGGCGCTCCATACCGGTACCCCCGGTCGCCCCTCCGATCGATCCCCCGTCCAATTCAAACGGGGATCGATATTACGACGGCCTGAGTTGAGGTTCAAACCTCTAGCGGTGCCCTCAGACTAAAGTTGTATGCGTCAGACGGGAGTTAGCCTCCAGCCACTGTTTAAGTCCTGGCTTTGGTTTGGAGTGCCATTTGCACTCGCCCCCTATCGTCCGGTGAAGCTGTAAAGGCCAGCTGCGGCCATCAGCATTAGCGTAGTCCGAAAGCATATGACGCCTGTGATATTATGTGTTGCTATTGTAGAGTTTTAATTGCTACCCGTACGTTATACTATGTAATTTCAATGCTCTATGTCAATCTTCAATTTGGAACACTGTTTACAAAGTAAGCTGCTAAAGTAGACTGTACTAAGGTAGATAGACAATTTGTATAAAATTTATCTACATTATTTATTTAAGAAAGTTGTAAGGAAAATTGTGTCTTCCGTGCTTTCCTTTTGGTGTAAAATGTTTTTGACTTTGATTATTACTTCGTTGTGTGTTTTTAACACAGGTTTTTAACTAGCACTTGAAACAATTATTTTAAATATAATATACCTACAAACATTTTATTATATTCGACTTATATTGTGAACAATTTATGTAACATTAACATCTGTTTTGTTATAATTCTTATTCTTTTTGAAGCCAATTGGTGGAGCGATTGAAAGGTCTAAAGAAGTGCATCGAGCGTGGTATGGTGACCATAGTTGTGGAAGACTTTATGCAGGAAAATGAGCCACTGGCTGACCTTGACTACTTGATCGATGCTGAACCTGGTAATTATACTGCTTAATTATTAATTAATGAAACATTCTTACCTCATGACGATATGTATGATATACTAGCTGATCGCGCAACTACGTCTGCATTAGTATTCATTGATACTCCAATTGGTTATTGTGTGATGTTATTAATCCTGTATCTATCCTTGAAAAATGGTAGCCAATTGTTGAAACTGATAAATTCTTAGCATAGACCAACGTGATGAACAACAATTACTGTTAGAATGTTTATGGTTGTTTGTGCGTTTGTGCCTGCTAATCTTCTTTGTGCGCTTTTCACTAGTAAACGTCACTTAAAGTTGTGTGTTTCTTTTATTCTAATCAATACATACCGAAACCAAAAAGTTATTAATTATTCCTGGTATGAAAATGCGGGCTGAACTGGTTAATAAATATTTTAAGATTGATCATTTTGTTCTGTAGATGCATCGAAACGAAAATTCATCTTGGAGCGCAAGATAGCGGAGTTACAGGCGCAGCTTCAACGTATGAAGAAGACGGCTAGGCTGGTCGTCAAGGCAGGCTCCGGAGCGGAACAAGTCTGTGTTGAATTGGAGAAGTGCGCCAATCAGGTAACTTTACTCTATACATTTACAGGCTAGGTGTCAGATTTGGGAATTATCGCCCCAAATGTGTGGGGTTGGAATAAGTTGATTGGATGGAGTGGATTTTGGAGACCATGTAGGCCTAAAAAAGGATAAGAATATTTCTAGATAAACGAAGTTGTTATAGTTGAAAGTTTATTATCTAGATTCTATCTAGAATATTCTGAACACTAAGTTGTGGGGTACTTAGAGTTTATTGCGGTGATTTTTTTCAAAGCCTATTTTTTGCTGGACTAAAATTAAAATGGGAATATCAGATGATCATCTGCCAATACTGCTCTCACAGTAAATTTAAATGCTCCTGAGACTTGGTGTGTATAATTTGATGAATATAATAAAATGAACATATTATTTCAGGTTGATCTCCTCGCGCCTTTACTCGTCAAAGCTGCTGAAGATGGAGTCAACTCCTCTAATGACGAGGTAAGTCTATTGTGAATGGCAATTACTTGCAATTACTATACGTTGTCTACCGGTCAGAAGCGGAAACGAGAACTTTGTTTCAAATTCTAGTTTGATTGAATTGGGTTCCATGGGTTGGTTTGGTCGGTTGGTTTCCATTTCATCATTGGAATGAAGATAGACAATAGAAATATTATCTATCTATCTATGTATTTTTTTTTTTCTAAATGAATAATGTTTCGGCAGGCCGCTGTCGAGAAATACAAAGCAATCCTGACTGAATACACGGAATCTTTATTGAGGGTCCGAGATTTGTGCGACCAGTCGGTGGATCCTATGGACTTCGTTCAAACTGCAGGTGAGTCAACTCTTAAAGCTGTATGACGCCTAACCCTTTCCATGCAAAACTTGCTACTGTAATTATTTTCTACAATAACTATTTACACTCGATGAAATTTTATCCATGGTCTAAAAAGTAAAGGTGTGGACCAGACAATTTGAATTTTAGAAATACACATAACTAAGCAAGTTGTGTTAAAAAAATCGACTTATGTTTAGTTCATTCGTGAACAATTCAAGACAGTATAAAAAATATAAAAAATCTGCAATACAATGGAGTTATATTGATTTTCAGAATAACTACTTCAAAAGGGCACTGATAATCTATACATATAATTAAAATTGGAGTGTCTGTTTGTAATATTGAAATAACCGTTTTTGACTACATGCATAGGAATATAAATACGGTACATACACCAAAATAACAATTTTTACAATTTTTGTCTGTCTGTTTGTTCCGCCTAATCTCTGATATGGCTGGACTGGTCCCGATTTTGACGGGACTTTTGTTGGTAGGCTGTTTTAAAAACCAAGTTAAATTCAACGCGGACGAAGTCGCGTGTACAGCTAGTATATTATAATAATAATAGAATAAGTGATCAGAATGGTGCCACCACTCTGTAACAAGACTTTGTGAGATATTTTGGTTGATATGGCAGTAAAATAGGGCACAGAGGCATGAAACGTTAGTTCTCTGAAAGCAACGCCTTACAGATATCCTTGTTAGAAGTCAGTTGAGGACGTGGTTCTCAAAATACATAGAGACATTGGTTGCTGTTCCATTAGGTGGACTATTGTTTACAATTCCAGTACGTCATACTCGTGAACGAGTGCTGCTTGTAGGGACTGGTCTGCTCTTATCACTACGACTGATTTAATCTTATTACATGATTATATTTGACCCAAAAAATTTGTGCTTGTTGGTAGTTTGTATTCACACGTTTCGACTTGTAAATGTAAACTTACAAGGATTGTTTAAAAGAGCAACACACAAGTTTCTTGCTCGTTCTTCTTGTGATGAGACAGCTTTCCGAACGAGTGGTAGATAAAAAACAAATTGTTATGACTATTCAAAAGTGCTTAAATTAAGTTTATTTGAATAAATGATTTTCTATTCTATTCTATTCTAAAATAACATTAACAGACAATACAAAATTTGTAGAAAATATCTAACTTAAAATTCATAGCGCTGACAATGTTATCTGATTGAACAGAGATTAAATGCGTAGCGGTTTCTATGTTGATTATCGCACGCCTAATCCTTGTTAATGTAAATCTGATTAAAACAATATTTATTTAAAAGAGCAACACACAAGTTTCTTGCTCATGCATTCCGAATGAGCAGTAGAATCAAAAAATTTGACTATTCAAAAGTTTATTTTAATAAAGATTATTTCTATTTCTATTAAAAAAAAACAACTATTAAAGAAAAACATATATTCCTTCAAGACTTGTGAATATATCTATGAGTTGTTTGTTACAGGGGAAACAATGCAGCGCTTGAGGGAAGATTCATCATCTAGTAACGACTATTATCAGTGTGCTATGTCCATCACCAAGTAAGTGTCTTATTCAATCATTTCATCATCATGTTAGCTTCAATATATAAATTTCATCATTTGACTAATTTGTAATTTCACGAATTATTAGACGTTTTGCCACCACTAATACTCATAGGGTATTTACATGGGAAGGAAAAAGGTAGTGGCCTCCCTTCCAATCGATCCCCCGTCCAATTCAAACGGGGATTACGACAACCTGAGTCAAGGTTCGAACCCCTAGCGGTGACCTCAGATTAAAGTCATATCCGTCAGCCGGGAGCTAACCTTCGGCCGCTCCATAAGTCCTTCCTTTGGTTTGGAGTGCCATCTGCGCTCGCCCCTTATCGTCCGGTGTAGCTGTAAAGGCCAGCTGCGGCCAACAGTATTAGAGAGGTCTGAAAAAAGGGAGCAATATTTGCATGCACATTTTTTCCTGCGTGAAAGCCTATACGCAAGTGGAAAAACAAGTGGAAAAATGATTGATTTGAACATGCTGGCAAAACACGTCATTAACTTAGTAGTCAGCCAACAGTATTAGAGAGGTCTGAAAAAAAGGGAGCAATATCTGCATGCACATTTTTTCCTGCGTGAAAGCCTATACGCAAGTGGAAAAACAAGTGGAAAAATGATTGATTTAAACATGCTGGCAAAACACGTCATTAACTTAGTAGTCATTGAACAGGACAGGCTTGTAGAACGCGTCATTAACCTAAGTATAACGTTGAGATGATATGATTGGTTTGAACGGGCTGGCAAAGCGCGTCATTAACCTACGCATGACAGGCATTCAAAATGCGTCATTAACCTAAATTAAACAGACAACCTAAATTAGTCATTATTAAAATTTCACGCATTGAATTATTGGTTTGAACGGGCTGGTAAAGTGCGTCATTAAACTAAGTATGAAATAGAATTATTGGTTTGAACGGGCTGGTAAAGTGCGTCATTAAACTAAGTATGAAATAGAATTATTGGTTTGAACGGGCTGGTAAAGTGCGTCATTTACCTAAATTTGACAGGCTCGCAAAGAGTGTTATTAAGCTAAGTATGACATATAGTATGATTGATTTAAACGGGTTGGCAAAGGGCGTCATTAACCTAAATTTGACAGGCTCGCAAAGAGTGTCATTAACTTAAGGATGGCATATAGAAATATTAGTTTCAACGGGCTGGTAAAGCGCGTCGATGACCTAAGTATGCCAGACTCGAAAAATATAATACATCATTAACCTAAGTATGACATATAGAATGTTTGTTTTGAACGGGCTGGCAAAGTGCGTCATTAACCAAAACTTCACGTATTGAATTATTGCTTTGAATGGGCTGGAAAAGCGCATCATTAATCTAAGTATGAAATAGAATTATTGGTTTGAACGGGCTGGCAAAGGGCGTCATTAACATAAATTTGACAGGCTCGCAAAGCCCATCATTAACCTAAGTATGACATAAAGAATGGTTGGTTTGAACGAGCTGGCAAAGCGCGTCATTAACCAAAATTCCACGTATTGCATTATTGGTTTGAATGGGCTGGAAAATTGCGACATTAATCTGTGAATGACTGATTTCAACAGGCTGGCAAAACGCGTCATCAACGTAAGTATGACGTCAAGCAACGCGAAGCGTGACCCTGAGCTGAAGCGGGCCCTCAACGAGGTGCAGCGCCGCATGTCCGTCAACTTGGTGGCTGCAGACACGCGCTGCAGCCGCCTGCCGGACTGGAGAGTCACCACTGCTGAGGTGAGCATGATGATGATGTGATGATGATGTGATGATGATGATGATGATGTGATGATGATGTGATGATGATGTGATGATGTTGTAATTTAGATATTGTAATGGGGGAAAATTGCGATTGTTACAGTCTATGCTCTAAATACTATAAATGACTTGGAGTATCTTGAAACAGTCATGCTCGCTATAAAGTTCAAACTTGTGGCGGCGTTGTGGGCCGAGTCAATGTGCTCTCTCTAATATGGTTGAGTGCAATGATGGCTGGCTGGCTGGCTCATCCGTCATACTCGTGAACGGATGCTGCTTGTGGGGACTGGTCTGTTTGGGTTACGAACACTGATTACACTATATGCTTTTCCAATAGCATATGCTGGTGGTCACTTTATTGTCCCAAATTTGAATTTTAAAATGAATCTGTATTATTATAACATTTATTTGAAAAGAATACGAGTTTCTTGTCAGTTCTTCTCATCTCGAAATCATTCCGATCTGACGGTAGATTTGACATATCATAAGAGTCTGTAATAGACCTACATGAATAAAGACATTTTGAATTTGAATTTGAAAATAAAGAATATTGTCTAATAATATAAAAAAATTATAAATATACCTGGACAATTAACAGCGCCATCTAGTCCCACAGTAAGCAGAGCTTGTGTTATGGGTACTAGACATCTAATATAAATATTAGATATATGTTTTTGTAAATATGTAATATATATAGAAAACAGACAGACAGATATAAACGATTATAGTCATCAATTGAAATATTTGCACCGCGCGAGAACTAAACCCGCGACCATCGGAAGTAAAGCTAGACCACCGGCCCGGCCCGGCCATAATCTTATATATAAAATTGTCGTGTCACAGTTTTGGTTCCCATACTCCTCCGAAACAGCTTGACCGATTCTCATGAAATTTTGTGAGCGTATTGAGTAGGTCTGAGAATCGGCCGACATCTATTTTTCATCCCCCTAAATATTAGGGGTAGTCCACCCCTAAATTTTCACCCTTCTATCATCAACCGCTATTTTTTTATAGCGTTATTAATTTATATGGCAAAACAACGTTTGCCGGTACAGCTAGTAAATATTATATAATTCTTTGCAGATTTTACGTTCGACCGGCGAAGTAGAGTCGGTGTTGGGAGGCGAGATGATATTCCAGAAACAACCGGAATCAAACCAACCGATTTTCGTACGTATTTTGTTTTTTTTTTCGGACTACTCTAATGCTGTTGGCCGCAGCTGACCTTTACAGCTTCACCGGACGATAGGGGGCGAGTGCAGATGGCACTCCAAACCCGCGGAAGGACTTACGGAGCGGCTGAAGGCCAACTCCCGCCTGACTGATACGAGTTTAGTCTGAGGGCACCACTAGGGGTTCGAACCTCTGCTCAGGCCGTCGTAATATCGATCCCCGTTTGGATTGGACGGGGGATCGATCGGAGTGGGGTCGTGTTTTGTTTAGCGAATAAAGTTATTTCTTTATTATCCTGATAGCTTCAAAATAGACTGCCTATTGTATACTAAAAATAATGATATATTTAAATCGCCTTATCCTGGTTACATTTTAATAGTTAAAGATTTTGTTATTATTTTGTTGCTGATATTTAAATGTGATGTCACAATATCCTAGAACCCTTCTGCAAGATGATTTGAGGACGTAATTTTTTTTGTGTTTTTTATTATGATTATTATTAATAGGGACCATATATTATTATATGCATATATTACGCATATAAATTGTTAAATGTTAAAATATTAAATAATTTTAATGTCATATAATTTTACTTTACCTATTATCGCCTATCAAAAAATAATTTACTAATTTTATGCTGATTATGAAATAAAAAAAAGAATACATTTCTATTTTTTGTTTGGGATTCCTAAAATTTTTCATTTAATTTTGCATATTCTGCCAATTTTCGTGCATATTTCAAGCATTTTTCATGCATATTTGCATGCATATAACAAGTTTTTATGTTGCATATCTCTCATTATCTGGTCTGTAATTATTACATTATACAACGAGAGTGTGTGGTGTGACGGTAGACGGCAGCGTTGGGCCTGCACGCTGCCGTCCGCGGGTGGTCGGCGCGTGACAACGAGATCGTCGCCGTCGCCAAGAGGATGGCTGTACTCATGGCCAGGCTCTCAGACTATATGAACAACAGTGAGTATATCTATACTAATATTACTAACTTCGTCCGTGTGGAATTTAACTTCATTTTTCTAAAATAAAAGTAGCCTAAGTTACTGATTTTTGATTTGACGGATTTGAATTTTGACGGAACTTCTATTGGTAGGTGATGTAATAAGGAGTAACTTAGCCTAAGTTACTCCTTATTACATCACCTAGCAATAGAAGTTCCGTCAAAATCGGTCCAGCCATTTCAGAGATTAGCCGGAACAGACCGACGTACAGACAGTATTTGTATTCATGCACTAAAAAATTTTAATTTCAATATTACAAACAGACACTCCAATATTATTTATATGTATAGATTATTGGTGCCACTTGGCCGATGTTAGATCCAAGAGTGTGATTCAACTCCGATCCAACTCCGTTATTTGAACGATTTCAACACTTGAATTTGCTGACTCGGCGGCACGTTTTTTCGCATGGTACTTTTTACGTTAATCGCCACGATCATATCAGAAAAATTATCACACGGGCCATGATAACTTCATTAGTTAATTTAGTTAAAATGTACCAAGGAAACTTAATGTATCACAGAATTTTTTTTTTTTTGCCAAATTACCCAGAAAAACACTTTGTTTATGTTCTCGCTGTGTTAGTCTTATATGTCTGACGCATCCAAACAAGATACAACAAGTACCTATTGACCTATTGTTTTGAACTCGGCGCTTTCTACAAAATGGCGTACTGTTAGGCGGCTGACCCCGTTTGGGTTTTTAAAAAAAACCTTTTTAAAACACAACACAAAAATCACTTGATTTCAGATAGTTTATTTCGAAAATGTGGTTTCACAAGTTATTATATTAACAAACTTATCCCAAACTATGTAGGTGCAAGTGAAATGAGTTATCGACGCGGACTGGTTTGACTAACTGTCTAAACTGTTTTTATATAACGATGTAAATCGGGAATTATTCAGGCTCAGCATTTTCTTTGTACTGGGCTCGGGCATAACAGTACGTCAGACACATATGTCTGACATGGCTCATGTAGAACTTAGTGTCAGACACATATGTCTGACATGGCTCATGTAGAACTTAGCGTCAGACACATATGACTGACATGGCTCATGTAGAACTTAGCGTCAGACACATATGACTGACAGCGATTAACGTGTTAACGTTTTATGATTTCGTAACGTGTGTTCACTAATTAAAAAAAACCAACAGATCGTAAACGTGAACTGATCGCCACGTCTAAGAAGATAGTGAACGAGTCTAATGAAGTCGCCAGCCTGGCCAGAAATCTGGCGTCCGAGTGTTCAGATATCAGAATTAAAACGGTAAGAACATTTTATTGTATTATTGGAATAGTAACGATTTTACCGATGGTAAATGGTAGCTGAAGTGGCAATGGGCAAGGCACATAGCTCGTAGGACAGATGGCCGTCGGGAAAGTCCTCGAGTGGTGATCACGGACCGGAAGACGCAGCGCCGGAAGGCCTCCAGTAACGGGGACCGACGTTCTGGTCAAGGTCACTGGCACAAGACATTGGATGCGAACAGCGCAGGACCGATCGTCGTGGAGATCTTTGGGGGAGGCCTTTGTTCAGCAGTGGACGTTTCCGTGCTGAGATGATGATGATGATGATGATGAAATGGTAGCTGTCAGCTGTCGTATAATCGACCACTGTACAGCCTGCTGACTATTTTTAATCTTCAACCCTCAACAGTGGTGGGCGGGGTCGATGTGCTCCCTCAAATATGGTTGAGTCCAATGATGGCTGGCTCATCCGTCATACTCGTGATCGGGTGCTGCTTGTGGAGACTGGTTTGTACAGGTTGCGAACACTTATTCGTAGCTTACGTGTCATCATAAAAGTCTGTGATATATGTATGTATTCTACCCAGACCAGAAGTATTTAGGACATTTATAAAATGATGAGTTTCTTATATAAGTTTTTATCTTAAATAAATCTCAATTATAAAGAGTTCTTACTGATGGAACCAATGGAATAATTAATAATGGAATTTAACAGAATCTTCAGCAAGTTTGCCAGAGAATTCCAACGATCAGCGGCCAGTTGAAGATGTTGACCACCATCAGAGGAGCCATGTTGGGACCTGAAGGTAACTGAAGTGTTTTAAATATATATTATAACGTGATAAAGAACAGGTCTAGTGGCCTTATTAGTAATAGTGTAGCATGTAGCCTCGACCTCCACGAGATCTCCTGAAAACCATAGCTAATTCGCTACGGTTAATCTTGTTGTAGCATGTAACCTCAATGGTTTCTAATATTTCGACGTCGAGCGTCACTGTTCTTCTTGTATTCCAATTTTACTAATGTCTACCAATACGTGTTGTTTTCTTTAATAATATTTTTCTCCAAAACATCTAATTCATCTCATGCTCACCCTAGCATCCTCCGCTGGTGCTTCATCATCGTATACAGTTAGCTCAGCCGTGCGACCCATACCAACTTCATCATCATCTGCTTCTTCCTTCTCCCATTTATTTGTGGTCGTCGTAATATGTTTTTCTCTTCTATTCATCCCTGTTCACAGTCATCGCGTTATTTACTTCCTTTCTTACCATATCATCTTTCACACAGTCCATCCATCTCTTTTTCGGCCTTCCTCTGCCCATATAACCATCCACATTCATATGTAACGCCTTCCTTAAAATATTATCCTCATTCCTACGCATTACATGTCCATACCATGATAGATGATTACTCTTCAACCTCTCCGACACCGGCACCACTTTCATACTAATGTATTCATTCTTTATCTTATCCGTTCTTGTCACACCACACATCCACCTCAACATTTGCATTTCAGTTGGATGCAGTCGTCTTTCATCCGTCACCTTTACCATACCAACCCACTTCATGTATTACAATATATATTATAGTGGAAAACGAATTATTACAATTAGTGCTAATTGGTAGTTTGTATTCACACAATACGACTTAAAAATGTAAAGTTGTAACGATCATTTGAAAGAGCAACACGCAAGTTTCTTGCTCGTTCTTCTTGTGATGAGACAGCTTCCCGAATGCGGTAGATTAAAAAAAATAACTGACTATTCAAAAGTGCTTAAATTAAGTTTATTTCAATATAAGATTTTCTATTCTATTCATTATTTATACTGTTAACCGGGTCTTAACACGAATAATTTTATGGCAATTTACCTTTCTCCATGTTTCGAGTTATGAATACATCAGCCGTGGTGAAAAGCTGACTGATGAGCTCAGGATTTTTTATAGTCTCATTACTGGCTTTATAATATGTCAGGACGACCACTACGTCGCGAATAATAATATGGTTATTTCTTGGTCAACAATGTATAACAGATTTGTCAGACCCCATTCAGCCATCTTCCACTAATGCACCGTTAGAGTCTATCGTTGACAAAGACCAGTGCACCGGTTTATCTTCTACCATAAAGGTATCCTTTATTAAAAAAAGCCTCATACCTCATACCTCATTCTCCTCTCATCTCTGTCGATATTTCCTCTTTGTCTTTATAATGCTGCCCACCTTCATGAAGGAGAACTACTGACCGAAAGGTGTGGTGGTATATCGGCGCTACCGTGGTAGGTTGTCGTCTTCAGTGCCGTGACAAAACAGCCAATATCAATATATTAGTTTTTAAATATTATATGTATGTTTGTCTATAAGGTATTTATAATATGGGCCTAGTTGAAAAAATGGAAAAATAAATAATGAATAGAATAGAATAGAATAGAATAGAATAGAAAATCATTTATTCAAATAAACTTAATTTAAGCACTTTTGAATAGTCATAACAATTTGTTTTTTATCTACCACTCGTTCGGAAAGCTGTCTCATCACAAGAAGAACGAGCAAGAAACTTGTGTGTTGCTCTTTTAAATAATCCTTGTAAGTTTACATTTACAAGTCGAAACGTGTGAATACAAACTACCAACAAGCACTAATTTTTTGGGTCAAATATAATCAATGTGTATATATATGTTCAAAGGTTCCAGAGAAGACCAACAGGACGTGACTATGTTAGTAGACAACGCACAGAACCTGATGCTCAGCGTATGTATATTACCGTTAATTTTGTTACCGCCTGTTAGGTGATGATTTTAGGACACCATGTATCCGCAGTTGCTACCTTGCGACTATGTTGGCCATATAATCAAATTTTAGCTGTCAAAACCATATTGCTTTTTTTTTTTTGTATATTTTCTTTTCGGACAACTCTAATGCCGTTGGCCACAGCTGGCCTTACAGCTTCACCGGATAATAGAGGGCGGTGCAGATGGCACTCCGAATCCGCGGGAGGACTTATAGAGCGTTGAAGGCCAACTCCCGCCTGACGGATACGACTTTAGTCTCAACTAAAGTTTTAGACTTTAGTCTTTTTAACTGTGCAGATTTTTAAATATAATTTTAAAAAAATACTCCTCCTCACTCAGAAAACTGTGCTGTGATGTGTCTACACTCCAAATGCATGGTAATGCAACATGTCAGCCTACTAGTGTCACCAGAACTTTGTTTATTTTATGTTTCAGTGTGTAGTTTTGTTTGATGTTTATTTATATATGGTAGTATGTCGTAAATGTTTACTCTGTGTTATCCGCCTAGATCTATGTATGTATGTGATGACAGAAGGGGTGGTGAGAGTAAACACACACAGTAGGGTGTAACTTGTATATTAACTGTTACATCTTGAATTACTCTATGTTCAAAATCTACCCTGTATCATCGTAAGCACAGATTATTATATTAGAGTCCGTTAGTTTGTGTTCCCGCGCTTTTACTTCCCCTCCCTTACATAGTACTGAACCGACTGTACGGCGGCCATGACGCGCGCGCATTGTGTTGTGAATTAAAATAAATTAGAACTGTGAAACCTACTGTGAAACTGGAAAGCTAGCGAAGATATCTTCGAGACCCTGAAGCCCAAGAAATCCGCAGAACCATACAGGTACGTGACTGACGCTTCCACTCATTTTTCACTATATATATATACAGAGAGTAAATTCCCTAACATTTTGGTAGCAGAGTAGTTTCCCAAACACTGTAGCTTACACTAATTACATAAACTATATATATATGAGGTACTGCGTGACCTACATGTCGTTATATAAAACGTACACTGTCACAATCTACTATCGAACCTGCTGATTTGCATCACTATATCACAGTATGTATGTGTATTATTATTTTTATTTTATTATATTTATTATATATGAAGGTATCCGTATAAAACCAGCGTCGTGGCACCCCGTCACGACATATGCTGAGCGGAGACCTATTTGGTATTGCACTGGTACTATTATTAGTCTGAGGGCACTGCTAGGGCTTCGAACCTAGTCTCAGGCCGTTGTAATTCTGATCCCCGTTTGAATCAGAAGGGGGATCTATCGGAGCGGTCTCTCTTTGATTTGTGAAGATGTCAATGGTAGTTACTACAAATTAAAAGTGCAACTACAAATACAACTACAACTACAAATTAAAACTACAAAAAAATATTTTATTTATCTATGCATATAAATAAAATTGGCGTGTCTGTTTGTTATATTAAAATAACCTTTTTTTACTACATGCATATGAATATAAATACGGTACATACACCAAAGTAACATTTTTTACAATTTTTGTCTGTCTGTTTGTTTGTTCCGGCTAATCTCTGTAATAGTTGGACCGATTTTGACGGGACTTTTATTAGCAGCTGATGTAATAAGGAGTAACTTAGGCTACTTTTAGTTTAGTAATATAAAGTAAAATTCCATGAGGACGAAGTCGCGGGTGCAGCTAGTCTAGTATATATGGTGATAGTTATTCCCCAGAGACCAGAGTGCGACCTATAAATTATTAATGAATGAAGGTACCCTCGCGGACGACTTTGTGCAAAGTGTACTTCGCTAAAAGTGTTATATAAAGTGTGTTGGATTACAGATTGAAGAAGTGGTGAAAGTCGCTGCTGGAGCGTCCGTGAAGATAATGTCTCAACGCGGCGGGCCTCGAGTGCGCTGGGTCCGCAGAAATTATTAATTTGTATTTCTAACGTAATCTTGCTTCTTATATTATTACCAAAAAGATTTTAAATATATTTTTTACTTTATTCATCTCTTTTTTTTTGGTAGCTTCCCCTGGTTTTTTTATTGGATTACTCTAATGCTGTTAGCCGCAGCTGGCCTTTACAGCTTCACCGGACGATAGGGAGCGAGTGCAGATGGCATTCCAAACCAAAGGAAGGACTTATGGAGCGGCTGAAGGACAACTCCCGCCTGACGGGTACGACTTTAGTCTGAGGGCACCGCTAGGGGTTCAAACCTCGGCTCAGGCCGTAATATCGACCCCCGTTTGAATTGGACGGAGGATCTATCGGAGAGGTCTCTTCCCCTGGTGTAGGGTTTAGGTAGTATTGAAGAAGTAGCAGGTATGCCTAGGTCATGCCAATGAAGTTGGTAAGCTTCACAAATAAATTTTAGTTTAGTTTAGTGTGAAAGTAAATGAAATTAAGTGTTTGTAATTTTAAATTGACATCAAATGGAAAGTATGACCATGACTGTGTATTATTGTAAACACTAGCTACCCACCCCGGCTTCACACGGATGTACATGTATTGTACATATATACCTTCCTCTTGAATCACTTTATCTATTAAAAAAAACGCCCCAAAATTCGTTGCGTATGTTTAAAGATTTAAGCATACATAGGGAAACGCCATTACACAAACAAACGAAATATCTCCTTTGGAAAGTTTACACTCTTTCCTGAGGAGATAAAAACCATCGCTCCTAAGAATATCCTTCAATTCTTGTCCCTGACGGGTCTAAGTAGCGAATTCTAGCGAACATTTATTTGAAAAAAATACGAGCTGAGTTTCTTGTCAGTTCTTCTCATCTCGATATCATTCCGAACTGACTTGTTATTGTATTATTATTTATTTAAAAAAATATATATTTAAAAGAGCAATACATTTCGCGCTCATTCTTCTTGTTCGAATCTGCGAATCTGCGTTCCGAATGAGTGGTAGAATAAAAATATGACTTTTTAAAAGTACTTGTATTGAGTTTATTTGTCAGTAATGTTGATATTGATGATCATGTTGTCGATCCTTACATTTAAATATTAAAATATTTTTTTTATTTTAATATTTAAATGTAATTCTGTCGTTTTTTTTTTTTTTTTTTTTCTCTCTGGCAACACTGCCGATAACAGTCTTTGTCAGTTGGCTCTTATTTATTTATTGTTTTTAATTTATTACTTGTGAAATAACGATACTAGTGTATATAATCAGTGAGTTTTGGGCATAAGTAACGTCGATTATTGTTGGTGTGCAAATCTGTGATTTCTTTGTGACAAAAATCTACGTTACAAAATTTGTGGGACCGCCAACTGTCAAAGTATTGGTAATTTACAATAGAAGTCTTGGATTTCTATTGACTCCTTTAATAATTAAATACAGTTATTACACTTCACTATTACTATATCCGTTTACAAATAAACAATAATATTAAAGTTAAATATTCGATAGTGAAGATCGGTTGTTGTTGTTGGGAGGAAAAAAAAAACTACCCACTAACATAAAATATTATTGTTATTACAATACAGCTCACAAAATTTATTTATTATCATATTGATAATATATTCCAAATAGCTGTGCGAAACTAAACTTATGTATTTGATTAAATAACAATACAATATTAGTAATCCATAGCCATTGCTAGATATTATATGACAAATTAAGACATATTTACTGTAGTGGTAATATATAAGATTAATTATTTTTTTGTAACAGTATTGGTATTTAAAGTTTTTACTAACAATATTTATTTATTTATTTATTATTAAATTATTTTATTGAAGGGAAATAGCGCACTTTCAACACTGTATTTCTTCTATTGAATAATATTCATTGTTGTCTTGTTTCGTAGATATTTAACATAATAATTAAAAATGATGTCCCGCAGAGCATGTGATCTTGATGCTAAGCTCAAGGTGACACTCTTAGAGTTAAAAAATCCAATGAATTAAATAAGGCCTTATTACAGGAACGAGATGAAAGTGAGATTGAAATTAAGTTGATGTCTGATAAATATGTGGCTCTGAAGAATGACCTAGTGAAGATCAGTACAGACTTTGAAGTTCTACATATCGAAAATGAAAAACTTCAAGAAATTGTAAATAAATATGATCTGTGCAGAGACACATATGAGTCAGCATTGCAGAAAATCACTCATCTAGAGCGGCACCTTGAGGAAGTTCAATCACAAAATAAATCTTTGTTGGATCACAGGCGGTTGAGTAGTTATAACGAGACCATGGATCTGTATACAGAAATGTTAAATACTACTAGTGATCAAACATCTGCTCTGCCCCTTGTGACCATAGATTTGACAAATACACCAAGCTCCTATAGTCCTAATAAAGTACCTATTAATAGTAGTAATAAGTTAAAAAAATATGTAAAATTAAATAAATTTATTCGAAAATCAGAAAATTTAGTGAAAAGTCATAAAAAGTGTTTAAAATCAATTATTACTAGGAAGCAAAAAATTGACTTATCAATAGAATTAAATAATTGTAAAGAAAAAATATATAACAAAGATTTAGAAATAGATGAATTATCACAAAAAATTAAACTATTAGAGAACTCGTTGTCCAATTTATCTTTGAAATACGAATCAGCTAAGAATGAAATACATGAATATTCTGATCAGTTGGATAATTTAATAAAATTAGGTAACTACAACATGGAGCGGTTTGTTTCTCTTACGGATAGATGTCACTGTAATTCACCAGAGTCTGATAACTATATCCAACCGTCCCACCATAATCAGTTGAACATTGATATCTCATCCGTCACGGAACCAGACGTTTCATGTTTACCCACACGAAACAGTACAAAAGTAAATAAATGCAGCACTGTACATGAAACCATCAGGAGAACAATTATTTATTCAGATGAATTTGGCAAGGATTTAGGTAGTTTATTATCGAACTGTCTCTCGCAACAAGTAATAAATAATTGTTTTCCGGGATCAGGTATATATAAGATTATAAGAAATATAGTAAATGAAAAATATGATATTCACACGACCCTAGTAATAGCGTTAGGGAATTGTTTGCATATGCGTAAATCTGATATAGTTAATTTAATAAAATCATTATATAATATAGTGGAGCTTGGTATAGGTAAAATATTATTATGCGCATTTCCCTACTCTCAATCCCTGACTAATGAACAGAATAAGTTCATTTATAGTATAAATAATTTAATTTATTCGATGACATATCATTGTAATGATATATTTTATTTTGAAAGTAACAAATTTGTTACAAATTATTATATGACGGGAGGTAATTTTTATCTTCCTAAAATACAAAAAAAGACTATTGCTAGTTTACTAGCGTATAACATTTATGATCCCATTATAAGTAGTATAACGGATTTAATTAGTAATATTAGTAATAATACTAATAATGTGACATGTGTTAATTTAAACTAACATCTACGACATTGGTTAAGCCACAGGATATGGTCATTATTCATCAAAATATTCGTGGCTTCTCCAGCAAAGAATTAGAATTAAGTCTATTCTTAGAATCTAACAATGTACGGGTGTTATGTCTGACAGAACATTGGCTTAAACAATATGAAATAATTTGTCCTTTTGAACATTATAATATAGCTAGTTTTTTTGCTAGGAACAATGCCATTCATGGCGGGTCAATTATTATTTTAAAAAATGATGTAGAATATAAAAACCGTCAAGACATTGTAAATATTTCTATTGAGCAAACAATTGAACTATCTTGCGTAGAATTAGTTACTTGTATAATAATTTGCGTTTATCGTCCGCCATCGGCTTGTTTTGATTCTTTTGAACTGGCTATGGAGGAAGCATTGAGACGAGTCGCACGGAGGAATAAAACATTATTTGTATGTGGCGATTTTAATGTTGATTTATTATCGGAATGCTCAATAAGCTTAAGATTGATTAACTTATTTAAATCATTTAATTTGCACAATCTTTTTTTAGAACCCACTAGGGTCGCAGGAAATTCTGCCACTTGTATAGATAATGTTTTTTGTAATTGTGAAGTAAAGGTGAAAATGAATTTCGACTGTCTTGGATCTGATCATTATGGACAAAAAGTTATAATTGAAACTAAGGGATCCAAAGGGACTCAAACAATTACATGCAGACAAATAACACAAAAGAATTTGGCACGTTTTAAAAATAAAATTGAACATAAAATATCTAGTGTCATAGTACCTCAATATGACCCGGACATTGTATGTGAACATATTTTTAATTTAATTGAACATGAAGCTAGCAGTGAATTTAAAACAAAAACCTTTTCAACTAGTGTAAAATCAAAGTTTTGTGACTGGGCCACGTTTGGTATTTATAAGTCTAGGGCTAATCTTTACGAACTTTACGAAAAACGAAGCTATATATCCGATCCCTTATTTCATGAACATGTAAAATCTTATTCGAAAATATTTAAAAAGGTTTGTCATACAGCTAAGTCTCTCTATTTAGGTAAAATAATAACTAAATCTAAAGATAAAATAAAAGCCACTTGGAAAGTAATAAATAGCGAAACTGGAAAAGTTAATTTTCAAAATAGTAAAATAGCTTTAAATATTAATAACAAATTGGTAAATTCCGACACAGAGGTCGCGGATACATTCGAATCTTATTTCACTAATATTCCATTAATTACGACACAGGCTCTAAAATCTTCCCCGTCTGCTGCTGAAACTTTACTAACAGACAATGTTAGCAAGTCATCAGCTGTATTTAACTTTAGACATACATCATCAGTAGAAATAATGAAAATATTCAAACAGCTTAATAATAAAAAAACAGAGGATCTATGGGGTATATCTGTTAAAATACTAGATAGTATAATGGAAATTATTGCGCCCTCTCTTGCTTTTATTTTCAATAAATGTATAGATGAAGGTAAATTTCCTAACATAATGAAAATTAGTAAAATCATACCGCTTTTTAAATCTGGAGATAGGAGTGACCCAATAAATTATAGACCTATATCTATACTCCCAGCACTCAGTAAAATTTTTGAAAAAATAATCCTTATGCAGCTTGTCAGTTATTTCAATTTAAATAATTTAATCCACAATAGTCAATTCGGTTTTTCCAAAGGTCGTTCAACTACAGACGCAGGTGCAGAGTTGCTTAGACACGTATTTGCTGCATGGGAAACTAAAATGGATGCGATAGGTGTTTTTTGTGACCTTTCTAAGGCTTTTGATTGCGTTGATCATAATACATTGCTAAAAAAACTTGCTTTTTATGGCGTCAAAGACAATGCTTTAAATTTAATAAAATCTTATCTATCTGATAGAATACAGAAAGTGAAGGTTAGCAACGCTACGTCTGACGGGTCACTTGTGCAAATGGGTGTACCTCAAGGATCTATTCTCGGTCCATTTTTATTCCTAGTTTACATTAATGATCTCCCATATGCCATGCAGGATAGATGCGGCATAGTATTATTTGCAGACGATACTTCATTGATTTTTAAAGTTAATAGAATGACTAATAACTATGACGATGTAAATAGTGCTTTGCGGCGTCTCCTGCACTGGTTTACAACTAACAATCTTATGTTAAACGCTAAAAAAACAAAATGTGTTAATTTCTCTCTGTCTAAAAGTTTTAATACTAATTGCAATATTAAATTAAATGACGAATCTCTGGAATTTATAGAATCTACTGTCTTTCTAGGAATCACACTAGATAATAAAACAAAATGGGGTGCACAAATTCAAAGCCTTGCAGCGAAACTAAGTTCAGCAGCTTTTGCCGTGCGTAAGGTTAGACAGTACACTGATACTGATACTGCTAGATTAGTCTATTTTAGTTATTTTCATAGTTTACTCTCTTATGGAATATTACTATGGGGAAAAGCGGCAGATATTAAAAATATATTCATATTACAAAAACGTGCCGTTCGAGCGATCTACTGTATGAAGAGTCGTGACTCATTAAGAGAGAAATTCAAAGAGGCAAATATTCTCACCGTTGCTTCTCAATTTATATATTCAAATATCCTATATGTTCATAAAAATCTTGACTTATTTCCAAAAACAGCAATATTCATAATATTAATACAAGATTTAAAGACAAACTTGCTGTCCCCAAGTATCGTTTAGAAAAAGTTAATAGGTCTTTTATGGGAATAGGTATAAAAATTTACAATAAGATACCAAAGGATATGTTGGAATTACCCTTAAATAAATTCAAAACATCTGTTAAATCATATTTACTGAGCAAAGCCTATTACTCACTAAACGATTACTTGAATGACGAGTGTGCATGGCAATAGTTGTTCATGCACTGAATTTTCATTTAATGTTAGACATAGACACCTATATAAATATACATTGTAAATAAACTGGCTTTAAAAAAAAAGTAATTCAATTGAGTTTCTTGCCAGTTCTTCTCAATTGGATCTATATACCGAACTGGACGGTAGGGAAAAAAATAAAATTATAATGTAAAAATTTGACGTTCATAAGCGGCTAAAATGTCCTACATGAATAAATGATTTTTGAATTTGAATTTGAATTTGAATTTTGTTCTTATTATTCTGAAACGCCTAAGCCGGTTCTGGTGCTATCTAATAGTAAACACCACTTCAAATTTTGTATTTCTTTTTTGCCAATTTTTACAGACTTTTTTGTATTTTTTTTTTGTTTTTATAGTTGCGGCCTCAGTTGGTAGTAAAAATAAAACTACATAAATATATTAATAACATACTTATTTATTCTAATACAAGGTGAGATTATTTCAATGAGACATTTACCTCTTTATTGTACAGAATTATTTAAATAATTTATAAAATAAAAACAGAATAATTACAGAATGAGAGGTACAACAGCACTTGTGATATATTTATTGAGTGCGAACGAGATGCATATAGTCTCTTAGTTACGTCCTAAAATCGTTATAGCATCCAATCCAAAAATTATGTCACACTTAAGTGTGACGAAGGGTGACATTTGTCATATATTTCGTACACTTTAGTGTGACGAAGTGTAACAAAGACAAAGCATATGTCATAAAATTCGTAACTACACATTTTGAAGTCAACATTTTATAAATAAATATGCTAAATGGAAATCAAATTCATTTCTAATATAGGTCTTAACCTCACAAAGAGTTGAAGTATGATAGATTAATTATACTGTACTATTTTATATAATAATAAGTATGAGAGAATAATAAAGCACAATAAAGAAAATATATTCATCTCGCTCTTGTAGAGACGGTAGTTATAAAAAATTAGAGTATTTGATACATAATGGCACTGATCACAGTCTCGTTAGTTCCGTTGGGTCTGCCTGGTAACCTCACTTTCGTCGGTGTGCCTATAACAAAAAAAAAAAATATTATATATATGTATCGTATCTCTGAATTTACATATAAATAAAATTGGAGTGTCTATTTGTAATGTTGAAAGAACCGTTTTTTACTACTGGCATATGAATATAAATATGGTATATACACCAAAATAAGTTTTTTTACAATTTTAGTCTGTCTGTCTGTTTGTTCAGGCTAATCTCTGTAATGGCGGGACCGATTTCGACGGGACTTTTTTAATAGGTATCTGATGTAATAAGGAGTAACTTAGGCTACTTTTATTTTAGAAAAATTCTGTAATTAACTTGTTATTAATAATAAGCCTTGTCTATTCAGCGCTATCTAACCTCAAGGTTGGCTCAGCTCAGCTTAGACAACCGATAGATGTTCTTAAACACATTTTTATTTCTAAAATCATATATATAGACAACATTCAGACTGATACATATAATCATACAAATTTGTATCGTGTGAGGAAAGGTTACGAACCCGTAGCTATCGGCAGTGAAACGGTCTTCTATACTGCTAGACCACTGAGTTAATAGGCTATATTTTTTTAATGTGTGAAATGCCACCAATAAAAAAATATCATTGAAATCCTTACCACTTCCTTCCTAGACTTGACTACACACTCGGAGCGGCCAACGAATGCGTCAGCGTAGCTACACACGCACTCCTGCACGAGGGACTCCTCGAGGATCTTCTGTGTGATAGCATTGGCAGCAGAGAGGAGGAACTGCTTCTGTTCCGCAGCGCCCAACGCTAGGTAGTTAGTTGCCGAGAGCACGAGCCCGTCAGTCTAGAAAGTACAATATATCATTAGAATTTATAAAAGAGGATAGAAATATGAAAGTTGTTATTTCTAATAATATATATTTTTTGGTATTGGGGTATCTGCAATCAGTACTGGTACTATAAGCAGGTGAGTTGTTGGTAGTAGGCGTGGGAGGATCTCTATCCTTTGACAAGGTCCCCAATGTTTCAGCTAGCTAGAAATTTTTCATCCAGCTCAAGGATATTTGATCTTTTTAATCTTTTTCTGGGTTGTTGGCTAGAAGCTTCTGAGCTAATTCGTTTGGGTGAATAGCAAGGCGGGCCTTATATTTGGTGCTTGTTTTCCTAATTTCTACTCTGAATAATAATAATAATAAGTCCCATCTCCTCTCCTTAAGAGGGGAGATGAGAATATTTGAAAAAAAAATAATAATAATCTCAGAACAATTCACACAGCGCTATCTAGACCCAAGTTAAGCTAGCTAAAGCTTGTGTTATGGGTACTAGATAACTGATACAAATACATAGATATTTTTTTGTAAATACATACATATCATACATAGAAAACACAGACTCACAGAAACAATCATACTCATGTATACAAATGTTTGTGTTGTGCGAGGAATCGAACTCGCGGCCATCGGATGTAAAGCGGTGTGTTAAACCGCTAGACTACCGAGGCCGTCGATAAAATAACAAGTCTGTGAGGAGAAAAAATCTACTAGACAGAATATAATGAAATTTGGTACACAAATAGATCACAATAATAATAATAACTCTGGAAGATTTACACAGCGGCAACTAGTCACCTCGTCAAGCTAAGCTGAGCGTATTTTTCCAATTTATTACACAGTTTTGGATTGTTGATATGAATGAACTAAAGATAGGTCTTTTTCTTTCTATAAAATCTAAACTAACATTTTTAAAGAAAATCTGAAATGTTGATATTATATTAGTTGCCAGTTGTTATATCCTCTAGACAATTTCCTTGAATTTAATTAGTTATTGCAGAAAATATTCATAGTTAACACGCAAACATGATTACGTGGTTAAAAATGTTCAAGATACCAAACTCGACCAGAGGTAGGTGCAGACAACGCGCCACATGGTGGAGCAATATTAAGAAGTAGATGGACAACCTTACTACTTAGAGAACCCAGAACAGTTCTCTGGTGCAGATGTACAGGGAGACCTGATCCCAGATAAACTGGGAACATGAGTTAGACAGAGAGAGAGAGAGTTAAGACGTTTTGTTTGTAGAGGGGTCGAGGACATGTAGCCTTAATTTGCATCTTTAGATTGCATCATCATATTTTTATCTATTGCTGTATTTATATCTACTTACAACTTCGGCTACAGCTGCGCAGTAGTTGGTCTCTTCTTGGTCCACGTCGACATCCTTCACTTCCTTGGCATGCTTCTTCTCATCAAGTACCAGAGCAGAGTCACTGGTGTAACCTGCAGACAAAATACTTTCAATATTGTCGCCTTTTTTGGTACCACCTGAAGTGATGGTAAGTGGAAACTGTTGCCAAATGGAAGAAACTCCACTACAGATCCTATGTGGTTGTAGCCCACTCATGCATAAACAAAATATCTCCTTTGGAAAGTATACACTCTATCCTGAGCAGATAAAAACCATCGCTCCTAAGAATATCCTCTAATTCTTGTCACTGACGATCCTAGATAGCGGAGTTTAAAAAAGGGCGAGCACAATAGATCTCTGCAGGTCACAGATCTAAAGCACCGAGAAATCACCCAAAACCACCAAAAATTAGTAACTGATCAGAACTGATATCTACCTGTAATTGACTTTTTAATTTACATAAGTTTTGATATGTAAGTTGTCGGTAGATTAATAATAGATAAAGATTCAAATCCACGATCTTCAGAGTGTAGTCAGGTAGTAAAACAATTAGATTTAGATGAAGATCAGGAGAAACTTACCAATAACATCTGCAGGTTTAACACCGCCCTTAGTGACTTGCAGGCCGGGAGTGGATGCCACCAAACTGTGAGTGATGCCCAATTGTTCGTAAAGAAGTGCAGTGAGAGCTATTTCCAATGGAGTGCCCTGTGATCCGAAAATAATAATTATTGTAAATTTATAATGAATTCCATTTTCCACATTTTGCTTCATATTTGGGTCGTTGTGTGAGCGTAGATCAGATATTTCTAAAGTAGTAAAAACCTGCTAATTTCTTCTAAAACATCTTCCTTCCAGCAATGGTATTTCCCAAACAATATGATATTTAAACCTCGAGGAAAAGCGATTTTAAAAGGCTGACAACGCACTTGCAATTTTCCTGGTATTGTGGGTACTCCTGGGCGGAGGTACTTATTTACCATCAGGTGAGCCGCAAGCTCGTTTGTTCCCTTGCTATATAAAAAATGTAGTAAGTGAACTCAGTAATCCTAAGAGTTCTGTACGCCCACGGCTATGTGAGCAGTTGTTCCTTTGAAATCAAAGCAACATCACCAAAGTGGACAATTTGTAGAGCCTATTGCGTTTCTTCTAAAGGGTCTAAAGACCAAAGTGTATAAACCTTTTCAAATATTATAAGTATCGAAAACTTACAATTTCCAGTTGGCAAGTTTCGCCGTTGACCGTTATGATGTGCTTGAGGGCGCCTGGTCGGAGAGGGGTATCAATAGCTCCGGCGTATCCACCGTTAATGTTGGACAATCCTGAAATTAATATTAAATTTGTAAATGTGTTGATTACTGTACGCCATTTTATGAAAGTTTTTTTTTTATATATAATTATTAGCAAGTACAGATATGTATATTATAGTTACTATTATTTGAAATGAGCCTTGATTGAAACGGTTCTAATTTGTATTTAGGTAATGTTAGCTTTTTAATTTCACGTAAAGAAAACATTTTGTATACTACATTATTGGACCCGGCATGAGCCTTGCTTGAAATGGTTCTAATGATTTGTATTTAGGTAATGATAGCTTTTTAAGTTCACGTAAAGAAAACATTTTACATACTACATTATTGGACCCGGCAGATGTCTGGCCGGAAACCGTGTATTCAAATCATCCAAAAACTAAAATATGCACACAAAATTTCATCTTAATTGAACCAGCTATTTAGGCGAAATTAGGTGACAAACAGAATTACATTTCTTAAGATAATGCCTCTATATTTTAATTTTAAAATGATGTATGACTTACCTAAGATTATTCTTAGTTGATCAATGTAGGAGGCAATAGTCTTTTGGACGGAGTTGACCTTCTCGCAGCCGGTGTTTATGGTGGGAGTTGTCTGGTAGCGGCTCTCATCACTGAATGAGACCTTCGGGGTCTTCAGTTTCACTAGAACAAGAATGATTAATACATGTAGTTTACGAATATAATAGTTTGTTCTCGCAACAGGCTAACAACATCTTTGACCCTGGGCACATTAAGGTAAAGGGACTCTAATGTTGAGATTGATTGGTTGTAGATACAGAATAGATACTAAACATGGACCCAGGAATGCCAAATATACTATAACTCTTCGATATATGTCTATATACAGTTTCAAATTTGACGCAATCATTTTAGAAACGTTATTAGGAAAAATAAATAACTTAATAAAAATAAATAAAACGTGCTAAGATCCTGTGATTTTTTCTAATTGCATCTTCTATGAACATTTCAAACGATATTTTTTTAATTAGGAGGCACCCTGGATTGGACAAGTTAGAGTTTAAAGTACTATCACTAAGGACCGGAATTCCTTAAGCTCCTAACTACTGCATCACTTTGCACGATTATTGAGCATCAGCATTGGGATCTGCTAAAACGACACTGATTTTGAATAGAAACTTACAGTCGGTATCATAAACGATGGGGTATGGGAACCTAGCGGTGACTCCGATCAGGTAGACCTTGATGTCAGTGATGCGCTTGCTCTTCAAGTTATCCACCACTTGAGAGACTAACGGCACGACCAAATCTTTGTAGTTCTTTTCGTTGCTCTAAAACAAATAAATAAATGAAATATAATAATTATTTCAAATTAATTTTAAATGCGTTATCATTATTTTTTTACAGACGATGTCGAAATTAGATATTAGTAAGTCCATTAGATCACTGTCGAGAATTCACTGGAAACTAACAACGCTGATTTCCAGGTAAATCAAAAGATATATCTATAGATATACTACATTATGTAATAAAAGGCAAACAATTCCTGGATAATGGATAGTAGTGAAGTAATATAGAGAACCACTCAGGGACTAACCTTAGTAGTCTCGACGAGGACCAGGATATCGGCCTGCTTGCCGGGCAGCTTGACCTCGTAGGTGTCTCCGATGGGTTTGACGCCGCCGGCGTCCGTGCAGCGGATGCAGGCGGGCGGCAGCACGGCCGGCAGATATATCCGTGCTCAGCGCCAGAAAAGCCACGTCAGCCAGGCGCCTCATTCCATCGCCTCGCGGAACAACACTGAGCGTTGCCGGTCACCGCGTGGATGCACGCTTGTCTGTTTTTTAGTTTCATTATTAGTTACATTGTTAGGTTCAATATTAGTTTCATTATTCGTTTCGTTGTTAGATTCATTTTTAGTTTCGTTGTCAGTTTCATTGTTAGGTTCATTATCAGTTATTGTTCTTGTGACATTAAACGGATTTCAACTGAGATGGTTTTCATTACAACTAATATAGTAAATGAAAAACTGAGATTGAATATGGTTTTAACAGTTTAAATAATCATATCGAAGACATACACATATACATTTTATGAATAACACCGTATCGGTGTTATTCATAAAACTTAAGAAGCCTTTATAAGCCCACTATAACAGAGCTATAAAGGCTTTATAAAAATGATCTATTTATAAACGCTCTATAAAGCTCTTATAACTGTTCATTAGCAATCAGTTCTATAAAACGGCTATAAACTATGATCTCTGATAGTGAAAAACGTTATTCATAAACGTCTATAGCGGTCCGATAAAGTTAAAACGTCAAATAGCGACGAATAAAGTTAACAGAGCCAACTCCCTACTTTAGCGGCATTTTAACCTAAAAATTGTGAAATAATTATTCCGTTAATTAATAAAATGGAAGCAATTACGACTATTTCTACAATTAATTTAATTGATATGTCAAGAAATCGTCAAAAAAAACATTTAAAAAAAAAAAAGTCAATCCATTTCTTTTACCAGATAAGTGCCTTTAAATATAAATACCGATTCAATAAAAGTACTGCTCGATATATAAGCTGATGAATCAACTAAAACAAGATCCCAGAGGTGGTTCAACGTTTCTCCAGAGTTGCAAGTATTAACTGCTTTGAGGTGTTGGGGACGAAGAGAGGTAAGTTTTTTTACAATACATTCATCAATCATATATTTATATATATATATAGGATAAGTACCATTTTATATGTAAGTTTTCATACAATTCAAACTCATAATTAATCTTGATATCTTTCATTTCTACCGGGAAAGGATGATTGTGCTGATCTTCATGCACTCAGTCAACCCACAGTACAAAAGTAGGATATGTCGAGTATTGAATGGAATGCTCAGCTTGCTTCCACTTTTATAAAAATGCAAGAAACTGTCACAGAGGAACGGTCTTGTATGACAAATTTTGAAATGTGTGACGCTGGTTTGCGCAGGGGTTACAGGGATCGACTATAGACTGTACCCATATTAAAATTAAAAAAACAGGTGGTGATGCAGCCCAATATTACATAAATAGGAAGGGATATTATTCTTTGAATGTGCAGGTGATAAAATTATGAAAAATATTATGTGTAAGAACATAATCTATATTGTTTGATTAACTAATTATCATTACATAGTATAAAACAAAGCATCATTAAAACTATACGCCGCGTTGAAGGGGGTTATAATAGATTCAAGAGGAAGTTTATATATATATATATATATAAGTAATGTATAAAACTTAATTATTTCTGATTTTAGGTTGTCTGTGATGCAAAACTTGTAATAAGAGATGTTGATAGCAAGATGGACTTCAACCCAATACAAAATGAAGTAGAATATTTACTGAGTCAATTATAAAAGAAACGTTTAATAATGGTCACTATTAGAGGACGTTTACGTTCAATGCTGTGACTCAGGGTATCAGAACATCCGGAAACTACAGAAGAAATATTTTACATCCATGAATATCGATGTAAAAAAATTTTGCATCCTGTATGTAGAAAGGAAGAAAGGTATAACTCTGCCCATATCAAAACACGGAATAGTGTGGAAAGATGTTTTGGAGTGTGGAAACAGAGATGTCATGGATTAATAACTACATGGATTAAGTGTATCGCTGGAAAATGGAAAGGCAGTTATAGTGGCTTTAGGGCTGGATTACCAATATCGCTATTAGTAGGAATGACGATATATTAGGTAAGTTTTAATGAAACACTACTTTATTTATTTCAATATTATTTAATAAACACAATTTTTACAAAAAATTTAGCAACGGTAGGGAGCGTTGGCAGTCCGATGTATTGGGCACTCACAGCTCATTTCACCACCAAAGTTTCATAGATATTTTTTGTTTTCTACGCACAGACACTATACTTTATTCACTAGCAACACCGCTTATCTAAAGTGTCAGTGCATCATTAACATACGGACACAACATACGACTCCCGTAAGGCGATTTTTTCACCCCGTCGCAAACGACCGACTCAATATTTTATTATGATTTACGTATCAAAAAACTACAATCTATAATCAAAGTTACGACCAGTTATCTTTTTCTTTTGTCTTAAGCAATATTATATTTTTCTGTAAATTAGGTTGAAAACATTTGATAAAAATATTTATTCGTGTGGATCTATTTGAAAACCGGTCTACCATGGGGAGCAGGGTCCCTACGAAGTGATTAGAAGGAACGGAAAATTATTCACCGTCCAATTACCACACAGGGAAGCTACCATATCTGTTTTGACCGTGTATTTTGGTGTCTTTTATCATGCCTATGGAAACAGTGGTTAATCATTTCGCAGCCTGACAATGCCGTTTTCATTTAAAAAGAAAAATCAGTTCCGAAGACAACTAAAGATACGGTCGTGTAGCGCGCATTGGTACGTTTCGCAAAGGGCTAAAATTAAAAGCACACATGATGAGTGGAATAAATATGACAACTGCAAGATCAACGCTTCGCCGGTTATAAGCAGGGTGGTGTCGTAAAAGATAATTCTTGTAAATTTATATCGTCTCAAATATTCAAAAGATGAAGTATACTAATGACATGATTTTACGCAATAAGTTGTAAAGCATTCTTTTAAATCAATCCACGGATATCAAAATTGAAAACACGCGAATTGGTTTATGAATACGCCACTGCCATTCGAAAAAACAACATCTTTGATAACTGGACAGAGAAGAAACTTGCATCCTAATGTTGAGATTGATTTTTAGATACAGAATAGATACTAAACATGGACCCAGGAATGCCAAATATACTATAACTCTTCGATATATGTCTATATACAGTTTCAAATTTGACGCGATCATTTTAGAAACGTTATTAGGAAAAATAAATAACGTAAAAAAATAAATAAAACGTGCTAACATCCTGTGATTTTTTACAATATGCATCTTTATGAACATTTCAAACGATATTTTTTTCTCAGAGGCACTGGATTGGACAAGTTAGAGTTTAAAGTAACTATCACTGAAAGAGGGACGCTTGTAACTGCATCACTTTGCACGGTTATTAAGCATTGGATCTGCTAAAACGACACTGATTTTTCATATTCCCACGGGTTAATCATAAACATATATGCTAAATGATGCCCCTGTTGGTTCAGATGGAGCAGCACATGATGTCAGTGGATGACATCACCAAATTTTTTAAAATATATTCACCATTTGAGAGACACGCAAACCAACGCCTTCATCGCCAGTTCTTTTGCTGCTGGACAATCATGAAAGATATATAATAATTATTTCAAATTTTTAAACAATCATTATTGTTTTACATGACTTTCCACCACACTGCAGATATTGCAAGTCCATTAGATGACTGTCGAGGATTCACTGAAAACTTATTATAACACTGATGTAACAGATTAGATGGTAAGCAATGTAATAAAAAACAGTAACAATTTATGAAATACCAAAATTAGCAGCAAATAGCCATTCCACTAGCATTCAAGTTGCAGAATATTCAAAGTGGATTTGAAAATATCGGCATGCTTGGCCATTGAATTCAAATATTTTCTCCGATGAAGATTTCGCTTGTTCTTCTATAACTGATCGCTGCTTGTCGGAAGAGGGTAATGTTCCTTCAGAACAATCTATTTCAGGACCAACCTGTCACTGAACAGCCTTCAACCGCGTGGAAAATCAGAGTCTAGAGATCATTACAAGTTCAAATTGTTGGAAGTCATTGGGCCATCTCATTATTGGAATCTCGTTCTACAAGTCAAATTAGTGGCACTGTCAATGTAACACCTGATGTAGTAAGACCGTATCCGAAGGCATTAAACGGAGTTGCAGGGTATGAAACGGAAGAAGGGAAAAACTAGAATATTGACGGACACACGAGAAAAGTTTATAGAAATGGAAGAAGAAGAAAGACAAAGAAAAAATAAGATCAAAGAGCTCAACAAAAATAGAAAATGCTTCAAAAATACAGGACAGAAAAATTATAAAACTTCTGATGAATTTACTTAAACCAGAGAAAAACAGGAAAATTAGCAGCGATGATGAAATAGAAAATGTTTAAACCTCTGATAGTGAAACCGTTGTTGAATCGGAAGATTTTGATGAAGACGATGTGATCGTTCTGGATAGAAATTTCCAGATCAATAACTTTGTATTAGTGAAATTTGACACCAAAAAAACTGTCTACCATTATGTTGGAATAATCGAAAATGTTAATCAGACGATGGCAACTGTAAAATTTATGAGAGTGAGTAAGTTAAGAAATACTTTTATATTTCCTGACATCGAGGACGTAGCCAGTGTCCTCCTGGAAGATATAAAGACAAAATTGCCTACACCAACGACATGGATGAAACGTGGCAGCTTAAAATATAAATTTGACAAGGTTTATATATATATAAATATAAGATAAGTTTAATTAAGTCTAACATCGTGCAGTACTGATTCTAAGTCACATTGTTAAATTTTTCTAAAATCTATGATAAGAAAAAATGTTTGTATTACAATTTTTCATAGTAATGTTATATAATACTTAAGCCTAGTAGTATAGTAAAGCAATTTCGTGCATATTAAATACAGTGCCCAAACCTCCCTACATGGGTGCCCAAACCTCCCGACCGCCGGGAGGTTTGGGCACTTTGGACATGTGTTCGAAGATCTCTTGTAACTTTGAAACTAATAACAATATTGAAACTTTTCTTAATAATAATTACTACCAAATATGTGTGCTCCCTATATTAGGAATAAAATTTTGATTATGATAAAAAATAACAGTTTTATTAACATTTATGTAAAAAAGTGCCCAATGCTCCCCTACCTCCCCTACTATACAAGTTTTTGTACAAACACTAATTTGTTTACTATGAAATGATTATCAACTTCAGTGCATTCATAATTTGCACTGTTACACAATTATTACAACTTGCGGTTGCCTGTGACTTCATATGAAAATGTATTTTTGTAAAAATCTTCCAGAATTAATTATTTTTGAAGCCTCACAGGTCTGCTATGAATATGTAACTTTCAAACTATTTATCCAGATTATGTGTAAAGGACAAAGTTTTAATGTAGTTTATATATTGTTGTTATTTATATCTTCTGATATATGATGCAGTCACAGTCATCCATTGAATATAGTTATACAGACATGTTTCTAATCCTTGTTGTTTAAGCTGTGTTTTGATAAGTAGCAATACATTATATTTTTCAATAAATTATGGGCCTGTAAAGTAATAATATTCTTAATTTCAGAATATGAGAATCTTGAAGAGGTTACCATTCAATCACAACATCAAATTGATGAAGGAATGGGCAATGGTGCTGTAAGAAGACACTCTCGATATATTTTGGATACATTTATACAAAATAATTTTTAATAAAATAAATTATGTTAATTTACTTTGTTTACTATATTTTATATTTAACTTGTTACAAGTTGTCTACATACTTGGATTGTTTTTCTTTCTATAAAATATCAATTTTTGTTGTAGAATTTCATACTCCAAGTCTAAATTTCTTGCTTTCTTTCTTTCATTATCCATTTGTATATTATGTAATTCATTTTTGTTCTTGATCTCTGTATCAGCTATTTTTTGTATATAATTGTTTGTATTTGTGAGCTGTATAATAAAAAAAAAACAATTATTTAATTATAAAAAATATTTGTATTTTATTGTGTATAAATTTATTTGGGTACCTTTCTTTTTTTATTACATTTCTTTCCTTCATTTGAAATATATTCTTTGGTGCTGCCACTTTGAGACTACAAAAGAAATAACAAAATTTATGTATATTAAACACCATATTATACCAACCAATTTAATAAATCATATCAAACATCTCTTTATAATCTTTGGTCCCAGTCATTTAGCACACAAAATATATTTAAAAGTTCTATATTACTTACATTTTCAATAATTTCATCAAGATCCAAAATAATTTCTGGCATCTCCGGTGCTTTTTCATTCAGTTTTGGTTCTCTAGGTTTGTCTGGAATCTTTTAATTACAACATGTACTTTTATAAAAATAATATATATATGTTATATAATATACATTATGCTGAGTTCATTGATGTCATGATATAATAGATACTACATATTATATATTACTTACAGCGCTTACAGGTACATCTATTTCATTTATCTGAAATATGAACACAATGATTAATGAACCTACACTTACTACCTTTACTTTTTATATTATATGTAATGAAAAAATAAAAAGTAGGTTACATGATCATCTGGAATTCCTGTTTTAGCGTCAGAATCATATAGATTGGTGTCCACGTAAAACTCCTGCGGTAACCATGCCAATATGTCTGTACTGTCCACTGGAACAGTCACAGTAGGTGGTCCTCCACCAGTTTTATTCAGAGATCGCCTCTGGTCTGCTAAATTTTTCTTTTTACTTATTTTGATGACTCCCCACTGAGTTTTTATTTGTTGCAATGTGCGTCTGCTACCTTTGCACATTGCATTAAAACTGAAAAATATATTGAAGTGTAAGTACATGAGCAATAACAATTCACATATAAAATTATACTAAGCATGCAAGTTACTCTAATCTACGGGCTAGCTTCTACAAATAATAAATAACCTATCCATAACTTCCAGCCATCCTTTCTTTTTACAGTTGTTGGTATTCGTATCCGTATTCTTATTCTCTAGTACGGCGACACGATCGCGGATCAATTCCAACAATAAATTCTATCAAAAATAAGGTATGCATTAAATGAATGTAATAAAAAGTTAAAACAAGTGAAATTCAAAGTCGTACATAAAAAATAATTTACTTGATCCAAAACTGGACAAATTAACAAATATTGATAAGTAAACACTATCTTACCTTGTCGTCTTCCAACCAATTTTCGCTTCGTGCTCTCTTTTGTTTATCCATTTTAAAATTTACTAGACAATGAAATCCGTAATATGTAATCAATCCGTTAATTCTAATTCTAACGTAACTATATTAAAACAATCGTAAATTATAACATGCAATTTACCTGCACCATTTTTATGTCTGGTCTAATATAAAAATATGCAGACAAAATCGCGAGCAAACTAGTTTTAGCTAAAGTTACTTTCATTAGTAACATAAAATCATAAACAAAACCATAAGAATTACTCTTTCAATATTCCGTACCATAAACAACTTGCATAATAATAAAAAACATATGAATCTTCTTTGTTCTAAAGTAAATGTTGGAGGATATCGCGAATTACAAACCTGAATGGTGCCGCATCAAGGATTAAGCTGAGCGGACGTAGCGTGGAGCTTCCTCCGAAGACCTGCTCGCAGGCAGCTGGCAGGGCAGCGTGGTGTTGATGCTGCGAGTGTTCCGGAGTCTTGACTTGCGGGCAGCTGTTGGCCAGCCGGTAGGCGTTGCCAAATTCAGATTCTGAGTTAGCAATCTGAAAATAAATTACATATTAAAGCAATTATCAAACCTACATTTCATTAAAGGTGATTTTTTTTGTACTTGTCATAAAAATCTGTTATTTTTTTAATATAAATCAACATACAGCGTATAAAATATGTTTTTAAGTGTACTTAAAATTAATTATTGCAATATAAGAAATACCTCAGTCAATTAACTTGTCTAAAAGTTTCATACTTTTGTCGGCCTAAGAAATCATTATGAAATTTCGTGAAAATCAAATCCTAGTATTTTGGTTAAAGAAGGACGTAGGTTTGACATTTATCTTATTTAATCATATTCATTATGTACATAATATACATAGAAGTCACGTTGATTGATGTAATCTATTAAACATAATTGACGACCTCGGTGGTCTAGCGGTCTAGCACACCGCTTTACGTCCGATGGTCGCGGGTTCAATTCCTCGCACGGCACAAACATTTGTATTCATGAGTATGATTGTTTGTATTGGTCTGGGTGTTTTCTATGTATAATAAGTATGTATTTACGAAAAAAAAAATATCTATGTACTTGTATCAGTTATCTAGTACCCATAACACAAGCTTTAGCTAGCTTAACTTGGGTCTAGATGGCGCTGTGTGAATTGTCCTGAGATTATTATTATTATTATTATTATTATAATATGTATCTATATATATTATTGGTACCTCCAACTGCTTTAGTATTGTAAAAGATGATTTTGTTGAAGTAAGGGAGTTTAGATAAATATCTGCTTCACTAAAGTTGTCAAATAATATTCATATTACCTTTCCATTGGGTAGTCTGAAGTCATCGAAGAGTTCGTTGTTGCCATCGCCTAACAGGCCGCGCAGCTTGCCGAGGTAGAAGCCGTTGACTTCGATATAACACACCTAAACATACGGATAATGCTTTAAATTAAACAATCTACATATATTTTTAGGATACTGGCAAAATGTTGGGACATTTGATACGACATGATGAAGTTATGAAGGAAAGGAGAAAGAAAGAGAAGGGAAAGACCAAGATACAGTTACATCATGTAGATGAAGGCAAAAGTTGGAGACGTGTCGTATCAACAATTAAAGAGCTTGATAGAAAATAATGGGAAATGTAAGAGCTCCACCGATAAGAGCCTAGCAATGTTGTGTAATGTGGAAAATAGTAGATGGACGAGGATATGCTATTATATATGTTATTCAAGAGAAATAAGCTGTAGCACCAATTTACGTTGTAATTTCGGTGCCACATCTTGCCCTCCAACCTAAACACTTGTCTACATGTAAATGCATTTGAACAAAATCTACTGTGGTAAATCTCTAATCTATCAATGTGATTATTTTATTGGCTTCCTAATTTTTGAACGTACCTCAAGTTTAGGAGAGCAGTATGCTAGTGCACCGTACTTGGATCCAATACCCAGTACTCCATCAGGCTTCTTGAATGCAAACACGTCTTTCTCTTCAACTGGATATCCATGTGTAGCGCCATTGAGGGCAACCTGTTACAGATTAAATTGTTAAACTGTTAACGCTGTTTATTTTAGATAAAGGAAATTCACATGGATGATTCAGAATAAATTCATTCTTAGCTACAAGGTAAATTTTTAGATATATGTTCGTCATTATACTAATAAACTGATTAGAAGAAGTACAATTACAATTTGGAAATTTCCAAAATATTACTGTTTCATTATTTTCTTTTCAATAAAGTTTTACAGACTTTTACTTGATTAATTTTATCACAACATAGTTTATTTACCTGTCCATTGTCCTTTAATTCCACAGTCGTGCCGCTCTTGTCCTCGAGGATAAGGGATTTGGGTTTGCCATTCTGCAGCTGCAGGACAAACGTGAAGTTCCTGTCGACGTAATCGTGAGCGAGGACGTAGCGACAGTTGCCCGGGAACGTCAGGTGGCGGCCGTCGAATGTGAAGATGTGTTGACCGTTAACAACGACAGCTCGAACTGCAGGAGAAAAATAGAGTTGATAATGTGTTTTTAAAGAACTTCTACCTTAATACTTCGTTAACCCATCAGGTTATGTTGCATGTAAGATTACACTTTGTACCACACTAGTGAGAATTAGATCAAGAATTTTTGTTTTACCATGATCTTTCAAATTGACTGCCTCGGTTTAGCGCACCGCATTACTTCCGATGGTCGCGAGTTCGATGCCTCGATACAATACGAACACGGTCAAAACATTTCTATTCATGAATATGATTCTTTGTACTGGTACAGGTGTTTTCTATGAACATTATGTATGTATTGACAAAAAATATATCTATCAGTGATCTAGTACAAAAGCACTGCGTAGCTTGGAACTAGACGGCGCTATGTAAATTATCTGCTTGTGCTGTTTATTACAAATATTTAGATGACGGTGAATTTCTAACAATTTGCTTTTTCCTTACTTGAAGTACTTAGACTTTTATGTCAACAACAAGATCAATTTCTGTTCAAAAATAATTATAAAACTTACGTTTGACGGGGACTTCTTCAAGAGGGTCAAAGCTGCGAGGTCTGTATGCCTGGATTACTGATAACGGATCGGGGACGTCTCCACGCAGTATTTGGTTCACCAAACTCAACGATGCCCCAACACCCGTGGGAGTGTAAGAAATTTGTCCGGGAGCAGTAAGGAACGGTATCTGTAAAAAGGAAGATAAGTAAAGTATTTTAAAGGCAATAATAGAATTACTTGATAATTTTAAGCTAAAAACATTAACTTAATATGCACATTATAGTCCGTAGGTACTTGATTACAATAAGAAAGTTTAGGAAGAATTTGATAAAATTTTAAGTGAAGTATTATTTGATCAGTAATTTGATATTGGAATAGATAATTTCTGCGGTGTATTGAACAAAATATTGAATAGATACGAGGAAACTTAATAAAACATTGAATATGAAACATTAAAGAAAAATAATGCATCACATATGTCTTTTAATGAAGCCACAGGAATAAATATACTTCTAATTGTGACATTAAAAGGTAAAACAAAAAGATAATGTACTTACAGAGTCAATGCTGAACAGAGATGGTATTCCGTATTGGTTGAATTGACCGCGGAGGAATTGGATGAGCGATGTCAGCGCCACAGTGAATTTCTCGTATATGATACGCAATTCGGATTGTTCGTCGAACTTCTCAGCGCGCAGTTTCTAAACGAAGCAAATTAGAAATATTTTAAGGCATTTCTTGAATTAGTGGTGTAACTAATATGAGTTAAGATGATTTTAATGGTGGTCCATTAACCAGGAAATCATCAACATCAGGATTATTACTACATGATAGAATAGAAGGGCTTTTAATTTAATACATTTCTTACGACAGTTATGCTTAATGAAGTAGTCAGTATCCTCAACTGTAGATTTCGTGGTGAAGTTAACATTAGACATATCCAAATCTCAGGTAAGTAATGTAAGTTGGATTCTATCATCCGCATTTAGCCTGTCATTTTGGCCGTTGTCCGTATTCGCTCGGTATATTTGAATTGAAAGTAGCAGAGAGCGAGCCTATAGCTACGTCTCGGAGTAATTTTGGTTTGTCATCAATATTCATCATCATCATTGGAGAATAAGTTAGGATTATAAAATGATATACAATTCTTTTTATTACGTTATTTGATCTCACGACCTTTAGATGTGAGTCGGGGTATTTAACCATTGGGCAAATATGGTTTCAATTATAAGCATTAGTAAATTTAAAAGTAGAGAAAAAGTCAAGGATAGTGATTTGAAGCAGCATATAAATGTAGATACATCTAAAAATTATGTTTTTAGTTCTGATGATGGTACCTTGGAAACGTAAGTGTATACTGAATCAGCGAACTTCTTAGTTTCTTCTGTAGGCAGTAATGCTCGTAGAGTATTGTGGATCTCCTGTAGAGCATTCAGTACACTCTCTGGCACTCCCAATTCTTCATACTAAAAACAGCAAATGTCATATTATTCTACTAGAAGACTTATTCTGTTGTTCGGAGAAAATCAAGGCATATATATGAAATATAGGCACGTAATCAAACTATAAATATAATATTAGGCGATTTGAATTACATTTATTTGAAAAAACTATAATATTTTTTTAAAAATTTATTTTTATATAAAAGTTTATAATAAACTGGAATTCGTTAGCGTTCTATCAGGGATGATACTATTATGTAGTAGATTGCAATAAAAATAATAATGTAGGAATCTCGTACCTTAGATTTCACGATGTTAACAATGGAGGACTCCAGTTCAGTGACGTATGCAATAATTGCTTCCAAGCTATTCTTTACGTTCACTTTCAGTTCTTTCAGTTGGATAACGATGATACGGGTGATTTCTGTAAAAAGTTTAAGTTTAACATAACAATTACTTTCATCTAGTTAGACTTTGATCAAATTCGTCTGTGTGGTACCTCTGTCTCGCCTATTTTAGCCGTCAAATAGATCACTTTATACTGTGATCGCCACTTTATGTTTCGGGTAAAGATATAGCAGTATAATAATAGGATATAGGAGGAATTGTTAGTAATATGAACTAATAACTCCATAGCTGGCAAGGTACCAAGTCAAGCTGATCTCCACGTGGTTCCCCATGGAAACTATCCTGACAAATTCTTGGTCAATTTGTCATGATGAGCGTCAACTGACTTGACTCTGTGTTCTTTTATCATCCTACACCAGTGCCCAGCCAGCGTAAGCAGTTAGCGCAGGAAGGTGCACCATTCCATTATCATCCATAAAGAAACGGTAATGAAGTCTATTATATACTACTTCTACTATACCTTTAAAGATTCCAGTGACGGCGTCAGTGAGTTCCTTAAGCTCGGCCTTGTGTTTTTCGAAGAAGTCGGTGACGAGAGCTGCGTAATGTGCTACTATGTCAAGCAGTCCATCGAAGAACTCCTTCAAGATGGCTCCGACGGTTTCATAGAGTTTCTTTATTTGAGGTGCAATCTACAACATTAAATATTCATTATTTATATTGTTAAACAGGTCTTAACACGAATAATTATCGTCAATAAATAACTTTTCTTTAAAAGAGCAACACGCAAGTGTCTTAAATTAACACTTCCTAATGTAAGACAAATAAATATACAGTTATTGTTTAGTGATGAAATAATTAATTTTGTTACTGATACAGCTTTTTTAGGTATAACAGTAGACTCGAAGTTACAATACTATATTTCTTATTTTTGATATATCTTCTTGCGAACCGTTCTCTGCGTTCCGAATGAGTAGAAAAAAATATAACTATCCAAAAGTGCTTATATTAAGTTTATTTGAATAAAGATTATTTCTATTTTTATCCTAGTGTATTTGACGTATCTTAATTGATGATAGATTTGAATTAATATATTTTATTTAGATTTGCTGCTCGTTTTTTATTATTTTTTAAATCTGTTCTAAATTCTATTCTGTAACATTAAAATATTGACTTATTACCTCTTTGTCGAAAGTTTCTTCAAGTTGCTTGAGAGTGTCACTAACAACAGTGTACAGTTTGTCAACGAGGGGTTTGAACGCTGTGACGATGTCATCAATGATCTTAGCAAGGAACTGCGCAACCTCTTGGCTGAAGACAAAATAATGATTTTTAATATAAATAACACACAATTACTACTCTTATCTTAGCAAATGTCGAAATTATGGGAAACAGAAGACGAAAGTGTTCAGACTGAAATGTTCAGATTTCTCATTATACAAACCAACATGGGCCTTACCGCAGTCGTTCGGATTCGGTCTGTGGCCGAGCGTCTTATTTTTCGATTCCTAGCACTTTACAACTGTATTCAAGAGTATGATTGTTTGTATAAATCAGGGTCATTTCTATGTATATATTATGTAAAAAAAAGTTATGTTAGTTATCTAATAACCATCATACAAGCTCGGCTTTGCTTGGGACTAGATACGAATTATCTAGGACTATTATTACTATTTGATTTGTTGTTTTCATCACTACAGTGTCAGAGATATACAAAATGGTGTTAGTTACATAGATTCAAATTCACCTCTTTTTTGATTTACCCCGAGGTAGTAAACCATTAGGACACTAGGTTGTTTGATCTTTTTGTGTGGATCAAGATAAAAATGTATAGAGTTGAATTTTGAAACTTACAGCACTTGCGAGATTTCCTTCAGAGTTTTATCGTTGACCACTTCGTTGTAGATCTTCTCCAAGTCTTCCTTGTAGCATTTCTCTAATTCTTGGATCTTGGGTTGCACTCTCTTCACGATGTCCTTAAAGTCTGCGTTTGTCTTCTCTCCCAGCTGCTTGATGCGCGACTCCAGGTTTGTTAAATCATTCTTCAGTGCGTTCTGTGACAATGCAGATTTAAATTACATATAAAGACACATTACTTGTGAGAGATTGAATACCATCATTTATATAAATTGCAGATCCCAGGAATATCAGTAATTTTTAAACCTTTCCCGCGCCATGTCACAAATGATCACATTATGGTATTTTAAATTTCGTTTTTAATACTACAATTAAAATGTGATTTCATAGTACTTAAGAATCGTAGGAATCCACGAAGCTAATAATTTTTAAACGAATTTTGCTACCCCTTACCACGAAGTAATTGAAGTTCTCCTTAGAAATTCCATAGTCACTCTTCACAAGGTTGTCCTTCAAGAAGAGAGCACCGTGGGCAATGTTCTTCTTCTCTCCCGAGAGGACGAGGTCAGCGCTGATGTCCACGCGCTTCTCAGGGTCCAGGTGACCGATCACAGACAGCTTGCGATCTGACTCATCTGTAGAAATGGTTAGTGTTTAGTATATGCTAAATTCAAATTCAAATTAAAAAGTTTTGGATTTCACGCATTCTATGGTCTGGCGGTATAGCACGCCATTGTACTTCCGTTAGTCGCGGGTTCGTTACCTCGCACGGTACAAACTTTTGTATTTATGAGTTTTCGCTTTCTTTCATAGAATCTGGCGACTAAAATATATTTTGTTTGTCTTCGCTTTTTTTTTTGCGCTCCACACAACATGTGACCTGGTTTCTAGACAACACACCGAGCTTATCAAACCTGGTTTATCATTTATTTAATCATTAATGGAAAGAGTCATTTCATTGAGAAACATATTTGTAGTAAATATATTTCACAGAATGTAGTTCAAAATAACCTGTATAACCTGTAGTGAATTCATAATATTGGAAGTCCTTGATGAGAGCGCGGACTGTGACTGGTTTGCCCTGAAGCAGACAGAATTTCAGGTCCCCTTGTTGCAGGTTATCCTTCACTTGTAGGTTGCTTTCTACTTCAATCACTTTGACAATTGGTGTGTCCAACTGAAAAAAAATGTTGTTACTTCCTTATGTTATATAAGTATCTTAAAAAAAAGAACTGTCCCCAAGTATGACACTACATTTAGTAAGCTAGTTTAAGTAGTTTTCTTTATTTTTTGCCCTAGGGGCTTTGAACTAGTTATCCGGAGGTTGTTGCCCCTGGAGTAGAAATGACACACAAAGTTTTTTTCGGCAATGACTGGTTTCGAATCCAGGACCTTTAAGTGGGCCGGTAATGACATTTTTACCAAGATAATTATTATAACTTTACTTACCACAAGTTTAAGTGAACTAGTGCCGACTTCCAGTAAGAATTTCGATTCACGGTCCTGAAAACAACGTACATATTAAATAACAGTTTCAGAAGATTTTTTTTTTTAATATTCTCCAATGATTAATAGTAATGTGAGAAAAGTAAACTTGTATACAGATACAATAGTACTATGGATATGCCGTCATCATATGATCTTATCCGTTTCTTGTCCTTTCAATCATCATTTTTATTTTTTATCAGATTTAGCCATAAAGGTCTTACGGCTAAATCTGATAAAATTAGAGCGAGTTCTTCGGACACTCCAATATCGCGAAAGAACTTATAGAACCCCTTTTTGTACATATGTTCGGTTAAATAGAAAAACGGCAGTATTCAAAATGTACATTTTTAACAAGACAAGCATATAAAGTCTTTTTTTCTTAAATAATTTAAATTATGTTTTCCTTTAAAGTTTTAAATTTATACAGAAGTGTTATATATCATGTTAAAAGTATTTAGATAATGATTAAGACGGCGTGGTTAATTTAATTGACTTATATAAAAGGAGGTAATTCTAGCTTCTAATTTTGAAAATTTACCTTTTTCTATTTAATTGACCATGTACCGTTTGACCCCTAGGGGTCAAACTTTGGCTCCAGCCATCGTAAATTCAATTGAATTCGATGCCCTTTAGGATTTAGTAAATTAGTATCAAATATACTTACAGCTCCAAGAACTGGGTGACAGATGCTGGCCGAAGTTTCAATTTGGACTATGTTATCGCTGTTCTTAAGATTGCCTCGAATCTTGAGCAAGGCCTCCTGCAATTATTATAAGATATGTAATTTTTACAACATAATAAAAATAAATAAATAAAAGAGTAACTTAGGCTACTTTTATTTTAGGAAAATTTTCTAGTCAAGTCCACGCGGACGAATACGCGGATTCAGCTAGTCTATAATTACCTTGCCCAATTTAGGATGACTGAATCCAAAGTCGGCAATAAGCAGATGCTGCTTCTCGCTACCCTTCACGTCGACCAAAAATCTGGCTGCAGTCTTATATTGGGGCTTCCTCTTGTCTGGGTGGATGGTCAGCTCTCCTGAGATGGGGAATGGTAGGTCCTTCTTTGTGGGGTATACCACTTTGGTCTCGAGTGCCAGGACACGTTGTGGAAGGGAGACAGTGATACCGGCGGGGAATTCTGTGAAGAAAATTGAAATTAACTAGCTGATCCCGCAAACGTTGTTTCGCCATATAAATATTATACAACGGACTGTGTTCTGAGGAATTGATCGACATGATGCCGACAGCCACCTTTTACCACCGCACCGCTCGCCATCGACAGGGAATTCATCCCCACACACTGGAACCTAAGTGGTCCCGAACAGTGCGGTTTCAGAGGAGTTTCCTCCCGCGTACACTTAGATTGTGGAATGAACTTCCTGCCGAGGTTTTCCCACGAGACTACAGCATGGGGTTTTTTAAGAAGGGTATATTAAGGTTTCTTAAGGGTCGGCAACGGGCAAATGATACCCCTGGTGTTTCAGGCGTTCATAGGCTACGGTAACCATTTACCATCAGATGGGCCGTATGCTTGATTGCCACCATAGTAGTATAAAAAAAAAAATATACGCCGTAGGGTGTTATGTTCGCCATATGCACATTTATTTTTGTCTGCATTAAAGTTTTAATAATAATCTCAGGACAATTCACACAGCGCCATCTAGACCCAAGTTAAGCTAGCTAAACCTTGTGTTATAGGTATTTGTCTGCGTTAAAGTTTTAATAATAATAATCTCAGGACAATTCACACAGCGCCATCTAGACCCAAGTTAAGCTAGCTAAACTTTGTGTTATGGGTACTAGATAACTGATATAAGTACATAGATATTTTTTCACATATATTATACATAGAAAACAGACTGATCGACACAAACAATTGGATACAAATGTTTGTGCCGTGCGAGGAATCGAACCCGCGACCATCGGAAGTGAGGGGATGTGTTAAACCGCTAGACCACCTAGTCAATAATTAAAATCTATACATATAAATAAAATTGGAGTGTCTGTTTGTACTACGGAAATAACGGTTTTTTACTACATGCATATGAATATAAATACGGTACATATACCAAAATAACATTTTTTACAATTTTTGTCTGAAATGGCTGAACCGATTTTGACGGGACTTTTTTTGGCAGGTAACTGATGTAATAAGGAGTAACTTAGGCTACTTTTATTTCAGAAAAATAAAGTTAAATTCCACGCGGACGAAATCACGGGTACATCTAGTAAGTACTATTAACACATTATGTTATCTGTGCTATTAATGAAAGTAACTTCAAACTTACGGCCTTGTTCCGGATGGCTGTACACATTGAGATGGTATTTCCTATCATCCTTAGCAGCGTGTAAGTCCAGAGTGTACTGTGGGAGTTTCTTTTCAGAAATCTCGTTGGTGATCTGAAGACCGAATTCGGGAGCGACTCCAAGTTTCCGCAAATCAACATTAACGTTGATAGCATGTTGTACTACGCCTGGATCTGAAAAGATGATAATAATATTATTAAAAAAACAATTAAAATAAAAAAAATAATATTATTAAAAAAGGAAATAAAAAAAATCTCAGGACAATTCATACAGCGCCATCTAGACCCAAGTTATGCTAGCTAAAGCTTATGTTATGGGTACTAGACAACTGATACAAATACATAGATATATTTTTTTCGTAAATAGATATTATACATAGAAAACACCCAGACCGACACAAACAATCATACTCATGAATACAAAAGTTTGTGCCATGCGAGGAATCGAACCCGCGACCATCGGAACTAAGGCGGAGTGCTAAACCACTAGACCACCGAGACCGTCAAGCTATAGAACATTACGCTACGACCAATAGAAGCGAAGCATCAGTGAAAAATGTAGCAAAAACGGGGAAAATTATTTATATTTGAGGGCATCCGTTGCGTGCGCTGCGTAAATGTTTCAAGTTATCAAAAAAATATGTATGAAAGAATTATTCCTCTTTAAATGATCTAAAAAAATGTCCGCGACAGTATATGTCTATCTCATAAGATAAATTCAATAAACCCTTTTTTTATTTAACCCGCAGCATGGTCGCGGTCAAAACAAAAAATAAAATGGAGGAAATTAATCACGGAGGCCTATGTCCAGCAGTGGACGTCTGGGCTGCGATGATGATGATGATAGTCGCGGTCAGAGCTAGTAGTAATAGAATAGAATAGAAATAGAAATAGAATAGTCAAGTTTTTTTTATTCTACCGCTTATTCGGAATGCAGATTCATTACAAGAAGAATAAGCAAGAAACTTGTGTGTTGCTCTTTTAAATAAATATTGATTTACTTATATTTAATTAACAACAAGGATTAGGCATACGACAATCAACATAGAAACCGCTACGCACTTAATCTCTGTTCAATCAGATAACATTGTCAGCGCTAAGAATTTTAATATAAATATGGTACTAACTTGGTATGTTAATCTTCGAGTTGATGTCAACATGGGCGCACTGCTTCTTCTCCTCGCAGTACAAATATGAGTTCTTGTATTCGAGGTTGGTGATCCTAGTCTCCGTGACGTAGCTGCGGTCACCCAAGGCCAGGTTTAGGAAGGTCTGTTAAAAAAAAACTATTTAGTTACCGTACAATGGAAAAAAAAGAAAAAAGACAAATATTGAACACCATAGAAAATAGACGAGGAAAAATGTTAGGGCACTTGATACGGCACGATGATTTCATGAAAATTATTATTGAGGGGAAAATAGAAGAAAAGAGGGGGAGGGGAAGACCAAGGAATAGCTACATCAAACAAATTGAGGACAAAGTGGGAGTCGTGTCGTATCAAGAATTAAAGAGCATGATGGAAGATCGCGGAAAGTGGCAAGAGCTCCACTGACAAGAGCGTAGCTCTTAAATTATGAATGAATGAACAATGGTATATTTATTCATTCCATGCTTAAAAAACATCTTTTGAGAGCTAATATATCAAGATCCTCTCGTAAATGACTTATCAAGACCTACAGCTGGAGTATAGCCTTGTATGCCTGTGAGACGTGGACATTGACACAAAAGGAAAGATTCCAGTTTGTCACTGGAAGCCTTTGAAATGTGGTGTTGGAGAAGAATGGAAAGAATTAGCTGGAAAGATAAAATAAGGAAGGAAGAAGTGCTTGAAAGGATTAAGGAAAAGAGACAGATCATAGATATTATTGAGAATAGTCGGGGAAAATGTTGAGGCACGTGATACGACACGACGAACTAATTAATAACATTATTGAAGGAAAAATAGATGGAAAGAGAGGAAGGGGAAGACCAAGACACAGCTATATCAAGCAAGTTAATGAAAACTTTGGAGTCGTGTCGTATAAACAACTAAAAAGACTGATAGAAGATCGTGGAAGATGGTGGGAGCTCCGCCGACAAGAGCACAGCTCTTAAATTATGAATGAATGAACAATGGTATGGCTTTCAAATGTATAATGGTTACATGACGTATCTCAATTGGGCTCATCCCCTATCCGATATTGTCCGAAACTTTTATTTCGGATTCGGTTAAGGTTACGGAGCTCCTTAACATCCCTGGTAATTACAGCATCATTTCTCGGATCAATAAATTTCCTTTCAAAAGAAATCTTGATAAATTATGTGCTTACCTCAACTCCTTGCTCATTGCCTTCTGTCAGGATAGTTCTGATGTATTTGAACGTGGCTGACTTCTCAACATCGTTGACCTTCACCTTTCCAGAACCTTCGATTAACGTTTGCTTGTTCTCTTGCTTGCTTATGAATGTCGTGCTGTAAGAATAAAGTCACTATTAAATATTTATGTTTATATATAATAAAATCACCCCTCCGATCGATCCCCCGTCCAATTCAACGAGGATCGATGTTACGACGGCCTGAGCCGAGGTTCGAACCCCTAGTGGTGCCCTCAGACTAAAGTCGTATCCGTCAGGCGGGAGTTGGCCTTCAGCCTTTCCATAAGTTCTTCCGCGGGTTTGGAGTGCCATCTGAGTGCAGATGGCACCCCAAACCCTCTATCGTCCGGTGAAGCTGTAAAGGCCAGCTGCGGCCAACAGCATTAGAGTAGTCCGAAAAAATAATAAAATCGTAAAGTCATAACGAGGTGAGTACTGTCTGTCTGTCCTTCTTGTTCAGTTAAAGTTTCACGAATAAACTATACTACTATATAGAATTAGAGTGAAATTTTCACAATTGATTAGAGCAGACCAGTCCCCACAAGCAGCACTCGTTCACGAGTATGGCGGATGAACCAGCCATCACTGCGCTCGACCCTATTTTAGGAAGCCCAATAACCGGCCCATAACGCCGCCACATGTCTGGACATTTTAGTGAGCATGACTACTACACGTCAAAACTACTAAAATTACCGTATGATAGTTGTATAGTAATTCAAGAAAACTATGCCTTATTTTTTTTAATGTAAAATTAAATGCCTAATTTGGAAAGTTTTGCAACTTGCCACACACTCACTGGTTATTTTAAATTTGCTTCCATTTTTATGCGAGGCCCCTGCAAGAGCGAGGCCCCAAGCGATTGTCATGTTTGCCATCCTGTATATATATAACAAACCAGTAATCAAAACTAGTAGTAAATAGTCAACTCACGTTCCACTCAGTATGTTCTTGTTGTCATTCGTTGCATGGAATTCCAAACGCTTGCCGTTATTCGGAGCATCCTTTGTTGCAATGTTTACTTTGTAATTCTTCCAACCCAGCTTCTCAGAGTTTGCCAACAGGTTCAGAACAATATTGTCTTGTTTGATAGTGCCCTCGGTTACAGCGTCGAGTGATACATCGCGGATGTTCACGATTTTCAGTTCAATTTTGCCTTCGTTATCGCTGAAAGAACTGGCCTTGACGTAGAGTCTGAAATAGAAATAGATTTTTTTATAGATATAGCAAGTTCTCAATTCAATTATATATGCTTTAGTATTGTTGATTATGGAATAGAAATAATATTTATTGAAATAAACTTAATATAAGTCATATAATATTTTTTTATTCTACCACTCATTCGGAATTTATACTCATCACAAGAAGAACTTGAGTGTTGCTTATCTATATGTTCAGCATTACATATTAAGTAAATATATATAACAGCTACTCAATTAACAGTTACATGTAATGTAACTCTTAACAATCACCATTTATTATATTATATACATAACCTAATTGTACAACTAAGAACTTAAAATTAAAAAGCTTAAAAAAATAATAATATGATGACTAAAATATATTATTAAAGGGGTCCCTTTAAGCAACGTTCCGAAGATACTGGCAGCGTTTCCTCTTTAACAATTAGATGTAATGCTCTACTCAAATTTAACCTCTATTTGTTTAAATTTAAGACGGATTTATATGATAAGGAATCGTCTATTAATCGTGAATCATTAAAGGAAGAAGAGGTGTTGACGTAGAGTGACAAGGTGTGACAAAGAAGAAGAGGTGTTGATGTAGAGTGACAAGATGTGACAAAGTCAAAAATCATCTATTACAGTAGGACTTGTACTTATATATGTGTCTATGTTTAGCATTTAATGAAAATCCCGTGCATGAACAACTATTGCCATGCACGCTCGTCATTCAAGTAATCGTTTAATGAGTAGACTTTGCTCAGTAAATATAATTAACATATGTTTTGAATTTATTTAAAACTAAATTCAGTATATCCTTTTGTATGTAATGTTTGCGAATTTAATAGGATTACACTCTTACCTGCTCGCTGGTGCATTTGGTGGGGTGTAGGAAATATCCACAACTGGGTTTGAATTGGAGTACACCACGGTCGACTGAGACTTGTATACCCTTCCATCAGCGTCCACTGCTGCCACTACCACATATGTATCAGGTGATGGGTTCTGTTGAAATACATGTAATTTTAATGATGAAGGAACGGTGCTAGTTAAGGGACATTAGATGTCGGTTGATGAAGTTGATTGAGAGATAGAAGATGTTGAAACAACGTGTATTACAGATAATAGTGAACTGACTATTGTACATTACAATATTGATATTATATACTAAATAACAATAGTAAGAATGTAAGGTATGGTAAGACTTGATGCAGTGTCTAGTAGACAATATTTTGTCTCACTAGCCATAATCTAATTGCAAGTGCTACATTGACAAACGCGAGAACATTCTGGGACACATTACCTAGTGTCCCAGAATGTTCTCGCGTTTGTTAACGGTATTTGCAGGAATATAATAACAATAAGATAACAATGGGATGAAGTTGATGAGGTATTTAGTTAGCTCATAGTAGCGATAGTAGCATTTCAAACAGGGTATCAACCTTTTTTCCTAAGATTTCTTCAGCTAGGTGGTCTAGCGATTTTAGTAAGCCAAAGAAATATAAATATCACAGTTTTTTAGCATTTGGACATGATTTTTCTTTAGAACTATCCTCATGCTACCGATTGCAACAGGTTCATCGGGGGCGAGTGCAAATTGCACTCCAAACCCATGAAAGGACTTACTGATGACGAACTCCAGCCTGGCGGACACGACTTTGGTCTGAAGGCATCGCTAGAGGTTCGAACCTCGGCTCAAACCTTCATAATTTCGATTCCCGCTTGAATTGGATGAGGGATCAACCGGAAGATGAATAGATGGGATAAATACCTTAGTCTTAAGAGAGAGGTCAAGCTTCTTAAGTTTCTCGTTCTGTGGTGCGTTAGCCTTGATATCCAAGTCGTATTCCTGAGGAGCGGCCGCGCCGTTCACCACCAAGTTGACTGTCTTACCCTTACCGTACAGGGCTTTTACTTCCACATTGACGATTTGCTTTTCACCTACGCACGCATTTTAAGACAGGTCATAAATTTGTTTTTAGTTGTTACATTAAATTACATTTACTAATTAATTTGGAAAAATATTACAGTAAATTGTATCCAACAAATTAGTTCTTATAATAAAGTATGCATCACACTATACTAGTTTCCTGTTACTTCATCTGTTTCTGAATGTGAATGCGAAAATTTGTCTGTGTGTCTATTTAGTATCTTTTTACGGCTAACCGGGGCATTTAACATAAGTACAGTTATAACAGTTATTTAAAAGAGCAACACATAAGTTTCATGCTCATTCTTGTAATGAAATTGCGAGCCGAAAGCGTGATAGATTAAAAAGGTGCTTATAATTATTGGAATAAAGATCATGTCAATTGCTATGAATATTTTTAATGATTAGGTAGGTGGTTTTAATACCTTCAGAGTTGGTCTTGTACTTGGTGTCAATGTTGAACGGTTCCACGTGAGGGATCAGAACGTGTAACTTGACACCGCCATCATTGGTACTCGCGTAACCTTTGGAGTCGAACTTGTATTCATCGGCATTTATCTGGATTGCTTGCTTGAGGTCGTACTGTTAACAGAAAATTTAAGTTTAACTAAAGTACAACAGCTGTGGGGCCTCTAGGGCCAGGGATGTTATGGATATATAATTTCGGATACAGATGGGTTTCCAATATAAGAGTGAACTGGATACAGATACGGATGCGGATATGATTTTTTTTCGGATCATCCGTTAGTTTCGGATAATTTCGGTTACAGATATTAATTTTATAAGGAATATCAATAGTAAAATACAAATAGCTAATAAAATGGTTACATAACGTGTCTCAATTAGGCTCCGCCCCTATCCGACATTATCCAAAACCTTTATTTCACAAAAGGATTACTAGTAATGTGAATTGCTGAACCTATTACTAGCAATGACCTATGTCAGGTTGACCTCCACGCGGTTTCTCCTGAAAGCATCCTGATAAGTTCCTGGTCAATTTTTCACGATGACCTGATCTCATGTACCATTATCATCCTCCACTGGTGCCAGCGTAAACCGTTAGCACAGACGGGTGCATCATTCCATTTCATCCATTAAAAAAGCCATGGAATACTAAAAAGTTTTTCTCATACGATTGTTTCTACTGAAGTAATAAGACCAATTCATTTCCCATTTTTAACTTACCTCAGATTTGTCTCCGTTCTCCGGTTGAGTGAAGAGGAAGTAAGAAGTGTATTTGATATCATGGGCCTTCTCGATTGGAGTTATTAGTTTAATCACGAAAGAATCGTAATACCTGTTCAGAGAAATTAGTTGAAGAAATTAGTTGAATCTATCTTCTTCTATCTTCTAAATATATATAACTCAAAGGTGACTGACATAGTGATCTATCAACGCACAGCCCAAACCACTGGACGGATCGGGCTGAAATTTGGCATGCAGGTAGATGTTATGACGTAGGCATCCGCTAAGAAAGGATTTTGATTAATTCTACCCCCAAGGGGATAAAATAGGGGATGAGTGTTTGTATGAAACTTTGTCAATTTTAAATCGGGTTGAGACTTTGCCTGCATAAAGTTACTATGACGTAGGCATCCCTTAAGAAAGGATTTTGATAAATTCCACCCCTAAATAAACTAACGCGAGCGAAGCCGCGGGCAAAAGCAAGTTATATATAAAAAGCTTTCTTAGCGGATGCCTACGTCATAACATCTACCTGCATGTCAAATTTGAGTCCGATTCGATTTAGTCAGTCAGTCACCTTTGAGTTATATATATAATAGATTATTAATATAATGTATAATATATTATTAATTTTAGATTATTGCAACTTACTTCTTCTCTCCTTTTTCCAATAACTTGATAATGTAATCCCCACTTATTTCGTAACCAATATTGTCTCCGTAGCCTCCTTTGCTGGAGTAAGTCAAGTCGACAACCTCGTCTGAATCCAGGTAGGTACCATGTGCTGATAGGTAGATTCGTTTCGGGATCAAGTTTCCGGAGATATCGTACTAAAATATAAATAAAAATTATTTTGTGTATCAAAAATTGAAGGTATTAACAATCTCCCAGTATTTTATTCATAATCAGAGCTATCATCATCATCATCATCATCGCAGCCCGGAAGACGTCCACTGCTGGACATAGGCCTCCCCCAAAGATCTCCACGACGATCGGTCCTGCGCTGCTCGCATCCAATGCCTTCCAGCGATCTGGACCAGATCGTCGGTCCACCTTGCTGCAGGCCTTCCCACGCTGCGTCTTCCGGTCCGTGGTCGCCACTCGAGGACTTTACTGCCCCAACGGCCATCTGTCCTACGAGCTATGTGCCCTGCCCATTGCCACTTCAAAGTCGCAATTCTTCGGGCTATGTCGGTCACTCTGGTTCTTCTGCGGATCTCCTCATTTCTGATTCGATCACGCAGAGTAACTCCGAGCATAGCCCTCTGAGTGACTCTGAGCTTGTTGATAGGGCCCATAGTTATAGGGAGATCAGAGCTATAGTGTTCACTTATTTGTTATTTAAGTCTTGTATCTCCTTGTATGTAAGTTGTTATCGACATAATATCGGCTCGTTAGCCACAGCTCCACGTCTTTACTCCGCGGCGTCTGCGCGGGGAATGTCTCTCCTCTTGCGCACCGCGGCCCGTGTACGCTAGTCGCGAGACCACAGATAATAAACCGCTAGTGTTTCCACATACACTACAAGAGCCATAAAAATGCCCAATAGTAAAAAAAAGGAAGGGAACAAGACTTGTGTTGATCAGTGTTATCTGCTTAGGTTGAGACTAGACGACGCTGTTTTCTAAAATATAATTTAATAATTTATTTCTTTCTTTCATATATTTTTTACAAATAATTTATGAAATCCCTGATATCTGAGGTAGGTATAGAAAATACCTGTGTCTCAGAATCAGTGTTCTCTTCCATATTGAGGTGTAGTTTAAGTGAATTTGTTAAGATATTGTTAGGATATAAGACATTGTGTATTTTGTGAAATTGTTGATAGTCTAGAAACGCCTATAGAAGTGGTGTTACCGTATCAATAATTCTATTTGTTCGTAATCTAATGTTAATAACCATTTCTTAAGGTTGTTTTTGACTATATGGTGTATTTGACAATGAAAATATTATATTATTACCTTGAAGTTATATTTGAATTTTTCCCCGGCAAGTTCGTTTGTCAAAACGATTGTGTTCTGCAGGTGTTTGCCTTCCTTTAGTTTAATATCAATTTGAGCTTCATAGTTAATGATGTCTTTTTCTAGATTGGTGTTCACGATTTTAGCTTTGTAACTGATGAGGGACGTCTTACCACCTCGCTTTGTAGCATCGGAGAGGACAACATCCGCATGGCCATTGGCAACCTGAAGTAAAAAGAAATATCATCAATATGTTCAGTCAAATTCATATTAGGAGATAGAAATAGAAATAGAAATAATATTTATTCAAATAAACTTAATATAAGCACTTTTGAATAGTCAAGTTTTTTTATTCTAACGCTTATTCGGAATGCAGATTCATCACAAGAAGAATAAGCAAGAAACTTGTGTGTTGATAATGGTTTTGACTTCAGCTCTATTGACCGGCCGCCTGCCTGAAATCTACCCTCCTTGGACATGCATGGAATGGTGATATTACGACTATTAATAAAGGAAAAAGGAGTAGGAAAGAGAGGATTTACGAAGGAAAATAAGGGATTATGCATGAAGAAATAATAATATTTTTTATTAATTATAAATAATTAAAAGTAATTAAGTAAACAAGGATGTAATTATACTTTATCGAATCAGGAGTTATTTCGCCGAAAAATGAATACTAGGGTTCCATGCTACATACGAGCTCTGTTCAATGCCTGATGATACCTCGTTCAGAGGGGAAACATGAGTCGCAATATGTGTAGATTCAATAACGGTCGGGATATAATCACAAATAGAGAAGGACGTAAAACTCCCTTTAGCGCTTAAATTTCCGCACTGAATATTTGTGATCACACACCTGCTAATAGTGAAGAATTGTGAAAAGAATAGTGAAGAAAGAAGAAGAAGAGAAGTGGAATTTAACATCCTTACTAATATTATAAATGCCAAAGTAACTGTGTTTGTCTCGCTTCCACGCCGAAACCACTCACCGATTTAAATGAAATTTGGTACACAGATAACCCTGACAAAGGACATAGACTTTTTAATGCGAAAAAAGAGTCGCAAGGGGTCGAAAGGGAAGGGGAGGGTTATATGGAAGTATCGTACAAATTCATTACATAAGGCTACAAACACTTACATCATCCTTGACAGTAACATCTCGCTTAACTTTTAAGTTAAGGCACCTCTCTGAAGGCAGTACTACTTCAATGTTAGCATTGACCTTGTTCAAATCTGTGGGGTCGCCGTCGGTGCGGACGTTCACCTCAGCACTCTTACCGGCATATGTGACTTTATTCCTGAAAATATTAACATTATGAACAAAAGCACGTATTTCAAGACAAGGAAGTACACTTGCCTAAGTGCTAATCAGTGGAGGCCTATTCGGGATGTAGATTGTATCATCGTTTATAATTTACTAAAAATATTTATTTAAAGTACTCGTATTTCAATTTTCAAAATTGTGTTATCTGTGTTAGTCTATCTCTTGTAAGATGCCTACAAAGTTTACAAAAGCTATATTACATCATTTGTATATTACGTAAAATGTGAATCCATATTAATATTATAAAAAGATTTTCTTTATAATAAATCAACTTTAAGTAATTTTAGAAATTCTAGGATAGGATTTTGATGCAGTTTTTAGCTACTCAGCTATTATTACATTACATTCAGACGTTACACTTACTTTGAGTCCAGACTCTTATCGGTTCTCTTGGTGTTAGTAGTGAAGTGAACCTTATCGTTGTTATCCTTTTCATAGTTCAGGTATACGTCAATTTCAGCACTGAATACTGGATCCTTCGCAACGAACACAACATCACCCTTGATCTTTCGTTGAGCCTAAAATTAATCAATTGCATATGAAATAGATATTTAGTCATTCTTATTATCTATCTCTAGAAGCACTGGACTTAAATATTGACGGGAGATTTTGGGAAGTAGCATGAGCTCTATCGACAAAGGCTCTTAAATTATAAATGAATGAAGAACTACTAGATGAACTTTATGAAACTGGATTGCCGTACTGGCTGATGGTCCACCAAACAATGTGGTAACCGTCGTTTATAAACATAACAAAACAATAATAATTATTAACTATAATTTGTTTAAAACTACCATAGTTTAATCATCAAAGACTTAAAGACTAAAATTTAAAATCAACAATGGAACAACTGGCTTATATACAATGATTTCAAGTATACATGTTAATAATATTAATTATATTTACCTTTTTGAATTCAATAATGATCGCACCATTGCCTTTGCCATCAGCATCCGTTACTTTGTATTGTCCATTAGCAGCGATTGTGTCTTTTAAATTAAGCTTCAATTGACCATTTGGATTATTTCCTCGGGTAACTTTCAGTAAGTAGTCCAGAAATTCGCCATGATTAGAAGAAATTTTGGCATGAGAGGAGTATAGGCTTTCGGTTTGAGTTACGCCAACGTCGAACCTAACGTAGAAATAAATGTATTACTTAATCTTGTTACGATAGATTTAATTAAACAAATATATAACAATGTATTAAGAGGACAGTCAGGACTTACTTGATATCTTCAGATTGGCTACCACTGGAAATCTTAAGATGACCAACAGCTCCAGTAACGACATCATTGGGTTTATTCTTATGAAGCACCACACCAGACAACTCATATTTTCCAAAGTTCTTAATAGCAACGTAATTCTCGAAGTTTGACTTATCGGCAGTTAAGCAGTCTCTCTTTGAGAATACTTCCAGTCCTCTGTCGTTCAAGTTGGCAACTAATTTAACGCTATAGTCATCTGGTTGTTTGATTTGTGAACGTGCTTTTAGATTTACATCAACTTTATTGTTCTGGTATTCTCCTAGAAGTTCTACGTCAACCTTTTTGGGATCTACTTCAGCATCGGCAACAACTTTGAAGCCAATTGGGACGATTTCAACTGCAAAAGTATATTAGTTATGTATATAAATATTATAAAGTAATAAAGTTATGTATTTTTCATTAAATATTTCCGTGACTTCTACATATAATTGTCTATCGTAAATATATATATATATATGTCAGCTATCAGGAGCTCGTTTGTAAGCTGTATGTCAATTATGGCATTGAAATTACAAGGTACAGAGGCATTACTAATTCAAAATGGTAACGCATGAGTTGTATCTTGGGCATTGGTGATGTTAGAAGCTCGTGGTGCTGTTATAAGCGATACATAGGTGGACCATCATCTTGATTGCCAATCCAATTAAATAATTTACATCAATTATTCCAACAACTTACTCTTGTTCTTAGTAATGACGCTGAATTCACTCTCTGACTTTTTGTAGTTCTTGAACAATTGATTGAACACGATTCGGTTTTGGTTGTTATTAAGTTTGTCACCGAAAATAATGTCCAAATCATTGTGGACCTGCGAAATTAGAAAATATTTATAAATTTTATCCATTAACGATATTTTTAAAATTACAACTTGTATTAAATATACATACCGTTTCACCTGTTTCGAAATGTCCGATAGCCTTGAAATTGATGTTAGGATTCAGAGTATTACGGAACTCTAGATTCACGTCATTATTTTTCACGGAACCACTGAGTAATATATTATGTTCGCCTTTCAGTGCCTTTACTTCGAGCTCAACTCCACTTGGTTGGGTAACAACATGTCCGTTCACGTTCACAGCTTCATTAGAGTTAGGAATGTCGATTTTAATTCCCTGAATAGTGTATTTTGTTACGGGAGCATTAACCTCCTTGACTATTTGTCCGGCTACCTTCAAAGTTTGTTTTTCACCTTTGTCAGGAAGTTGGTATTCAATAATAGGTTTGAAGACACTTCGTTTTTCGTTCCCTTGTACATTAAATCCGGCTTTTGCATAAACTTCAGCGGTATCTAATTTGCCACTTACGACGATGGTGTATTCATTTGGTTTAGTATGAAGCGCTAGTTGTCCTTGAATAACCTTAATTGGCGAGTTCAAGCCGAGTGAAATTGATTTTTCTGTTGCGCAGTTCACGTACTCTCCAGTTAATTGTGTGCGTCGATTTTGTGAACCTATGGACAATGAGTATTTGGTGATTAATTACATAGACACGTCTATATAAAAGAATCTGTCATATTTATTATAATATAGCTATTTAGCTTCACGAGTGTTGTATAACTATACTTATTGAATTCGATTTCGTGTCGGTGATAGATGTGGCTTGTATGTGTACCATTTTTGAGATTACCGTGTAAAAACGCATAGACAAAAATATTTATTTTATAGATAAAATAAGTAGTAGTGAGTCGTACCTACTACGAGTATTTTTTTTTAAAAGACCTAACTTTAAATATAATTTGTCTATATTTATGTACTTAAATTTAACGTACGTAATGTACGTAAATTTTGAAAGATGATAATGTAGTGGCTTTAAACAGTGCTGTCGTGTTTAATGTAGAATGCTAAACACTAGCACGAGATGGTAGTAAAAATTATCTGAACTAAAAACTAAACTAGAAATATCGAGGCTTCAATTGAAAATTAGGTGTAAAAATAGTGCATTGTAGAAACAGATTATGTACTACGTTGTTAAATACTATGTTTCACCAAATATATAATATATATTTACCTTGGGCATCAAACAATAGCTCAAATCCTTTTCTTTCAGGGTTGTCAGCGCGGAGAATACCTCTGATATGGTAACCCTTCAAGTTGTTCTTTTCTAACACTAGTTTTACTGAAGAAGCTCCTGTCAGTGGGTATCTAGCAATGAATTTAGAAATGGATGCTTGGGCCTCGTCACCTGTAAATATTTAAAGAGTTAGAGAGATATACGATGTTCATATTACCAGAAGATCTAAGTAATAATGTTAATCTAGGACAATTCAACTATTGCCATCTTGTCTCGGGCTATGTAGATTTTGCTGCATGGATACTAGGGCAACCGATTGAAATACAAAATAATTAATGGACAAACGAATACAAAGAAAATAGAACTCTATCTAATACCGAGGTCATTAATTGTATCATCAAGTCAAGTATTCGCTGAAAACTTTAAAGACCTTATTATATTGGTTATTGGTATATAAAGTAATCAAAGGTTTTGGATTTTCTTACCTGATACTGCAAATGGTACAGACACTTCACCACAAAGTGTTAGTCCCAATACACCGGACAGCTGATCGAAGCATCCCGAATAATCTTTCCTATGTGCATCAACCTTCAACGGTACATGTGTTTCCTTCTTTCCTTTTTCAGCTGTGAATAACACTAGATCATTTGAAGCAGTCAAGATTTCCTGCTTCTCAATGGGTAATGCCAATTCAATATCAATACCGCGTCCACCTTCAATCGATTTAGCGATCAGATGACCACCAGTAGACGAATGTAGATTATTGATTACTTTCAAACCAGTTGCAACTGCACCTGCATCTACTAAGAACAGTCCAGAAATTTCAATATCTGTGCTGGGTACCAGTTTGATGTCAACTTTGCGATCATCGGATCCTGAGAAGAGTTTGTTGAAGTCAATAGAGGTGGCTATTTCAAGACGACCAGTTGCAGCGCCTACAAGGTCTAATTTCAGAGGAAGACCAGTAGCGGTGGGATAGGCTAACTCAGCGTCGATGAATAGAAGATGCGAGCGGAGTTCTTGCTGCAAATTAAAATTGAAAAATTAGTAGTTATTTTAGATAATTCAATTACTACTGAAACAAATCGAATTCGACGTTTGTTATAGTTTTGTTATCTTTATTATCATCGGATTATTAAACAATTTTGCTTACCTTAAAGTTCTTGGCTTGCTTGGTACCAGTGTTTACAACTTTCAATATTTGATCGAGAGCCCGATTGAAGTCAAAACCTTTATCGTCTCCAAGTGATAGGAATACTGCATCTGTGCCGAAGATCTTCACATACAGATCCAAATCCAATTCATTGTTGTATGGTGTAGATTCCGCTTTTAGCTAAAAAATTAGGTAGGTCATATTCAAATGTGCAGTTTATGAAATAGTATATATAAAGAAAAAATTGTGAGAAATACGTTGTATAGTCTAGAACAAGTAAGCATATAGATTGACGAAAACATCAACTTTGCTTTATACTAATTCTGTATTTATCTTATGAAATAAATTATCGATTAAACGAAATTAATTTCTAATATTGACTACTACCTCAGATTATACAGTAGAAATATTAATTATTCAAATAAGCTTAATATAATAAATATTTAATAGTCCGTTTAAATTACTATAAATTTAGCTATGAGTTTCATAAGAAACTTTACCTGTACTCTTTAAACTAATAATCTAACTTTAGATGTTTAAGTCATTGTTTTTATGTTACAAAACTGAAACTGTACATTTTATTGTATCAACTTTACTTACATGCTTGTCGAAATTGTCAACTTCAGATTTAACGGAGCGACGGCCTCTGCTTAATCCATCTTCTACCTTCTTTTTAGATGCTTCGTATTGTTTCACGATGTTATCATATATTGTTTGTGGGTCTTTTGTACGTAGGACACCCTTGGGGCCCAAGAAATGTTCAATTACGCGATCGAGATTTCCTTGACGTCCACCGATCTAAAAGGAGACATAAAAATTAGTACAGTAATATATTTTATTACTAAGAATTGTCTTGAAACGTTTGAAGACATTACCTCAAGAACATTGAAGTTGTGTCCGAAAACCTCAGCGGTTACATTGAGGCTGGCAGATCGAGGCAAGAAAGAGTCTTGTGAGAAGATCACAGTCTGCTCGAGGCTTCCTCCTAATCCTGCTGCATCCACGTTGTAAGATAGCTCGCGGTAGAAAGAGTATTTCCTGTACACCATTGAAATATATTTTATACTCATGCGAATAGGTCAAGATTTTAACTTATTAACATATTTATTTTCTATTCTATTCTATTCCTAAAATTTGGTCGACCGCAGTGATGGCTGGCTTATTTTTCACCAGCTCTACTCGCGGTTTCGCTCGCATGAAATTTATAGCCTATATGTTATTCTGATGTATATGCTATATTACTGTAAAGTTTCATCAAAATCCGTTCATTAGTTTTTGCGTCAAAGAGTAACAAACATCCATCCATACTCATAAACTTTCACATTTATAATATTTGATAAACTGCGGTGAATCAGTAGTGCTTCATGAATCATCAAAATTACTGGGAAAACTTAATCAACTTCAAGAATATTATTTTAGATAATACAAAGCCTGTAGTTTTATTATCCGAAACAAGCGATACTATATCAAAATACGAACCTGTCATCGACGTTGAATCGGTTGGGCGTGCGAATGAGACCATAGTGCTGACGGGCGAGGAGTTTGTCGGGGTTAGTCGACGCCCGAATGTAGCGCAGAGATGATGTGATGAACCGACCGACTGTTAAGATAAAGTAATATATTAACTTCACATTACTCCACAGTAATAATAACTACAGTAATCAATTTTAACCTAAGACAATTCACACAGCGTCATCTAGTACCAAGCTGATCAAACCTTGTGTTAGGGTACTAGACAACTGATATAAATAGTTACATATAATTCTTTTGTAAATACACACATGTACATTGAAAACAGCCAGACCGATACTAACAATCATAGTCATGAAGTAAAGCGATGTCCTAAACCGCTAGACGACCGAGGCTTATCATATAACATACTAGCTGTACTCGCGTTTTCATCCACGTAAAACTCGTAGACTATGTGTAATTCTGATGTATATCGACAGCGATATACATCAGAATTACACATAATCTACGGAAAAAGTTTATGAATTTTATGAAACTATACAGATAGTTTCATAAAATTCATAAACTTTTTCCGTTCAGACAATTAAATTTCATCCCAATTGTACTGTTTTTAATTAATTAATAAATTTTTATCATCATTTAACATTTAATTGAGATCCGTTCAGCCATTTTGTTATGACATGTTAATGAACAGTTAAACAGTATGAAAGTATGCATAATATACCTTGTTGAGATTGCTCATGTTCGAGAAGATTCTTAATTTCGTTAGCGCTGTGACCACATGGACAGCTGATCACGACAAGGTACGCCTTGATACGTATTTCAGAGTCTAGATCTTTATTCTTCAATAGGTCCAAAGCTGTCTTCTTAATCTGTAAAAAGATTTTCCGATTAGGGCTTCTTGCTCTAATATTATTACATCTTTAATTTTCTTTAAAGAAAAAGTAAGAAATAATACTATATTATAGAAAATCTAAATTAAACATGAAAATACAATTAGTTAACAAAATAAACCAATAGCAATAAGAGTAGTAGCAATTACTATAAGCAATGTAGAACGTGATTTTCAAAATCTTGAGGACACAATAGAAAAGGTAAAATGAGTATAGAAGGCTGTATAATGTAGTCGGTATCGCTTATGATGGTAAAAATAAATGATGAAATATGTGATATGCCTATAATTTACCATGTGCCCGTTGCTCTTAATTACCAATAAAATTACCAAGATCTCAATAATTCTTAAAAACCACGGTGAAATTAGTATATTCTTCGGTATTATATGCAAATACTGCGTCAATCAAAAATTTTACAATAAACATATCACTTACTTTAGCGGAGCATGGGTCTGCCTGGAAAGCTTCTAGAACTGCTACCCTCACTCTTGGTTTCACACTGTTGTCATTAGCGGATCTGACCAACCTGTCAATCAGATTGTCTTCCAAGTGCCGAATGTTTCTGATACCTTTAAGAACTGCCACGGTCTGTAGGAAGAATTATTTGAATTTTAAAGCATTTTGCAGAAAATAGTGTTTAATAATTATTTAGGATGATCATCATTAGAGAGACATCTATTTTTATGTATTATAGATATCGATGTAGGGATCCTGATTTATTAGTATTCTATTTTAACTGCAAATTTTTGACCTAGTTTTTTTAGACCTCAAGTAGCATTTTGTCAACATTGTATTTTTTGTTTCTTATTTTCTTTTGTCAATGTTATCGAGGACTTAACATCGATATGCCAATGTTAAAAAGATTTAACAATGTCAAAACATCGATATTTTCCAACTAAATATCGAGCATCCCTAAAGTTATTTATTGGCTGTAGCGAGTTCTTTTATGTCTTTCTCTTTATGTCGTGTAATAAAAGTACTTATTGTTAGATACTACTTATAAAAGAAGAAAAGAAGTTTACACTGAATTTAGTCATTTTTGACCACTCCCATACCCCCAGTTCACAGCTCGTCATATTGTAATAATTACAATTTCGTTTTAATACTGAAATCGAAATGAAACCTCACATAATTGGAAACTCTTCCAGGGATGACATGATTCCTGGATTTCATGATTTGTTTACTTCTTACCCAAAATTGAAGACTCATTGTTATAAAATGTCAAACTATATCCACCTTCCTGCCCCTCCCCTTCGTCTTAACATATGACAATGTATGTATGAATGATATATGTCGTGGATGAAACTAATACTTACAACATCCTCTTCAACTTTCGATTTCGGTTTGCAGTTCTGCAATTTGGCAGCGAGTTTCTGGCTCAAAGCGGTAATGCCATCAGATTTGACAGTATGGCAGTTGTGTTCCTTGCAGTAGGCACCAGCAAGTGCTCCGATACCAAGATACACCTCTTTCGGAATATGAGGGTTGTCCAACAGACTCTACAATACAAAACCATTTAATTTAATTATATGTCTTCTCACCTTGGAATAAAGAACAAAATGGCACCTCATGATCATTTAACAAACTAAAACAATTTAAGAAATTAAATAACTTAATGTAAAATTACATTGAAGTTTTTTAAATATGTTATCTTAACTTTCTATTCTATTCTATTGTCAACAATAATCTTTCATCAAATATTGTTGTAACAATTAGTAATAATAATTAAAAAAAATAGGCAAATTGGCCGTGTACAATTAATTCGGTATTTTTTTTAAATCTCTGATCGCCGAAACTTTGGTTAATTTTTTCTTGCTTTGTCTCTCAAGAAAGAGGCAAAACTGTAGTTGAGTCTTCATATAAATAAACTAGCTAATCTGAGCTCACTTCGTTGGACGGTAAACATTTTCGAGTGTCACGAAAGTATTTTAATTTGTATTCACAAATAACGTGAGTTTCTATTGGTAAACGAATTTTCTAAATCGATTCAATTGCTCTAGAGATTAGCTCCTCCAACCTCACAAATTATACTATTTTATAATATTGTTGTAAATTTGTTCTTAGCCTCTACTATCTCACAAACTTACTATCTTACAAAAATTGGTGTATTTTTGACTTCAATACTTACAGTGGCAGCTTTGACAGCCTCACTGCTGACATGTCTTGCGTTTCCTAGAGACAGGTAGACCAGTTGTTCTGCCACAGGGCTCAAATCTTTACTCTTGAGGATGGCTATGGATGCTTCAATACTGTATCCGGTGCCAGCTCTTAATACAGCATCCAAGTATACTTGCCTGATAACATTAAACATAAATAAATAACCCTGCACAAGTAACTCAGCGTCATCTAATGCCACGGCAAGCAGAGCTTGTGCTATGGGTACTAGACCACTGTTATAAATACTTGGATATATATATTTTTGTAAAAACATAGAAACACCCAGACTGATACAAACAATATTCCGTTCGAGGAATCGAACCCGCGAGCATCAGAAGCAAACCACCGAGGTCGACAAATTAAAGAGTGTTTGTTTTAGATGCAATTTTGAAGTGGCGTGGTGATGATTATAAATTTAATATAAATGATAGAGTTCTAATTCTTTCTAATAAACATTACTCACTTCTGTATATTGTTTCCTTTGACTTGGTTGTATACTTTGAGTAAATCGTCCTTGTTGGTGTTCCGGAAAATCTAAAAGAAAACCAAAGATTCTCAGTGATCATTGCCATATTCAAATCAAATCAAATCATAATATCTTTATTCATGTCGGTATAATATGTTAAATCTACTCAGCTTGTGCTTTCGAGCTAAGAAGAACTGATATTCTATTGATTAAGGTACAATAATAAGAACAGCGGACAATTCACACTGAACCACCTATTCCCAATCTAAACAGAGCTTGACCACTGATATGAATAATTAAATATATTTTTTGTGCATAATATAGGTATAGAAAACATCCAGACCAATACAAACAATCGTACTCATAAAGCGAGGAATCGAATCCGCAATTAATGGAAGTTAGGCAGTGTGCACTGAGACCGTCAATGAAACTTGGTTTTTTAATCAAACGATATAATTATTCATGGCGGACTTTCTAGCCGCTTATGAACGCCAAGTTTTTGTATAATATTTTTTTCCCTACCGTCCAGTTCATTCAGATTCAATTAAGAAGAACTAGCAAGAAACTCAACTGATTTAACATTAGTGATGACAATATCCTTATTAATTATTGTTTTTTAATCTAGATCATGTATTAGATATTTACCAATTAAATTATAATCAATTAATGAAACTCTTATTATTTATATACATTTATTTTTTATGTAAAATTACATAAGTATATTTACCATTTTGCATTGCAATTTTTGTAATGTTAAACTATGAGATACATGATTCAGTCTTGATTATATAATTTATACTCTAATACCATATACATTAAAATTTATTTTAATTGAAGAATTAGGTTCATCATTGTTAGAGACGATTCTTTCATCTTTCAACTTTATACTTTAAGAGAAACACATAATATTATGGCCAATGTAGTATAGTACAAAAAGAATATTATATTTATGCATACCCTGACAAGCTGAGCGAATAGTCCAGCCGATTTCGAGTTGGCTTCAGTGCCAAGATTCTTGGCAGTTTCCTTGACAGCGTCGAGAGCAGCATCAGCGTTGCTGTCCACAACAGCCCCGTGGGGGTTTTCGAAGATGATTGTTCGGCTTTGTGTGCATTTGTCTGTAAAATGATTAGAATGATAATACGAGACAATTCACACTGCGTTATCCAGTCCCAAGTCAAGCAGAGCTCGTGTTATGGGTAGTTATACTAGACTGGGTGGGTATACTAGACAACTGATATATACTAAAAATTTTCTTTTGTAAATACGTACATAATATATCCCATCAAAGCCAAGTTCAATTTTTTTTTTCTTTATAACAAAGGGGATAAACTAGCGTGTGGCTCACTTGATGGTAAGTGATTACCGCCGCCCATGAGCACCTGCAACACCAGGGGAATTGCAAGTACGTTGTCGGCCTTTTAAAAAGGAACAAGCTCTGTTCTTAAAGGTTTCAATATCGTATCGGTTCGGAAATATTTGCTGGAGGTGATTCTAGAAAGTGGTTGTGCCTGGTAATAAGTTTCTAGAAAACCACACTGTGGAGGACCATTCATGCAGATGATCAGGATGGTATTTTAGTTTCTGGCGGGTGGTACGGTGGTGAAACTATATTATGATATATGTCTTGGTTGTTCAACGACAAAAGAAGTAAGGTCTAAATGTTGGCTTGTTTGGAATTTAGGTCTTGTTCTTTTGTAGTTGAAGTTCCATGGTCAGTCCTGAAATTTATTTAAACCACCTTAAAATATAATTTCTTCTTATTACTTAGGATAATATATTTTAGCCTAAGGTCTGACTTCGCTAGTTCTCATATTATTTTAATTTTTACGACAATAGATACTTACTGGATGTGCCACCAGCTTTGGCTTTGCCAGTAAGAGTCAGCTTGGTGAGTACTCTCGATTTAGCACCATTATCGCCAACCGAGAACGGTCTGTATAGGTAATCTTCAGTTGCAGCCACCTTCTCTGGGATACCATGGTTCACCTTTGATTCTACGTTCAATGCGGAGCGAAGGACTTGAGAATTCTTGATTTCCTGTCAAAAAATAAAGCAACCAATGAATCTAACATATCTAAGAAAGCTATTGATAGTCTCTGGCGATGGCTTTCACCACTTTACCCTCTTTTTGTAGCGCAAGTTTGCGACTTAACTGATAGTAAGTAGTTATCACAGCAAATGAGCTTGAGATTTGCAAGCCTTTCAAGAAAGAATAAGTTTGTTTTTTAAAGTTTCAGTATCAATAAGCGTATCGATTCGGAAATACTTCATTTTGGGGTAATTCCGCATGTGTTTATTATGGTAAAATGTTTTAGGAAAAATGGACGCTGAACTATCATCTAACATGGATTTTAATATCTGGCGGGTTGTTTGTGGATATCCCAGCTAAATTCCATAATTCAGCAGCTTACATGAATCTGAACAATTTCTCAGAACGCTCCATGATATATTCGGTAGAAAATTTACAGAGATGCTTACATCAGTGTTACCCAAAGTTGGGCCCGTGGGCCTCACAGTTGGGCAATTTAATCTAAAAGTCCAATTCGAAAATGGACTCGACACGAGTTAACACTTTCGCTCTGGCCCATTTAAATGCAGTACCAGATTTCGATGCCAAATTTAACAAAGAAAGCAAATTCTTGAGTAATTGATTTATAACAAAATTTAAACTATAATAATAGAAATGCTAAGACAATTTTTTTAAATTAAATGGCCATAAAAATTTTGGGAAACACTGGCTTACATTGTCTGTTTCAAAGACAATCTTGTAAGGTATCTTGAAGTTAGGATAGTGAGTTATGGTATTGTACAAGATACTTACAGCTGTAGGGTTGTATACGGCGGTAACGAGTTCATTTTTGCCCTGTTCCCTGTGCGCACATCGTGATAAATCCCTGTTCCTGTGAACTAGCACGGAGCCACCTTCCTGAGATGATACAGCCTCCGTGGGGCAGGTACCGAAGATATCCGTCTGCAAATTTAATGATTCTTCAATTTTTTACTAGCTGTGCCCACGGTTTCACCCACGCGAAATCTATAACCTATATATTATTCTGATTTTTGTGAAACTTTACAGTAATATAGCTTATATCACAGTAAAGTTTCATAAAAATCTGTTCAGTACTTTTTCCGTGAAAGAGTAACAAACATCCATACTCGTAAACTTTCGCGTTTATAATATTATTAAGATTAAGATATAAGATGTGTTGATTCTGTTATATATTACAGTAAAGTTTCATCAAAATCCGTTCAGTAGTTTTTGCGTGCAAGTGTAACTAAAATCAATCCATGTATACTCACTCACAAACTTTCGCGTTTATAATATTAATAAGGTTTGTGCAAAATGAACATTTGCTTCAAAAATAATACAGCAAAAATAATTTCTTGGTCGTACCTGAGTGGAAGCCTTATTCTCCGTCTGCAGCAAAGAAATGATGGCTCTCTTGATGTTGAGAGCTCGACGGCTATCATCCTCCTCAGCACAGATCTCGGGGCCCACTCTGCCATCTTGAAGGGTGAAGCGGACCGGTTTCTCGATGCCCAGAGGAGATGGATATTTCTACAAAAAAATTACACTCTCAAAATCCAAACAAACTTATATACGTTACTACAGTTACCCGTCCGATCGATCCCCCGTCCAACTTAAACGGGGATCGATATTACGACGATCTGAGCCCCTAGTTCCATCCCTCCCCTTGGAGTGCCATCTGCACTCGCCTTCTATCGTCCAGTGAAGCTGTAAAGGCCAGTTGCGACCAACAGCAGTAGTCCGAAAAACAAAACTACAGTTGCCAGAGGCTTTATCAAATGTCGATGTTGTGGTGAAAGCATTCAGTGTGTAAGAATTGAATATTTTGTACATTTCACAAACTTAATGGTTTTATATTATTTTGTTTAATTTCGCTACACTAGCAAGGGTGATATAGCTTAGAAATATAGTATTGACTGTTCTAAAACTGCTACAGTAGGGTTTCAGGCTATATCCGAGCTCAATTCAATGCCAGATGATGTTGTCTTGTTCAGAGGCAAAACAAGTCGAGTCAATAACGGTCGAAATTTTATCACCAATAGAGATGGTCGTAACGCTGGAAGCGGCAGTCAAGTTTCCGCACTGAAAATTAGTGGTCTCACAGATGCTAATGGTAGCGAAATTAAGCAAATTAATATGAATTCCAAAAAAATTTAATGGAGTTTCTCTAAATAAAACGTTCACAATAAAAAATTCACAAACCTTGCCACCCGGACCCGATATTGCCAAGTTAACGATTGTCAATTCATTGACGCAGTTGCCAATGGCAGTGACAGAGGCCTGGCCGAGTAGCTTCACGCTAGTTTCCTGTTTGTCAGCACCAGTTAGAAAGATGGAAACCGTTCCTTCCACGCCATAGTTGTATTTATGTCCATTTAAAAACGATGGTGACGTAGCAGCTATAAAGAAAAGTAATTAGATTTCTATGAACATTTTTATTTATAACTAGCTGTCCCGGCAAACGTTGTTTTGCCTTATAATAAAATAAAAAAAATTAGGGGTGGACTACCCCTAACATTTAGGGGGATGAAAAATAGATGTTGGCCGATTCTCAGACCTACTCAATACGCTCACAAAATTTCAGGAGAATCGGTCAAGCCGTTTCGGAGGAGTATGGGAACGAAAACTGTGACACGAGAATTTTATATATAAGATATGTAACTAACAATTCCCTATTGATTTTGGCATTCTCATTATCTACTTGTTTGGTATTTTCTGTAGTTTTGTACATTAATTAATTAATTCATAATTTAAGAGCTCTTGTCGGTGTAGCTCTTGCCACTTTCCACGATCTTCCATAATACTCTTTAAACTTTGATGCGTCACGCTTTGTACATAATCGCAAAATTGATAGATCTAATCTGTTTGCAATGAGAATGGTTGTTAATAGAGACAACATATTTATTTCCCCAGACGCTATAAAACAGAGATGTAGTAGCTACGCCAAACCTATCGATAATGAGAATTTCAATGAATTTGAGAATTTCCATTCAAGGATATGGTTCACAATTGCAACTGTGAAATTACTTAATTGCAAAATCCAAAATTCTAATTTGTTTGCAATGAGAATTGTTGATATTAGGAATACCCCAGGATTAATAAAAGCAACATGTCGTAACAACTACAAATAAAATTTACGATTTAATTCTAATGACTGCCATAAATAATATGAAGTACAATCACTCCGATTCTGTAATGTTTTCTGCAAAATCTTTAATTCATTAGAACATTTCTGAGACAATTAACGATCGTTTTTTAAAAACTTTAATGACTATAGTAACGATAATCAAAAACAAACTTTACAATTAAATAATAATATACTACAGATTTCATCAGTAGTTATAATATAAATTGTTGATGTAGTTATTGATAATTGTATATTTAAATATGTATCTACTAATAAGTAGCTAATTATAATTACAATACTAATTAAAAGAGAACAAACAACTTTTATTCCACTTACATCCTTTGCATCCTATCGAACACTTATCTGTAACAAACAAAGTGATTTATGTCAATTAATAAAGTACACAATTACATTAATTATATGACTACATTGTATACAATAAACAAGAGAAGTTACCACACGCAGTGTCTGATAACACACACTTCTTTAATTATAATAATAACTGGAGAATCCGCGGCGCCATCTAGTTCCAAGCTAAGTAGAGCATGTGTTATGGGTACTAGACAACTTATATAAAGATTGTTCTTTGTTACTAAATTACTTTCCGATATAATATTTGTTAATTTTGAAGCTAGTTGAACTGGAGCCTGTTTTCAGTTAAAATTCTGTACTTAAAGATTTATTTATTCCTGCGACACATGCCTTGAGCTTAGTGCAGGGATTGCTGTTAAAATATTTTGTCTATAATCATTGCTGTAGTGTGTACAAAAATATAAATACATTTTTGTAATACATAAATAATATACATAATACCCAGATGCAAGCAAACTTAGTTATAAATACAATGTTTGTACCGTGCGAGGAATCGAATCCGCGATCTTAGGAAGTAAGTCGGTGTGCTAAACCAGTATTAACAGTATCAAAGGATGTTAGAAAATTTCTGCAAACGCAAAGAGCGACTGAAACTGTGGTAATTTGTTGACATCTAGGTATAATGGAATTTCCTATTATGTATTGAAATGTTATCAATAATGTCAAAGTTAGTGTCAATTATTTCTCCAGTAAATTAGATGTCAAGACCTAAAAATACATAGAAAATTATCACAAGTCAACAGTTCAAGGCGTTATTATCGCATTAGTTACACGTACATAGTATATAAGATCCGGATCGACCCGGGTCAAACGATTCCTAACACTATCACAGAGGCGTGCAAACATTATGAATCAGCATCCCTTTATCAATAATAGGTCAATTAATGATTTACAATTAAATGCACCAATTGTTAGAGGAATGGAAAATTTGGAGGATATTCCAGGTCTTTATCTGCACTCGTGTAAGACTATTTTATTGTCTTTCCCTCGAAGGAAAATAGAATTTGGTACACAACAGTAAGAACGCTTTTGCTTTGAAGTGACGAAATCGTCAGTTCAGAGTAGAAACAGATTCAGTTCAGCCTATAGGGTAGCCTATCTTTGCACTAGTACCTTTACTGGAGGACAATCTACTAGTTTTTCTTTAAACCAAATATAGTCGTACATTTTATCAGTTATAGATATAGTGTGCATGGACGGTAAAATAACAATAATACTATTTAAAAAATTTTCAAATATATGGTTTCCAGTTTATACTACCCGTTGATTATGTAGTTTTCACTAATATAATTTCTAAAATCATTCAAGTATTTTTGAATTTATGAAATGTTCCACTTATAGGTTCTATGTATGTATGTATATAATATGTACCACAATCCTTTTTTATTTTATATGTATCTAATAAACATATTTTCTTTCTTTCTTTCAAGTATGTCCTTTTACTTTAATTTTAATGTCTGTCGCCAAATGCATCAAAGAAAGCGCCCCATCGATCAAACGTGCCATCAAATTGAATAATCGCCATTTCTTTCCCTTCTCATCGTGCATCGTGTTGTCGCTGCCTCCGGTCGTATCAATGGACAATTACCCAATTTGTCTAAAGGGGACTCATGTGTCTTTGGGGTCCCTTTGTTAGTAGCTGTCTGGCTAACCACGCGTTACAAATATGAGTTCAATTTTAATATTTATACGAATCTCGATATAGTATTTACGTAGCTTTTTACTTCTTTGCCGTCTAAAGTTCTTAGTTCAACAACTGATGCTCGTTAATTTTTATAAGTTTTGAGTTTTCTTTCTTTGTTTCAAAATATACTACCAAACCTCTTCATTTTTTTATACTACAGCAGTGGCATAGACTGAAAGTCTATGCTACTATATAACTAACGTAACTTCAGAGTTGAATATTTTAATTACTATAATATCTATATTCCAAAAATATATTGAGGCACTCAAACAATGCTCTTATAATGTGTTAATAAATATTTATTATAACGTTATAGTTTAGAAATATATTTAAAGCTTCTGCTGGGATATTCATATTCCTTGTATCTAGCAAGATAGCAGAAAGAGTTCGTAGCAGAAGAAATAATGTAAGGATACAAGTTATATTCAGGTTCATATTTTTGGTGGAAATCTTTAAAAGGATCTAAATATCTATTTAAAAAAACAAATTACCTAATAGAGCTAAAGTTAAAATTACGACGTATACATATAATATATATTTTTAGAGATAACATGCACATTGGTGATGATCCTAATCATTGCAGTAAAGCGCAAATAGATTCAATTAGAGTGGGACAGCATCCCGTTGTGTACGGATGTATCGCTTAGTGAGACGATACTGTACCATTCATGAAATGGATAGAACAAAATTGATGAATAAAAATAGATGGATCATTGGGTAACCGGACTATATTTTCCATATAATTGCATTTGTAAAGTTGCGTAAAGAATACGTTAAAGAAACATTGCAGAAAATGTACATTAATTGGCAATCCTATAAATAATCAATTCAAATTCAAAGTATCTTAATTCATGTAGGTCTATTACAGACTCTAATGATATGGCAAATCTACCGTCAGTTCGAAATGATTCCCAGATGAGAAGAATTGACAAAAAAACTCAGATCGTGTTCTTTTCAAATAAATGTTATAGATGTGTACAATAATACAGATTAATTTTTAAATTCATATTTAGAAGAATAGAGTGAATCTTTAGTTAATTTGATAGTTCCTTTAGACTAGACTCTTCTAGACCAGAATGCAGATAAGTAAGGTCTGTATGGTAAGGTCGTTTGACCTTACAGACCAATTGAATGAAAATGACTCTACAAACATCACGTCATACCCTCATGGTACTCCTAATTGCTATTCTATAGACTTAGGCATTATACCTACTGAAGAAACATAAAAAAATGGTTCCTCCTCGCAAGTTGAAGCATAGCAAGTTGCCTAATGGCAGAATAGAATGAATTAGAGAATCTTGGGAAAATCAACTTTATAATATTTCTACGTCGGCATGCAGCGTAGTAATTGATATTTTATTGTTTATTGATATTATGTGAGCGAGAGGTGAGACTGATTTAGCTGGTATTTAACAAATCTCATAGTTAACGTAATTGTTAAAGGCTATATTTTAATAGATCGATATATTAATAATATTATTATTGGACAATTCTCACAATGCCATCTAGTCCTAAGCTAAACAGACCTTGTGTTATGGGTACTACACAACTCATATAAATATATAGAGATATTTTTTGTAAATACATACATAATATGCATAGAAAACACCCAGACCGGTATAAAAATCATACTCATGAATGCAAATGTTTGTAGCATGCAAGAAATTACTACAATCATCTGAAGTGAAGCAGTGTGCTAAAATCACTGAGGTCTTCAAAAGATCAAAAGTAAGACAAAAAGAAAATACAGGAAAGTAATAGATAGATAGAAAGAAAGATAACGTGTAAAAGAAAATTTTGTAAAAATATTGCTTAAGATTATGAAATTTGAACGATCACGTATTTTCCATGTTGATAAATAAATAGGTAAATAAACGAAACTTATATCATCTTTCTAATTGACAGACGATACAATTGATGTTTTGTGAGCAAATAAATGCAAACATTTACTGATAATGGGGTCATAGTTTACAATAAATTCACTGATAACAATATTATCGTGTTTGCTATAATAGTTATCTTATGAGTTCATTAACAAATTCTATTGTCACCGGCTGGTCATTGTCAAGGCGATCTTCATTAAATTCCTTATTTGTTACACATAATTTGTAGAAATTAACAATATTGATAAATAGTATACGTCAATTATAATATCTATTAAATGATTGTTGCAGTAAACTGAGAGAAAATAAATATTATTAGTGGATATTTAATAATTATTATGACTGAAAAGATAAATGACATGCTGCACTACATTAAAATGAAATTAATGAAGAAATTTGATCAAACTAAGAATAAGAATGTGTTCGTAATAAGGAAAGAGACTATTTTATCCAATCTTTGAAACTAAATAGGATAGATGTAGGTGTATTGCATGGAATATTGGCAGAGCCAGAGTCGGATGCAGTCAAGTTATTATTCTGACTGGTTACATTAATTTAATTTGATTATTATATTTTTTGTTATGTAGTATCGGCATAAAGAGATTATACTGTCTCATTTTATTTACAAAAATCCAAAAAAAGAGAAATAACATTGAATAAGAAAATGTCTACAGCTTAGAAAGAATTTTAAGTGGAATCATAAAATACAGATGATCGTTAACAACAAGCAAAGGTATACCTGATGTAAATTATATACATGAAAAGCAACATGGGTTCTGTGATACTGTTATCATTTCGAAAGCCTAAGATGTTATACTTCAATATACTATTAGAAATGTGCAAATTATCAGCAACACTATAGGCATTATTAATACTTAAAATCAACAATGAAGTATTGATAATTTTGATATGACGGTAAATTTTTAATAATCATAATAAAAAGCTATTATTGTATCCATTGATATGATAATGTCTGTGTATCTACTTTTAATGCAATAAAAATATTTGGAGAACAATAGGTAATTCATGAAACTGTTGTATGCATAGTGACAGATGATAGCGTAATCAGGGGGGCAGAGTTGAAGCATTATCAGTTACTTTTGCAAACTATAAATATACACCTACGGTTTGCTGTTCTCCCTACTTTAAACAGCTACAAGATTGTGGAGGGCGAGGTTTAATATCTTTTGTAACCTCTTTTGATAAATGGGTAAGAATAGCTGGGAAATAAATTGTTTTTTTGTTACGACTTGGAGGAACGCATAATCTGACATAATATTTGAAATGGTTGGATCCAATAGCTTCATCTTGAATTCATACCCAATAACTTCAATTCCAAGTATAACATTTATTTATTGTATTTACTGAGCAAAGCCTATTACTCACTAAACGATTACTTGTATGACGATCGTGCATGGCAATAGTTGTTCATGCATGGGATTTTCATTTAATGTTAGACATAGACACCTATATAAATATACATTGTAAATAAACTGGCTTTTTTAACAAAAAAGTAATTCAATTGACTTTCTTGCCGGTTCTTCTCAATTGGATCTGTATACTGTACTGGACGGCAGAGAAAAAAATTAAATTATAATGTAAAAAATTTGACGTACATAAGCGGCTAAAATTTCCTACATGAATAAATGTTTAATTAATTTGATTTTGAAACATGCTAAAGGACTATTTAGTGGAGGTATTTATTAAAATAGATGATTTAGAAACAGGGTCAGAAAAATACAAAATGATGCACCTACACTAAAGGCCGCTACGCTGGAAGGCCATCTGTAAAGGATGATAGTAAGAAGTCGTGGAGAATGCTCTAGAGGTTAACTATAATGCTTTCCAAAGGTAAAGTTAGGGCAACTGATAAGGAGAGAGCCCGATGAAAAAACAAAAGTGTGAAATTCATGACCAATTTTGTTTAAAAAATTAAAGATAAGACGTAGTAAATTATTAACGATTGTAAATTGACATCTACAGCATCGAGAGAGAAAGAGACACCATGTATTGTAATGTTCTGTCTCATAGGTGCTGAAGTGATCGTCCCGAAGACAATAGATATGTCTGTCACTTGAGTGGTATGAACTGGAGTAGACTATAAAAGTCGACATATAAATTTATGAACGACTGCAACTTTAGGTGTCATTTCAACGTTATAAACATCATTGATATCAAGATTTCAAATTACAGTAATTAGAAGTCTCCTATCATTAATCTGTTTAAGCTAACATACAGTTAGCAATACGAGTAACATGCTTACATAACTACAACCTATCGAACTACTTGGATCTGGCTGTGACAGATAATTGTACAGTCTGCCTAATCTAGTGGCTACTTTTGTTCTGATTACTTATTTGTGGATTCAGAAAATATTTTCCTTATTTATTTAATCCAACACGTTGGTATATTGCATCCTATATCTCATCTGTTACTTCCTTCTTTAGAAAGTTAGATCAGAAGTGATTTTTTCGTTGTTTGTTTTGTTCATTATGTATGTTGGTATATTATATTCTGCATCTCATCTATTGCTTCCTTCTTTAGAAAATTCGCTTAATTGCTTCCTTCTTTAGCAATTAAATATTCTTTATTGCACTTAAATACATTTGTAAGTATATTAATTACAGCTAATGTTAACAAAGGAGGACTTATCTCTAAAAGAGATCTCTTCCAGTCAACCCAATGCGTGGCACAGGAAGTGTTGAGTGGGTTAAATGAAAATGTCAAAATTTTAAACATAAAAATATAATGTCCAAAATACAGATACTAATACAATATAGCAATTAGAAATATTTCATTTGCTACTATATTATTTTTCTAGCTTATACTATTCAACCAAGTTTTATTAACTTTTTGAAATAGATTTAAAACTTTACTTTTATTACAATGAAAACTATTGTAAAAAATATATGAGATTGTGTTACAACGGTATTGAAATTTAAACATTAATTAATGTATATATTGTATATAATGTATATAATACTGTATAGACAGTAATAATGTACTATAATAATATACAGTACTCAGTGCGTTAGGTTTGTCTTTTATATATCTTATTACTAAACTTACGCGTTTATAAACGCAAAAGTTTGCGAGTATGGACAGATGTTTGTTACTCTTCCACGCAAAAACTACTAAACGGATTTTGATGAAACTTTACAGTAGTATAGCTTATCACTACATCAGAATAATATAGAGGCTATAAATTTCATGCGGGAAAAACCGAGGGCACAGCTAGTATTTTATATAGGTAAAAAGCAAATAAAGAATGTACGGTGTTATTGACTGTAGCCTAAATTGCAATAGTGGGTAATTTAAAATTTAGCTTAAAAATGGATTATCCATAATTCCTATGCAATCGAAAGATAACGGGATCTGCGATGGCGAAGAGGCAGTAGACAGTAGAACTATTGTCATAAGCATCAGTAGGAATTGCAGATTTTTTTTACTTTTGATGAGATATGTATATGTCGTAACCATTGGGCTATCAAATGCAAAAACATATGCAATTTTATAGACTACTAGCTGTCCCGGCAAACGTTGTTTTGCCTTAAAATAAAAAAAAAAAATTAGGGGTGGACTACCCCTAACATTTAGGGGGATGAAAAATAGATGTTGGCCGATTCTCAGACCTACTCAATACGCTCACAAAATTTCATAAGATTCGGACAAGCCGTTTCGGAGGAGTATGGGAACGAAAACTGTGACACGAGAATTTTATATATAAGATTTAACATTATGCCACAACATTTAGAAGACGAAAAAAAGAAGAAAGTCAGTAGAAATGGTAAGCAATAGCGACATAGTAGCAGTGGACGATGATGTGATACGACCCGATGGATTTATCCAGATTAGGCTGAGGGTAAAACCGCGGGGCAAAGCATGTAATGTACGAAGGTCATTACAAGGTCATACATAAAAAGTTCTTTCTGAGACAAAAATTTTTTTTTTTCATCTACGAGTAATGAAGTAGTTGCTACGCAAATTCAAAATTTACAGTTAGTTTTTACTTATATATGATATAAGTTCTTGTACATTATCGTTTTAAAGTACAATTTTGTAATGTCTATTTTAGATTACAACTTAAATTAAATATACACTAAATGAATTAAGAATAATATAGAAAATCATTTATATAAACTTACATTGAAGCACTTTTGAATAGTCATATCATTTTTTTTTAATTATTATATATCACAAGAAGAACAAGCAAGAAACTTGTGTATTGCTCTTTCATAAAGAATAATATAAGAAATGTTTCTATTACATGCATTATTTTGCATTTATATAATGCATATTTAATTATATAATAAAATTTCATATGAATTATCTCATAATATAACTTGAAGAGAAAAGAAAATAAACCTTATATAGTTATTGAAGAAACTAAAAATATTTTTAATATTAATAATAATGTGAATAATGAAAACGGCCCTGGTGAATTATTTCATAATGAAATTAATGAAAAATTTAATGAAAAAATTACATTCAATATAATCATAATAATGAAATTATTGGAAAAAATACTTAAATTATTATTATAATAATTAAATTAATATACATATATAAGGAGAAATAAATAAACGAATGTAAACTTACCATTTGCATACGCCGGATTCCATAATACGGAAATTATTAAAACACTAAAGAAGCTCAACCTTATACTACTCGTCCCCATATTGAAAGGGGATGAAGTAACACTAATTCAGTCTGTATTTTACTTAGATCTACAATACTATGACGTGATGCTTAAACCTCCGCAAGAAGGCAAATGCGAAATGGAGTCGACGGGACTCCCTTATATGCGTGATGGCCGACCAATCAACCAATAAAATTGGAGCTATATAAAACATAATACGTCTGTTTGTTTGTAGATAATGTACAGGTTTATAGAAACAAAGGTTGTGGAATTAGTTGAATGTTTGTTAGAACGTTGAGGGTGTTTTGGCACTCGGTGTAGGTAGGTTCAGTTTTTGTGGTCGTTAGTTCGGATTTGGTTGATGCAAAAAGTTTTAGTATTATTTTATTTCTGATTGTTTTCCGGTGATGGGAACACCATTATTAAATAAAAGTTAATGATGAGACATGGTAGTTGTTCCGTGTAGGTGACAATTTTGAGTCAAAATACTTAGTTTAAATTGGGGTACTTATTTAATTATTTGAGTATTTAATTGAATTAGTGCTAATTGGTGGTTTGTATTCACACACTTAAACTTAAAAATGTAAAGATAATAAAATTATTTAAAAGAGCAACACGCAAGTTTCTTGCCTGTTCTTCTTGTGATGAGACAGCTTTCCAAATGAGCGGTAGATTAAAAAAATGTAATGACTATTCAAAAGTGCTTTAATGTAAGTTTATTTGAATAAATCATTTTCTATTCTATTCTATTCTATTCTAATTGTTTTACAAGTTTCGGTGGCGGTAGGTATTCCGTGTAGGCTACAATACTCCTAAAAATACTCTAGTTTAAACTAAAGGTTTAAAACCTTTTGGTTTAATTTGGTTTCGTTCAAATTGGAGTATTTTTTTATTGTTTCACAGGTTTTAGTATGTATTTTCTTATTAAATCTTTAGATGTAGTTTAGTTTAAGCAGTATTTAATATAACTGAAATGATGTTCTTTAAAGTAGAAATATAAATAATCTTTATTTAAATAAACTTAATATAAGCAACTTTTCAATAGTTATATAACATTTTTTTTATTGTACTTCTCGTTCAGAAAGAAAACTCATCTCAAGAAGAACGAGCAAGAAACATGTATCTTACTCTTTTAGTTATCTGAGTCTATCAATATATAAATATATTATTTAAACAAATATATTATTATCAATTTCATCTATATCGGTTAGCTTTTTTTTATTAGGTTGTTTGGGCTATTGTCAGGTGTTTGTACCTGTAGCACTGCGACCTAAATAGATCTATTGTGCTCGACCTTGTTCGGAGGACACGACGAGGGACAGTCCCGTCAGGGACAAGAATAGAAGGATATTCTTAGGAGCGATGGTTTTTATCTCCTCAGGATAGAGTGTATACTTTCCAAAGGAGATATTTCGTTTATGCATGAGTGGGCTACAACCACATAAGATGTGTAGTGGCGTTTCCTCTTCAGTTTAGCAGAATCTGCAGACCAAGTAGCTTACATTGTAAGACCAGATCACGAAGTAAAATTACAGGTTGCCTCATGCATGACAACTTAGACCTACCGAATTGCAACGCATTTTCTGGAGTCCCATGATAACGTGATATTCGTGATGCTGAGCAGAGACCTACCGGATGATCAAACGAAATCTCATGTGTCATTTATGATACGTTTAGAAAGTTCTGATAGGAAAGATGAACAAACATATCGGTCAAAATAAAATACACCATTTTGTGTTTACCTTACATTTGGGCAAATATTGCAGTACCTATCCATAATAATAATTTTATCTTATCGTGTAGAGAGCTTTTTCGGTTTCACAAAGCTTATCAGGTTTCAGTAGAAGTGTTTTATTTACGACTGTTTGAGACTATATATTATACAATACAAATATTACTGAGGTATTATATAGGTTTGTTCCTATGTCCAGCAGTGGACGTCTTCCGGGCTGCGATGATGATGATTATATAGGCTTAGAGGAGCCTGCGACGTTAATTTGTATAACTTTATATTTTACCTGCATTCGCGACATCTTCCGCGTGGAATTTAATTTTACTTTTCTAAAATAAAAGTAGCCTAAAGTACTCCTTATTACATAAGCTACCTGCCAACAAAACTCCCTTCAAAATAGGTCTAGCCTTATTAGAGATTAGCCGGAACAAACAGACAGACAGACAGATAAAAATTGAAAAAAAAATTACAGTAATATGTTATCTGTGGATTACCACAGATAACATATTACTGTTACATAAGTATAAAATGTCGTAAAAGTGTTGATTGAAAGATTTTTGTGTAATATAATCATCATTGCCTTGCATTTATCCCATTATTTGTGGTCGGCGCAGTATGTCATTCTCTTCCACTGCTCTCTATCGGTCGTCATATCTAAACATACTCTTCTTTTATTCATATCATCTTTTGTGTAATATAATATAATATGATAATGCTGGAATATAATATAAGTAACATATTTATTCAATATATATGTACATATATATGACTACTGCATTTATCTGCCACGTTTAAGATATTTGGACTTGGAGTAAATATTTTTTATAATGATGTTTAAGACGAAACTGAATATAAAATAAAATAATAGAATAGAAACTGTCTGAATATAAAATAAAATAATAGAATAGACTTTGTTGTTTCTACGAATGCAGACAAAGCCGTGGCGTAAAACCTATTGTATTGATATAGATAACCTTCTACATTTGGATGGAAACAATACTAAATAGGTAACATATAATTACTCTTATCTTCAACATGTTCATTATTACAAACATACAATAACATTACGAGCATGGTGATAGGCGGGTCACAAAAGAAATTTTATTTTAAGGAAAAACGCACGTGCTTTGTGATAATGTTACTTTGTTATATAAATAATATAACAATTAACTATTTATCTAGCATGAAGCAGTGCAGTTTTGTTTACTACCTGAATTTTTTTTTGAGACAGAGCTTATGTCTAACTTCGACGTAACAATTATTAGTTTTTTTTTCGGACTACTCTAATGCTGTTGGTCGCAGGTGGCCTTTACAGCTTCACCGGACGATAGGGAGCGACTGCAGATGGCACTCTAAACCCGCGGAAGGACTTATGGAGCGGCTGAAGGCCAACTCCTGCCTGACGGATACGACTTTAGTCTGAGGGCACCACTAGAGGTTCGAACCTCGGCTCAGGCCGTCGTAATTTCGATCCCCGTTTGAATTGGACGGGGGATCGATCGTAGGGGGCGAAAGTAGGGATGTTTGTTACCTTTTCACGCAAAAACTGCTGAACCGATCATCATGAAATTTTGTTCACGTGTTCTTGCAGGTATTAGAATGAACATAGGATATTTATTATTGAAGAAAAAAGCAAATATTTTCTATAAAAAATAAAAATAATAAATTTGAACATTATGCTACTTCAGCGCCATCTATCAAACAGTAATGAAGTTATAAATCATATATTTATTGTTATTTTCATCTGTCACTCACAGATAATACAATTCAATGCAAGTAAAACCGCGGGTAAAAGCTAGTAAAATATAATTACATTAATTAGTAATAAGTTAGGCAGTAAAGTCTTCAAGTGGCGATCGCGGACCGGAAGACGCAGCGTTGGAAGGCCTCCAGCAAGGTGGACCGACGATCTGGTCAAGATCGCTGGAAGGCATTGCTTGCGAGCAGCGCAGGACCGATCGTCGTGGAGATCTTCGGGGGAGGCCTTTTTTCAGCAGTGGACGTCTTCCGGGCTGAGATGATGATGATGGTAATGAATTAGTAATAATAGTGACTAATTATAGCCATAATGTTCTTAGGAGGTGGCCCTCATATATATATATGACGGCCTCGGTGGTCTAGCGGTTTAGCACACCGCCTTACTACCGATGGTCGCGAGTTCGATTCCTCGCACGGCACAAACATTTGTATTAATGAGTATGATTGTTTGTATCGGTCTGGGTGTTTTCTATGTATAATATGTATGTATTTACGAAAAAAAAAATATCTATGTATTTGTATCAGTTGTCTAGTACCCATAACACAAGCTTTAGCTAGCTTAACTTGGGTCTAGATGGCGCTGTGTGAATTGTCCTGAGATTATTATTATATATGTACCTATAAGAGCATTGTTATATAAACTACATTTATCGATGAACTAGCTGTGCCCACGGTGTGTTATTCTGATGCATAAGCTATATTACTGTAAAGATTAATCAAAATCCGTTCAGTTCAGTAGTTTTTGCGTGAAATAGTAACAAACATTCATACTTACAAACTTCCGCATTTATAATATTAGGTCCCAACATATGAAATTGACGTTTTGTAAGGGTAGTAACGAAAAGTTATTTTTTTCAAATTATAATATTATTTATTTAATCAATGTATGTACCATTGAAATATATGCATTTTTGTCATCACATAGGTAGTTTATTGATTTAATGTACAATGGTTTATTTCTCATATTAATGTTGTTCATGTTTATTTTGTGTTCGTATTTTTTCACTGGCAACCCCGGTGATCCAGTGGTTTAGCATACCGTGTTCTAAACTCGCGGGTTCGATTCCTGTGTGTGTTTTTCAATTGAAATTGTGTATATTAGAAGTTGTAGGTGAATTTAAATGTGTTAAACATTTTTTTCACTGTTTGTTGTTTTTATCACTTTCTTATTGCTTGTATGTTTACCATGTGTTTTTGTTTATTTTTAATAACACATTCTGTAAGTTTTATCCTAATCTGTCTAGCTGTTTTATGTATACCTAGTCATGATTTACACTTTTCATATAACGAAATTAAATAAAAATTCTTTATAGTTCTCCTCATACAAACAAACATTTATATACACTATTAATATATAAATATGTATAAACATAAAACATTGTTAAAGGAAAGAGACAAGAACGGGCGGCCTTATTGCTAAAAAGAGATTTCTTCCAGGCAACAATATAATGTTAATGTGTTTTAGAAATAGAAATAGAAATAATCTTTATTCAAATAAACTCATTACAAGCACTTTTGAATAGTCATATTTTGATTCTACCACTCATTCGGAACGCAGATTCATCACAAGAAAAATGAGCAAGAAACTTGTGTGTTGCACTTTTGAATAGATTTTTTTTATAAATAATTACAGTATAACAAGTAAGAGGTATGCGATAATCAACAGAGAAATCGCTACGCACTTGTTATTAATGTAATCAGATAATATTGTCAGTGCTATGGATTTTAAGTTTTTCTATAAAAACATTATTATCGTTAACGAACTCTTCAATTTTATACTAAGCTTTTTTACAAAGGAAGTGTTTTATATGACATTTTAATCTTTTTTCAGGCAGATTTATAACAGACTCTGGTATTTTGTTATAAAACCTTACGCAATTACCATAAAACGAATTACTAACTTTAGTTAAACGACATTTAGGTAAGATCAATTTGTTATTGTTACAAAAGAAATAATCGAACCTGTGACTAGTGGAGTTAAGATAGTACGTTACATTGCTGTACCTCCGAGGGTAATAAATATTAATGTTGAGGAAAATATTCAATTCATTCATATTCAACAAGACAAATTAGTACTTTGACACATCTATTCAATCAATAACATCCGCCAATAAGATAATATTGATTCCTGGAAATGTAACACTATCTACACCATCCTATTGTACAAATACTACTAGCTTGTTGCACGTGGCTTCGTCTATGTATTTATATATAAAAACTAGCTGTACCCACAACTTCGTCCGGGTGGAATTTAAATTAATTTTTCTCAAATAAATGAATTTTTCTAAAAGATAAGTAGCCTAAGTGACTCCTTATTACATCAGCTACAAACATTATAAAAAATGTTATATTGGTGTATGTACCGTATTTATATTCATATGCATGTAGTAAAAACGGTTATTTCAGTATTACAAACAGACACTGCAATTTTATTTATATGTATAGATTAACGGGTCTTATGTTATTAACACTACCACAGATAACATAATATTACATAACACTACTAATTTTATGGCAAATAAAGGTATTTACGTCTCTCGACGTTTCGACTAGAAAAAAAAATATTAGTAATTCAATCATGTTTATTTTTTTTACAATAATATTTTATACACATACATATATTTGTAATAAACAAATTATATATACATTATAAGAAGTTAGCTTCATATATCAGAAGAACGGCCGCTTGTTGCTGCTCATGGGAACTGTAAGAAAAAAACAGAAAACGTCGTAATAAGATACATTCTGATTTCTTGTATGTAGTAATAAGTGTAATTTTATCGGGCGATAGGGGGCGAGTGCAGATGGCACTCCAAAACAAGGAGTTATGGAGCGGCTGAAGGTCAACTCCCGCATAACGGATACGACTTTTGTCTGAGGGCACCGCTAGGGCTTCGAACCTCAGTTCAGGTCGTAATTTCAATCCCCGTTTGGATTGGACGGGGGTTCGATCGGAGGGGGTTTATGTAATTCTAGCGGTCTACCTGATATAAAGTGGGCTGATATAAAGCCTATATATAGGGGGAAAGGGAATTGTTAGTAATGGGAACTAGTAACTCCCATTGCTAGCAATGTACCATTTTTGGTCGAACTCCACGCGGTTCCCCCTGGAAATTATCGTGATGAATTCTAGGTGAATTTGTCATGATGGACTGACCGACTGACCTCAGCTTTGCTCACCTCCCGACGTCTAGTATATAGTTTAATACCCAAATACTCTAAATTGTAGATTTATTAATAAAAATAAAATTATTCCATTATTTTAGTGTCAATATAATAAATCCTGAGCATCTTTCGTATAACAGTTCCAATTTTAAATTCATTATTTTTTCGTAAATTTAAGTGGCCATTTGTTTTTTCTTAGTGGCCAGTAGTGGCAAATGCCCTTTACCCTTATAAACGAACCAAGAAACTGAGAAGAAAGTGTCTAAAAAACAGAACATAGAGTATACTTTAATTTCATTTAATCATAGACTACAGAAGAAATAGTGGATCCTCATGTTCAACTTGTCATCATCCACTGGTGCCCCGCTGGCGTAAACCGTTAGCGCAGGCGGGTACTCCATTCCATTATCATTCCCAAAAAAAAGCCTATATATATATAAACAGCATAATCGATATAATAAAATAATTTTGGAGCCCTATAGGAGGAATGACCATGCATGTAGCATGGTCATTCCTCCCATAGGGATACTTTTGAATAGTCAAGTTTTTTAATTCTACCGCTCATTCGGAATGCAGATTCACAATAAGAATAAGCAAGAAACTTGTATGTTGATCTTTTAAATAAATATTGATTTACTAATATTTAATTACGGAACAGAGACGTGGTCGCTAACTATGGGCCCCATCAACAAGCTCAGAGTCACTCAGAGAATAGAATAGAATAGAATAGAAAATCATTTATTCAAATAAACTTACATTGAAGCACTTTTGAATAGTCATAACATTTTTTTTTTTAATCTACCGCTCATTCGGAATGCTGTCTCATCACAAGAAGAACAAGCAAGAAACTTGTGTGTTGCTCTTTTAAATAATTTATTCTTACTTACAATTTAAGTTTAAGTGTGTGAATACAAACCACCGATTAGCACTAATTCAATTAAATATTCAAAAAGAAAAAAAATATTGAAATCATAACCAACTGGTTAAACAATTAATAAGAGGAAATCAGTCATAGTGATTAGAGCAGACCAGTCCCTACAAGCGTTCACGAGTATGACGGATGAGCCAGCCATCACTGCGCTCGACCATATTTTAGGGAGCCCAATGACCCGGCCCACCACGCCGCCACAAGTCTGGACATTTTAGTGAGCATGACTACTCAAAACACCAGACCACGTCATTTTACTCACAATTGCCATCTGATGTTTATAGTATTCACATTTGCATAAGAATGCATGCGGCAATTAATACAAAACCCGCTACGCTTTCATATTTCTAAAATAATTGAATCAAGAAAGCAATGAGATAAACAAATTATAACGTTGTATGTTAATAAACTAATTATTTACTTGATATGTTGTCTTCTATGAATTCGTCTATCCTATAATAGGCTTTCTTACATAAAAATTGTTTAATATAAGATTTGAATTGCCTCTCTGTCAGATTTAGTGCAGATTCTGGCAGTTTATTATAAAATTTTACGCAATTACCATAGAATGAATTACTGACTTTGTGCAGGCGGCATTTAGGTAAAATTAGCTTATTTTTATTGCGTAAGTTTCTATTTGTACAGTCTTTAAGTTTTCTGTTCTGTCTAAATTCATTCGTGTATACATGATATTCTCATAAATGTATTGTGAAGTAACGGTGAGGATATTTGAATCTTTAAAACACTGACGTAATGACTCTCTTGAACCCATACCATAAATAGAACGTATGGCTCTCTTTTGTAAAATAAATATAGTATTTATATCGGCTGCTTTAAAGTAGTATACCATATGACATAATGCTATGGTTAACTAAAGTATACAAGTTTAGCCGTAGCCACGTCTGTTAATTGCCAAATTCTTCTAATTATATGCAGCTGAACTGAGTCTATTGGCCAATTTTGAAATATGGGGCCCCCATTGTAATTTCGAGTCCACTGTTATACCTAAAAAAACTGTATCATTAACAAAATTTACTATTTCGTTATTAAGTAATAACTGTGTATTTATTGGTCTTACATTAGGAAGTGTAAATTTTATACACTTTGTTTTGCTGGAATTTAATAATAGATTATTACATGTAAACCAATTTAATATAGCAGACATAGCACAATTTACATCGTCTAATTGATTAGTTTGACGTCCAATTTTAAACACTAACGAAGTATCATCCGCAAACAACTATATCTGCAATTTTTCTACCATAAAGGGTAGGTCATTTATGTAAATTAAAAGAGAAAGGGGCCTAAGATTGACCCTTGTGGAACGCCCATCCCAATATTATATTAGATTTTATACCGTCAATATCTACAGTTTGGACCCTATCCTCTAAATAAGTTCTCATTAATTTTAGATCATTATCTTTTATACCATAATGTTCGAGCTTGTACAAAAGTGTTTTATGATGCAATCAAATGCCTTTGATAGGTCACAAAAAACTCCGAGTGCATCCTGTGACTTCTCCCCTGATTGGAAAATATGTGTTATCAGCGCTACACCTGCGTCAGTGGTAGACTTGCCGGCGGTGAAACCATATTGTTGACTGTGAAGCAGTCGGTTATCCCTGAAGTGTTGTAACATTTGATTTAACATTATCTTTTCAAACACCTTACTTAAATGGCAAAATAGATAAGGTCTATAGTCTGGCTCAAATTTATCTCCTGATTTAAAAAGTGGGATTAATTTGCTAAATTTCATTAATTGTGGAAAAGTCCCATTATCAATACATTTATTAAAAATAGTAGCAGATATAGCAACAATATCTATGAAAGAACTAACTACTTTTACAGACATGCCCCAAAGGTCTTCTGTATTTTTTAAATTTAGATGTTTGAATATTTTTATGATATGAACGGGGCTAACATGTGAAAATTTAAATCTTAAAGCACAACAACCGATATTATACTCTAGTAATATTTTTGCTCGAGATGGAGATGAGTCCAGAGAAGATGTAATATTAATCGGAATATTAGCAAAAAAATCTTCAAAAACATTAACTACATCTTTTGTTGCTGTTATTAATTTATTATCATAATTTAATGCAAATTGATTATAGGCTAATTTAGATCTTCGGTTTCTTTATTTATAATGCCCCAGATGGTTTTAATTTTGTCAGAAGACTGGTTAATTTGTTTATTAATATAATTAGAATTAGCCGTAATACAAACTTTTTTAAAAATTTTTGAATAATTTTTCACATAAGTGGTGAATTTGTATAAATCGATATTTTTTTTGATCGTATAAATCAAACAAAATATTTCTACTTCTAAGTATACCTACTGTTGCCCATTCCGTGAATTTCGATTTAACATAAACTTCTTTTTTCTTGAAAAATTGTTCATATTCTCCTGATAGAATAGTAATTAGCTTGGTGTAAAGATAATCAGGATTATTACTATATTGTAACAGCAAAAAATTTATTTTTAATCGCGCTTTTGTATTTGTTAATATTGTAAACATTTATTTGTCTTTTTGATTTTTTATTATTGTTGTCTTAACAACTTGACCACAGTGATTTGAAGGAAGTTTATTTATTATGAATTTTTCTGTATACTCACAGTTACAAAAAAATTCTCAAGACAAGTTCAGACACAGTTACACGAGTGGGTTCATGAAAGACATGACTTAAATCAAATGACTGAAATAAACTAATAATTTTTGTACATGTGGGTGTGTTACAAAGAATATCAACGTTAAAATCTCCACATACAATAATTTTTTTAATACTATATATTTTTTTTAAAATATCCTCCATCACCCCTTCAAAAACATTGTAATCACTATTAGGAAAATGTACACACATATAAGGATATAATTTTCTAGTTCTATACAAGATAAGTCTATACAACACTCAATAGAAAGTCTAACAATGTCAGCACGTTCCTTTACTTTAATATTATTTCTTGCAATTATCATAGACCCGCCTCTGTTAACTGACTTTCTATTGAAGCAGCTGACAACGTTATAATTATTTAAATTGAACATCATATTGCTCTCTTTAAGCCAAGAGGGCAATGGAGAGGGCTATGCTCGGAGTTACTCTGCGTGATCGAATTAGAAATGAGGAGATCCGCAGAAGAACCAGAGTGACCGACATAGCCCGAAGAATTGCGACTTTGAAGTGGCAATGGGCAGGGCACATAGCTCGTAGGACAGATGGCCGTTGGGGCAATAAAGTCCTCGAGTGGCGACCACGGACCGGAAGACGCAGCGTGGGAAGGCCTCCAGCAAGGTGGACCGACGATCTGGTTAAGATCGCTGGAGGGCATTGGATGCGAGCAGCGCAGGACCGATCGTCGTGGAGATCTTTAGGGGAGGCCTATGTCCAGCAGTGGACGTCTTCTGGGCTGCGATGATGATGATGATGATGAATATTTAATTAACAACAAGGATTAGGCGTGCGACAATCAACATAGAAACCGCTACGCACTTGATCTCTGTTCAATTCATTCTGCGAGTATATTCTTTATGTCTCGATTCTCCCTAGTCACTACCAACAATACTATGGGACACAGTTACCTAGATACATCAAAATAATAATTGCATTTAATAATGTCTAGTAAGACAAATTCAATATTGTCTACTAAGCACTGCTGTGTCTAAACTGTGTCACCCCACCTTACATTTTCCTATTGTTATTTAGTATATAAGATCATTATTTCTATGTACATATTGTCAGTTTATTATCATCTGTAATATACATCTTCTCGACCAACAATATAGTATCATTTACCCGTAACAAATACTTTTTACAAAATCTGTTAATAGCACCAATATGTTTAGGCATGGTACAGTCAAAATTTTGTTTTCTTTAAAATATTGCTTACATATTACACTTGTGGTAATGTGATGTTATGATGACTAATCTACAAGCGGCGATGAGATGAGAGAAGTCATAAATTAACTGCAAATGAGTTATTTGTTTACATCATTACAGATCAATTTACGATACTCCGGACAGTTATCATTGTTGTTATTTACTTTCAACGAAAGAAAGAAAAGATAAAAAATCTTGACTTATTTCCAAAAAACAGCAATATTCATAATATTAATACTAGATTTAAAGACAAACTTGCTGTCCCCAAGTATCGTTTAGAAAAAGTCAATAGGTCTTTCATGGGAATAGATATAAAAATTTACAATAAGATACCAAAGGATATATTGGAATTACCCTTAAATAAATTCAAAACATCTGTTAAATCATATTTACTGAGCAAGGCCTATTACTCACTAAACGATTACTTGAATGACGAGCGTGCATGGCAATAGTTTTCATGTTCGGGATTTTCATTTAATGTTAGACATAGACACCTATATAAATATACATTGTAAATAAACTGGCTTTAAAAAAAAAAGTAATTCAATTGAGTATCTTGCCAGTTCCTCTCAATTGGATCTATATACCGAATTGGACGGTAGGGATAAAAATATAATGTAAAAACTTGACGTTCTTAAGCGGCTAAAATGTCCTACATGAATAAATGATTTTTTAATTTGAATTTGAATTTGAATTTGAAAAGAAAGAAAGAACCTATATAAATATACATTCTAAATAAACTGGCTTTAAAAAAAAAGTAATTCAATTGAGTTTCTTGCCAGTTTTTCTCAATTGGATCTATATACCGAACTGGACGGTAGGGAAAAAAATTCACACGCGTACACTTACATTGTGGAATGAACTACCTGCCGAGGTTTTCTCCAAAGATTACTGCATGGGGTTTTAAGGGAATATATGTACAAAGTACTGTGTACTTAAGAATTGTTTGACATGATGCCTACGGCTACCTTTTACCATCGCACCGCTCGCCATCGACAGAAAATTCATCACCACACGATGGAACCTAAGTGGTCTCGAACAGTGCGGTTTTAGAGGAGCTTCCTCCCGCGTACACTTACATTGTGGAATGAACTTCCTGCCGAGGTTTTCCCACGAGACTCCAGCATGGGGTTTTTCAAGAAGGGTATATTAAGGTTTCTTAAGGGTCAGTAACGCGTACGTTACAGCTCTGGTGTTTCAGGTGTCTATAGGCTATAGTAACCATTTACCATTAGATGGGCCGTATGCTTGTTTGCGACCTACGTGGTATAAAAAAACCTTGGTTTTCCGAAAATAAATAAATAAATTAAGTTGGAAATTCTTGTAATAAACATGTAGTTCCTTTAATAGCTAGGTAATTAGCCTTATTAAATAAGTTAATGAACTGTCGGTAATTATAAGGGTACACAAATATTGGAATCAAGACATAATGTAGTACTTGATAACACGTGACGTCACAACACAAACAAACGTATTACCAGCGGGGTGGCACAAACACCAATTAAATGTAATTGTAACTTATCTATTTACAAATAATTTAATTGGGAACCAATATTGTAAGACTAGCTGTTAGCCGCGACTTCGTCTGTTCATTACAAAGTCGCTGTCGTGGTCTGTCCGGCCCTATGTATGCTTAAATCTTTAAAACTACGAAACGGATTTTGAAGCGTTTATTTTTAATAGATAGAATGATTCTAGAGGAAGGTTTATATGTATAATACATGCACAACCGTGCGAAGCCAGGGCGAGTAGCTAGTTACATAGTATAAAACAAAGTCGCTGTCGCTGTCTGTCCCTATGTATGCTTAAATCTTTGAAACTACGCAACGGATTTTGAAGCGGTTGTTTTAAATAGATAGAGTGATTCAAGAGGAAGGTTTATATGTATAATATTATACATGTACACCCGTGAAAAACCAGGGCGAGTAGCAAAAAAAAATCACAAATTCGAAATATCTTTATTCATGGACTCTTATGATATATCAAATCTACCGTCAGTTCGGAATGATTTCGAGATGAGAAGAACTGACAAGAAACTCAGCTCGTATTCTTTTCAAATAAATGTTGTACGTGTTTACAATAATACAGATTCATTTAAATACAAATTTGGGAGAATGGATATCAACTTTATTTGTATCCAAGTACATACATACAAGCTTATGTATAACTAGCTACACCCGCGACTTCGTGCGCCTGGAATTTAACTTTATTTTTACAAAATAAAATTAGCCTAAGTTACTCCTTATTATATCAGCTACCTGCCAGAATAAGTCCCGTTAAAATCAGTGCAGCCATTTCATAGATTAGCCGGAACAAAAATTTACAGACAGACAAAGATTGTAAAAAATGTTATTTAGGTGTATGTACCGTATTTATATTCGTATGCATGTACTAAAAAACGGTTATTTCAATATTACAAACATGTTGTCGATTCTCTATTTGTAACATATAAGGAAACGTCATACGTTTCTCTCCATAGTTTCCGACAAGATGTCCAAATTGACACTGAAGGATGCGGGGTCGAATTCCGTGGGACGATCAAACTTTTCAGTATATTTAAGAATAGCTACCTATGGGACAGTTACCTAGATACATCAAAATAATAATTGCATTTAATAATGTCTAGTAAGACAAATCCAATATTGTCTACTAACCACTGCTGTGTCTAAACTGTGTCACCCTACCTTACATTTTCCTATTGTTATTTAGTATATATGATCATTCGATCTTCGATCATCTCAGTAAACGATTACTTGAATGACGAGCGTGCACGGCACTAGTTTTCATGTTCGGGATTTTCATTTAATGTTAGACATAGACACCTATATAAATACCTATACATCGTAAATAAACTGACTTTAAAAAAAAAGTAATTCAATTGAGTTTCTTGTCAGTTCTTCTCAATTGGATCTATATACCGAACTGGACGGTAGGGAAAAAAATATAATGAAAAAACTTGACGTTCATAAGCGGCTAAAATGTCCTACATGAATAAATGATTTTTGAATTTGAATTTGAATTTGAACATTATTTCTATGTACATATTGTCAGTTTATTACCATCTGTAATATACATCGTCTCGACCAACAACAACGTATTCAGTTACCCGCAACACCCCGGCTTCGCACGGGTGTACATGTATTATACATATAAACCTATAGAATCACTCTATTTATTAAAAAAATCCGTTGCGTAGTTTTAAAGATTTAAGTATACATAGGGACAGACAGCGACAGCGACTTTGTTTTATACTATGTAATGATAATGAAGTAAGGATTATAGTAAGAAGCACTTTATAGTTATATTAAAAAGGTAAGAATTTACTTTATACAGTGTTACCAGCAATGATAAAAGTGTTGCCAACAATGATTATCTTGTTTACCTAATTTCCAATATTGTAAATATTTAACACTGTGCGAGGAATCGAACCCGCGACTGCTTGGAAGCAAGTGTGCTTAACCGCTGGACCACCGAGGCTGGTCATTCTATACTTACCATCAATATATGGATGTCTCATCAGCCACGTTAATAAGATCCATCATCCCATGAACTCTCAGAAATCACCACCTGAAATTTTACAAAATTTACAATTTATAGATTTCCATTCCTTTCAGCTAGTTTATTAAACGACGACCTCGGTGGACTAGCGGTGTAGCACACCGCTTTGCGTCCGATGGTCGCAGGTTCGATTCCTCGCACGGCAAAAACGTTTGTATTCATGAGTATTGTTTGTATCGGTCTGGGTGTTTTCTATGTATAATATGTATTTACAAAAAAAAATATCTATGTATATGTATCAGTTATCTGGTACCCATAACACAAGCTTTAGCTAGCTTAACTTGGGACTAGATGGCGCTGTGTGAATTGTCCTGAGATTATTATATTACTTTCTATATCTAAATATATATAACTCAAAGGTGACTGACATAGTGCTCTATCAACGCACAGCCCAAACCACTGGACGGATCGGGCTGAAATTTGGCATGCAGGTAGATGTTATGACGTAGGCATCCGCTAAGAAAGGATTTTGATTAATTCTACCCCCAAGGGGATAAAATAGGGGATGAAAGTTTATATGAAACTTTATCAATTTGAAACCGATCGGGCTAAGATCTTGCATGCCTAAACCTACTATGACGTAGGCATCCCCTAAGAAAGAATTTTGATAAATTCCACCCCTAAGGGGATAAATTAACGCGAGCGAAGCCGCGGGCAAAAGCTAGTTGGAACTAGATACCGAACTGGACGGTAGGGAAAAAAATAAAATTATAATATAAAAAACTAGACGTTCATAAGCGGCTAAAATGTTCTACATGAATAAATGATTTTTGAATTTTAATTTGAACAAGGTGCAATAGATTTACAATAGAAATAGAAATATATTAATACTAGCTACAACCGCGGTTTCACCCGCGTTTAATATCGATATAAAATATACCCTCTGGGTGTTTTCTACGTATGATATGTATGTAACAGACCGATATAAACAATCATACTCATGAATACAAATGTTTGTGCCGTGCGAGGAATCGAACCTGCGACCATCGGTCTTAAAGCGGTGTGCTAGACCGCTAGACCGCTAGACGAGGTCTTCAAAATATATAGAAATATATATTTAGTAGATCCAATTGAGAAGAATGTAATTTTAACAAACAAATCCAATAAATACATTACACATATATTCATCAAAACAATTACAATAGTACGTACATAAAACGGTTGCACATCCGATCATAAAATGTACGAACGACCCCACAATCTACTGGCGTATAGTTTGTATGCACCGCACTAGTGTTGTTGTAAACAGTTCGTGACTGAGAGCGCTCAATTTAGTTCGCAATCGCTCTGGAAACTAGTTCGTTCGCAGCCGCTCTGCTAACTAGTTCGTTTACTTTTGTCTCGAGGCATAGAAGTGTTCTTTTGGGTATGTGTAGTATGTTTTATTTGGACAGTAATATTTCTATCAAGTATTTGAATAACTATAATCACTTGTTATATGGTTGCAACACCTCTAGTTTTTATTTTATGTTTTATTACATCAGCTACCTACCAAAAAAAGACCCGTCAAAATTGGTCCAGCCATTTCAGAGATTAGCCGGAACAAACAGACAGACAGGCAATAATTGCAAAAAAAGTTATTTTGATGTATATACCGTAATTATATTCATAAGCATGAAGTAAATAACGGTTATTTCAATATTACAAACAGACGCTCCAATTTTATTTATATGTATAGATTAGTGAGTAGTTAGTTACCCACGAGTATTTAAATAAATTTATAAAGAATTTTATTTAATTACACTATCATCGAATAGTTTTAAAGATTATTAAGAATATACAGGTGGCCGGTGGGCTACTTTGATTTATATATGCTACACATACATAAAATATACTAGCTTACGAGACATAAGATAACCTATATCTATACACGTAATAGTCTATATTATTGACAATTTTATAAATTTGTTTCCAACCCTTTCATAGTTAGAATATCAATTACTTCTTTGTCCAACCCCTGATCCCCGTTTATATGAGGTCGATCGGATTAAGTAATTCTTTACAGAAGCTATTAGTTTGGGATATTAAAACATTAAATAGTTGAGTAAGATTTCTAATTTCTAATCATCATCATCATCATCGCAGCCCGGAAGACGTCCACTGCTGGACATAGGCCTCCCCCAAATATCTCCACGACGATCGGTCCTGCGCTGCTCGCATCCAATGCCTTCCAGCGATCTTGACCAGATCGTCGGTCCACCTTGCTGGAGGCCTTCCCACGCTGCGTCTTGCTCCAATTTCTAATATTTTAAGTAAATTTCGAGTACAATAAATGATGCAGAACTACAGAATGAATTTTACAATTTGAGAACTAGCTTTTGCCCGCGGCCTCGCTCGCGTTAATTTATCCCCTTGGGGGTAGAATCAATCAAAATCCTCTCTTAGCGGATGCCTACGTCATAACATCTACCTGCATGCCAAATTTCAGCCCGATCCGTCCAGTGGTTTGGACTGTGCGTTGATAGATCACTATGTCAGTCACCTTTGAGTTATATATATTTAGATGACAGATAGTAAGTAAAAAGCTGAGGTGGCGCCCTCACACAGATAAAGCACAAATACAGCATTGAGTGATGTCAGTAAGCCAATAATCACTATGTACAATTCCTTAATAATATAAATTTATTATCTATTAAAATTCTGCATGTTTTCATATAAAGCGGATTGCACACCACATTCCTCGCAATAAATTTTCATTTCATTTCACCCTGTACGTTTGCGACTAAGTACTCTTTTCTGCGTTGTCTGAGTATTAAGCAGCCATCTTTTTCTTAATATCGTTCCATGAAATGACTAATGGCCATTAGTACTTTGTTGAGCCTTAAACAACTTTCTTAATACATATCAAGTAAATAATTAGTTTATTAGCATACAACGTTATAATTTGTTTATCTCATTGCTTTCTTGATTCAATTATTTTAGAAATATGAAAGCGTAGCGGGTTTTGTATTAATTGCCGCATGCATTCTTATGTGAAATGTGAATACTATAAACATCAGATGGCAATTGTGAGTAGCTATGACGTGGTCTGGTGTTTTGAGTAGTCATGCTCACTAAAATGTCCAGACTTGTGGCGGCGTGGTGGGCCGGGTCATTGGGCTCCCTAAAATATGGTCGAGCGCAGTGATGGCTGGCTCATCCGTCATACTCGTGAACGGGTGCTGCTTGTAGGGACTGGTCTGCTCTAATCACTATGACTGATTTCCTCTTATTAATTGTTTAACCAGTTGGTTATGTATTCAATATTTTTTTCTTTTTGGATATTTAATTGAATTAGTGCTAATCGGTGGTTTGTATTCACACACTTAAACTTAAATTGTAAGTAAGAATAAATTATTTAAAAGAGCAACACACAAGTTTCTTGCTTGTTCTTCTTGTGATGAGACAGCATTCCGAATGAGCGGTAGATTAAAAAAAAAAAAAAATGTTATGACTATTCAAAAGTGCTTCAATGTAAGTTTATTTGAATAAATGATTTTCTATTCTATTCTATTCTATTCTATTCTTAATTTAGAATATCAGCATACCTAGGGAAGCTAACTAGAAATCTACGAACTAGAACGTCTCTACGATCTTCGAGTGCGCTCTTCAATACTAGTTCGTTCATGAACTGCACGAGACTGCACCATAGAATTATATGAGATTTGTGGTGAACGAATCGATGGATGTGTTTGTACTTAGTGGATAGTGTTATGTAACACTAAGTCAGCACCAAGACTTATCTCTTGGATTCTGAAGAAAGGAGGGTAATATTTGTAAAACACTTTCAATGTATATTTATTGTTATTTGTTTATCTGTTATAAAGAGTTGTTATTGTTATTGTTATATCATTCGGGTTGTAAATATGTTAAATCATTACATAGTATAAAATAAAGTCGCTGTTGCTGTCTGTCCGTCCCTATGTATGGTTAAGTCTTTAAAACTACACAACGGATTTCGAAACGGTTTTTTTAAAATACATAGAGTGATTCTGTAGGAAGGTTTATATCTATAACTAGTTGTACACGCGACTTCGTCCGCGTGGCATTTAACTTCATTTTTCTAAAAGAAAAGTAGCCTAAGTTACTCCTTATTACATCAGCTACCTGCCAAAAAAAGTCCCATGAAAATCGGTCCAGCCATTTCAGATTAGCCGGAACAAACAGACCGACAGACAGACAGACAAAAATTTTTAAAAATGTTATGTTGGTGTATGTACCGTATTTATATTCATATGCATGTAGAAAAAAACGGTTATTTCAATATTACAAACTGACACTCCAATTTTATTTATATGTATAGATGTATAGGTAATTCGGTCTCTAGTTCTATCCTTTCTCGTGAACATCTGTTATCTTATAAAATTTTATTCAAATATGTTTAGTTGTAAAAATATAAGGAACATTAAGACACACTTTCGCATTTATATTATTAGACAATCATGAAACAAGTCAATGCTGTGTATTTTATAAAAACACGGTTGAATTGAGAACCCTTTCTTTTTTGAAGTCGATTGAAAATATCGTTTTTTTTGTTCAATATCTATTTTTATTTGTTAGTTGTTGCTGTATGCGATCCACGTAAGTTTTCTGCAGCAAGTTCGTTAGCTTCATCTGTGATTTCATTAGCTTTGAGTTCTGCACTCGTAAATTTTTATATACGTATATTGCACAAATACTTGTATAAATATTTATAAAAAGTATGATGGACAAACTGCCGACAACATTTCCTATATTATTGTTATTTAATATCTAACATTATGTCCGTAACATTATATAAATTTATTATATTTTAATTTTCAAGTTTAGTAGGCATCTAGAAATCACAACACCACCGTGGTAGACTGTAAGTCCTCTGCATGATCTCTTCAGTCTCACCTATTTCAGCCTTACTGAAATATCATCATCTCAATCTTCAATCGAATCTTGAAGCAGATTTTTAATATCTATGTGTATTTGTACCGGGTCTAATAGGCATCTAGAAATCACAACACCATCGAGGTAGACTGTAAGTCCTCTGCATGATCTCT